TTACTTCAATATCAAGACGCAATTGAGAAAGGAATACTAATAGAAATGTGCACGATGAGAGACATGAGTATGAATGAGACAAGTAACAATATCATTGAAAAATTTTGAAATGAGATATATTGGAGGAAATAAACGAGACCATTTCATTTCGATATTTGGAATCATGAGAGTAGCTTATATTATTAATATGGTGATGCTGTATTTAAACTGTAACTGGAGACGAGTCGTTTACACACGTCGTTCCGCACTGTTGCAAATGTATGTTGCATAATGGAATACATAAAAAAAAAGGTCTAAACTGCTTTTACGATGTAAATTTCATGTTTTATACCAAAAGAAGTATTTATAACTTTCTTCGAAAATCCATAAATTCAAAGAGACATCACTGTAAATGTTAGTGTTTTATTTTAAAACATTAAAAGTGTTTTAATATGACGTCAACCACTTGATTGACATTGTCTCGATTTTAAAACGTTTTTTAAGTGTTTTAAAATAAAACACTAAAATTTACAGTGATATATTTATTTTATGTATTATGATTTGAAAAAAAAAAAAATAATTCATTAAAGTAAATAATGAAAATTCAAGTGAAATTTATGCATAATTAAAAATGTATTGATAATGTTAATTAATAAATCACCTATTTATTTATGTTTTAATTGTAAATGAATTATTTTAAATAAAGAGTATTTAAAAATACTTAATTATTATTCAATTATCATTATAAAAATCTTTAATATAAAATAGAATGCTGACGTACATTTATTTTGAAATTAAAAAAAAATACTTAAAGGTGAGATTAAATATCAGTTTATTTTTTTTTTTTTGTCAAAAAAAAATAATAGTATATTTTCTAACCGAAAGATAAAATAAAATTGTATTTTAAATGAAGATATTTTACAGTGATCATTCGTGTAGATCACGAGTAGGTGGATACAAGCATGAGATAGTGTCACCAAACATAATTTCGTTTCTATATTTATCTAAGTGGATCCACGTGCGTGACTGGACGCATTCGAGACTTAACACTATGCTAAGAATTTATGCTAATGATAAATAAAAGTAATAGAGTCATTAAACTCACCTTAAGCAAGGTCAAGGCAGCATGTGAGAATCTCAACAGTTTCCAAATTCATTTATATCTCTAATACCATTTTAAAGTAACACAAATACATGGTAAATATTAAATGTATTTTTTTTTCAATATTTATATTAAATATTTAAAAATAATTTCCAATCTTCTTATTAAACAACCACGCTTTCTTCTCATGACTGTTGTACAATGAAACGTCATCGGAACATAAATAATACATATTAAATAGTAAATCACGGAAGATTCACAACTTCTGGAAACGAACGATCATCGACTACATACACCTAATGTGATAGAAATAAATAGCTACTCCGAAACACTAAAAACCGCCAAGTGATGTACAAATACATGAAAAACGAGCATAACCCGCGCACTAACGCCACAACGCCGAGTAATGATAGGTCAACTGCGGCCTAAAAACGAATGACGCAACGACGAATATTTCCGAATAGTAACGAATTATTACGATTAATATGCCGCCAAACTTAAATTAGAGATATATCGCGACCATAACATTCACTCCTTATCATATTTCAAAAAGTTACGAGTAATTTCTTCGACAAATAGAGCTGACATTTGAACAAATGAATTATAAAATTATCCTTCTATTAAAATATTGGGTAAAGGCGCAGGAAAATAAATATTATTCTTTACATTAAAAGGTAGATGTTGAGTTAATGTAAGTATTATTATTAGTTAAGAAGAATCGACTTGTTGAACTGCTGAATAATCAAAATAATTTGCATACATTCAACACCAAGTTAACTATCGAACTAATCGCCGTTATTTTTTAATTCGAATTGAAGATAAAGTAACAAAAACGAAGAAAGAAATATATAATTATATAGTAATGTAAAGAGTACCGCAAAATGTCGCCTAATTAACAGCGAACTAGAGCATCCGAGATCATGTATTTAATCGAATGACATTAGCGACTCGTTCATGCTCTTTTGCTAAAACTTAATGTCATTAAATCACTCATACTTGAGACTTTAATTATATTCTAAAACTAAGATCAAAGAGGAATGGTTTTTAATTTACTTCAAATTTTAGTTTTTAGAATCAATTTTTTTTTCTTCTTTCTTTGTGAAGATAATTAAAAGTTATTTTTAAAATTTGCGAAATAGTAAAAATTAATTGAATTCATTGATGAATCAGAAATTAGTTGAAATCGTTTTTGACATTTTATTTGTATGAAAATTTCAATAAAAAATATTTCCGTTGGTTAATTATTGTCTCAGAATGATTGAATGAAAATGACCTTAATGAACGTAATGAGCTTAAGCAGAAGAGAGATTTGAAATTGGCATTAAGATAAGACAGTATCTTTGAGTTTCAGTCGTTTTGTTAAAAATTACATTCAAGTTATTACTTATTTATGTATCCAATGTAAAACTTGTTTTACGGTGTGGGTCTCTTTTTTGATGTCTGTTTTATATTCATTGAGATAAAATATTTTCAATAATAATAATAATAAAATCATGAAAAGAACAACACAAGCAAAAAAGAAGAATTGGAAAATTTACTTATATTACACACATTTTTTGTTTTATGATTTATAATGTTCAATTTTAAAAGTTACTTTATAAATTAAAAATTGTCCTGGCAATTGAATCATCAGTAATAAATGTTGATAAAATTTCTTCATGTAACTTTTTATTATCTTTTGAATTTGATTTATTGTCACCATACTGCACGGCTGACCATATATATAGCATCGTCACTAACATCATTTAGAGCTCTCACATACATCTGAATGTCCATAAAAAACTGTAAAATTATTTTCAAATAATTATAAGCATGGTACTATACGTGTATACAATACAGGTAAAATACTTATTCTTAAGAATTTCGCAATCATGTGCAAAAATTTTTATAACATCAATTGAATATATTAAGAAAAATTTTAAAACTTTTTATTGAAAAATTAAATCATTTATTCGAATAAAAATAAACTCCTTTTCACATTTAAAAAATTTGCTTCTTTTGGCTACTTTTCTTTTTTTTCAATGCTTTTTATCATTTCATTGGGATTTAAAGTGCCTCAGGAGGCGAAAACAGAACAGCAATTTGCGTAATTGTAATCTCTCAGTGTTCAAAGATTATTCATTGGTTGTTGAGAATATGGACGGATATATAGAAGCTTACGGCACTATTTCAACTTATTTTTTGTTTTTCAGTTGACTTAATAAACACCATGGGATGAAAATTTTGAGTTTTTTTATTTTTTAAATCTCTTCGGCTCGTGCTACATTATTTATATGGGCTTGTAGAAAAATTTCCTAGGATTAACTGTTCATTGCTTTAAATATAATCATTACCATTGTTAAAATATCAGATTATTACATTCATTGAATATTCAATACAAATATGATCTAATTTGGCTTATTTTTAATTTAGCAATTATATAAATGTGTAAAATTTAAAAACCTTTGTAGCCCAATTGTAGCAGATCTATTATAAATAATTGAACATAATTTTTTTACTTTTATCGTAAAGACTCTCATTTTCGATATTCCTTTAAATTTATTTGAATTGAAAATCGGTATATTCATAAATAAAAATATTTTCGTTTTCAAATTTTTTTTTTACCTATTCATTAAATAATAATTAATGATACTGATTATAAAAAAAGTTTTTTATATATAACGATTATATCAACTGTTATTTTTCTATGATTTGGCTAAACTTGACTATAAACAAAAAGAACTTCATTTTCGCCTTTTATTTATACCTGTACAGTTTTATTACATTACAAGGTAGATCGTCTTTCTTTTTTTTTAAGAATTAAAAAAGTGACTTTTGTGAGTTATATTGTGTAATTTGAAAAGAGTGTAGAAGAGGTAAAAGCTAGTGAAGCTCAAGCCGAGAGAAGACCGAGAATAGGAGGCAAGTGGAATGTACAGGATCTCAAAGGAGGAGCTGATGGCAGAGAAAAATCACATTGCTACTACTACCGCAGTCAGAGCATCTGCTCTACATACCCAGGCTCTCAACCAACACATCTCTGTAACAAAACATTCAAGACATTTTCAATAATTCACGACATTAGTAATAGTAATTAATAACTGTCAATCATTACATATTTACAATTATTTAATATAATTTCAGATATTAATTAAATTTATTAAACAGCATGTAGGTGTAAAGAAATATGTTGCACTAGTTTTTATATTTAATTAAATAAATTAAATAAAACCAGTTACTTAATTACAGCTATGAATTTTCATAACATGTATCCTACCTAAAAGGAAGCAAGTGTAATTAAGAATCGCTTTTTATCAAGTCACAACGGCATCGAGAAGTGCGTTGAGAACCTCAAGAAATCAGAGTGTGGCGAAGCGAAGCAAGATATACGTATGTTGGTTGGGCTACCGGTCAGTCGGGTCGGGTCGCTGTTCTCCTGTATTTCATTTCTCCCTTTTGGTCGCTTTTGTTATTTTACTGTCTTCCTTCTTACGCCTCTTTGCAGTATCTCGCATTTACGCTCTCCTTATTCCTTCTTCTTTACTCCACCTGGACGTACTGATGCTCTCATTTTCTTCGCCCTTTAGCCCCCTGTTACCTGTAGAAGTATTCTCATACTTGCAAAAGTTGTTACTCGATTATTTTATTACTTTTATGAATATTGCTGTCGTCACAATTATTACACCTTTTAATATGGTCCATTACTGGTCTAATTAATACATCAAGACTTATAATCGATATTCTAAATTTTTATAACTGGAAAGTGTTTTAGTATTATAAAGAAATGTTTAAAAGTTAAAATAAAAAAAATTGTACTTGAATTTATTTGTGATATATAAGATAATAAGATAAAATAAGAAAAATTGTTGTCTTGCGCACTAAATACAATCCTAAAAAATCAATATCGGCGCACAAGTTGGCCCTGAACAATCACTTTGACAACATGCGTAACAGTTTGTATCGGGATTTCAATCGTATAACATTTTGAATTGAATATACTCATCAAACTAATCAAAAATTTTCATTTAAAATGAACTGTGAAAAATATGAAAAGCGTCAACAAAAACTAAATACAAACGTTAATAAATTTAGTATAAATAATTAAATAGTAAACACTCATCTATTTAAAAAATAAATAAATAAAAATAATATGGATAATAAACTGTCACTTGGAATAAATGTCAGTATTATTCTGACGCTCACAATATTGACTGGACTTCTTATTCTTCCTTTAAAGCTTTTACTTCATACTAACTATGAAATACAAAACAAAAATGAATCTCTAATTCTTAAAGATAGTCAAAAAGAAATGATTGATTTCAAAACACTTCAAGTATGTCCTGGAAAATATAAATTTTGGATCGATTCAATATTTATTAATAATTATGATAGAAATTGCACTTACTCCAATATTGAACAAAATTTGAAAGTTGGAACTACTAAAACCCAGAAGATGAAAACAGACGAGACTGATAATCAAAATTCTACGAGTGCCAATAGTTCTATTTCTGGATTAAAAATAATTCGACCCAAGTCAGTTCCAGTAACAGATTATATTCTAGTAATAATGTTAACAGTTTCAGTAATTGGAGCATTTGTAGAATTTCTTAAAATTCGTTTTACGAATACCCAGGTACGTGAATTTTATTCAAAACTTTTCCTCTTCGGTGTGTTAGGTTTAAATTGTTCTTGTTTCTTTATTTCGAAGCAAGGGCAGAATCTTAATCAACATTCCTGAAAATTCAGGATGAATCTTCAAGTGTTGAAGGAATAGCATCAAGGCGGCAATCAATAATGAATTTAATGCTACCAAGGAAATGTACTCGTGAGTCATTGAAAACACAAATGTCATTGGACGTTCCAGGATCAAATCGATCAGCCGTTCGAGTTTCCGGTATTATTTTTTGTATAAATTTTTACTACCAATTATTTGAAGTATTACTTTCGGTTCAATTTATAATGATTTTTAGATCAGAGAATCATTCGAATCCTTTAATCATTTTTTACCATTCAATGAACATCTTGACGAATCAGAATTAAATTAATCTCGTAATGAATTTGATATTACAATAGTATAATGTTATTTTATCTATTACTTAATATCATTCTTATTAATTAATTAACTCTTTAAATCAAATAATTTATCAAAATGATCATGTAAAAGAATTACCATATGACAAAAAACATGTAAAGTTGCATTTCAGGGTCGCGTGCACCGCCGTTGATTCGGCGATCTTCATTCCCAGTTTATTTTAATGTAGATAATAGTGGAAATGATTCTTCGACACCACCACGATCACCACGACGACCATCAGTAGCCAATGCCGATAATGAAATTGGCGCTTGCTTATTACCTGTTCTTCATCATCGATCACGACTTATTCGACGACGTTGAAATTAACTTTTGCCCTGTAAACAGTTCCACTAATTAAAATAACATCTTCTTTCTCTATACAATTAAATGTGATTATAATAATTGTTATGAAAAATCAAAATATTTAAAGTAAAGAAAAAAAAATATCAAAGAATAACAACTATTACATGATTAAAATTTTATGCTGAATCTATACAATAATAAACAAAAAAATCTCTATCAACTCAAACTATAAAATACTATTTATATATAATTATCTTTGATAATTTTACAATCATCTTGATATTCCAATTTTATGAAAATTATCTCTAATAAAATTATCAAATTCAAATTTATTAAATCTTATACCTATTTTGTATGAATTGAAAATTTCATTATTTAATGTAAATTTATTCCAATTTATGTATGAACTATATATATATATATATATATAATAAAGATTATATTAAAAAGAAACAATTGTTTAACAATTTTCAACATTTTGATTCTGTATATACAATATTTATGATGAATGCATTGCTTAAGTTTGATTTCTAACTAGTTCCCAACTATTTCAGAAAAAAGACTTAATTTTTTTTAATTTAATATTTAATTGTTTAGAGTTATATAAATATGGACGTTAAAAAAATCAATAAACTATTAATAATACATTTTATGACGATAAAATTTATCAGAGCTAACTTTGCACATCTGTAAATAATTTAGCATATAAAATAATTAAACAAAAGAAATGTTTATGTATGTGCTATTATGCTTATCATCTAAATAACAACAATTAGTTGGTTGAAAATAAACAAAATGTAAACCGAAATTAAAGCTAATTATTAACGTAACATCAATCCTTTACTTATGTACGTATGTACATCTCTATTATACATATGTAATGGATTCAGACAAATCGAGTTCAGTCATCTATTATAGATGGTAGCACTTTCTGGATAGAATGATAGAATATTTTTTAAATTTAACTGTATTTACTAAATTTTTGTTAACATGTAAAAAATAAATTAATTTAATGAAAAGTGAAAAAAAAAAAAAAATGCTTACTAATGAATATTAAAAAAAATTCAATAATTATATATTACAAAAATCAAGTAAATAGTTTATCAACTTTTTTATCGCCAGTGATTTTTTCAATGGGACGCAAAAATTTTAATTTATGCCTATAAATATCGGGAATTAGAGCACACATTGTCATATGAGTAATTAAAGCAGTCAGTCCCCAAATTTTGTGGCCTTCTTTAAGAAAAACAGGTAAAGTGTAACCAGTTCGAAATTGTGTATACCGACAGTATTTTTGATCACAGAAATGTTTCAAGCTCACAACAAAAGCCTCTTCTACTTCACGATGGTTAATCTTTAATTTTTTTAAATCAATTTCACCAACGTATCCTAAAATTGGCATGACATTAACATCTTTTCTTCCAATGAAATTGCCTGATGTCCATACATCCACTTTTTCATTAGGTATTCCTAATTCTTCCCAAGTTTCTCGAAGTGCAGTCATTTCATAATTTTCGTCATCATTGTCTTTAATTCCACCAGGGAATGATACTTGTCCTCCATTTGTACTTAGTGTTTTTGATCTAAGTGTGTATAAAAATCCTAACTCATTGTCATGTAAACATAATGGTATTAAAACAGCCGCATTTTTCGTGTCTTGATTATTTTTGGTGAAGGAAGCCATTGAAAATAATTTTTTCAATCTTTCAATACAAGCTTTACGGTTGTTGGTATTTAAAATTATTTCTGGATGTAGAAGATTATGATTTATGTCATTAGAAGAAAGATTTGAAATACAAAGGTGTTGAATAGACATAGAAAACTGAAAAATGAATTTATTTCAGAGCAGTGTTAAGAAATATTATATGTTTACGATTATAAATAAATACAAAATAATTAAAAAATTATCAAGAGAATAAATTTTATAAAACTTACATAATTTTGTTGATAATAAGCATTCGAAAATGACTTTAAATAATAATTATATTTATTGAAGGCCATGAAAACAGAGTTAATTAATTGTTGAATTAATTGAATATAATATATAAATGTAATTAAAACGTTGAATTGCACAACAGAAAATACTAAAGTTACATCAACATGTGGCCATTACTTGCTGCCATGTTGCATTACCACGTGATTTAATTTAAATGGCGATTAGGGGGAAAAAAAATTATCGATTCAAAAATATCAGAAACAAAGCATATTAATGAAATTTTATTACTTCTTCATTCAAATTATTTTAATTGTTGTATAACTATATTCTATTCGAATGATACATTACTTTTTATATTTTGCATTGAATTTATTGGCATGCCATTTTTAAAAACAAAATTGTAAAACTTTTATAACATTTATAATTTTATTCTACGGTGAAAAATAAATTAAACTCTGTTATAAAAGGTGTTAACTTCTTACAAATTAAACATAATACTTGCATTAATTAATACAACGTTAAATTATATATTGTTAAATATAAAACGAAATTTATAATATAAAAATATGATATCAAGTATTACTTTATTAAAGATATTTATTTGACATTTAAATAATAAAATTTTCATATTTTTAATGTCCATTATCATTAATGCCATAATTTTTTTAGGTAAAAGTGTTAAGAATATAACCAATACTAAAGCTTTGAAAAAAGTTACAGATATAATTTTTCAAAAAAAAATATAATAAGAATAATTTAAAAAGATTATCTAAAAACATAAATTAAAAGTTTATTAATTAAAATCACAATTGAGATATTTACCTATCAATTTACGCTCCATATTTAGGCTTATTAAAAATTCTATCATAATTATTAACATATTTTTTTTTTTCCTCTAAGACTGTAATTGAAATGTGTTGTTAATATTTGATTATCTAGCGTTTGCTGAAGAAAAATAAATCTTCTGGAATTTAAAAACATTTTGGAAAGTAGTGAAAGTATTTTCAATGTTATTTCAACGATTTAAATTTTTATATTATTTATCAAGATACGTGCAGAAAATGAATATTTACTTCTGAAGCTTTTCAAGATTATTGATTAATATTACTATTTTAATAATTATTCTATTTCTTTAATACTAATTTTTTTATTATATTTTCATACACTATCAAGCATATGAAAATCTTATTTTTTAACTTATTTTTCTGACATAACTCATTTTGTGTAGGCTACGAAAGGCACTGCTTCAAGTGAAAATTACAATAAAATATTTCATTATAAGCTATTGGATCAAGAAGCGACAATCGAACCGAAGTTGATTTATTTCATGTTTAATTTTTCATGCAAACAGTAAAGAAATGCAGTTGTTATTTTTTTTATTGCCTATAGAAGTGTAAGAGAATAAAAAAAGTTTAGCACGTACTAAGATAATTAACGTAAAGCTCAATTTTTTATCATTTATTATTTATTATTTTTCATAATTTATATTATTAAAAAAATTCATGTAAGCATTGGAATTGAATATTCAAATGCAGGTTCAATATAATGTATTTAATAATATTTCTCATTATTGATAACCTAGTTCACGTAATTATAAAAATATTATTAAATTTTATATTTGTTTGTAGGCACAATGTTGTTAAAAATAAGTCAGGATAATTTAGATTCGATAATGTATTTCATTTTTTTCTCTTTAAATTGTTCACTTGAGAAAGTATTAATTTCTTTAATAAATAAGTAAAGTTGAATAGATTATTTATTGAGTGGGAATTTCTTATTTTATGAAAATATGAAAGGGAGGTTTTATATATACAAAATGCAGTGATAAAAAATCTGAGACAAGGTCTAAAGTATACGTTTTACGAATAATTATCATAGTATTAAGAATATTTTGAAGCATGAAATTATTTTCAGAATAATAAAAAATAATAATTAATCTTTTAATTTAAAAAGAACAATGTAAAATATTTTTTGTCAATTTAAATTCATAATTGTAATAATTACATAAGGAAGACAATTGATTTCATTTAATTACCAATTGTTATATATCATAAAGGTATCTATTCATTTATTCATTGAACCTGAATATAAACATGATTAAAAATGAGTTTCAATATCTACAATTATCTCAGAGCAAAATAATTCATTTATTTCACAAATACTATTTTTCCATTTTTAGCATCTTTATTTATAAACCACTTAATGCTCTGAGCTAAAAGTTTATGTAGAATTAATATAATTTTCAAGTTAAAATAATTCGTTAAAAAAAATTCACGGTAATGTTTGCACCAAAAATTACTTGAAATATTTTAACTATGATACTTGTTTTTCCTATGATAATTATTATTATTATTATTATTATTATTTATCGTGGTAGATGAATTTACTTTTGTTTTACTTTTTAATTATTGAATTACACATTAATATATTACGTATTATAAAATGATAAAAAATTCCGTAGATACGAATGGTATTTTTGGCTTGTTTTTTCATAATTAAAATAACTTATTGAGTTTTTTTTCATCGATAAAATTACCAATACGAAGTTTTCAAACTGCTCTATTTATGAGTAATATTGATATTTTGAAAAATCTATAAGTTAATGAATAGATTGATCAATTAGTTAATGAATATTTTTAGCAATTACGATTTTAAATATATTTGAAGGACGAAAAAATAAATGATTCCTCTCAGTTGATCACAAAAAATATGGAGTAATTGTGTCCGGTGGAATTGTCCTTTCAGAATCTGGTACGGCAGAAAATATCACTGTATTCCTTTGATCAACAGTTGTAAATTGTAATATGCTGGCTACATTACCACATCGATAACAATAATTGGGTGCTGACCATACTGTTACAAGTTTATGATTAAACATATAACGATATCCTGTATATCAAATAATTCCATAATTTATAATTCCATTGTTACGAACGTAAATATTATAAATTATAAAATTTTCAAGTACTGACCTTCTTGAACTAATTGATGGGCTCGGCATATTAATTTTAAATCATTAATTTCCATAAACTTGTGAGTTACTTTAACTCCAAACAGCCATCCAGCACCTCGTGGACTTACCGCCCATGTATCAACATCCTCAGGATCAGACCACAATAAATCACAAAAAGCACCTAAATATGCCAATAATTAAAGGTAAAGTTAAATAAATGGTAATATTATCACAATTTAAATTTTGTTACCTTTATGTGGGATTTCTTGATTTCGTTCAATAGTTCTTATTTGATCTAAAGCTCTAATGGCAGGCGATAAACCACCATGTACACAAAGTACTTGTTCATCAATTAACTGCAACAATTGAAGAAATGTAAATTCATTTTAATTTATTTAAATAAAGAAATAAATTAAAAATGATTTCTTACGGCAGCTACTGTTAGTAAATCAAATACCCTACAGCAATATTTCCATGGATTAGCATTACCATATTTCATTTCACATTCATCTAAAATAAAAATTATATTTTTAATTTCTTAAATTCTGAATTTGTAAAAACATATAACTATAATTACCATAAAAACCATAAACTTGTGTAATTTGACGTGACTCATGATTTCCACGAAGTAGTGTTATTCTGTCTGACCATTTTGCTTTGAGGGTTAATAATCTTGTAAATGTTTCTAAACTATAATAACCCCTATCAACAAAATCTCCCATAAATATGTAATTGGTATCAGGTACCGGACCTCCATTGCGAAATAACTCTTCTAAGTCATAGAACTAAATTAAAAACATTGTATAACAAATTGATAAATTAATCAATAAAATAATTATCTAATTATTAAAAAATTTGATACAAATGAATTAAGAAATAATTAATTTTTTTTATAGGTTATAACATCTAAAAAACAATTTATTTACCTGACCATGAATATCTCCACAGACTGTTACCGGAGTTGACACTGGTTGAATATTTGATTCCTCTAACAGCAAATCACATACGATGTCACAGAGTTTCTAATCATAATAATTAAAACCATGATAAAACAAATTAAGTAAGATTATCACAAATAAAGCTAACCTTAACAAAACTCATAAGCGGCTTAAAAATACTTATTATAACATTTTTATATAAAAATACAATTAAAAACTTTGTAATTTCAATTCTTTTTTACCTTAAGATCATTTTCCGGTAAATATTTGCATTCTTGTGCGATTTCTATCCATTTATCGATGTCTGACATTTTGGATTCACAACTCGTAGCATTGCTGGTGCTGCCATGAAATTACTATAGTAATGGAGTACTATTGTGTAATGAGTAGTTCTTACTTTGTTTAATACACGAAATACATATATATGTATGTATGTATGGACGTACATACATATCACCTTGTATATACAACAGGATACGTTTAAAAAAGTAGGGAATAAATATTTTTACAATTTTTTAAATTGTATGTACATATGTGCATTTTATAAGGGTGTACTCCAAAATGTACACCAGTACACTGGCCAATACGTAAATAATTACATCACATTATTCTCACCAGTATAATATATTACATACGGTTATGTATGTACGGTGACACACAAGTGCAATATGATGTCATGACTTCATTACCGTATGTATTGGTGTATATTTTGGAGTACACCCCTTAAGTAACGTTTAATTTCAAAATTAATATAGAGTACGACAGACGATGTAATGGTGTGCTTTCTCGTATGTGCTTCGATCTTTACTATGAACAATATATCTATATAAGAAATAAATATCCCCAAATATAGATACGGATAACATTATGGACATGTCTCTAGTTTCTCACAAGGAGAATCTCCATTTCTTTTATTCCTTACCAAATACTTTACTTTCTCTAGGCAATATCATTTTTAACTAATTATTCATTATTAAACTTAAGTTTGCAGTATGTTAAAACATATTCGTTAAAGAATCAGTAAAATAATGAAAAATCTAACGAAAGTAAAGAGATATGACTAAATAGAAAGATGCAAATAAAGAATGAAAGTGTTATGGCATTTATAAATGAACCATAGTCATGAATAGCGTCTTAGTTTGGTATAGATAAAAGGATATAGGGAAATCGCATGTATAACCTAAAAAAAACTGAACAACATTTATGCCGCTGTATGTGTGTGTTTTTGATGTAGAATTACCAACAGAACGGCTTAAAAATCCTAACTCCAATTTGGCACAATTTCGTCGACCCACCTTTTGAACTCCAACACAAATACTTGAGGTGTATTTTCATGAATGAATGTAGGTAAATTCATGGATGAATGATTAAATATTTTTACGATATATTATTCAAAATAAACTTTTTAAAAATTTACCGCCATTATTTGACAGAAATATTCCCTAGAATAAATTTTCAAATTTTCACCAATTATGATAATGAAATGAATCAAAAATCATCTGAATGTACATAATTATTTTTCAATTAATTTAATGTATCATAAACAAATTATAATTAAAACTTCATTTTTAGAAATGTATACAAAATCAGAATATGGATTTTATCACGAGTGTAAAAGTGGGTCACGGGTCATGACAAAACTTTAGTGCGCACGCTTCTGTTATCGATTAAAACGACTCCAATGTGAATAGCAGATTTCATTGTTCGTTTATAGAAGCTGTTGGAGGTATTTAAAATTATTTTACTCATTACTTGGTTGATTCATTCAAAGTGTTAATATAAAACTTGAGTGTAAAAATGAAAATAAATATTCAAAGTATACGGTGAAGTTGAAAAACGTCTGAATGATTCATATGAATGTAGCGAATTCAGCCATTTTGATAAAACGCTAGGTAGAGGACGAATAGGAAGAGTTTTGCAGTTTACAAAGAGGTGGTAGCAGGAGGCAAAAAGCGAGTAACAAGTTCGGTATCGCCCACGAGAACATCAGGACACAACTAATTATCGGCGAAAGCCGTAATTTATCTTCTCTAAATTGAAGAGACACGTTTTTAGAGACTAAAAATGGCTGGCAATGTGGGTATGGAACAGTTGATTCCAATTGTGAATAAATTACAAGATGCTTTTACACAACTTGGAGTGTCTATGCAATTGGACCTTCCACAAATTGCAGTTGTGGGTGGTCAAAGTGCGGGAAAGAGTTCAGTGCTCGAAAATTTTGTTGGAAAGTAAGTTATTACTTTTTTTTACTATTAAATATTTGTATTCCCTACTTTTTTTTTATATATTTAACCCCTTTGCGTACTTGTAACAATAGCATCTTATTGATTAAGAATCTACTAACCTCCCTCTTGTTTTAAATTATCAGTAGATCAATGCTGTTCATCAACTTAAGGCGTGGCGATTGACTGGTTTTGATATCAGATATTTTATATTCGTTTTTAAAAATTTTATCTAATATTTATTTTTGTTGTAAATGAAATACTTAGCTTTGAATGATGGAGAACTATCAGATAAAGATTTTTTAGATTTTTTTTACAAATATTTATGTATGTTTCGACTAATGGTAAACATGATTTTATATTTGACTTGAAGTTTTTATCTCTCCATCGGCAATATCGGTTCGAGTTCTATACAACAACGTCAAGGCGCCTACTCTTAGTAAACTGTCAATAATTTTAATTGCAATTTCATATGCTCCAATTGTACATGAAATACATAATACCCTGATCGGAAAATACAATTGATTGTTCTCGTAAAGGATAGAAATTATGTCACTTCAAATGTTGATGATTAAAAAAAATAAATTCCAATATAAACAAAAAAAAACCTAATTCTTCTAATCATAATTTTATATTTTTTAATAGTTATTATTCACTTTATACTTTGCATTATGATTATTTCTTTACGAACAACATACATACTTTTATGATTAAGAAGAATCCTTACCACTCATACAATCGAACATAATTATTTATAACAGAATTTAAATTACTTGTTTTGCTATCTGATGTTATTCAATGTCTTTTCCGATAATTTAACTTAATTGTTCTCACTTGAAAAAGTCTTATAAAATAAAATGATATTTTTTCAGAAATATGATTTTTAATTACTGTAATTTATCATTGTTAAGTCAACTAACAATTATTAACTAAAAAAATTTGTTGACAGAGACTTCCTCCCAAGAGGTTCAGGTATTGTCACCAGGAGACCGCTTATTTTACAACTTATCCATAGCACAACTGGTAAGTACAATTAAATGATGTATATATATATATGTGTATTAAAAATAAAACTACTTTTAATAATATAAATGATATTAATTTTGGAGTAACTTTTAGTTTCCTTTATCTTTAATATTGTATTCATTCATTCGAAATATACAAACGTTCTTGAAATAATTATCTCAGAGAATTCTCATATTTTTTCTATGGCTCAACGTTAAACTCGATATTGTTGACTTCCTGTTTAACTATCAGTTATTATTTATTATCATTTTTACATCCTGGATGTTTGCATTTCTGATAAAAACATTTTGGTTAGATCAATGAACTTTCAAAAACGAATTTATTGTTTATATAAATTACTTTAATAATTTTTTCTCAGTGATTTTATTTTATAATCTATTTTTTGTTTCTACAGAATTTGGTGAATTTCTTCACTGTAAAGGAAAAAAGTTTGTGGACTTTGACGAGGTTCGCAAAGAAATTGAAGCAGAAACTGATAGAGTAACTGGAAGTAATAAAGGGATATCAAACATACCTATTAACTTGAGAGTGTACTCTCCAAATGGTAAAAGATCTTCAAAATCTAAAAAGTTTATTTATTATTCATTTGAAACAATCTATTTATAATACATATGTCTTATTTCAGTTTTAAATTTGACATTAATCGATTTACCGGGACTTACCAAAGTACCAATTGGTGATCAGCCAGCAGATATCGAAGCTCAAATCAAAGGGATGATATTTCAATTTATTAGAAAAGACAATTGTCTTATCTTAGCTGTAACACCTGCAAATACTGATTTGGCTAACAGCGATGCTCTTAAACTCGCGAAAGAAGTTGATCCTCAAGGTAACATTTATTTTTAAAAACAGAATTAAACTTATAAATTTCTATTACATCTATGAAATAATTATCTCATCTTTTGTAATCATTTTTTCTCAATATAAAGGTGTTAGAACTATTGGTGTTATAACAAAACTCGATTTGATGGATGAAGGTACAGATGCAAGAGATATTTTGGAAAATAAATTGTTACCTTTGCGACGAGGATATATAGGCGTAGTTAATCGAAGCCAAAAAGATATTGAAGGAAGAAAAGATATTAAAAATGCTCTAGCAGCTGAAAGAAAATTTTTTCTCAGGTATTTTAATAATAAACTATTTAATAAAAAATGACTATTCATAATGAACGTTTATAATTTTCAGTCATCCATCCTATCGTCATTTGGCAGATAGATTAGGAACACCGTATTTACAACGCGTTCTTAATCAACAATTAACTAATCACATAAGAGATACTTTACCAGCTTTGCGTGATAGATTGCAAAAACAATTATTAACTTTAGAAAAAGATGTTGAACAGTACAAACACTTTAGACCTGATGATCCTGCTATTAAAACTAAGGCCATGTTACAGTAAGTTAGTTACAATTCCACGTTATGCGTCATATCTAAACTGTATAAAATTGTTCAAAAGATTGAGTATGGAGTCTTGGCATCATGTCCAATCAACTCTTTTATTTTTTCAGATCTATACAAATGTTTCTGTAGGTATTGAATTTTAGGATTCAACTATTTATGGTTTTGTTTAATCAATAATTTAATTTTTTGTATTGATTTTTTAAGATATTAATAACATAATAATTATTTTAGCAAAACAATAACAATTTTACAACGTGTGGTGTGTTTTAATTATGTGAATGAACATTTGTAAATGTTTTTTTAATAATATGTTAGTCTAATAAGTATAACGATACCAAGGCTCAGCTCACCATTAAAAAATTATTAGAATGAAAATTATATATTATTAATATTATTTATAAATTTCATATAGAATGATTCAGCAACTTCAATCAGATTTTGAAAGGACTATTGAAGGATCTGGATCTGCACAAATTAATACAATGGAACTAAGTGGTGGTGCTAAAATAAATCGATTATTCCACGAACGTTTTCCTTTTGAAATAGTCAAGATGGAGTTTGATGAGAAAGAATTACGAAGAGAAATTGCCTTTGCTATCAGAAATATTCATGGTAATTTTTTTTATAATATAACAATTTTTCTCACTAATTCCTAACTAATTAATTTCAATATTATCTTTCTTCTTATTCGATATCAAATCACAAATAATTTTTTAGTAGAAAAATTCAAACGTCTTCCTTATTTTATAGTCAAAAGCTAGCAGAAAAATATTTTCTAATAATAAACTGATTATAACTTTTTCAACATTATTAACTAGTGTATTAAAACAATTATCTGTGTATTTTCAGGTATTAGAGTTGGCCTATTCACTCCAGACATGGCTTTTGAAGCTATTGTAAAAAAACAAATTAATAGATTGAAGGAGCCAAGCTTAAAATGTGTTGATTTAGTTGTACAAGAATTAAGTAATGTTGTGCGCATTTGTACAGACAGGGTGAGTGGCATTTTTTATTTTCTCTCACTATTTTTCATATTTTTGACTTTAAAAAAAAAAATGTTTCAATTGTGTTAGATGTCACGTTACCCACGATTGAGAGAAGAAACAGAACGAATAATTACTACTTATGTAAGGCAACGAGAGCAGCTATGTAAAGAACAGCTCATTCTTCTAGTTGATTGTGAATTAGCCTACATGAATACTAACCATGAAGATTTCATTGGTTTTGCCAAGTAAGATATAAAATTTTTTGGTAAAAGATAAAAAAAATATTTTTATCGTTTAGAATTAGAAAATTTTTCAAATGTTTTTTATAAATTTCTCACTGCTGCTTCTTTTCATTTTTCACACTAATAATACTGAATATAAAAATAATCCAATATTTTGAAATATTTCACATAAATTCATAATTAAAATTTTTTATTTATTTACACTGTAATAATTATCATCTGTTATAGTATCATTTCATGAATTTATTCGTTTATTATAAAAAAAAGAAACATGACAAGTAAACATTTTTCAAGTTCATAATTTTAAATTTTGAAAAGTTTCAACATTATATTGAAACAAAATCATTTTTAGTAACCAATAACATTATGAAATTTTTCACAATTAAATCATTTCATCTATTTTATCACACGTCGTCTAATAATTTACAAAATTAAATTATAACTATTAACTAGCAAAATTTTTATATTGCATTGTATCAAGTTAAATATTTCAAGTGTACTCAATCATAAATATTTTACTCTTTTATTTATTACATTAACGTTACAATTGAAATAATAATTAAAAATAATTTTTATTTCTATAGAATTCATAGTATAGATAGTTTGACTAATTGATATTTATTACTTTTTTATATTACTTTATTACATATTTAGTAGAAACCTGATTTGCTATTTTGCTCAAAAAATTTTCTCTTTAAATTTCGTATTTTTTCATACTCCACTACATTGAACATAAAAAATAAACACAATTATTTAATTATATTGGCAGCGCGGCCGCTAGTATTTATAACTCAAGGTAAGAACATCAACAGAAATCGAAAAAAATTTCTCCTATCTCATTAATCTTTTACATATTATCATTATTTATTCTGGAAAAATTAAATAATTTAATCGTCAATTTTTAATCATCAGGTTACTTTCGTAATAATAATATATTTAAATCTAAATAAGAAGTAGTACAACAAAAAATGTAAAAAATGAATATTTTCGAAAATATTAATTCATCGATGTAAATAAAAAGTTTAGACAAATTCTTCATTGTAAAGTAATTGATTTATATTTGAGACATTTTGAAAGCATTACGATAATTTTTGTTTCTTTTATTTTAAAAATAAAATCAATAATAATAATATCTTAATCAGTTTCTCAATTATTATTGAATATTAAATATAATTACTGTAAGAAATTCATAATTATTCTACACATTAGGATAAAATAGAACAGTAAAAATATTTTTATATCTGTTACAGTGCTCAACAATCTTCTGAAAATGCTGTAAAAGCTGGACGTCATACTCTTGGTAATCAAGTAATTCGTAAAGGTTATATGTGCATTCATAATTTGGGTATAATGAAAGGAGGATCTAGAGATTATTGGTTTGTATTAACATCCGAGAGCATTTCATGGTTTAAGGATGAAGAGGTAATTCAGTTTTAAATGAGATAATTATTATTTATTTATGAAATTGATGTAAATGTCCTTTTTCTCTATTTCAGGAACGAGAAAAAAAGTATATGTTGCCTTTGGATGGATTAAAACTTCGTGATCTTGAACAAGGTTTTATGTCTCGTCGTCATTTATTTGCATTATTTAATCCTGAAGGTCGAAATGTGTATAAAGATTATAAACAACTTGAGCTCAGTTGTGAAACACAAGATGATGTTGATTCTTGGAAAGCTTCTTTCCTTAGAGCCGGTGTATATCCTGAAAAATCTACTGAACAAGCTAATGGAGAAGGCGAGGTAATTTTGTATTTATTTTCTGTTTATTTAAAAGAAATCAGTTTAAATATATATTTTCAATTTTTAAATGGACCAAAAAATATAATTGACAAAAAAAACATATTTTATATTTATAGGATAAAAATATTTTGGTAAGTCATTATAAGCGTGTGAATTAAAGTTTTTTGAAATTGAGTGAATCTTATTAACTCTTTTTATAACAATGATAAATAAATATTAAAAATATCAATATTTGTATATTAATATTGATATTTTTTTATGAATAATCCTTTCACTATTAATTTATTGTAAAAAATTTTGATATTGATATTTTGTTTGGAATATTTTTTAAGATGTATTACATAATAATATATTTAATACGACATACACATTGCTTTTACTAATATTAAATTTATAGTAAATATTAAAATCCAATTTTTTTTATTTATAATTTTTAACGGCTAAAGGAAGGATATGAGGTTGGTAAAATTTGGTAAATTAGATGAAGAACTCACAAACCAGTACAAAACACACGCAAAAAAATGACTTATGCTTAGAAAAAATTCAAGATATTTATAACAATTAATTACTTCCTATTTCATACAATATATTTTTTTCTCGTGCTTACATACCACAAATATATACACACAAACACATACACAATGACATTAATAAAATTTTAATATATTTTGAAAAAATATAATAAATAAAAGTAATAATTTTAAAGGGTGGAAGTGAAGGACAATCATCAATGGATCCTCAACTAGAACGTCAAGTGGAAACGATAAGAAATCTCGTTGATTCTTATATGAAAATTGTCACTAAAACAACACGTGATCTGGTTCCAAAGACAATTATGCATTTGATTATTAACAATGCAAAAGACTTTATTAACGGAGAACTTCTAGCTCACCTATATGCTAGTGGAGATCAGGTTAGTTTTGCTTTCATATTTTTTTCATTAATTTAAAATATTCTTTTTTGAGTTCTATTCTATCCAAATGATTAAAGAATCATTTTCGTTCATTTAAGTATAATAACTAATAGTTTTTATAAAATTATTTATAGTCTTCAATGATGGAGGAATCTCCAGAAGAGGCTCAAAAACGGGAAGAAATGCTTCGAATGTATCATGCATGCAAAGAAGCATTACGTATTATTGGAGATGTATCAATGGCCACGGTTTCAACTCCAGTACCACCACCAGTAAAAAATGATTGGCTGGCATCTGGTGAAAACCCAAGGTAAAAATTTCCATCTTAAAATTAACTAATTTATTAGTCTGCTCTTTTAGTCTATTTAAAAAAATGAAATTCATTTTGATAAAGCGGATTTTTCAATTAAACTATTACTTTTTTTCTTTTTTACACTTTTATAACGTGTCTTTGCTACATACTATTGAACGTCAAATCCAGTTATGGGTAAGATAACTAACTTTATTTTTCTCTTTCCCACTTATATGTAATTTTTAGAATCCCATCACAATCCTTTAGATTCATAGTTATTCACTAATATTAGAAAATAAGTAACTTATAACATAATATATTTTGTGTTATATACTATGATAGAAGTTAGAAATAATATTTTAAAAAATTATTCAAGTAATATCTTAAAACATTAACTTTACAATTAGTATAAATTTATTATTATATAAATCATTTCATTACGTTATTTAATTTTTGAAAAATTATTTCGATACTCTATAATTTCAGTTTGTAAAAAAGAACATATAATTGACGTAAAAATCTCACAATAACATTATATATATTATTATTCATTAGAATAAATTTGGAGTAATTATTTTTTATTGTTTTAGACTATCACCACCATCACCAGGAGGCCCTCGACGAGGAGTACAACAACCTCCACCACCAGCAAGTTCTCGAGCACCTCCACCAGTTCCAGCAGGTGGTAGACCAGCTCCAGCTATTCCTAATAGACCTGGTCCGGGTGGTCCACCACCAGCTCGTGGACAACCAGGTCTTCCACCTCCATTAATACCCTCGTAAGTATTTATATTTACAATTAATTTTTTATATTCTTTATGCTATACTTTATCACTATTTCCCACATGAGAGCATCATTTTAAAATAATCGGCACAATGCTTGGTTGGAATTATTCACATTTAAAATAACAAAACTTCGGGTTACATTTTCGGGCTTTGGTGCTAACTTCACTTTTGATTGCAGGCGCCGACAATAAGTCTTCGCACTAACACACGTCCTTTATCTACTAATAAATATTAATCAGTATACCTGTTGTATTTATCTAGTCAATGTTATTTAATCTAATTAACTTTCAGAGAGTTCTAAAAAAAATATTGTATTGTACATTAATCATTTTACATGTTTTTGTTTTCACTTATCTTATTGTCTATTCTTTTTAAGGACATTTTTATTATTTTTTTCTTTTTTATTGAACCTACGCTCAAGGATAAACATGAGAAAGCTAGACAACTTTTATTTACAAAAAAAAATTAATTATTAACATTTAAACCTAATATTATATAAATTTAAAAACTAACAATTTAAAAATTCCATTTATAATATCACTTTGTCCTTGAGTGTAATAATTGAAAAAACATAGTAATTTATAATGAACGAAATAACATCAAAAAAGATATAATAAAGCAAAAGTTAATAATTACTATACAAATAAAATTATGTATTTTACAAAATTACTTAAAAAAAAATTAATCATTTATTTATATATTTTAGAATTATCATTAGGTCCAGCGATATACGAATATGATAAAAATAAGGCCTATTACACAAATAATGTCACGAATAGATTATCAAGCTATCTGTATTAAATACAAATCAAGTTTTTCTGCAAACATATATAAATATATATACAATTGGAAATTATGAATAGATTGATAAAAAAAAATGTTGATAGGATATTATTCAAAAAATAGCACTATAATAATATTGATTTTAAAAAGATAAAATTTAATTTAACAATTATTTAAATTTCAATATTCTTTAACAAATTTTGTTTATTAAAATATTTTATAACATTTGTTCTAAAAAATTTGAAAATATAAAACTGAACATTTCAAAAAAAAATTATAAAAATTGAATTAAATATTCGCCCACTAACAGCATGGCATTTTAGATAAACAAAAAATTAGTTTAAAAGCTTTAAATGGAATTTGAATAATTTTTTGTTGCTTCATTTTATCGATAATAAATAGCTTAAAAATAAATTATAAATATTTTAAAAATGCTTATTATATTAATTTAACTTTCAATTATTTCTGCTATAAGAGTAGACAAATTTTTTAAAAATAATCTAAAATTAAGTAATTATAAAAGAATGAATATCTGTCGGTGCCTGCATATGAGAGAAAATTATAAATCTTAACTTGGCTTTCATATATATAAACTACTGAATGACTTTAACTATGCATACTTATCAGTGAAGCAATAATAATTAAAAATTCAATAATTATCATGATAAAAGAATTCAATTATTGCTATAATAATAATAATATTAATAATAATAATGTAGAATTAATAAGTAAAAGAGTAGCTCAACCGTATTTGTCCGTAATATGTTTAGTCGTGGGTCTATCCAACAAAGAGTGACTCAAGCCGCGACACAAGCTGCTGCTAACGCTGCTGTGAACGAGCTCATGGATGCATTCAGGATCAAGTAAATAAACGCAATACAGTGGCTTTAATTCTCCTATTAATTTCTAATTTAAAGCATACATTAAGATTTACATTTTCTGTTATCAATTAGTCGCTATACATCTTTTACATTAATTGCAAAACTGGTAGACTATTCAGGGATGCGAATGAATTTTCTATTCTAATCAGTTCACTAGCAAACATTCAAAGTTTATAATTAACGTATTTTTAAGATTTATTTACCAAAAGTTTTTATTTCAAAGTCATTAATAAATTTATCAATAACTGCTTCCTACTTTTCTTCTTGCATGTTAAAGCTAAATTGTTTTATTAATAACTCAGAACATATTGTTCACAACTTTTTATAACTTAGAATTATTTCAAACTTGAATTTCATAGGATATTGTTGAAATTCAATGATTTTTTACAAAAATAAATAGTAAAGAAATAAAAAAATGAAAAAAAAGTGTCCTGAAGAGTCTACCAAAAAAAGCATTTATATGCAAATAACGAGAGTCAAACTATATAAGGCATTCAATATAATTCCAAAAGCATTTAATTAACAGATTCAAAAAGTAAAAATAAAGGTATAAGTAAGGAATTGATAAAAATATAATGATAAAAAAGTTTTAAAAAAAATTACAATTTAAAAAATGTCATGCTGTGAAAAAGTACATATTACAGATTTCATTGTCCAAGTAATAATTGAAAAAAATATAAAATACATACACTCATATGAAAAAATATTATTATAAATAATTTATACATATTAACTCAGTTTACTGAATATATGATAGTATTATTTTGATGGAAATTCCACTTTTATAGTTAATGTTAATTTATATCATTTCTATTTCGTTTAATTTAATAGTAATCTCGTCGATAGAAACAGAAGTACATTCATATAGTAAAATTTAGAAAATAAGTTGAGAATTTCACGAATAACATCTTCATGTGAAGCTCTTTGTTATTAGTTAGTTAGTTGAAATTTAACGTAAAAACAAAGCAAATAGAGATTGGAATGAATTAAAAAATTTTCAAGTGTTAAATAATTACAATGATAGTTCCCAAAAGTGGCTGCTACAATTCGTTAAATGATGTATTGATGTAAATAGTCATAAATTATATATAATCAGATCGTAAACTAAATTTATTAATATTGATTCTCTACAATATTTCGCTCTGTAAGAGTGTATTAATCAATTATAAAAATAAACAGAAAATAAATGAAATAAAAAAGAAAAACGCTTATATATTATTATAAATTTATTGTAAGGATCATTCTTAACATTAAAACCAAGTATTCAATAAAAATATAATTTGCCATATTTGTTGCTGGGCCTAATAAATAATTTGGAAAATATTTATAATTTTTTGTAACTGTAAATATAATGTTTAATTTATTTTAATTACATCTCAATGATATAAATAATTATTTTCTGATGAGAATTACTAGGAAATATTTATAGATTCAGATATAAATTATTATAATGTTATTGTATAGTAGTGAGATCGTGTAAATGTTCTGCATTAGTTTACCTGATTCAATAAATTCTAAAAAAGAAGAATAATAAATATAATAATTTATGATCATACTAAGATATAGTATATTGTAATTAATGATAAAACGATCGAGAAATTGTTATTGCAGACTATGATGAAAGAGCCATGTCATAAATAAATTATTATCTTATACTTTGATTATTTATCAATTCTCAATCTGCAATACAATTATCTTATATTAAGTAATTTCAAAGAGAATTTTAGCTAGAATTTTTAGTACAGGCTAATAAAACGCATATCAAATATCTGTACGTCTTCTGTGTAAATGTTAAAAGAAAATTATATTCTTTTCCATTCATAAATAATCCAACTACTAAACGATATTAAACAACGAAGATTCTTTAATTTTACTTCATAATTTGTTTTATTAAAGAAATTTATTTAAGTCATTTAGTTATTGATATTAATATTATTCATCACAAATTAATATTGTCAATAATGATAGACAATTTATTATTTATTGACATTTATTTTCCAATAAGACGAGTCAATTATGACAAAAAGTTTTAAGTCAACATACAATCTCTTTAATATCTTTAATCCAAATACTTTAACATATTTATATCTTTAAAATCTTCGTTGTTATTAATGTCATTCACCAGATTTATCACTCGCTTTTGTGATTATTTAAAAATATCATAATACATTGAAAAAAAATAATGAAAAAAAGATCGTTGATGAATATTGTTAACAATAATTTTTAGAAAACATTAGTCATTCGAACGTTTGTCAATATTGATAGTTGTTGAATGGCAAAAATTATATTTAAAAACTGGGAAGTTAATAAATAAATAAAATATGAAAATATATAATTATTATTTAAAAAGACATTAAATATAGATAATGTTGACAATGCATAAATTGTCTACCCAAATAAAACTGATGCTTTCCTTTACATTGATTTTCATAATACTAACATTAATATTCCGTATTATTATTAGAATATTCATTTTTTTTTATATATCAAGTAAAATTTCTGTTACGATGAATAATCAAGAAAATGTAGTCATTAATAAATTTAATAAAAAGAAAAACAAAAAAAAAAACGGTTCAAAGCACTTTCTCAAAAATATACATGCTTCCATTCACAGCCTTATATTTTATCGTAAGAAATAAAAAAGATATTTGTGAAGCTTTATTCATGCACTAAGACACTAAACAGAAAAAAATTGTTCATTGAATCAAGCATAAAATTTCGAGCATGAGGAAATCAAGAAAAAACAAATAATGATTAATAACAAATGGTTGTATTGTATGTAAATTGTAAGTAAAGTAACTCTTTTGCAATAAAATAATATTTAAAACCATTTTATTTATTTTAAAAAACAAATATTTTCCGTAAATTAACTAAAAGATAATTAAAATTGAAAAAGCATGAAAACATTATAATTTAATTATTATCATTGATTTTAATAAATATGATAAAATTAGAAAAATATTATTATGATTAGTCATTATTGATTGGGGTTACTTTGCAAAAAACATACCTCGCTATGAATTTCTTATAGAGAAAAAAATACACACTATTTATTGCATTACGATTGTGTATATAGAAAATAATAAATATGTTATAGAATAAATAAGTAAAAAAAAAACAGATAAAAAATAATAAGAAACAGAGAATGATAATTGAATCCAGAGTTTAAAAGAACGTATAGTCACGCATTTCTACAACTATTTTTATGTCGTAAGAGATGTGAGATTGCGTTCTGTATTTCATTATTTTTCCTATTTTATCCTACATCTATAAATGGTCTAGTGCAAAATCTATTATAATCTAATAAGCTACAGTCATTTATACTTTCATTGCATGCTTTTCTTGCTACAAGCTTTTTTAATATCTTTGTTAAGCATTTTGTTCAGATGTCTATTATTTGATTTAATATCCAACATGATTGAAACTTTATTTTTTGAATATATCAATTAATTAATTTCTATAGATGAAATTGGATTTGATGGAGAATATGCTTGTTATTTAGTTCAATGTTTTTTAATTTTAATATTTTTTTAGATAGTATTAGTTAAATTTGAATTAATGATTAATTATTAGTTATAAATTATTCATTTTTTTTTATATTTTATATTGTTGTAGGCGCCCTGTACCTAATATTCCTCCCCGTATTCCTGACCGACCATATTCTGGCCGACTGAATTGAAGCAACAACGTCCAATTTTTTGATTCAATTGCCGCCGACAATCGCTGAATAAAAAAACTCAATTAATTGCTCTAATTTTACTATCGTTAGTGTATTATTTACTGGAAGGAAGTTTTTTGAATAAAACTGTTTTTTATATGTAAAAATAGAAATAATTAAATTATTAGTGATATTTAGTTTTCTAAAAAAAAATGAAGAGAATTGATAAAAGACTGGAATAAAAGAATGAGAATTTCATTTCTTTTTTTTTTTTTTTAATAAAAATTAGTGAATTATTCTTTTCAAGTTTTACTCGTTTTCCACTTATGTAAATTATTTATTCCCTAATTTATCATTAAAATAATATTCTACAAACATAAGAAAAGGTCCAAAATATTTTTTATGAAGATAATGGTAATTTTTAAGGAATTAGAAATTAAATTTGAAAAAAAAAAAAATGAAAGAACGAGAAATGAACAAATACAATTATATGTGAAAAAATGAAGTTGATAATATATAATATTTAAACTGCTATAAATGCAATACTTTTATAATTATTATCTAATTGACTTATATGAATGTATATTTTATTACTTATCAGTTGATGACCTAGTATATGAAGTATTAATGTAAATAACAAAGTCAATAACAAAAATAGATTTTTAATTTGTGGCTTATTTTAATTCTATTACAATCCATTTTTTAAAATTTTGTAGTATGATAAAAAAAAATTTATAGATAAAAAAAACTTGATCAGTATTATTTTTTTTTTGGACATGAAAATATTTGTATCATTTCTTAAAAACTTTTAAAACTTAAAAATATTAATACAATAATTAAGATAAAAAAAAAACTTAATTACCTCATTTATAACGCTTACATTTACAAAAATTATTTGTTAAAATAAAATAGTTAGTATGTCATTATTAAATAATAATTAATAGTTAGAATTCATTAGATCAACAAATACATATAATTATACATAAAAATTGGTATTTATTTTCTTTTATGCACAATATAATTTCCATAAAATTTTTATTACAAAAAAAATGTACATTTAGATAATATAATCATCATTATAAATTAAAAATAAATATAACTTAATGATTAAGCAGTAAATGAAAAGAATAAATTGATAAATGAATGAATTAATGTTAATAGTATTACAAATTTCAAAAAACAATTATTAAATTGATAGAATGATTGAGCAATATAAGAGGAAGAATGACAATATCATGTTTATAATGATAATTATTAGTTGTAATTGTTGAAAAAAATAAGTTGTTATTATTTAAATTATCAAATAAATCATTGTAGTTTTAACAAATGTTTTGCATTATAACATTTTGCAATATCCTATAAAAATTTATAAATGACTGATGAGTATAAATTATCTTTCTACAGATAATTTTTAAACAATAATAGCAATCATTATAACTTCAACACGTACTTATAATTCTTTGTTGTACATAAATACATTTATTATTTGTTTATAACTATTATTATATGATATAATTTTATTTATATTTACATCAGTTCTTGACATTAGATAAAAAAGCTTATTAGACAGTAATATATTAGTACTGGAAGTATTTAGCAATCTATAAAGTTCCAAAAATATATCATTTGAACATTTATAATAAATTACGGTCTTTATAAAAATTATTTCATTAAGTTCATAATGAATAAAAAATATATAATAAATTATGCATAATGCAATTAAATATTCCAAAATGGTCTACTTAGTTTAAAAAAAAAATGTTCATAGTAGTAAAAATCTCATAGTTAATTAAAAAACAGTAATAAACTTCAAGATAGGAAAATTATTGATTTAATTTACTTTCACTTGACCTGAGTATTTTTTAATGGCTTCTTGTGTTGATTTTTGAAATTCTTCATTCATTACCTCATAAGCTTTATCAATTAAAGCTGGAATATCTTCTTTCTTCAATCCTGATGTAGGAATTGGTGGTAAAATTGTAATATAATTAGTTCCTGAATGCAAAATAAATTTTTTATTAATTAATCAAATAAATAATGATTATGCTTTTGTTTTGAATTGTAATTTTTCTATTAAAAAAAAAAAACTCAATTTTACCAGAATCGAATTTCTTTTTATCATGATCAATGTAATAATATTTTGATACTACTATGGGTTGAAGAGGCATTTGTGTTTCAATAGCTAGATGAAAAGCTCCTTTTTTAAAAGGTAATAATGAATTATTTGAATGCCTTGTACCTTCTGGAAACATCAATACTTTTGCCTAAATAATGACAAAAAAGATTTTTTTTTTCTAAATCAATTTTATTATAAATTTTAAACAGTTTTAAAAACTTAAAAAATCTATAAACTTATATTTACCTTTCGTTTTTTAATTATTTCTGCTGTTGAATTTAATGTATCTTGAGCTGAACTACCTTTCTTTTTATCAATAAATATTGTTCCCCATAACCACGTGGCAAGCCCATAAGAACCCAACCATAACACTTGTTTTTTTGCAATTACAGTACAATGTTCCAAAATTGGCCAAAGTTCTGCTAGAACTATAAAAAATTTCTCTCAATATATACAGAAATAATTAAAACAAATAATTTTAGTGTTAACGTTATTTATAAAATATAATTATACTATGATCGTTACCAATCACATCTAAAGAGCTTTGATGATTTATCAATACTATTGCCCCGGAATCTTTTATGATATTGTTATGTCCTCTTATAATGTAATTACATCCTAGTAGTTTAGCAAACCACTTGAGTTGCCATGCAGGGATTCTGTATAATCAAAAACATTTATAAATAATTAAATTGATAAATACCACGATTAATAATAAAATGAATAAGAAATCATACAAAGCATTTCGCCAATCATGAATACGAAATAACATCAGTGGAATAGTCCATGTTGCAAAAAATGTACTTGCCAGCATATACAAAATAAATTTAACTCTGTATCTTGCTATTTCACTTATAGAACAAATAACAAGCAAAATAAGTAGTGCAAGTCCAACACTACTGCACGATACACCAAACATTCTAAAAAAAAATCATTAAATAAAAATATTTCATAAAAATTATAAAATTATAATACTATTACTAATGAAAAAAAAAATTACCTTAAAATTATCATTTTTGAACATATTGAATTATGTGTTAAATATTTTGAAAATAATATAAAATCAGTTATTTATTTATAAATTGATGTATACTATTTCTATGAAGATAAACTATGATCTTTCAAATATAAAAGATAGAATATTCTACATAAAAATAATATAACATTAGAATAAATTTCTTTTATGCTTTCTTATTCTACTATTACAGAGTCTATCAAATGATCATCGATTACAAAAGAAGTAGACTCTGAACCTTTGACTTTAATCTTCAGTGTCATAATTTGAGAGAAAAATGTAAACAATGACGAATTTTTTGTTATCAACAAAATATTCATTTAAGAATTTAAGGCCTATTAGATTAAATAACACGATTAAATATAAATAGATTGTCAATCAAATTTATTTTTATATAATTTTTTATAATTAATCATTACTCAACTGTCATCAACTTATTTCATTAAATCGTCTAAATTTCATGTTATGTGATGAGAGTTTGTAATTTTATTTAAAATGTTAAAAAAAATAATAAACGTTTACAAAGTATATTTCTACGACGTTTAATTAGAGTCTGATCAGAATTATATTGGATAATCAAAAAGATAATTGCTAAGGAGATTGAAAAATTATACATGCAATTTTTGTATGCTGTATTATTTAAACTTTATATTTTACAAACCTCTTTATCGGATTAGATTACGAAACAACTCCATTTTTCTCTTAAGTTTTTAATAACATTTTCCAATTGTGATAATGATCATGACTGATGTTTTATAAATAAATAAGTATTGGAAATATTTAGTAATTACATACCTATTTACTATACTAGAATTACATCTAATTCAAAGGTTTTATTTAATTTTAAAAAATTATAAACAATAAATTGGTGTTTTTACAAAATTCCATTTTAATTAAAACTAATTGGAAAGTTACAATCATAACTTAGGAAAATTATTATTACAATATTAATGAGAATAACTCCAATAATAAATTACAAATTGAATTCTTATTAACTATGATTAATTCTTAAATTGAACCTCAATATTTCTATCATAAATTAAAAAACGATGTTTTAAATATAAAAGCATTCTTTCTTCGAAAATACATTCATCATAATGTTTCGTATAGTAAAAAAGAAAATATAATTTATCCATATTTTGTCAATGTACTATTAATAAATTATGATTCAAAAACGTGTACTTACGTTGAGAGTTCTCTTGTCGGCCAATAAACAATAATCACTTCATACACACTATTAAACTGAAGCGCTGATCATTACCAAAGTCCCACGTGTGTACTATTGAACATTTCAAAGAGTTCGGATATTTACGACATTGAATCGGGAATTTCCGTAATCGAAATGCGTAATATTTCTATGAATCAAAGTACAGTACCGGACATAAGTGCTGTGTGATTTTATGTAAGACAGTATAGGGAAATTGCATGTATAACCTTCAAAACATTGAACAGCATTTATGTCCGGTACTGTATCTTTACTCGCGCGAAAATACAATCTTGTTCTTAATTCGACATTTAAATATACAATTTTATCTAATAATTACAGTACTGACAATTACACAATTTAATGTAGACTATTATCACTGATTACAAGCGTATAATTTTTTATATTTTTTAATAATAATTTGATGTAATTATGAACAGAATTTGTTTAGTGTAATATGTGATTTTGTGTTTTGTCTTAGGTTATGTTAGTTTACCGTACTTTTGACAGTTGTAGATGTCACTGTAATCGGTGATAGTGAACAATTAATTAAAAAACTGACCTATTTTTAGAATTTTTCAATAACGATTATTACACAAATAATAATTTTATTTATATAAATTTTAATATTAATTTTACTCAAAATTCTGGCTTGGGAATAAGTACAGCAACACCCTGTATATTATTGGGTATTTTTAGATTATAGATGACACTGTGTCAATACTGAATGTTTCAATAATATTGATATTGAGTAGCTCCAAAGTAGTTTAATTTACCTAATTAATCATCATAAAGAATGGCACGCTTTGATCTGATTTCACTAAGATAATATAATCTTTGAACAACTATTTTAATAATGTATATAACATAATTCTACATGAAAGCAATTGTTTTTCTTAAATCTCAACAATGTAGAGAATTGCTACGTGTTATCAATCATGATTAAACCAAGAGAACAATGAATATATTTTTTATCATCGACAACATGATAAATAAATTTTAATGCAATCTTTACTGAGTATATTGAAAATTATTTATTGTTTCTAGTTATTTTGTTTTAAATATATACAAAATATAAACTGTTTACTTATCATTATCTTTGGATTAATTCGCTTATAAAAAGTTATGGCTCAATTGCACATTTGGAAAGGTACTGAGAAAATTAATTTAACATTTGCTGATCAGCCTAACGGGATAGTTAAAAAATTAGTTCATATAAATAACAATATTTTTGTGTCTACAACAACATCGAATATTTATTATGGAGAAGTACAAGTTTTGGAAACTGGAACACTGTCCATTATTTTTAAAAGAATTAATTTCTGTGTCATAGATATGGCCTCTAATTCTCAATATTTATTTATTGTAAATGATAAAGGATATGTATTGACACTGGATCCTAATACATTCCAAGTAATTGACACAATTATTCTTAAAGAAGATATTAAATATTGTTGTCATGGGTAAGTACTATAAATTAATAATAAAACTGAAATATTAGAATCAAACTGTATCTCATTTATATATTGTTGAAGTATAAAAAGAAATTTATTCATTAAGAATTTTCAAAGTAATATCAATTATTTTTTCTTTCTTTATTTATATATAGATATAAACAAGAGAATGAAATCTTAAAAGTCAAAAATATAGCAGTCAGTGATATAGCAACACTGTTTATTACTGAAAATGGCCAATTATGGGCAAGTGGTGACCAGCCTCAAATTGATATAAAATCTCAAGTTGCTAAAAAAGTTGTATTTTTTGAAGGAAGATCAGTATCTTCAATAGCCTGTGGTACGAATTTCAATGCTGTTGTTGCTAGGAAAATTCCAAAAATAATTAAAGATGATACAGATAGTGAAAATGACATTGATGATATATTTGTAAGTACTTGTCCACAATGTTTAAATAATTTTGCACTTAGCCCACAAAGTTTGACATCATCAGATACATGTCCTTTGGGTCTTCATCCACAAACTTATAATGAAGATTATTCTGTTGCTTCGACAAGTCCCATGTCATTCACGAGTCGTGATCATTTAACAACCTCTGTTCCAGTTAATAATGACAATCGATCATGTTTGATTCCAAATAATACAAAAAATACCCCTGGTACGAATGATGATGAAAAAGAAATAAAAAAAAATCCAGTTTTTATTAATACTGAAGCAGCTCGACAATTTTTAACCGAACAATTCTCCTGGGTCTCTTATTACGGGAATGGTAAAGAAAGTAATAGTGAATATATGTCAAGCCCTACTGGTTTAATTAAACAAAATGTTTCCAATATGGCTAATTTAGTATATGAAGGAGTCAAAACTATGGGAGATAAAGTAGCAACTTTATCAAGACACGTTAGTGGAAGTTCAGAAACTAATGATGCTCGTGATGACATTACCGGCGAATTTGAACTCCTTGATGAAGAGAAAGGAAAACCATCTGCTGGTAGTTTGGCTCATAGCTTAAGATGTGAAGAATTTCCGTGGTCCTCGAGTACAGCATCTCTAGATCACGATTTATCTGTACAAGGATTGTACGAAAGAATTAATTCACTTATTGATACTGGAAACAATTTACTTGCAACTGAATTATGGACTTGGGGAGATATTAAGTTTGGACAATTAGGTACTGGAGATATTATTATTAGACCTAAGCCGGTTTTAGTTACAAAATTAAATAATACAGGAATTAAAAAAGTATGTTGTGGAGCTTATCATGCTTTAGCCTTAACTTTAGATGGAAGAATTTATGCATGGGGTAAAAATGATTTAAATCAAATATCTCCAGAGGAGACAATCGCTCAAAGTTCACCAAAATTATTGATGGTTCCTGGAATAAATAATCAACGAACAAGAAATGCTGCTACCGGAACTTGTCATAGTTTAATTGTTATAGATAATGAACTATATTTTATTGGAAAATCTACGTGAGTTTCTTGAAATATATAATATTATTTTTATTTCAATATTAAAAATAACATAAGCTATTATTATTATATTTATTTTTTTACAGTTCTATAGATAAAATTGTTAAGCTAAACATATCAAATAATTCACAGTATTCAATTAAATATATATCAAGCTCTGGGTCTTATAGTTGTTGTTCAACAATAAATCAAGAACCTAGTAAAATTTTGAATGATTTAAACCGGGAAGAAATATTGTTAGAAGAAATGCTCACAGTTTATCAATTTTTAATTAGACCATTTCAAAAGAAAGCAGCTAGACAAGATTCTAATGCATACGATACTTTATGCCAATGTTATATAGATTTAATGAATTTTATTGCTTTAAATGTTCTTAGTCTTTCTGATTACTCTAATTTTATTGGTGAGCCATATGAAGTCATTTTGATTGCTAATGTTGACGAATTCGTTACTGTTTATAAACATTATTTGAACACTGTTTGTGATGTTATATCACTCGGAGGGTTTGGACATATAGTTAAAATTTTTAATGATAAACTTCCACAAATTCTAACACGAACCTTTTCTGATAAAGTAATTATGCAGGAGCGATTTAAAAAAGCAGGCAATGAAGAAATTGTTACAGCTGCACTTGAACATCCTTTGCAGGAATTAAATCGGTATTTATATAGAACATTATTATTCATTGAATATTTTTTTCTCTAATGTCATTGCTAGATTTTTTAAAATTTTATTCTAGATACAAAATAACAATAACAAATTTAATTAAATGTAATGGGACAAACATGGGTATTGAGAGACTTCAAGAAGCTTTAATCAAATGGGAAAGAATGTGTGATGAACAACAAAAACGTCAAAACGAAGCAAAAATCACCAAAAAATTTTGGGAAAATTCTGGAAAATTAATCGAAATTTTAAGATCACCAAAAAGACGACTGCTAAGAGAATCTCGAACACGTCCAATTTCGATATTGAATTGTAGTCGTTTTACTTCACTACTTTCACACTGGTTTATTTTATTAACGGATGTGTTTGTCCATGTAATTGGAAATTCGCATACGACACATCCACTGGCAACTTTGTGGGTAGAACCTTTAGCAGATTCAGAAAATTTGTCTAATGCAATATCTATTACTACTCCAGAAGAAAATTTGATACTTTATACAGCTACTGCAACTGAACGTAATGAATGGCTACAAGCTTTACAAAATGCTGTTAAATGTAGTCTTCAAAAAGTTGTTGGACACGGATCCCCTAGGGATCGAACAACTAGTTATTTATTTACTAAGCATCCTACTTATAAAGATGCTAAATATATTGGTAAATGTGTATTTTTTTATCTTATTAAATGTTAATATTAATAATTATCATTAATTGATTTTATTAGGAAGATGGTCAAATGGTAAACCTCATGGTTATGGAAAAATGGAATGGAATGATGGAAAACTGTACACTGGTGAATTCTATAAAGGTGTTATAGACGGTTTAGGAAAAATGGAAATTCCTACTCAAGGAATTTATGAAGGTCAATGGAAAGATGGATTACAAAATGGATATGGTTTATTCAAGTTAGTATCTTTGTAAAATTTGATATAATTTAATTTATTGTTAATAAAATAAAATTTAAAAAAATGATTAATCAATAGAGAAATAAATGGGGATGTTTACGATGGATACTTTAAAGATGGATTGCCTCATGGTCATGGTGTAAAAAAAGAAGGTCATTTTATGTCTTCTATAGGGAGTGTTTATGTAGGAGAATGGATTGCTGGCGTAAAGCAAGGATACGGTGTTATGAGTGATATTATGACAGGTAAATTATCATCTTACGAATAAATTAAAACATAATTATACAAGTTTTATGTTGTTAAATGATAATTTTATACTCATTAATTTTCATTAACATAGGTGAAAAATACTTAGGTTTCTGGAGTAATAATTTAAAACACGGTAACGGATTAATTGTAACTCTTGATGGGATTTATTATGAAGGAACTTTTGTACAAGATGCTTTTATGGTAATTTGAGTAAATAAAGTTAAACTTTTTAATAATAATTGTATAAATATTGAAACAAAAAAAAAAACATTCTAGTTTAAACAAAAACTTGTATAGGGTCATGGTATAATGATATTTGAAGATGGAACGCATTATGAAGGAGAATTTAAATCTGCTGGAGTTTTCGGTGGAAAAGGTATTTTAACGTTTCGAAGTGGTGATGTGTTAGAAGGGACTATGAATGGAGGTTGGAATGAACCAGTTAAAGTAACAGCAAATTTGCAAATAAATAAAACTGTTAATAATATTGAATTAAATTCTAAACCACCGTAAGTGTAATTACTTAAATATTTTACAAAATCTTTTAAAATTAATTTCCTTCAATAATTATTAATAATTTCTAGATCTTTCGGAAAATTATGTGTACAACCAAATCAAAAATGGAAAGCTCTATTCCGTCAATGTTATCAGCAACTTGGAATAAGTGAATCTAATATTCAACATTCTAATAAATCGAATCCAAATAAAATATTAGAATCTCAAAAATTATGGGAAAATGTTGCTATTATAATCAATAAATCATGTCAACGAACAGTACATAAAGAGAATTCACCATCCAAAGTCCCTTTACCACGGGGATCTGCAAACAAAACTTCCAATGACTTGTTGAATAAAATTCTTCAGTTTGGACAAACTCAACTATCATATTCCAGTTTCAAAGAAATTCATGAATATTTAATAAACGCATTTGAAAGCCAATATCATCCACTGGGCAATTTATTAACACAAGTATCAACAGTTTATACAGCAACTTATGGAGGAGTTAGAGTTCACCCGTTGTTATTAAGTCATGCAGTGGAAGAATTTCGAAGTATAACCATGAGAATATATGAAATTGTTTCATTTTTTTTTCCAGCATTACCTGACAATGATAAAGAATTAATATTAGAATCTGAAAATGGAGAAAAGAGGTATTATTTAGAATTTTTAATGAAATTATTTAAATTCCCTACAACTATAATATTATTAGATTAATTACATTATTAAAAAACAATGAAACTTGTTTTAGGAAAGAAATTTCTGCTAAATCTCTATTATATCCCATCTTACTTTCTCGAGTACATTCAGCTCTATTTGTTCTCTATGCACTTCACAATAAAAAAGAGGATGATGCATATTGGGAAAGATTAATGAAATGGAATAAACAATCTGATTTTGCTTTAATGACATTTCTTGATATTGATCAGTAAGAATTTTTCTTCATTCATGAACTGTTAATAAAATATAATCTAAATAATAACTTATTTTTACTTGATCACTTGTGCTCAATAATTAATTTGTGTCGTAAAAAAATTAAATCTGTCTAATTATTAAATTTTTAGAAAATTTTATGATGTCGCTAATACTCTAAACATGGCTTCATTTGAAAATGATGAAAAAAAATTTTTAACCGAAGCAATAGAAACTTTACAACAATTAAAAACCACCTTTTCGCCTTTAGAAAAATTAATAGTCATACGTAATACTTTTGAGCAAATGACCAAGGTGATATTTTTAAAATTAATTTGAAATCCCTTAAACTAAAATACAGCATTAAACAGTCATTTGTAAATTTTTTTACAGACAGTACAAAAAAAATTGGGTGAAACATATTTATGGACAATGGACGAATTATTACCAGTATTTACTTTTGTAGTAGCAAGAGCCGGTATTTTGAAATTGGGAAGTGAAATTCATTTTATCGATGATTTCATGGAATCCAATATAAAAAATGGGGAATTAGATGTTATGTTCACTACCCTAAAGGTAAATTTAACTATTATTAACTTTATGATATTGTATAAATACATTATATAATAAACTTATTTTAATATTAAATTTATAATCTGATCTAGGCAAGGTCTAAACGACAATTATCAATATTGATCGTTTATTTTTACTAATTAGTTTTTTAAATGTTGCACAATATGAAAAAATCAATATAAAATTGAATCAAGATGATAATTTTTTCAGTTATTTAAACAATCTGCATTAATAGTTTATCATGAAAATATGGATTATTAATAAATTTTTTATTGGGTTTCAGGCTTGTTTTCATCAAATCCTACAAGAAAAAGTTAATATTTTCGATTGATGCAAATAAGAATGTGAATTACTTTAATGTATATAAAAAAATAAAAATATAATATGTAATTATTTATAAAAAAAAAAAAAAAAAAAAAAAAATAATTATGAAATAAAATTGTTACAAAGGAATGAAATTAAATACATATTTGTATATTTGTATATATATATATATTCACGAATATGTATATGTATCGTAATGTAAATTTGGCAACTCCAATAGAAAAGAACTAATTTTTATGAATAAATATTTATTAATACATAGTTTGTTTACAATTTTTTCCAACGAAAGTACATAATAATAATAAAAAAAAAATTATTAATTTTTTTTTTTATTCCCTATTGGAGTACCGTATGGAAAATAATAAATATTTTTGCTACAATTTAATAAAATGAAAACAAAAATTTTATTATTTTTATCCACTTGATAATCAATTTATTTTTAGTTTAGTAGTTGATACTTAATGAGTAAAGTAAGTGATTAACATTATTTAATAGCCAATTATATACTACTTAATTCTAATTGAATTTAAAAGAAAAAGTACTAATACAGAATGATAACTGTGATTAAAAATTTTTTCATAATATAAAAGTATTCTTAAGATTCAATATTTTATCATAATTTAATATTCTTAATTTATTTATTCATTAATTTATGTATTAGCAAGAACAATTTTTTATGAAATTTATGAGCTTAACTGTTTGTCGATTTAGTAAAAGCAACCTCGCATTATTCTACATTTATTAAAAATTTTTTATTTTCATTAAATCGTTTTACTTTCCATCGGGATATACGATTGTATACAGTCGCATCACTAACTACAGATTATGTTGATATATAAACGTGTGAAATACAACCAAATAACCAGCTTCCTTTTCACGAGTAATCGATCATAAATGTTTGATTAATTATTTACAATGATTAAATTCAAATATTATTTTTAATTTATAATCAGAGATTAATATACAATTAGCTAAGTGGTTGATTAGTTTACAAGGAAAATTAAATAACTATAATTCTCTTAATTGATGGATAATTAAGAATTTATATTATAAAATGCAATTTTAATTTTAAATACAAACACGAAATTTTCAAGAAATAATTCCAGTAAATAAAAAAAAAGTAATTATTTTGAATGTGAACTGATAAAATGAATTTTCTAGCAATCATGTGAAACAATAATTAACAATCGATTAATACGAAAATACTTTGATATTTTAGAGGAAACTTTGTCTCTACTTCCAACAAAATGTCTTCCCTCTCACAATTAGTGTGAACTGCCGAAAAATTCCTGCAATGATACAAATTGATACTCCGTAATCAATTTTGAATAATCTGTTAAAAAAGCTTTATTTATAATACTTATTTTTAAATTAAAATGAAATTTGTAGAAAGAAGAAAATTATTGAAATATTACAAAGATAAATATTTTATAAAATTTACTAATTGTTTTATTATTAACGCGTTGACTCATTGTTTGTCCATTCAATTGGTTAGTTTAGTAATTCGAACGAAAAAAGTTTCCAAGAAAAAGGAATGGAAAAAAAAGTATGTATGTTTTAAAAATCAAACGATATAGTATATATGTATATAATTAAAATAAAGAGACTTGCTAAATATATATTTAATAAATTACAGATGTTAAACATTTTATTTCATATAGAAAGTTACCTCTAATATTATTGATGTACAAAAATTGATACTATCTAAGGCTGGAAAATACATTTTCTTCGGCACCGCTTGTGATTAAAGTATCCTTTCCAAAAACCAACTGAATTTTTGCGTAGACAAACGAGTCTAATACGAAATGTAGACTGAATAAGTGTGATACATAACACAAAGAGCTCATATTTGTCAAAACGACTAGTATTATGAGTCGAAGTAGAAACGTTGAAAACCGGAAGAGTAATATTAATAATATTAATCATAATCATAATCATAATAGTATTCCCGAGGAGATGAATAACATTGAAACCTGCAAAAATTACTGAAATTGACTGCATATTGCTAACCAAAAACATTATCTGTACACCCCAAAAAACCCTTAGACAGCTAAGAAGCCGTCAAGTCGGGCCTAAATGGCCCCGACACCCAACTGTTAATCTGATCCTATCTCTCCGTAAATATAATGCTAATTAATATGATATTAATAATGACAACTATGTTAAATAATGTAGTGGCAACAGCAATAAATGCTGTTTTTATTAAACAATAAAAATATGAATTAATTGAACCTTCCAAAACAAATCACCACTACCTAGTGTTTAATATTTATTTATATTTTATATTCGCTTATATAGAGAGTAATCCAAGATGAGGGTAATGTAAACCCTAAAGTCGCGTTACACAAGCGATATGATTCACCTAATTTGACCAATATACTCACACACCATCAGAGAGATCAGCTGAGAGCTTGTTATTTCACTTACGTTTTATTATTTTTTTGCTTTTATTATAATGAAATACAGCCAACAGCCAGATTTAGATCAAATCAGCAACATTTAATGGCATCTCATCAATATGAGTGTGGTAATACGCTTCTATATCACTCATGATTCGTTTGTCATCCGTGGTAATAAAGTTGATGGCTACTCCTTTACGTCCAAACCGACCTCCACGACCAATTCTATTAAAAAACAATTTTTATAAATATTTTTTTTGATAAATGTTTTTAATTATTTATTACTAATGTAGTATCTTACCTATGGATATAATTTTCTCGGTTGGAAGGAAGATCATAATTAATAACAAGTGATACTTGTTGTACATCAATACCACGTGCTAAAAGGTCAGTCGTAATAAGGACACGAGAAGACCCTGTGCGAAATTGTCTCATAATTAGATCACGTTCTTTTTGATCCATATCTCCATGCATTGCCGAAACGGTAAAATCACGGCGTTGCATATTTTCTGTCAACCAATCAACCTTGCGACGTGTATTACAGAAAATTACAGCCTGAGTAATACTCAAAGTATCATACAAATCACACAGAGTGTCGAATTTCCAATCTTCACGTTCAACGAAGACATAAAATTGTTTGATACCTTCCAACGTTAATTCTTCTTTTTTCACCAAAATTCTAATTGGTTGACGCATAAAGCATTTAGAAACTTCTAATACGTCAGTGGGCATTGTTGCAGATAATAGAATAACCTGTACTTCATGGGGAAGTAGCCTGAAAACATCGTGAATTTGATCCTTGAAACCACGGGATAACATCTCATCAGCTTCATCGAGTACAAATAGTTTTATGTTATTTGTACGAAGTGCACGTCGACTTATCATGTCATAAACTCTTCCTGGTGTTCCGACTACCACATGAGCTCCTTGCTCAAGTTTCCGGATATCTTCACGAACATTTGTTCCTCCAATACATGCATGGCATTGAGCATGCATAAAATCTCCAAGAGCAATTACCACTTTTTGGATCTGTAATTTAAAAAAATCATAAAAATTTTATTCCTATCATTAATATAAGTAAAATAAAAATTTGAATTTTTATCAAAATCAGAGGTGGTTAAATTTGAATCTTCGAAACCAAAGTAACTCTTATGAATTCTGTAATAGTGAATGAGTTTGACTCCCCGTTAACATTTCACGTAAGTCTTCCTCTCTGTTTTTTTTTCAAATTTGAGTTTGCCTACTCCAAGTAAAAATTGTAAATAAATATGTTACCTGCTGAGCCAACTCACGAGTTGGAGCGAGAATCAATGCTTGGCATTCACTCAGATTTGTATCAATTTGCTGCAGTATAGAAATAGAGAATGTTGCTGTTTTTCCAGTACCTAAATAAATACATTAAAATGAAATAAGAAATTTTCATTGGTTTTAATTTGAAAAATATTTTCTATGTAAACGACTGTAGTAATTTCTTACCTGACTGGGCTTGAGCGATAACATCAAAACCTTTTACACATGGTACAATTGCCCGTTGTTGAATAGCAGATGGTTTTTCGAAACCATAAGCATAGATACCCCGAAGAAGTTCTTCCTTTAGGTTCATGTCATCAAAACTTTCGACCACCTGGAGTTTTTGGGAAAATCCATTAAGTAAATTTTAGTTACAAGGTCATAAAAGAACAATAAGAACAATGAATACCCAAAATATGAAAAACAAAATATAAAGTATAAATCCTTAATAACAGAAAAGTACCAACTGTGCTCAATTAACTAATAACGTCGTACTGAATAAGTAAGAAAAGTATGAAGGCCGTATTAAATTTTTCGTTCTTCAGTTGTCTAAAAGTCAGTTTGTCTATCTTTGCTTAAAATTTTTACAACTCAGGTAGTAACCTTAAGTAAAGTTAATATAATTGACAATGAATTTTACCTGATCCCAGTTGCTGTCAATAACACCATCCGGGTCCATTCCGGGAGGCCCTCCATAGTTAGATGATTCACTTTCACTTGGACCATTTTTAGAGTCGCCAGACCATTGATCCTCGTTTCTGAAATTGAAAAATTTTTATACATATTCAATAATGGAAGTTGTATCTATTGATTTAGTAATTTAAAATAACACATTATAAATATATTTGAAGAAAGTAATTATTCTTTCTATCTAAGATTTGAAAAATTAAAATAAATAAAATTATTTAAATTTTTTTTATTAATTATTGTGTTAAAACTGCAATATATAATATTAGAAGAAAATTTTTATTTTTTTTTTATTGTTACTATTTATGAAAAATTAAAAATTCATTTATTCATGCACTTATTGACGCATTATTTGAAAGTTTTTTATGCATAACTTTAGAGACGTATTTATACTATCCAAAATTTTTAGAACAGATGTTTAAATGGATATCTATATTGACACTAGGGTCGATACACAAAAATGACCAGATAAATGATGCCAGACCATGAATTCACTATGACTCATAAGTCACACCAAAGCATGACTTCAAGCGAATACGCTTAATAATTGATTGAAAAATCCATTAAATATATTATTTTGAAGTATTTCCTATTTTTTATTTTTTCTAAAAAAAAACTTGGCAACATACAAGTTTTTCTTCACATTGATAATTTAGATCTGTTTAAAATTATTTGATTGTGTTAAAAAAACGCTATCATGCCAGCATGGTGGAAACCGACGAAAGCGTGCACGCGTTTGCTTGATGAAACAGCCTATTTCATAGTAATAGATAATTGGAAAAATTCAAATTAGTAATGGAAAAAATAAATAGATAATAATATTAAATTGATTTCGGAGTAAAATTATTTTTGTATAAATAATTATAAGACTGAAAAATAATCGAATAGCCGCCAAATTTCCCAGACAATGTGACAAAAAGTTCACGGCACGCCATGTTGATAGCACAAACCCTGTGCATTCGTCAATTGCGATAATATTTTTGTAAAGTACAGATCATTGGAAAGATGCGTAATAATAAATTTATATCAACCATATGGAGTAAAAATTAAGGAAACGATTAGTTATAATAATAAATATTATTAGCTAAAATATGTAGGTAAAAAAATAGAACTTACCTTCGTTCAGATGTATACGACATGTTCTACTCACAGTAGCGCGACGGAAAGGACGAATTCCAATTGCGTCACACACAATATTACTAAAAATCCCGCACAATGGCGCTGTGAATCAATTAAGTTATCAAAGTTTTGTTAAAAAAACACAAAGATAATAAAGTAAATTTATCAAATAAATTGAAACTAACGAAGCTAATTGTTTATCTGATGGTCTTTCGACTAGTAATGCCGATTGCCGGCCAGATTCATTTACTAAATAGGCAATTTGTGGAAAGTAGGGGGGATGGAAAATGTATTTTACCCATAATGCCTTGGGAAAAGAAGTGGGGAGGGAAAAGCGGTGAATTTAAATCTAGTGGAAATGCACTTCTTATTCTATAATCTCTATATTATAAAATAGATATTTTGATATTTTATACATCATTTAATATAAAGACTTGAGTATAATTTTTCATTAATTTATAATTGATCAATCGTTATATTGTTTATTATATTTTAGAGATTTTACATGATATATTTTATAACAAATGGTTATTTTTATCTTTTTTGACAATAAATAAAACAAAATTTTAAATATTTTCTAATAAAATAAAATCTTTTAAATTTTAACAATAAAAAAATATTTCTTACAATAATTATGATAATTATAGGTTACGCTTTTTTTACTCTCTTTCTTTATACACACATATTTATATGTACAATAAAATATTTTCTTAAAATACTTCCTTCATTATAATTTTAAAATAAAGTATTAAATAATTTTAAAGAAATGCACAAGATATTATTAAAAATAAAATTGCAACTGGAAATATGATGTACATTCCCATACGTGGATGGCAAACAGAAATCAATAAAGAAATATCATCTTGTTCATGTTCAATTCCATCCTTAGTAGGCACTTCAACAATTATTCGGTCAGACGACAATATGGATAATGGAAAAATACACTCTGTTTGATTTATACATGATTTTGTTACATTTTCATACTGGAATGTAGGCTTGTAAATATCGAATACAGCATGAATATCGTTAAATACAAAGTCATTATCACTGTAGAAAATATAATAATAATATCCGTCTTCAGTTACATGATGGTGTGTTTGCATATATTTGCCATTTTCTAAATAACTTACATTAATACACAAATTTGATGGTTCAAATTCCTGAGCCAATAACACTTGACCTTCGTAGCAGTTTAATAGACCTTCTTCAAAACTTGATACTGATGAGTCGCTATCACCTGTAAGATTTTTAAGAGCATTTCCACCGTGTTTTATACCTTGATCAAGTAGAGCTGGTGGTTTAACAGGTTCTTGGTTTCTTTTCATGCGTATATTGGTCTCTCTATCCTTTAATTCATATTCTGTATCATATTCCTCTTCAGCAGTATTACTTCCCGGAATGTTCAATTTTTCACGTAATAATTGTAAAGCCATCTGTTTTTCAACATTTTTCTTCCTATCTACATAATCACCTTTAGTTACATTTTTATTATGACGATTGTTTCTAAAGTGTCTTTTTGTATGTTTTAATTTTCTTGTATTGTTTACTTTAATGTAATTATTGTGCATATTTGATAGATGGTTTTTTTCTTGACTAAATTTGGTGGGAGGAGAATGAATTACAGAATATTCTTGGGATTCAACTTCTTGAGCATTTGTTTCAAATGTAATTTTAACTTGATCACGTGCTTCTGGTAAAAACACACCTTTTGAATGTGCTTTATTTTGATTATGTTCTAACATACCACATGTGCGCAATGTTCTTTCACCTTTTACAACTAGTATTGAAGCACCAGGAAATCTAATAAAACAATTCAACAATTTGATTATATTCATTAATTAAATAATCATTTATACAAGAATTAATGATTGAAGAGCATTTATTTATAATAATAAAAGAAGATTCATATTCACCTGGAACAGACAGACAAAGCGACACTTGCTCCTGTCAGTAAATAAAAACCCCAATATTCCAAAGTATCATCAGGTAATGTCATACTTTTTTTCAGTCTTATATGTTTACGATAAGACGTTATTTCAGGCCTATGACCCATTTGAAATGCATTAAATGTTTCATTCATATGTAAAGTATGAGCCTGTGGAGCAAATAAAAAAAAAATCATAATTAAATTGATAACTATTTGAAGTATAGTTTGATGAGAAAATAAAAATGTCATCAAAAGATCTCACATACAGAACAAAAAATAGTTGAAACGCCATTATCGACTTCTAAAACATCAGACTCAGTGACAGCATAAACGACATCTTGGTATAAATAATGACGAAGATAGAGAGGTACTATTAAAAGAGATATTGGAAGAAATGCTATCAGAAGACAAAAAATTATTACTCTTTTCACTCCATGCATTCTTAAAAGATCTAGAAAAAGTAACAAAGTTAACATGATTGATGATGATGTTAAAATTAATTATATTATTTAGAAATAAGTTAATATACTTATATCCATTTATAATAAGGATAAATTACAAAGTTAATTTATATTGTAAAAAATATTTAAATCAATTAGATAACGATTCTAATGCATCTAATTGTAAAAAATTGATTAAACAAATTATAGAAGGATATAAACTGATTATATGTTACACATAATTGAAATAATCAGTAATAAATTTTATTTTATTTGAAAAAAATTGTTTATTAATTAAAAATCATATAGATAGCTATTATTAATTATTGTTATGTTTGAATATTAATAATTCACCAACTATAAAGGACTATTGACATTAAAAAACATCAAATAGTTAATTGATTAATAATTAATAATAATAGTAACAATGTAAAATTAATTTTTATTGTAGATCCCAATATATATAAATATATTACTAACAAAACATTTAAGATAATATTGAAAAAGTACAATATAATCGTTAATTTTTAATTGTATCTAAAGTAAGATTAAAAATATTAAACTAATTGTAATAAATAATTGTTTAAAAAAACCTTATTTACGTACTGAAGATAATTCATAAACAAATTGAGGTAAATGCAAAATTGGGATCGACAATCTCCCCAGGTGCGCTGCAGTAAAATTATAATAATTGTGCTTTCGAACATCACATAAACTTATTTATAGTTCTTTTTTATATCATTCACTTAATATGGCTGTAGAATCGATAAGATAAGCACTAAAATTCAAACAATGTTTCTTTCGTCAATTTTGTAACAATATGCTACAAACGAAAGATTTAATTCCATTCTAAAGTTCATTTTGTATCTTCGTCAACCTTGAAAAGTATCTACAAGTGCCTATGTATATTGTCGTTATATATATATACGTCATGTTAGAGTGCATGTATGTACAATGGAGCTGCAGAGAGCTTCAAAGGAACTGAATTCCTATTCGAATTTCTAAACCTTTAGTTAGTACTCCCACAATGTGATGCCGCTACTCGTTTACTTTACTAAATTCATATTTTAAATACAATTTATTTGTTATTAAATAAAATAATTTTTATGTACAAGTATTATTTATAAAAATTTCTTTTAATAATCTATAATAAATTTAAATGTATTAATCTAATCGCCATTGGACATTAAATTTTTGCAATGCTTTCTCCACAATTGTTTTTGTTACACCATCTCTAACTAATATCGATTGTACTCCAAGTTTACTTACATCTTCAATATTCCTATTTTCATCGTCAAAAAATATCATATTTTCATAACTAACATTTGAGGATTCATGAATTCTATATTAAAAAATTATTGTTTATGAATATGATCACTGCATATTAAATTATAATTAGTTTACTTAAAATTTATTCTCACTTTTGAAAATGAGTTGTTTTTTTTCCTGGATAAATTTCTCTGTAAGTGATGTATTTAGTCCATCCAAATAATTCTATTAACTGATTAGCACCTTGGATCTCACTAGTTCGTGAAGCAACTCCAATTTGAAACCCATTTTCAAATAATTTTTTCAAGAGATTTGGTACATCTTTATAACAATATATTTTTCTCCCATTCGAGTCAATAACACCATTATTTTTCCTATAATTTATAAAGTTAAAATTATACAAATAAATTTGTTTTTAACTTTGTTAAATATTTAATTATAATTATAGAAATTTTTGAAATTACAAAACTAACCCTATTTTGAATGGTGGAGTAACATGAGTATCAACCCAAAACGGCCATAATGTATAATCTAAATAAAATAATTTTATGACTGAGTGATGGATAACGCATTTATAAGTCAATTTTCAAAAAAAAAACATAATTGATACCATTATAATATTAAAATTTATCTAACCAAGATCAAATACTAGAAGAACGGGTTTTTTTTCTGTAGACGATTGAGGTTGCTTAGATGTCATTATTTAATAACTTTTGAATAATTATTTAATACAATAGTAAATAAAATACATAATATTATTATACTGCGATTAACTTTGCAACTATACAAACAAAGATAACTTCAGTCAAACAACAACAATAAAATTGGCTCAATTTTTACATCTCTTTTTGCTAATAATGATTGTAGCGACGTCTATGGTTATCAGTAAGAAACAATTATAAAATAATAATAAAAGCAACCCCATTATAATATCCATACTGTAATTGTAACTATATTATTGATAATATATTATTATTATTATGTATCATGTATACATGATTAAATAAACGTTACGAGTCGAGTAAAAAATTTTATGGACAATATGTCTAAACAATAATATTATATATCAAACTAATGAAATGTAAATAACTTTATTTACCGCTGAACAATATCAATTATACAAATTTATATCAACTAGCTTATTATAAAATGCATTTTTTATTTCCACTTCTGTTCTTTCTGCAATATTAATTGTTTTTAACTGTGATTGACCGAAGTAATAATTCTTATATTTCTGAAAAAAATTATGTTATAAACATACTGATAGATAGAATTCATTTAAATATTATTATTACCGTTATTATTTTTGCTCCGCTAAAGGTGCTAGTTCTTGAATGACCTTTATATCTTTTGTTTAAACGACTTGTTTTCATTAATGTCATATGCAATTTAACTTTATTAGTATACTGAACACTCATAATACCTAAAAAGAAATTCTTGTAGAATAAAAAAATTTAATTACCTGTATCATACATAGAAACTTTACCTTTATCGACAAAATATTCGAATATTTTATCTACCAGTTCTTGAAGTTTATCATTATTCACAACTTCCGCGTAAAGAACTCTAATTTTTGTTGGATCATCATTCATGATTTCCAAACCTTGAATTACTATTTGGATCATTTTATGTTTATTTAGTAAAGGTCTGTAACAAGTCTTATATTAGTTAAGTTGAAACATCTTCAAATAGTTTGAATATTAATGTCTAACAATCTAACTTACTTGATTACTTCTTCCACACAACCATTTAATGTATCTATAGCTTTACATTTATCTTTATCGTCTAATAATTTTAACATTCCTATTGTTAAATGTAGTTTCTGCGCTGATACAAAATAATCTTCCTGAATATTTTGAGAAATTTCAGGATTATTCAAAATTTCTTCTTTAAACTTGTTAAAATTGTTTATTATCTCTTCATCATTTAGTGGAATGGCCAAAAAATGTGTAAAAGGTACTTTGTCTTTAGAAGATTCTATTAAAAGATCTATTCTTTGTCGACATGATATTACTTCAGACTTATTTGATCCAATAATCTCTATTTGTCATTATAAAAACATAAAATATTAATTGAATATTTAATATTCAATACATTTATCTTACCAACAATTTGATCATTCACATCTATCTTTGGTATCTTTATAACTGTATGTGTTTCAGATTCCAACTTCCTTTTTATTCCACCTTCAAATCCTATGATAAATCTATGTAATAATCTGTAAATGAGTCGGTTTTATGTTACATGTTGTACAAGAATAATGTCATTTAATTCACAAAAATATGTAAGCAAATAAATACTGTACTTCGGAACAAGCACACAATGTTTGTATTTTCCATCATTTGTTTTATCAATTTGTATTACATTAAGATCCATAGTTTCATTGGCAATATCATCGTCTTTTTGATTGTATTCTTCGAAATATGGAGAAAAAGTTTCTTCTGAAGACCATACATTGCTATCAAAAAATCTGTAGCAACGACCATCAACCCAAACTAATTCTGGTTCTAAAATATTCATTTTTCTTTCTTTTTTTTCTTAAATTTCTGTAATTAAATATAAAATAATTTTATATTATTATAAACTCGAGTATAAAAGAATTCAATATATTATATATGAAATAATATCCTACTGCAATTGAAATATGATTAGTTATTCAAGTTATGTCATCAATAGAAAAATAACAGATAATTTGATGCATAAATCTTTTTAAATCAAACAAAAAAAAACAATTATAATATATAAACTATATTGAATGGTGAAGCGCAAAACATTAATTAATCACTTTATTAATTGATATTGGAGATGATAAGTTTAAAATATTCAATATATTTATATGTATGTACATATAAAAGTCAATAGATTGACGTTAGCTGAATATTTCGAATAGACTGGAATGAACTTGAGCTTGACTTCGACATCTACCGCACAAAAGCGGCTTTAAACAAGTCCCGGAAGAATGTTATCTGTTTAAAATAACCGTCTTAAAGTATATTACATTGTTATATATGATGGCGTCGAAAGCCCATGTGAATAATACAGTGAATGAACGTCGTTTACGACCAATTTATGGTATAAATAAATATAATAATAAATAAACTTTGTAAAAGATAATTAATGAAATTATTATAACCTACAATTTTAAATCAATGTACCGGTAGGAAAGGTTATGTAACAATCTTTATCATTCATTTTCAGATTGGTTAGACAATGGAAATAATAAAAAAGCATTGCAAGAAGCTGATAAAGTACTTCGAAAACAACCAGACAATCAATGTGCAAGAGTACTCAAAGCTTTAGCCCTCCTCCGATTAGGTAAAGAAGATCAATGTCAAGTTATTATGGATAAAGTCCGTTCTGAAGTGCCATGTGAAGATTCTACTCTTCAAGCAATGAGTATTTGTTACAAAGAAATAAGTCAACGTAATTATTCAAATATTTTGAATTTTTTTTTCATATATTTACTTATTGAGAGATGATTGAAAAAATATTTTTTATATTATTAGCTGATAAAATAAGAGAAGTTTATGAAGCCGCAGCCAAAGCTGATCCTAATAATGAGGAACTCTTAACCCATCTATTTATGTCTTACGTACGATTAGGAGACTTTAAAAAGCAACAACAAACAGCTCTTGCTCTTTATAAATTAAAACCAAAAAATCCATATTACTTTTGGGCCGTCATGAGTGTCGTTATGCAAGCCATACGAGCTGATGATAAACTAGCCAAGGATGTTATACTACCTCTGGCAGAAAGAATGGTAAAATTTTGTTCGATTATGTATAATTATTTCGCATTTAAAGCAGATATTCTCGTTAAAGTTATAAAGTTAGAAAAAGTTTATTTACTTTAATTACAATTGAATGTATTATTTTTATCAGGATAAAAGGTATTCAAGGATTAAATTATTGATTAATTACATATTTAAATTCACTAAGAAGATTTTATTTTTTTAGATTAACGAATAATAAATATTTTTAGGTATTGAAATTAGTAAATGAAGGAAAACTTGAAGCTGAGCAAGAAGTTCAACTCTACATTATGATTTTAGAACTTCAAGGGAAAGATGAAGAAGTTTTGAATGTTTTGTCCGGTCCTTTGGCTTTACGTCTTTCTGGTGTACCTCAACGAAAAGCTTCTCTTCTTTTAAAATTGAAACGTCATCAAGAAGCTACGATAGCTTTTAAAGAACTTATCCATGAAGAGTAAATAATTTAAAAAAAATTACATAATTAATATTAAAAATATATACATTGCAATTAATAACCACTACTTTTTCATTTTACAGTAATGACAATTGGTCATATTACTTAAGTTATTTAACAGCTGCTTTAGAACATCAACAACCTAGCGAATGTCTTGAATTTTTAGATAGCGTGGCTGAAAATTGCGGGAAAAAAGCACGAGCACCGCATCTTGCACGTTTCGAATTGTTAAAACGTATAAGTTCTAGTGAAACTGTTTTGCGAAGCATTATGGAACCGGTAAAACTTATGCGAATGTATTTTGAAAAATTTGGAAATAAAGGATGTACAGTTGGTGATCTAAGACTCTATTTAGATCTGTTAACATCTGCGGAGCAGTTGAAATTACTCGAAGGTGTTAGTATTGTTAAAAAATTAATTAACACAAAATTTACAATATTTATGACACATAACGTGTTTTAATTTGATTTTTGTTTATTGTTAGATTAATGAAGATATTGGTGTAGAAGAAGATGCTGCCCCAACATCAACAGACCAACTTTTGAGACATATTCATCTTGAACAATTGCGTCGAATTTGTGGATTACATCATTCTCCACATATAAATTATGAGCAGCGTGAAAAATTGGTAGATCGGTTAAATGATCTCTATGACAAAGGAGATAAACTATGTAGCAATGAAGATAGACTACCAACTGATTTTGCGCCTTTTGATTCTTATGCTCTTTTGGCTGCTCATCTTCTTTTACAGATGTGGTTTGAATCTAATAATGCATCTCTTCTTTATAGGTTAATATGATTTGTGAAATTCTATTTAATTTTATTTAAACTGAATGAGTATTACTTGAATCAACTTTATGAAAATTTTTTCTATGATTTCAGAGCAATGGCAATATTGGAATGTGCTTTAACAAAAAGTATGGCAAATTTCCATTTAAAAATAATTTTAATACGCGTTTATTTAGAAGCTGGCTTAATAGGTGCAGCAGAACATATATTTTCTCTATTAGATGCCAAACAAATCCAACTGGTTTCCCTCAGTTATTTGTATGTCCCTTTATTAGCACCACTTGGACACTTATCGAGCGCTTCGAATGCTCTTGATCAAGCCGTTAAATTTTTTGTAGCCAATTATAAACATGTAAGTATTTTAAATGGTGTTTAAAAAAAATTTATCTCTTTAGTAAAAAAAATAATCATTCATATTAAATTTAATTAAAAATTTAATAATGTTTTAGAGTGCAGATCGATTAACATTTGCTTATAAGTATGGTAGTTTTGCAAAAATTCAAGAATTTGTGGATCTTAGAGAACGTCTTGATAATGCTTTACATTTTGCTACATCAACTGTCGACAAAATGCTGTTAGAACTTAGTTGGTGTGATAGTGCCAAATCTCTTAGCAGAACTTTGGCATCGATGAGAGTGCAACCACACGAAGATTCAATTAGATGGGAGTCACTACGTGATAACCGAGATCTTGAAGTTGTTGTTGGTTGGGAACCTTTAACTCAATGTAAAGATCCGAGAAGATCTGAAGATACACGGGCTTGTATGCTTCAACTACTTGCAGCAAGAAATCTCATTTTAAGAATTATTGCTGCCACTACTGAACAAGACTCTTCATCTTTATTGGTAAAACTCGCTCAAGAATTACATAATTTGCATAACGAACATGTGCCAAAGTGTCTTGAGAAATTTGAAACATCGGATAAACGTGTGAGAGTTGAAAATATTTTGGTTCCAATAGATTCAGTGGAGCGTTTACGAGAAGCTCACTGTTCTCAACAACTGGTTGTTATCGCAAGACTCGCTGATTCATTTTCACAAATTTCAAGACCCGATTTAGATTGTATTAAAATGATTCACACAGCTCCATGTCTAGATACTCTAGCAATACCTAATACAGATGAACCAGTATCTTATAAAGATTTTCTTCTTCGTGCAGCTACTTGTGGTGAAACTTTAGCATTTATTGGTATCATATGTGCTGCTTATTCAAGCCAATCTCATTCCCAAAGTACTAATAGAAAGAGTAGAAAAAAATCTAACAAGGACATATCGTTCTCTCCTAATAATATTCAGGTAAAATTATTTATAGTAATTTTATGTATTAAATTTTATCTCACTTAGTATGCACTCAATATAATATATATTTTTATCAAAATTATTTATAGGATTGGACTACGATGACTAATTTACTCATAGAGAAGACTGAGAGATTAGAGAATGTTTTATCAGAATTCGAAAAACGTCCAATAAATATTGGCTTGGATGTTAAAATGAAAAAATCAGCAGAAATAGTTGCAGAACGTGTTCAAGATAGTATTCATAGAAGCTGTTGGATGCTTCGATCACGACTTCAACTTACCACCAAGCTTCTAAATAATTTACGTAGCTGAAATCTTGAAAATATCGATAAATTGTACAAATGATGAACATTGAATCAGCTTTAAAAATATTTGCTCTTTATCAAACGTCACTTTGTATTATTTGAATGACATGTACATAAGTTTAGTAAATATTTTTTTTCTTTGAAAAAAAAATAACAAAAAAAAAATTTATAAAAACAATCATTCAAAAAACATACAAACTAATTATTTTTTAAAAAAACAAGGATATCTATTTCTTTTAACTGTACAATTTTACAGTAGAAATTGATGGTTTGTTGAAATATAAATGGATTTTTAAGTAATTAACATCAATCACTGCCATATAATAAAACTGCATTGTTTGAGTACTTTTACAAAATAATAACTAATATTTGTTTATTCATAATGAAAAATTTTTATTTAATTAAATGAGTGACACAAATAAAAAAGAATAAAGCCAATTATTTACAAAAATGTTAATATTTATTTCAGCTTTAGTTCTTGATTAATATTATTAAAATAATTAATTTTAATATTACTAGCTACTGAGTTAAATCATCATGACGGAATATAACATAAATTTATTAACGCATTGGTACATGCGTTAGTATAACATACATAGTTATTTGTACTCTTTGTGATAAATAGACTCAAATAATTATAGAAACAATGATATTATTTAAAATTTATCTTCATTCATCCGAAATGAATTAATTTTTCAAATTTTTTTTTTGACGATATTCTTCTACTGCTTGCTTAAGAGCTTGTTTCAATGCCAACTAGTAATAAAATAATTATTATTGTTAACTTATAGTTATTGACTGGCTTAATGTTATTTTATTACAGCTATTATTTAATTTATGAATTAAAGAATTTTATTAACCTGACATATTTGCAATCGTGACATGCCATGCATACTTTCATAATTATTGATTATTTTATTTCTTGATAAAAGTTTTTCATTAATTTTTTCATACCGTTTTTTTCCACTAGATTTACGGTAAACTTTGCTCAACAAATCCATTCGATCACGATGAAAATTACTATGAATAAATTCATGAATATCTGGGTTACGTAAATTGCACAATGGATCACGATTGTGTGATGTTACTTTACGAAATCCATAAAGATTTAATTGACGTATAAAACTTGTAATGTTATTAGTTTTGAAAACCGAATATGGTGGTGTTAAATATTCAGCATGGAATTTTTTATAATCTAACAATATTGTTGCTCCATTCAAACTCCATTGAATGGCACCAGTTTTACATTCGTTTACAATTTTCCATAATTTTTGAGGAAATCTTGTAGATAATGACACACCATAATCGTACATTTTGTATTTATGTCAATTTTTTAAACTTCTGTTGAGAAAAAACAACTGTCATTTCTTTAACTAATAGGCACAAGACTATTTTTAAAATTAAAAAAACAATTGCTAACTTCGATATGATATTCAATCTAAATGTATATAAATTATATGTAAATGTGTATATAATGGTTTTATCAAAAAATTATTTACAAGATTAGATGAATAGAATAATTTATTCTATTAATACTATTTTTGGTTGAATTACTAAATTAATTCGTACTTTTTATAGTTGAGTAATTAATATATTGTTGATAAATATAAATTATCATTCGATTATTATCATATAAAATGAAGTGAATAATAATAATAGCAGTTCTAACTTTTCTCTGATAATAATAACATGATAATGTAATCAATCATATGTTATTATTTAAAAAAGATGTAATGAAAATTATGACTACAGCTGTTATGAATGTAATAGCAATAATGTACATGAAATATTTTATATACTATGTAGAAAATGGCTAAACAGAGATGATGGGTGGAAGTGGTTGTAGATACTCTCGTGATGCTACTGGTGCAGGAACAAGATATCCTTCAGAATCTAATGCATTAGGAGGTTTAATAGTTACTGGTCCTTGTGGTGGCCTTGGTAAACTTCCTTTTTTGTTCATCTTTTCGATCCCTTGATAAGCTTTCTTGAGTTTATCGAGAATCTCTGAAAAACGGGGTCGATCTCGGGGCTCCAATTTCCAACATTGGGTCATTATCTGGCTGACAAATTCTGGACAACTCTCTGGCGGAGTGAGTATTATACCTTGGAGAATAAGTTTTACTACTTCCTCATTATTGTGGCCATAGTATGGTTGCTTCCCGTAGGAATATACTTCCCATAAAACAACACCAAAGCTCCACACGTCACTCTCAAGAGTGAAACGTCCATAAATAACACTCTCTGGTGACATCCATCGTACAGGAAGCATTCGGGAACCTCCAATCTATTTTGATATTTATTTTCTTATTGATTAGTCGGATACTTATATTATTAAACAAACGCAAAATTTTTATTTTATAATATTTACCTATTATTATTAACAACAATGCTATTGATTAAGTGAAATTTTTTTTCACACTAGTTGATAATTTAATTACAATACTTAATAAGTTAATTAATACATTGATAGATTAAGAAAAAAGAATTAATTACCCGATAATAATCACAAGTATAAACATCTCTAGACATCCCAAAGTCAGCAATTTTTACTACTAAATCCGACCCAACAAGACAATTACGGCAAGCTAAATCACGATGGACAAATCTCTGGGCCGAAAGATAAGCCATTCCGGAAGTTATTTGTATTGTAATCCAGTGCAAATCTTTCTATAAACAAGAGAAGAAAAAAACCAATAGTGTTTGAAACAAAAAAAAAATTGGAATATTGCTTGTAACAAAGTTTAGCTAAAAAAATGGAACCTTTGTCAGTGGGTCTAGATTTGAAGAAGAAGTAGAAGAAGATAAAGTTCTTAATTGATGCGAGTTAGCTCTCAAAACTTCTGCCAAGTCTCCATAAGGCATATACTCAAAAACCATCCATGGATTATTTCCAGAATCTCGAAGGACTACTCCTATTAAGGATAAAATATTTTCATGACGAAAAGTTGACATAATTTCTACTTCTCGCATAAAGTCTTCTTCAGCTTCATGTGATGCAGAATCCTTGAGAACTTTTACCGCAACTATTTCTTTACCTTGTTCATGAGACAGTTCCCCTGTGACATTTTAACAGATAAATATATTATATAATTTTAATTATATTCCTTTACATACTTTAAAAAAAAAGAAATACCAATATTGTGTTATACTATAACATTTATATTTATATTATAAAATCGTCTTATATTTTAATTTATTTTTATTTAGCTTATAAGAAAAATTAATTAAAACTTTAATAGTCCTCTTTACCTTACTTACCCTTATAAACCTTTCCAAAACAACCCTCTCCAATATCATAAAGAAAAATAATGTTTTCTCGCCTTATAATTGGAACTTCTGGAGGTGTACAGCCAAAATACTGTGGGTTTGGTGTGTATTTATTAGCCAAAAGTACACTCTTCTTTAAATTCATTGGAGATATCTAAAATTTTAAAAAATTACCACGTCCAAATAACAATAATTTTTTATTAATAATAAATTACTATTCTATAACTTACATTAAGAGTTTGTCGTACTGTTTTTTTATTGTAATGCTTTTTTTTTAAAATAAATAAAAAAATTCCAAGTATCCCAATAACAATTAAGGATGCTGTCGTCACTCCAATTACTTCACCCAATCTATACGGCTTTCCATTCATCTACATGTTAATAAATGCAATTAAATGAATTTTCAATATAATTAAAATACGAATAAATAATTTAGTCAATAAAAATATGATGAGAAACATACCTCTTCTGCTTCAGATAATAATGTGTTATTCGTGGTATTTAACGTAGGTGGAAATATATTGTTAATTGGTCGTGGAACCACAGGAACTGGATGAAAATTCATCATTAATACAAGAAATTTCTTTCATACCAATGAGATAATTATATTTGATATTATTTCTGATATATCTTTAGAAGATGGTTCGGGTAGTATTTGATTTTGAATAAGTGTAACCCACGTTGTTACACACTTTACTGACTTGTAATTAACTCTTAATTCTATTTTGGATATGTATAAGAAATCAAAATTATACTGAGTACGATGCAACTTGACTAACCGTAAACTTCGCTATTTTAAAACTATATTTTCAGCTTAGATTGGTACAGAATATGTTATTAATAAGAAACATGTTGATTGGAGGATTTTTAAATACTTTTAAGTAAATGAAAAAAATAATCGTAATAATTATTGTTGGATAATAAACTTACCAGTCCAGCGAACAGGGCATTTAAAGTCATCAGTAGGTGCAGATAAATCATGTGGACAAACACACTTGGAGGTATTATTGGGAAAGTTCTTACAAGCAGCTTCTTTTCCACAAATGTGTTCTCGTCCATTACAATCAATAAATCTATCATTGTCGTGATTTAACGTCGAACTTGGCTGTTGCAATCGGTCAGATGTTTGAGTAGTTGTAATTTCAGCTGTATTTTGTTCAGTATAACCTAAATGAGTGAATTTAGTGTCAGTTATCTCAATGATTTCGGAGATAGATTAATGGGAGAAGAGTAGAGATAGAATGAAAGGGTCCTAAAGGGATATTTGGATAATCGCACAGCTTCTAGTAACAGCTTATGAGGGATAGAGACAGTGATGGCATTCATGTATTAGCGTTGTGGGCAGCGCAACGGGTCAAAGCGTTATCTCCACGGTCAGCGGACTTGGACAACGACTCTTGCTATGTCTCTTACTCCAATCCAACTAACCACCCAACTAACCTATACTATAAAGTTCCTTCGATCGTTCCTGCTTAATTCTTACTACGTTTATACTTTTTTTCCTCATATTTTTTACTTTGTTGATTCATATATATATATATATATATTTCTTTTTTTTCGTTTTTTTTTAGACTCTGTTTTTCATACACTTCTTATGCTCTTCAATCTCATCGGGTCTTGTTTGTATTGTGACACCCGGTGACATTTATTTTGAAAGCTACAAATAAGGTTGACTCTTTCGTATCATATTTTATTTCAGACATGCAATATGAAAAATTTTATCTCTTTTATGTTGAAAATTTTTTTTATATTCCCCATAGAATAAAATAAAATAAACATATGTTTGTATATTTAACAGAAATGGTATAATTTGCCATTTTGGAGCAATAATAAAAATTAATTATTTTTATAATATTATTAAATAATCATATTTAAGTTACTGAATGTTGGAAAAAAAAGGAAATTTCATAAAATTTGAATAAATTAATTAAAAATGAAAGAAGAAGTAGGGAAAAAATGTAACCTCTTGTTATCGTTGACCTTTCATATATAATAAATACCGTTAAGAATAACGATCATATACTCTATATATCTTTATCGCTGAATAAATTTCTAAGGCTTCCTTAAGTAATAAAAACCCATAAAAAAAACTAAATAATGTTTTTCTGTTCATAAACAAATATATAGAATGTAGATAATATAGAAATGAAATAAATAAATAAATATAGGTCAAGTTGTAAGTTAAGTACATACCATACCATATGCATGTACAATTAGATTGATTGCATTACAAAATATCCCTTCGAAATTATGAATATTATAAATTTATTTTTATTATTGATATATATTAAAAGAAATCTTTTTTACACTCATAAATCAAATTAGTTTATCAGATTATCTTAATGACTACATGAATTATCAAAATATCGTACGAATACCTTATCATATTCTTAAGTCATTAGTACAATCTTGATTCATTGATACGCAATGGTGACCATATACATAATTAAGAATACAATCTCATGCAAACAAATGACGTTTGCGTTATTTTATATAATTTTTCTTTATTTTTATTATCTCGAACAATTTACGTCAATAATATTATATTATTACCATTTACACTAATAACTGATTTATTATCAGTTACGATTTATACTCATGTATAACAAAAAAAAAAATTTTCATTCTTATTGTATAGAGTAATTGAGAACTTTCAAATATTATTCATCAATTTTTTTTTTTTTAAATGGTATAAAATATAAATACAATTTACCCACCCGAGATTACTTCTGATGTTAATGAGAGAAAGCCTTGTTTTTTAATTATTCTTTCACGAAACATTTTTCAACAGAACAAAAAAACTTTTTCACTTGAAATATTAGCAACACTTTCACCACATTATTATCATTTTAATTATATTGTCAATATAATTTATAAATTAAACTCTCAATCAACTTAGAATATTGATTACCACAGAAAACATGAAACTACAAAATAGAACGATGATCATTAAAGTATTCACACTTATATTTCTGTTACTGGGCCAATATTACTTTATAATATTACTGATAACAATAATTTCCTTGAAGACATAAATGATAGTCAATTATTTGATTTTATTTATTCGTAATATTTTTAATTACATATTAATGAGATGAATAATCACTGTATGGAATATAATTTATTAAATCCATCACCGGGGTTATTTTCATTTGTAGAATACATTTAAGTGTGTACACACGTGGCTAAATTAAATATAATAAATTTAACTGAGCAGTAAAAGTCTTAGAACAAAATTATTATAGTGCACGTTTGAGATACCATTCCTACAAGAGATACGAAAGAACTGCAGCTCAAAAATTATCTAGACATTCTTCTTCCTACTCTTTATATTTTACACTGACAGACAAGTAAGCTCAGACTCCCCACGATCTCTTTGCTTCAACTGTAAACTACGGATGAATATCACTGATTGTTCACTAACCAATCAGCACTAATGATTGTTTTTTATTCATTCTTCGTTTTAATTATTTCAGAGACATCTTATATGCATTGAAATAATTTTTTCAACAAAATACCTATTTTTTTGTATATTTATTTCTCATAATATTGCAAATATCATAGTTTATCATTAATTTTAATGAAATTCATTAATTATATACTGTATAATTATATTTGAAATGTAAAATTATCAATGAATTTAATATTAATATATTTTAGTATTGAGACGAAAATTTTTTTCTTCTAATCTGTAATGAATAATCAAACAATTTGACCAGAGTCCAATGACTTTTGTTGATACATAAAATTTGTTGGCATAGAAAATACTTGTGTAAACAATAAATTAGTGAGTCATGAACACGATTACCTTCAACTGGTTATCGAAGGTCATTTAAATTAATGGCCAGTTTGTCTTTACAAATGTGTACTGCCTAAAAATACTTTTTAAAGTGTATCTACTATTCGCTTAAACATACTTCATAGTCTATTTATTTATATCGCTGATTAAGTCAATTTTCATTTAATAATATATTTATTTTATTATTAATTGATATGTGTAGTTATAGAAAAGAAAAAAAAAATTAATTGATATATATGTCGTTTGGGGAAAAATAATTGAGTAGTATATTAGTTGTTGTTTATAAGTTAAGTTGTTAAATGAATAAGGCAGTTGGATTTTGGTACAAATTAGCTAGTCATCAGATTTCTGAATAAGCTAGGGTGAATACTTTAGGGCGTGGGCGAAAGACACAATGATGGATACAGTAACACGGTAGTTTATGATTATAAATCATATTAAGAATAAAAAAAATAATAATAACATACGAATGTATCCTTAAGATACTCGTGATGGATTACCTAATGAACAAGAAAATTGTAAATCCGAAATAATCTTATTTAAAAAAAAAAAAAAATTCATTTTTTTTCTTCATTTAATTTTTGATAATATTCAATTTTAAAAAATAGATGCATTTTTATGTTACTGTCATGTTAAACATAAATATTTTATAATATTTTTTCCATGAAACACGCATACAAAATGTCGCGTGTTGGGTGTCAGTCACCGGTTAGAAAATTATTAAATAAATATGTTGAAAAAAAAAAAAAATACATAAGGAAAAAAAAAATTAAAACAGACAAAGGGATCTCGTATTTGTATATGTAGATTTTAAAGAACTTTAGAGATGAATTAATAGTTTAAGTGTATACCAGCCGGCTTCGACAGTAAAAAGTGGAATGTTTATATGGCGTTACAGCTTTACACCTGGCGACAAGAATAGTATAGAGACAGAATAGAATCTGTTGGACGGAAATTCTTGTTCTTTAAATAAACAATAAGCCTTTTTTTTTTTTTTTAATTTCCTTAGCCTTTTTCATGTTGGTCCATATAATTATACTATTTTATTAAAATTACTCTTCTCATTAATGCCAACAATCAAGTTATCCTAGTAGATACAGATATTAAGCTATTAATTAATAGATTAATTAATGGTGTAGGGGTGAAAAAAAATTCAAATAATATTAATAAATGAACGAGAATTCTTTATTATTTTATAGTATTAATATTTTTTAACTTACATATTAAATGTAAAGATAATAAAACAAATTTCGAGGTATGTGCACATATGGTGTTTTTGTTTGATAATTCAAACACTTTTGGAGTAATAAAGTATGGGTGGTGTAATTTTTTATAAGCATCTCATATAAAGATTAAAACTATCTTATTTTAATGGTATATTATGATTATAATGATATTTATGTTATAAAAATTAAAAAATATTATTCAATTAATTTTAATAATGAAGAAAACAATATGTAAATTCAATCAGTAGCATTTATAAATTCTATTCTTCTCAACATTATCGAAATCAATTTTGTTGCATGAATAAACCTTCGACTTGTTACGATAACAGATTATATTCTTTCGTGTGGTTATATAAAATCATGCGATTTCAGAATAACAAGTTAAATATTAATTGGAATGTATCATTTACTATGTGATATTAATCAAAATAATAATATTCAACTGCTTATGCCAAATGAAATGTTCAATGTTGTTGTATTTGTTCAAGAGTACAGTTGTTGAGTATAATGTTACGTCATTTGCGTTATGTTCCTTCTTGTCCTGAACTACGAAAAAGTTTGAAATTACGTAGCAAAGAGTATCTTCGAGAAAATACTCTTGCTGGTTTTCCTTACTTTGTTAATCCAAATCGTCCAACTTGGGAAAGGTAGTGTAATGATGAATTAATTAAAAATATTTAATAAATAAATAAATATATAGTATTATTATTAATATTTCACTGTATACCCTTAAGAGGATTTTTACAATTCACTTTAATATTACCTAAATAAATAAATATAATTAATAAAAATTGTTTTATAGAGCAATATGGTTAATTTGTACAATAGCTTCACTTATTGGAGCATTGGTAATTATTGCCATCATTTGGGAGAGATTTCAAACTAGTCCGACTATTACTGGAATTGATATTCAAACTGATGAATTGACAATTAATTTACCAAGTCTTGTTCTCTGCATGACATCTGATTATTTAGAGCTTTCGCAAGTTTCCAAGGTTATTTTAATATCAATAATTATAATACTATATTTACAACTGGCATTAATTGAAATGAAACATTTCTGCGTAGGATTTGACAGATGTTTACCAAAAATTTTATAATTGGAATTGGGAGCCATTAAATGTAACATTACCTAAATTAACACAAACATTGAGTGATGTATTTCTACAAAGGACTCCAAGTTGCAGCAACGTTGTTGGTGATTGTATTGATAGGTGATATCAATAGTATTTATTATTGAATTTTAAAAATTATAGTCATTTATTGATTGTTTTTATGTTATAGAGGTAATCTTGTTCCTTGCAAGAATATATTTCATAAAATTTTAACTCCAGCTGGAATTTGTTGTCGAAGTGCAGCATTACCACTAATTAAAGATCAACCAAACATGAACTTATCATTCGCTCTTCTTCATCAAAAAAAATTAAAGTAAATTTTTAAAATTGATAAAATGAAATTATAAAAATAATATTAAAATTTTAATAAGATAAAGAGAAGATAATTTTTCTTTTTTAAAATTAAATATAATATGTTTTTTCAGTATTTATTTTCAAGAGCTAGAAGATGATATACCACTACGAGATACACCAATAACTTATCGTCCAGTAGAAAATACGACTTTTGATATTATAATCGAAATAACTGAAGCTTCTGATGGCTTACGCATGTTAACTAAATCTCAACGTGCTTGTGTATTTTCTGATGAAGGTCCCACGTATAACAAATGTGTTTTTAAATGTATGCAAGACACATTTCGAAGTATCTGTAAATGCTTGCCATGGTTTTATAGTAAAAGCAAATTAGATCAATGTACTTTAGAACAATATTCGTGTTTATCAACCAATGTTGTAAAATTACGAAAACCTAAATGTATTTCTAAGTGTTATATTCATTGTGCACACATAACTTATGGATTTGAGAATATTAAAAGCTCACCTGTAACAGCAGTTAGAACCAAATGGCCTCAAGTTAAATATGAGAGAGAGGTACGATTCGGTTGGCTTGACCTTATTGTCTCGTTCGGTGGTATTATGGGTTTATTCTTAGGTTACTCTATTCTCACAACTTTTGAAATGATTTATTATTTTACTTTACGGCTATATTGTGGTGCTATTATTGATAACGAAGATAAAGTTATTGAAAAAATCAAACTCGAAGACGATAAGAAAAAAATTGAAGTCCTACCTGTTATTTATTATGACTACACTAATTAATTAATATATCACATAAGGATAAAGAAAAAAAAGTTTGCTTCTTTGTTCTTCTTTGAATATAAAAACATCATTTTACTAGTATGATGAAGAAGAAAAAATCGATTATACACCTTATCAAGTAAAATATAATATATTATTTTAAATAAATTAAATATGTTTGAATGTGAAAAAATAATTATAACAGATAATTTTGAAAAATAATGATGCTTTATTTTTTTTTACATAAAGTGACAATTGTCACATGAAATTCATAGGTATGTATTATTACACATGTTAAAATAATAATAATAATCACTATTTTTATCATTGAATTTAAAGTTTTTATTTATAGTAAATGTGTAGATTGGTCTATTGAAGCTTGTACGATATTTTTGTTTTGATTTTAAATATAATTATTAATATTTAATAATATATATTTTTAATAAATTAGCACTCTGATGTGCGATTGCTTGTCAAAATGTAGCAAGTTTTGTATAATTAATTTTATGATTTCATAAACTTTTTCCTTATATATATATATATTTATATATTTATATATTCTATCAAAAATTGTTTTAAAGTTGAATGGTCGGTTTATAATATTATGCGTCTTTTTTTAACTCATTTTAATCAATAACTAATTTTAAAATATATTTTTATAATTTATATGGTCATTTTGATCGTTGCCATTTTTTTTAAAAAGACTTTATAACAATTCAAATGAAATTTTCTTGCATAATTTTTAATAATCAAATATTTATACTAATTCTAGAAAGATTATTTTTATTCAAATTAATTATCTACCTACAGTTATGATAAAAATTATAATACAATTTTGTTCTGTTTTAGATACATATCTCTCTAGAATTAAGTACACGTATTTAATACAGACACAATGATGAAGAATATAAATAAAATATTTATGGACTAATTAAAATTGACATAAATATATGAGAGGCCGTTTTTTTTGTTTTTTTCATTTTTTTTACATGTTTAAAATTCTATGTATTGTAAGTGATACATTATATTGTCCCTGTAATATAAATATATTTCGCGATTCACAGACTTATTTGGATATTATCAGTGCTTCTTTTAAAGTAATATCATTTTATAGTGTGAGGCTATTTTATTTAGGATCAAATTTATATTATTTTCCGTTTTTAAATAACTAAATTATATAATGTAAAACTAATACCACTAGTAAATCTATTTCACTAATCTCATTGGTCGGCTTCGTAATTAATTACTTTATCTGATCAATATTACCCCCAGGATCAATGGAACTCGGTAAAATAGTTGGTGGAGAATCGGAAATGTTAAGAAGAGCAACTTCTTCACAAGTATCTTCCGTTTCATTTTCAGTGTTGTAGTCAGATCCTTCTATTCTATTGGGATCACATTCCACTGTAACTTTAACATTTTTTGTTTTTTAATTATTTATAGATACGTGTCTTGATGTAATTAATAAAAACGTAATTTAAATATTTTTTTAATGATCGATATATTTTAAATTTTAAACGAGAAAATAATATTTATTTACCATAATCACCATTTAGATTAGATATCCGATGAGTTAAAGAATGGTCAGATTTGTCTAAAAGAGTAGGCACAATAATCACAACACCATCTTCTTTGGAAGGTGATAATGATGTCGAGGAGTATGCTGTTGAAGATTTGGCTGGCATTGCTTCATCTAAATGTATCAAGTGCGATGTTGTCGAGCTATTTGTAACCCCAAATATAATTAAATAAGTTGAAAGAAATTTTTTAAAATTAACAATACAAAAGAATTTAATTAAAAAAAAAAAGTCTATTTTTAGCATGAAAATGAAAATTCTTTGTTTTTAAATTGAAAAGAAAAAAATAAACCTGAGAGTGACTCGTTTTTTGACCCTAGTTCCAAGATCTGAATAACCTCGATGTATTTGACGTGGTTTAACTTGCTTAGGATCTCGGAGTATTTTTGAAGTAGGAGAACTGGGTTCTGATAATTGTTTATCAATAAGAATTGGCTTTAAAACAGTAACATCCGTTTCTTCAGTTACACTCAATGGTGAATAAGGTACATGAGAAGAATCACCTTTCGGCAATGGAAGTGATAAAAAACGTTTACGATCTTCCGCATATAATTCAATTAATTGATCCAATTTTGTTTCAATATCATCAACCTAAAATTCAATACAATAGAATATGAAATATACATTAACTGAATAATCAAATTTAAATTTAAAATACTAAAAAAATTTTTAAAACAAAATAATCACCATCATTTCTATTAATTTAAAACGAAATTAAACTAAAATATCAAGTATCCAATTACCTGTCGTTCTACTTTTACTACTCTTGATGCAAGACTGATTTTTGATACATACACGTCCCTGGCTTTCGATCCTTGTCTTCCAAGTATTTGATCTAATCTAAGCCAACGAAACAAAAAATTAAAACAAATCCAATTTATTTCTTCATCTTACTATTAATCTTCCTTACTTATTTTATCAATCATTCCATTATTATAGTCAAGCCAAACACATTGTTTAATTATTAAACATCACAATATTACATTCAAGGTGAATAAAATTGTAATAAGTGACATTTAATGATTTTGATATCAATATACGTGCACATGACAAAATTAAACATCAATGTGATGATTGATGCGAATCAAAAATTCTAAAAAAGCTATGTGCGAGTGGCAATTTATTTTTTATTTAAATATCAATAGATATTAATTATTAAATTGGTGAGACAGAGAAACGCACGACTAAAAAAAATCTAGAAAGCAAGAAAGATTTAAAAATTTTTATATTTCAGATAATAATAAAATATGTGCTATTACTATGGTAATTATTGACTTATTAAAACTTTCATTTGGAACAATAATTCATTATGTATATGTTCTATATCTAAATTGTTGATTATTGGTTTTTAAAAAAAAAAAAAACTAAAATTAAATAGAATATTAAATAAATTCTATCATAATACTACTTACTTAATTTTTTTTAAATAAATAAAATAATTTACTATGTGAGCCCGAATATAATTGATTGAAATTTTATTTTATTAACTCTGTTGATATTATTTTTTGAATGTTTTCTTTTACTTGACGCAACCACTTGATTATTTATAATTAAATAAATATACATATATGTGTATATGAAAGATATTTAATGTAAAGGTACACTCGTTTTTCAAGGTACCTGAATTGCAGATTTCGGACGCGATTTAGTAGATCCGCATGTCCAGAGCTGTACTGTTCAATCACGTCCTTGACATCGTAAGGTTTCAGAGCTTCTCTAAATTTCTTGCGAGCCACAAGCCATTTGAGCTGCGATAACAGCATACAATTTTTCCGTGTTGGATACAAATATTTTTTCTAATCATTTTCTATTCAACTCAATATTTTATTGCAAATTTATTTCAATAGAGATAATTAGAATTTTGTTTTATCAATTCATCTAAATTTGTTTTTTTATTAAAAAATAATTTTTAATTCATGAATCGTTTCGTGGTGTTTAAATGATGTTTAGGACTAATTAAATATATTACCAATTTTTGCTTTCCCCACAACAACCAATCATATGAACAATAGAAATCGAAACTAACATTAATTGCTTTAATTCTTTGCTTAAGATTTTACTGTCATAGAAACCAATTATATCAATGGATTTTTATTGATATATAATATCAATAATATTTTTAGTTGATACAAATAATTAATTTTAAATATATTTTAAAGAAAAAAGTAGTAGTAAAAATATCAAAGTCTACCATGCGAAGAATTTCCGTAACATTTTATAGAGACATAACGTAATCAAATCCAAGTGTGCATCGAAATAACTGTGCATTTACAGATACTACGATATAGTACATTAAATTTGTCTGGAAAAAGTGAGACGTAAGATACAAATGTGCCTGAGAAGATTCCTTCGAAAAAATATAGAAAAGACGAATGAACAGAATGCTACTATCTATTATCCAGAAATAGTATATAAGTATTTATCTTATCTATGTATTGTCATTTCAACTGAGAATGAGCGAAAGTTGGTGAGTAGAAGAATCAATAAAGTTAATGCACAAATAAAATTCGTAAGTAAGTATATAGGACCAAATACTAATTAAATATATCTTATCTTGTGTATTTATGTATACAAAAAATATTATTAATATCAGATAAATTTTGTTTATGATAAATTTATTTATTCAAAATAAATGTTTTAAAATATTAAAAAAAAAAAAACGTAGTTAAATTAATATAATTAACACTTTGAGTGTATTAGAATAAAGATTTTTTAAATTAAAAAAATATTTTAAATAGAAAAAAAATATATATAGAAATCAATAAAAATAATTATTTTAAAAATTTTTTCAGTATGTTTTTGTAATATAGTTTTTTTCGTCTCATAAATAATAATAAGTCAATTAATATTATCGATAAATAAATGAATAAACTGAATAAAAAGTGCTTTTCAATAAATTTATCATGTAAAAAATTTTGAGTAAATTATTATGTTATGTTTAAACAATATGACAATTCACAAAATTACTACGAATAAAATTATTAATAGCGAACGAACAGAGGTCATGATGTGCTGAGCGATACCTATTTTGAATATTTTTCACGCGGCTGATGAGGTCAACATGTCCTGCACTGTACTGCTCAATCACGTCTTTTACATCATAGGGCTTCAGAGCCTCTTTGAACTTGCGCCTCGCCACGAAGTACTTCATCTAATAGCGACAAGCATATACGCATAATCAATCAGTTATACCACAAACTAGACAGTATTCGCACACTATTAAACCACGTGATTTAAGATTTTTTGATTAATCATTTATTTCCACATATTATCCTTATTTTATGATATTACATCCTCATGATTAATCTTGTTAGATCTACTGTTTATTTATTATATATGCCTACTATATATTCACCCTTCAAATTTCTCTTAATTACTCATTAATTTGGTAATATTGGTAATATTTAACTTTCTGTCATCTCTATTCTTAAATAGGCATTTCTTTTGATGTAACTCCTACTTTTCATAAGTATTGATTAAATCATTATTTATTTCAAATTTTTATTAGTTTTTTTAGTTTAATATTATCAAATATTGTGATTAATATTATAAAAAAAAAGCTACGAAAGCTCATTCAATAATTATTATGACTTTTTTAACAAAGTTCATTTGATTAATTGATATTGTAATTTCTTGTCAATAATATCATTGAAATGTAAAAGAAATTTTTTTATAAATATATGATAAAACTATCCACATGAGAACCAATTAAATTAATTTTTATTTATAAATATTTATTGAATACTAACCTTTCTTATAGCTCGAATTGCAGTTTTGTGTTGTTTAGTCAAGTGAACGCAACGAGGTTCTTCATCTTCATCTATAAATAAAAAATCTTGAAGATTTTTGAGTAGAAAATATTATAACATTTAATATATTAAAGTGATATAGCTCATTTAATTTTCAATTAAAACTATTTTTTTATACTAGAGAAAAAGTTTTGTAATTAATAGTTGAATAGCAGTACAAAAAATTTTTATGATTTCTCAACTATTAAATAGCTTGTTAACCTTCATATAAACTATAAATAACTAGTTAAAAAATTTGAAATTTGAAATTAATAATTAATAATATTATATACATAGCATTGTTTGATTTCATAAATGTTATAATACGACATCGAGAAAATTATTGAAAATTTTTTATTAAAATATTATTTTTTAATTGTAATATTTTATATATTTTTTATTATTCCTAGTTATTGTAATAATTATAATTACCATCTGAATTTTTTTTCGATAATGACGTCTCAATCACTGAATCTTCCGAGTAACTGGCATTAAGATTTTTCGAAGGTATAGAAGATTCATTATTATCATTACAAATGATGCCATGCTGATGGTTGTTAACTCCTATCAACAGTAATGGATCGACATGAGGAAAGTAAATGTGTTCCATCGATATCATCCGTCAATCCTTAGATATTGACGCACAATGATTACAATAGTAGTACTCATTGAAATTTCAAGTAAATCAATATAATTATTACTTGAAGGAAAAAAAATTAAAATGGACTATAACTGACCTAAATTCTCTGCTGAAGAAATGAGATCGGTAAATGTACGAGTTGCAGTAGTACTACGTTGGTAGTTGTGATGTGTCAATTTGTGAGCACTTGGACTATGAAGCGAGGTACTCTTATGGCGACGAATTGTCGGTAGTCGACTGACAAATGATGCGTTGTGTTTGAAACTGGACGATAAACGACTGCAAATTAATAAGGAAAGAAAGACCGTATGTCATTATATTTGAACATATGTATTCATTTTAACAAAGGTCCTTTTACACTGGTAGAAGTATTTCTTTCTATCTAACATAATTTATTAGCAGCTAATAAATATGTTATTTGAAAAAGAAAGCATAATTAAATGTTAGGTTATATTATGAAATAACTTTTATTTATTGAAAATTTTTAAATAAAAAATAACGGTTTCGTAATTATTAAAATTAATATTTTCTTTTAAACAATAGCTCAACGAGCAATTACATTATACCCGAGTAAAAATAAATAGGCCCAAAAGAAGCCCATTACAGGCCTAAATTTTAAAGGAGCCCAATTGAAGACCAAAAACATTTTCTAGGCCCACAACACACTCAATTCGAGCCCAAAAATATTGTTCAGGCCCATAACGCGCCCAAATCAGGCCTAAAACTATTTTGCAGGCCTAAAAACACGTCTAATCCAAGCCCAAAAATATTTTCTAGGCCTAAAACGCGCCCAATTCAAGCCCATTTTCTAAGATCATATTCGACAATGATGACAATAAATTATTACAAATGTAAACTTGTAGCACCAAAGTTAATTTGATGATAAGTTTTTATGACAATTTCTTTTTCTTTTCTAGATTTTTAAAATATTTTTGAGCCTGATTTGGGCGCGTTTTAGGCCTGCAAAATATTTTTGGGCTCGAATTGGGCACATTATGGGCCTCAAAAATGTTTTTGGGCTTCAATTGGGCGTGTTTTAGGCCTCGAGAATATTTTTGGGCTTCAATTAGGCGTGTTTAGGCTTGCAAAATATTTTTAAGCCTGATTTGGGCGCATTATGGGCCTCAAAAATATTTTTGGGCTTCAATTAGGCGTGTTTAGGCTTGCAAACATTTTTAAGCCTGATTTGGGCGCATTATGGGCCTCAAAAATATTTTTGGGCTTCAATTGGGCGTGTTTTAGGCCTGGAAAAGAATTGTGGACTTAAATTGGGCGCGTTGAAAGCCTGAAAAATCATTTGGGCTTGAATTAGGTCTCCTTCAGGCGCGCCCAAAAACTAATCATTTTTACTCGGGATAACCATTCAATTTCGTGTGAATTGTTAATGGTTTTATAAATATAATAATATCAGATTGCTAAGCAAAGAAGATTTATTACCTACAAATAAATTTTTATTTGTATCAAATAAATGCTGAAAAATAATTTTAATGAATTCATTTAGTCCCACCAAATATATTCTTCTATCAGTGTAGAAATTCATTTTCATGTAACCTTTTGTTGACAAAAGTAGTCATCATTATTATCTGAGTTATCTAGAGATCTAAACAATACTTTGCTTTTAAATCAAAATAGATAAACACAAAATTGTCAAGTCATTGAAAAATTTATTATTTTGTTTGAAGTAACAACTACAGCAGTTAAATGATTCATTGATTGTCATATAAATATTACAAAATTCCAACGACAAATTTCTCAAATTTATAGAAAAATTCGATAAAACTTACTTAAAAACATCCTTTATTTTTTCGCCGTCAAATGCGGTTGGTTTGATGACAATCCATTCACGAGAAATATTTTTAAAATAATTTAATAATTATCCAATATCTTACTAGTAATATTAACGAAATATCATATTTTATTTATATGATATTTCAAAAATAAAAGATTAAGTTATAATAATTGAATATAAGAAAATTTAAATTATTTTAAAAATATTTTTGATAGATGGATCATAACAAAATCATTCCTTTTTGTATTCTTGTCCAAACAATTCAAAACTTTTCTCGTAAGTCTTATTGTATTTTGTAAAATTATTAATCAAAGTTATGGATAAAATTGAAAAATTACTGTCAAAATTTAAATGATAAATTTCGAATTATAAATATATATATATATATGTATATATTATTGTAAAATATCAGATGAAAAATATATACATAATTAAAAGTTGTAAGATTTTTTTTTTACTTGAGGTTGAATGAATTTTTCAGTTCGTTTATTCTTGGTATAATATTATGAAGTTAGTGAACGGTTAAAATAAGATGTATGTATACTTACCTAGGCGGACTAGATGGCAAAATCACCTGATGAATCTTCCATGTAGCTACACTTACGCTGTGTTCATCAGCTGCATAACACCGCCAAAGAGCTTGAATAAGAGTAGCAGCTGGCTGACGTCTTCTAATCATATGCTTTTGACGTTGTTGCTGTTGTACTTTAAGGGCAAAACCCGATCCAAGAATACCCTTAATCCGATAGATTAATTATTAATTACATTTAAAATGATATTAATTAATGTCTAGGAAATGTCTAGGAATACTTACAGCAGGCAAAGCAAAAAAAGAGATGCCTAAAAGTGCGCAAAAAGATGCTATTATCTTTCCTTGCCACGTTTTTGGCACAGCATCTCCATATCCAACAGTACACAACGTGATCTATAAATAAATTATAATATTATTTTTAATCAATCTTATTATTTGTTTTTGAAACGGTTGATTTTGAATGATTTTGTAAGAGAAAAATAAGCGAATAGATATCAAGATAAATATAGACATAATACCTATTTTATAAAATTTATTAGTTTCATCATCTATTTGTTTATTAGTTTATAGAGTAGTGAAACTTCTTACCACACCCCACCATAAAGCTTTTGCGTAGTTATTAAAGTGTTCGTCATCACGTTCAGCGAGGTATACTAGGAAGCTTGCGAAAATTAATCCCAGGAAACCAATGTATAGAGTGGTGAAGAGCTCCTAATTATATAACCATTATCAATTATAATTATGTTTATTATTAATTCATTTTTTTTTATTCATACAAAAATTTTAATTATCCTAAGATTAATTCGTAATTAATGACGTTATACAATAATTTTATTAATTTGATTTACTCGATTATTTTCAATTGTTTTAAGAATTATAATTGATCCTTGTTTCTTTTAATTAGTTGACAGAAATAGAATAATTAATTTATAAATACTCTTAGAGTTAATATTAATAACAGATACTTGATAATAAAAAGTGTTTAACAATGAAATAAATTGATAAAACTAATTTTTATTGATAAGTTTAATCTCATATTAATTTTGAAAATAATTAGTAAAAAAAAATAATAATTAACCAATTAAGGATACCTGACGATGAGCATAAACGACGCTACCTAAAAGCTTCCAAGTACCACCACGTCGGTCCATACGAACCATTCGAAGTATTTGAAAAAATCGAAGACCTCGAAGAGCACTTGCGGCAAATACTTGACCACTGCTTCTCATAGCAAGTACTACAATACTCGCCATTATTGTTATTATATCTAAAATAAACATTTAATTAATATTTATTTACATAAATATTAATCTCAATCAAGCATTCATCAAATAATATCTTCCAATGAATATTATTTTTTTAAATAAAATAATCAAAACTACACAAATGTTATTTAAAAATATATAATTCTCTTTGTGATAATTAAAAATAAAAAAAAAACTACCTATGATACAAAATGGCCGTCGAAGAAATTTTAGTCTTCCAATAGCTGTTTGATAACGTGACCGACATCCTGACGACCAAAGCCTTCAAATAGAAAGTTATTTTTTTTGTAAACCTTTTATTGTTGTTAGGACAAATTACCTGTGCCAATTACCTGCAAAAAAACTCGCCACTGAACCAAACTAAAACAATAAGCTCCATGTAATAAAGTAACATTCCAGCTTCTTTTTCGTATTCGTCTATTGTACTAAAGACCGAAAGCACCAAACACATGAAGACCATGAGAAATCTATATATTTGCAAAAATTATTTATTGATATTTTAGTGTAAATTGAAATATTCGAAATAATAAAAATAAAAAGCTTTACACAATCATATGGTAGGTGATGGCATAAATGCCTCGAGGCCGTTCAAGAAAATTATAGAAGTTGGTCTGGAGTCTACGATACCGGGCATCTCTTCTTGTCGCCCTATAGTTTATTGGACGACCTAATAATGACATTCTCGGCGCTGTTAAGCGTCCTTCTCTTCCTCCTCTTCCTCCGTTTCCTCTGCCAGGACTAACGGTGCACTCACCGATGTCCCTAAATAAAGAGAATACGTTTTTTTTAAATAATATTCACAATAAATCATTTCATTAGAAATTTATTCCAATTATTCTGATAAAATGGTTTTAATAATTTCGGTTTTTGCAATCAATTCTTCATCGTTATTCAGTTATTAAGTCATTATAAAATTTCTCACATCACTTTACTTAGTTATTTATCAATAAAATATCAAGCATATTATTGATAGTCGTCTTACTTGAATTTATATCGAATTTTATCATCGTTTAATATGTACACGTCTGACCTAACGTATGTTTACTCTCCTTTGATCAATATATTTATTGAATTGTTAAATAAAAAAAACAATATTCAGATCTCATAACAGATTGAAGTTTGTTTTTATATTAATCTTACATTAGTTATTGTTGAGTCTACAGAAAAAATTGGTAAATGCGACTCATTAAATACATATATTTTGCCGAAAAAATTACTTGAAATTATAAACAAAGGTTATAATTGAAAAATTTAAATGCAATATTGAATAAATAATATGAGGGAATACGGGGCAAGATGGTTTTTTCGATTTTTGATAACTCAGTGAGGCAAAACAGATTTTCCGAAGCTGTTAATACGAAAGTTAACATTGATTTAAAAATATGCTTATCACTAAAATTATATTATTATGTGTATAAGTAATTTTAAAATTCAAAAAGCCATATTGCCTTGTATTGCCCTATGTATTAATAATAATTGTTAATCGTTTTCTCTTATGTTAATTTGAAGGGAATTATCGTGGTTTTATTTCACATAAAAATAATAATAAATATTTTTGAAAATAACAGACCGTTTTTTTGTCACAACGATAGAAAATTTTTATTTATTTAAATGTGATCAAGAAATTTCATTTAAAAAATGTAACGTTAATTATTAATTTAACACAAAATTTAGTGAAAATTTGTAACTTCATTAAATATAAAATAAACTAGAATGATGAAAATATTGAAAATGATTATATACAAAATGTGATTAAAAAATTTTAATTAATAAATCAATTGTCTATTTAATGAAATAAAAGTCATGCATTGGATGGAATTTTATCAAAATTATCTATCTATCAAAACGCTACGTTTGTTGCTTTAAATATAATATTCATAAATATTTGATCTAATTTTAAATTAACTAAAAACTAAAAATAATTCAATTCACTTCTTTTTTTAATTTAAAACTATTTAAATATTTTTTATTAATATTAGATATGAAATAATGATACTGTACCAGTAAATATTAAATAATAAAAAAGCATGCTTCATTGAAGACCATCAAATCATTATCCAATTATTTTTTAAATAATTCTTCTTTGATATTATTTAAAAGATTTCGTTAATAAATTGGCCAAATAATTGAAATCATTTTGTAGTAAAAATTTGTTTCGTTTATCATCACTAATTGGACATGAAATTTAATTTCTCTTTTCATAAGTTACAAGTTTGCAAACATTTAATAATTTTAAATTATTTGTTAGCTTTCCTAAACAATCAATTTATTAGATGAATAAAAGTTAAAATATTCGAAATGGGGATCAATATTAGGTATTTTGAATGATTGAAATACATCATCAGGTACTTATGAATGAATACCTGATAGTTTTTGAATCCACCATGTTAAGAGATTGGAATCTTACAGACGAAGTCGTGCAGTAAGATGTGAAGTCGAAAGACTTAGAGTCGCGAATCTTGGAGTCTGGTTGGAAGGCCGTTGAGGAGTGTAAGACGAAATTCGTTGGGGTGAGGAAAACACGATGTAGCAACGTTGGACTGCCACCCGTCGAAAGTGGCTCCAACGTCATTATCGCTGGGCAATAATTAATTGCAAACATAGTTTCATGGTGATGTATATCTCTACATAGCTATATCCACGTTTATCTATCACCTTTAGGGTCAATCTGACACAGCTCACCGCTCAATTGTCATCTGATCCTTCTTTTAGATCCACCTTTATCATTCATCTCTTGTAATACAACTGTTCTTTGTAGCTTAATGCTTGCATCTGTAAAATGAAGAAAAAATACCCAACTATCTTCTCCATTCTACATCTTTCAACATTAAGAACTCGAGAAAACCACCTATGTACATGTCTTTCATAAATTATTTTTATTCAATATTGCCATCTAAAACAATTTTCTCGACATTTTATATTTTTTATCGTTTTAATAATCATGTATTTTCTATACCAACAAGAGTTTCTTTAAAATCATTTTTTGTTATATAAAATATTATATTATTATTGTTTATAAAAATATAAGTATTGGTACACATGTGGTTCCTTCAATTTATATTAATCTTTATGCAAAACTCAAAATAGATAAAGTTTCTGAAATTTTGATGAATATTCTTTTTTACTTAAATGTTTTGTTAAAAAAAAAAAAAAAAATTAATTAAAATATTTAAATTTTTTTATTGGGTTTCGAAAAACTATCATGTATCGATTATAAATTTAAACATTTTGACGTTTTACGTAGACAAATTTAATCTATCCTGAGTTACTCATAAATGTCATTAAATTCATTCTCATTTATTTCTATTTATGAAACAATATAACATCAATACATGCATTTTATTTCATCCCTATACAAAATTTTAATTAATTACATGTCTTTATGTAATTTACTTTTTGAGAATATAATTTTATCATAAAAGCATGCGAGAGAGTTCTTTTATTAAATTTTTGTTTAAAAAAAACTGCTCTTCCAGTTCAAGTAATGTCAATCAAGACATCAAAGCAATGAACTTGATAATAAGCTAATATATATATATATCTATTCAACAATAAACTTTTTTTTTTTATCTGTGGTCTATATGTCATTTATTTTATATCATAATGACGATAGTAACGGACTATTAATAAGATACTTACGTTGTTTGTATAAATATTATTTATATAAATTTATTCTGCAATTTTTTTAAATTTAATTCTAGACAATGTTTCCAATTTATGGTATAATTATTCGATTAAATAAAATAATTTTGTTTTCAATATAGATAACAATGTATTACTGAATTGTCGGGAAGAAAATACGTACATATTATTGAAAAATATATGACCGACTACGACTATGTAACCTTTAACAATCAAAAATGGTTTGAGCTTGCCATTGTTCTGCGAATAATTTTCTCATCCAATTAGCTGGTTCGGCAATAGAAGCGAATAAAGCACTCACGGTTGAGTGCTACCTGTCAACTTACTATGTGTTAGTCTTCTATGTGTGTATCCCAATAAACATATATATACTACACATTTTCATGTACATTTGAGTGTATAGTAACTACGTTATACATACAAATGAAATATCTTCTTCGACAGGTATTCTTATTTTTTTATCAACTTCTCAAGTCAACGAGAAAAAAAACATTTATCCCTCTTCACACTATAGATGTAATGAAAAACAAATGTCATTATACAAGTAGACAGTTAAAAAACAATGACATTATTTCTTATTTCATTATTATTAATTGTAAATTTAAGTTTAATTATTTACTTGAATTTGCGATATAAATATAACATATTTAATTGTTCATTTAAATAATTAATAATTCCAATCTGACAGTCAGTGATAAAAAATCTAAAGTTCAAGGATATATATTCTTTTTATCAAATAGAAAAAAATAGTCAGATAAATTCTAGAACTGGTTATGTCACTTAAGTACAATTAGTAGAAATAATAGAGTGGTACTTTGTCACGAACAGGATAATTCTATGAAGATGACGTACATTTCAATAAATATATAAATGTCTCAATAAAAGAACCATCGATTTTTATAATTATAATAACCATTTTTATTTCATTAAATAAATCATTTTTTAATATATATATTCATATGGTGACATATTTTATGATATTTATGATCAATAATTTCATAAATACTGTATGATAATGATTATAATGATAAAGAAAATCATAATAATAAAATAAAATAGTTAAATGACTAAATAACCCTTTTACATAATTGATAAATTTGACATGAATAGTGGTAGTTTAGACGAATAAGTGAAGTAGATGCTTGGAGCACGAAGTCATTGACGTGTTTTTCACAACGACTACGAGGCATTTTCTCTTCAAAGCTCTTTGACAAATTAGGGCAATATCGATTGGTTAATTCTAACAAGTCTCAGGAATAGAATGAGGTGTGAGAGCAATAAAATCGGAAAATATAAAAAAAAGAAACATATACGATTGCTTTGAAGTGAAATACTAATGCTAATAGAAAGAAAAAAGAAAGAACCGATGGTAAAAAGTGAATCGTCAAAGATAAACTAGTGATAGCAATAACTGTTAATAATATTATATTAGGAAATAGAATAATTATATTTATTTCTATTAACCTTAGATTATTTTGAAGTACCGAAACTATGTTTACCTAATATTAGAGGAACTCGGTACAAAACAAATTTCTAGATTTAAAATTTCCTAATAATATAATATATAATAATATGTAATAATAATAATATATAATAATATTATAATATATAATATGCATAAATAATATCATTCGAAAAATAATTTATATTTTTATATAAATGTAAACATTTTTTTGGACAACTTTATGGGATTTAATTTGTCCTACTAATTTACTAAAATTTTAAAAATTTGTCTTGCACCACATTCTCCTATATATATACATATATTTATAATGTCCATATAGGTATTAATAAATAATAGTGTCTGATTTTAAAAATGACATACTATTTATTAGCATGTATTACATTTATTAATATGATTGTAAATCAAGATCAGTTCGTAAAAATGAACTGTTGAAATTTTTAAAATATGATTTATATTCGAAGGGTATTATGAGGAGCAGAAGAAACTCAAAAAAGTGCATCAATTCATGTTGTCAGCTTAAAAGCTCTTCAGACACCTGTCATAGCCTTAAAAGTCAGGTAACTATTTATTTATTAATCACGGCGTGACCTACAACAGAACTGCGCATGATTACGGATTCGATCGTGCAGTTGACCTCTGATATGAGACCAGTATTCGATTGTTTATTGATTTTCACGCAATAAATATGTTTACGCATTTCAATATTGAGGTAATAAAGAACTTTGTAATTTTAAACTTGAAATTAATATTATAAATATGTATGTACGCCAATGATCATTTCTAATCTCATACTTTCCAATTACTTTTAATGAATAAGAATACATGTAAATTCATAACAATTCTTTTCTACTAATGAATTTTAATTCTACTTGACCTCTATGTCCCATTTCATACTTAAGAAAACAAAGTATAGTAATGTATAATAAAAGTTAAACAGTGTACACCTTTCAAGACTTTGTCCGTAAAATAAGTAAAATAAACAAAGTGAATTTTTAATATAAAAAATATGGAACTTTTTAAATTAACGCCGCCAAAAAGCAATATCTAGATACTTATATCAGATAAATTATTAATTAGCACTGGTAATTATTGAATATTTATTTACTTGTCGTAATTGAAATTATTTTATTCCTAAAAAGTATCTTATCAAATATTAGTGTTAATAAAATGTTAATTGTTTATCAAAAAAATATTATAATTTTTAAGTTTACAAAATTACCACGATAAGTATTACGGTGATAATTATAAATAATAAATAAATGTCATAAATAATTACTTGTATTTATTACATTTATTTATATATAGATATTCATCTATAAATTTTGTGTTTAAGAATTTATAAATAATGTTTCTTTCTTAAATATATGTCATTTATAGACATTAACAAAGCATTTTTTATATCCTTTTACGTGTTTCATTCGTTTTTTATTTAATTGGATTTATAACGTGGATAAAATCTGTTTTATTATGCTTAAAAAACGATACAAATATGTTAATCATCATTCATTGACTTTTTATCAAAATGTCAATATCTTTATGGTATAGCTGATAAAACCACCCTATTTCAGTTTTAACAATCTTATTAACTTGAATTGGTATCAATGATGATGATTATACATCTTTTTTCAAAATAAAATAACAATGGATATATAATATAAATATTTTTGTTGACTTTCATTCTTGATATACTGTTTACACTAATCAATAATGATTAATTAGTAATATTAAACTGTAAAAAAATGAATTTTCAAAGATAATACGTAAGATGGTATATTTATTAAACATATCAAATGAAATCTCGACATATCTGACAATAAAATTATTTTCAAAAATACTTCGATCTGATTGGATTTTTTATATCATAAAAGTACATTTAATAATGAAAATTATCTCAAGTTAAAATACAATAGAACTAATATTTTAAGGAAAATGAATTTCATATACTGCATTGTTTTAAAAACTACTTACTCACGAAATAATTAAAAATGATGGAATGATAAAATACTTGACGATTATTGTATTGAAACTGTTACAATGTTTTTCCCTATGTTTTTGAATGACGAAGTACACGCAGAGAAATGCATAGTAAAAATTACCCTGAATATGTTTGGTAATTTGGTGACACTGCAGAGTGAGGGTAAAAATTACTATGCAGTTTAGTAATTTTTATAATGTGCACAGTAATTTTCAATACATTTCTCTGCGTGTACGCGAATTAACACACTGTAAATCGCAGTTTTTCAAAATGCATTATTTTAATGCGGATAAGTGTGTTAAATATGACGTCACCCATTTTATTAACATTGTAGTTACTTTTTACACACTTAGATCTGCGTTAAAAGTGACTACAATATTAATCAAATGGGTGACGTCATATTTAACACACTTATCCGCATTAAAATAATGCATTTTGAAAAACTGCGATTTACAGTGCATCAAAATAAATAAATTATAATGTATGCGTATCAAAATTTCCTCTTCAAATTAAAGTTTGACTTTAAGACAAAAGTATAAACGAAAATTACACTACATAATTAATCTTACCGAATAAAATCTAAATTCGTCGAAAATATAATTACTCTGTACTATCGAGGATTTATTCGATTCATACTCCTTGTTATTCGATACTAATTGAAAGCTAAAATCTTGTTTTTTATATATAATATTTGAAATGACGTTTATTTATATTACAATATCTTGTAAAAAAAAAAAAAAAACCTTTTTAATTTCACTATTGAAAAATTCCCATACAATTGAGCTATCCGTTCAATTTATATGTATTACTTAATGAAATTGTACAAATCGATTTTATAAGAGTGGAATGGTTTTATAATATTAAAAAAATGATAATAATAATTTGAGATTATTTAGCGGATTTATAATAAAAAAATATCAGCTTTTTTCGCAACAAATTGCATTTTGTTGAAGATGGGCGCGCGCGCACGGATATCGATTGTGTCGAGTAGGGTACTTTGAACCAACAGATTCATTAATTTTCTCCCTGCTGAGATTTGTTACTTCAACAATGAGGAGGTGACGAGCCAGTTACGTGAAAACATAAATAAATAATAGGTTTCAAAATATTTTATATCATAATATAATATTGCCACCAATCAAATGGATTATTTACTTTACGTATTTTTATTTATTCAAATCACTTTTAAATTTATGACATCACATAATAATATATAACGTGCGCAAAACGTCAGAGAATAATGCTGAAAGCAATCGATTTGTTTTATCGCTTAAATTTTCACGTCTATCGCCTCCAATTCATGCTCTACCTTAACTCTATAAACATCAGTGATTTTTAGAGCACATATTCTTCAAATAAAAGTATTTTTAGCTAACGTGGAATAAACATTTTTTTTTACTATTCAATCGAATTTATTAATTGCATGTATGTATATATATTTACATGAATGCATGTAATATTTAGTAATCGACTTTTTCTGCAAATTCATTTAATATTTATTTTAAATACTAATAAATTTTTTTATATTAAAAATAAATATATGTAACATGTGATTATTTTGAAAAATTCTATTCCCAAAAGATTAAATCTTATCGAATATTTTTTTTGACTCCTGATTTTTTGTGATTGCAATCATTAAATAATTCATTACATTTATTTTATATTTATGCATATGCATTTGTAAAAGTCAACTTTAAAATAATAAAAATACACATGATGACGAATGACAAATATATATGAAATTATTATTTATAAATAAACTAATAGGTTATAAATGTAACCTAATAAGTTGTTTCTCTTTTATTATAATATTATGAATTTAAAAAAAAATTTTGTATTGACATCTTATATTATTTTGATGATCTAAAACATACTAATTTCTTCCTTGTTTATTTTACTAATTGTAAATTCAAATTACAATTTTAAATATTACGAAAAAAATTTCTAAGCCAATCATATGGAATTTTGTTAATTATTTTTAAAGAATTTTTTGTTTTTTTTTTTAAAAAAAAAATTTTCTAGTTTTTTAATAGATATTTATTACACGAGAGACCATTTTTTCGATAATTCTACAAACGAATAATTTTATTTTATTCAAATAAATAAAATAAAAGAAATTTATTTAAAGCTTCTTTTAGTTTCAATCTATCATCTTTAAAATTCGTAATTCCATTGTAATTTTATTAGATAATATAATTGAATATTAAAAAAGTCATTCAATTTTAATTTCAAGATTTAATCACTTTTACACAATTTTCTGTAGACGTATTATAAATTAACGAGTTATATTTATTGAAATTAGTTAAACATTATAAACGCTATTATTATATGATTTACAATTAATAAAATATGCATCGAAAACTCATTTTAGATTTCACGTAAAAAATTAAAGATTTATTGTTCATGTTGAATAACATTGTCTCGAATATTTCCCAATATTAAAGTAGAATTAATTAACCAATTAAAAACTTGAAATTGGTTTTTTTTTCTTTGCAAAAAAAAATATCTAAAATAATTGAATTAAAATTAAAGCAAAAACGACTGTAATTAAATGATTAAACTATTTTAAACTTCTATAAATAATCATGCAATAAAAATCATGCATAGGTAATTTTGAAAAATTAAGAAAACATTTAGAGTAAAAATTGAATTTAGAGACTCTCACCTACGCGACTACAAGCTCTCGAAGACCAAAGATTTTCCATTCCCTCATTAATTTAATTCCGGTCATTGCGCTTGAAGCACTTAGTTTTTTTTCTGACAAAATATTCCGATTTTTTAAATTTTTCGTTACATTATTTGTCCGATTTTTTAAACCATTTCTTTATCACTTAAAATTATTTATTTTCTACTTTATTCGTACATACTTTTACACTATTTAATTTTTTTTTTTTTAAATATCAAATACAAAAACGCGAACTTTTATTTAATTTTTTTCTTCAAACGCGAGATTAACTTGGCACAGTATCTATTCCAGCATTACAATCGACTATTCAGCAATAGTTACATCAAAGTTTACAAGCCAAATATAAGAGGGAAAATGATTAATTATTTTTTGACCAATATAACATACGTTGCACGTGTTGAACCGCTAACCATACACGCTATATAAACAAAGCGGCTGACCGGATTCATCAAGTTATTTATTTACTTTTCTGTTTATTTATTTCACAATTCTTCATTACTTTTCATCATTATAACTATTACAAAAATTTAAAAAATTATTATCCATCAAATGATACAAGTCTTAACTATTTTATATAAATAATTCGTTTTATTAGCGTTAAAAATTTTATAATTTTCATTTGCAGTATAAAAGAAAATAATCCACATATACATATACATGTATCAATATATGTACATATGTATATTGAAGAGGGAAATGAAATTTTAGAATCTTTGTAAGTAAAAAACAAAATAAACAAAGTATTAAATCGTAATAACAAATGTAACTAAAGCACTGATGAAAACATGCACACCGGGATCACGTCAAACAGACGACTACTGCCCTCAATCCTTCTGCTTTTTTACTGAGAGGGCGTTTTATCCTCTTCCTCTACTCCTTCTCTCCAGAGTCACGCGTTTTCTCATGCGCCCGCTCAAACTTCCCCTACATAATAATTACATCGTGTTTCCTATACTTATCCTGACACAACCTTCTACCCTCTTGGTACCTTATTTTCTATGAGTTTTATTTCTTTATTGTCTTTTATTTTTATTACTACAACTCTCTTTTTTTCAAACAAAAAAAAAAAAATAAATAAAGTAAAGATGTAATTCAAATACTTTTTTAAGAGGAAAAAAAAAATTCTCTTACTAACAGATAATGTTTTTTATAGAAAAGATTTATAAAAAATACTTACCAGTAATAATTTGTTCCAAAATGATCTGTATACATTTCATGACACTCACAACAATTAAATATTTCTCGTTGATAAAATATTTAATTAACAATTCACTAATGTTTGACATGCCAATCACATTAAAGAATCCGTTTTACTATGAATATTATTACGAAATGTTTAAACATTTCTAATGGCTAGAAAATTATTCATGATAATTATAATAAAATATGTTGAACTATACACAACTAACTTAATTTCACAACTAACAATATCAAAATGCCGCGTAAAACTAAAGTAGACTAAAGTTTTAAATAGAACATACTCAATTACCCTCACCTTTATTAATAAGCTTATTTCTTGCGCAGAAACATGCGCAATGTAAGTACATTTTTGAAATAATAAAACAATTTGTTTTATAAAATAAATCAACTTTTTATTTATAATAGTAAATTAATTATAATCTTAATAAATTCAAATATAAGTTGAATTGTAGATTGGTATCAACTCTTATGATTGGCCAATAGATCATCTTCTATTGAAGATATTTTTTAAAATAAAAATATCAATACAATATAATAATATAAATATAAAATAAAAATTCTACTCCATTATTTGATACTTAACTATTATTAAAAATATTCTTTTTAATGTTTCAATACAAAAAGAAATAAGCTTCTTAAATTGCTACAATTACAAAAATATATTGATTTATTTTGAAAACTCAAATAATTATCATTTAGGTAATAAGTGTTGTTGCTTTTCGATTAGAGTGACTCTCACTTTTCTTATCTTACCCATTGCAACATTGATTCATTTTATATTACAGTAATTATAGATTCCATCTATTCATTATAAATAGATAATAATTCATATTTTTACTGATGAATACTAATTTACTATCCATGTAGATTGTATAAATGTTCATGATTTATCAATATCATTTGTATTATCATCATCTGTATTATTAGTTTTGTTTTTATCATCTTTCTCTAGTTCATTACGGGTTAATATACGATATTTCTTTCGGATTATATCCCAATTGACGATATCCTCGATTCTACATGATGAACTAAACCCTGTTTCTTCCGGAAAAGTTTGAAAATTCCCAAATGGAGTATTTTCATTTGATTGTACTTGATACTTTCTTGTTTTAGTTAACCATTTAGCAGCCATTTTTGATCTAGGAGATAGTGGTCGCGGATGTTTAGATTTAAGTAAGTGAGCTAGCAATAATGGTTTATTCGCTACATGTTGTTTACAAGATTTATAACAATCAATTATTCCCGTTGAAAAAAGATTCAAAGGTGAAGGAGCAGTTGTGGTTCTAAAAAAGATATATATTTAGAATTATAAACTAACATCTGAACAATATTTTTAAAATGATTTAAGATAGTTAAAAAAAACTTTCATTTACCTGTGCATATTTCGAATAAGTTTACTTAGACCGTATTTCCATTCAATATCTGACTGAGCTTGAATTCGTTGATAAGTGTCACTCATCATGGCAATGAGTAAATTTATTAAAACAACTACTGACACCAATAAATAAGCTCCAAATGCTAGTTTTATAAGATACTTGATCCATTCATGTGGTTCAGCTTGAGTTTGAATAAGTTTATCACTTGTCGTATGACCAAAAACCGCGAAAAAGAGATCCTCAAATGCATGAATTGGTGTTATTGTGACTAAAGTGTAAAGAAAAAAAATTAAATTTACATAATCTTATAATGAAGTAATTAAATAAACAAAATACATAATTATATAAATCATACTCATGCTTTAACATTAATTGTAACCATGCACTTGATTTTTTTTCACCTGAATACACACACAACAAATATTCATTTGAAATTCGTCGATTAACTATATTTTCGTTCCAATAATATATTTGAAAATAATTCATACGCTAAATGAAACAATGAAAACCACACAAATTCATTATTTTACATGCTATTAATAATTTATGTATAATTTAAAAAATTTTTAAAAACTTACTTTCTGAAAATGTATGATTTACATTGATTAGCTGAGATAAATGTTCATCGACGATTGTTTGATTAAGTGCTACAAAGAGCATAGAAAATCCAAAGACAAAAATAGCGAGAACTGAAAGGAATCTAGCCAAATCTTTCATTAAGTTACCGATAATTATTGCCCATGGTCCAAAAAGGTAATGAAATGATAGAAAATCTAATATTTGAACGCATGCTAAAAGAAAACTAAGAGCAAACAGTTGATTTCGAAGATAAAGTGATGTTGGTCGATTATGGGTCATAAATATCCAAGCTATCATATGTAATGCAACACCCAAAATTCCAAATATTAATACTGCAAGTTTTATCCAACCAAGGCCACTTTTATCACTTGGATTTGTTAGTTCAAGAAGTAAAAGTCCCGATAACATCACTAATAAACACCATTCATACCAATAAGGCATTAAATTCGGTCTCATGTATTTATAAGGTGGCATAATACCAGCTAATGCAAGAAATATCATTAAGTAGACATGAGAAGTTAGATATGACATAAATTTTATAATAGGCACATTGCTGTATTTATGTCCCAGTGGTAAGGCAAACCAAATCCACACTGGTGGACAGATAAGAAAAATAATAAATAATAGAATTGTACGAAATGTATTCCAATTTAACTTTCCGAGCCACAATTCTTGAAGATAACGTTGGACTACCGTGTGGGCAATAACTTCTTTTTGTTCATTTTCTATGAGAATGTCTAAAAATTCGATATTCCTTTTATCTACTGAAGTGAGAATTCGGCCAGCAGAATCTGCACCTGCTGCTAAAGCTAAAAGTTCTGTAGCCATAGCTTCACATTGTTTTCCTGCTGCTATTAAATCTTTAGAACGTTCTTTTTCTTTTTCTGATAATTTTATAAAAATATTTGAAAGTTTTGCCGCAACATCCACTGGTGCCGGAGATAAAAGAACAAATTCTTCAATAGGCTTGTTATTATGACTCTTACTACATACCATCATGTTATAAACAAACTAGAAAATTAATGTTTTTTTTACATTTTTATAATCATTTTTAAATTTTTATTATATTTAATTAATATTTACCTTTTTATCTTCCATAAGAGCGTAAGTATCATGTTCTTTTTCCATCAAATATTTAAGAACTTCATTATGACCCTCCGCAGCAGCAAACCAAATTGGTGCACTTCCGAAATTTGTTTCATTTTTTGGTGAAGCTCCACTTTCTACTAGTAATTTTACTACATCTAAATAACCTGCTTGGGCAGCACAATGTAAAGATGTCCAACCATTCTTATCGATAGCATTAATTTCTGTTCCTTGACCCAACAAAACTTCAACCATTTGATAATGACCATAAGTTGCTGCTATGTGCAATCCAGTTTTACCATAACGATCAACTTTATGAAGCAATTCTGCTGATCTACTTAATAAAATTCCAACAACTGCAATGTGACCCCCCAAACATGCTAAATGTAATGGATTAAAACCATTTTCCGTGGTTTGTGCTTCCACCTTTAAGAATTATTTTTTTTACAGTTTCGAATAAATTGTCATATATATATTTATTTAATTAAATTATTAATAATACCTGTACTCCAGCAGAATTAAGCAATAATCGAACAACATTTTCATCTCCAGAATAAGCAGCAAAATGTAAAGGTGTCATTCCTGATTCATTGCCCAATTCACTTACCAATGAACCGCCGATTGGAGCATCAGATTTGACAGTCCCCGAAATATCAATCAATAATTCTCTCACAGTATCTAAAACAAATAGTAATGACATTTATTGATACAAAAAGTGAATAATTAATTATTTCCATTCCAAGTTAGTAAGATAAATAAGATTTATATTTATATGCATACCAGTTTGACCAAAATAAGCAGCAACATGTAGAGCAGTTACTCCAAGCTTTTTACTTGATAGTTTCAACGATTGAGATGTTCTCATGACTTCTAAAACTTGGCCATGGCCATATTGCGCAGCTAAATGTATAGCTGTAAAACCAGTTCGATTTTCTTCAGTACATAAAGCTCCTGCTTGAACTAAAGCTCTAACAACTTCTGCATGACCACCCTTAGCAGCAAGTTGAAGAGGAGTTGAATCAGTTAATTCATTTCGCGCTGATATAACTCCTTTTTTATCAAACTTCATTAGTTCTTCAATAACCCGAACACTTCCTTGCATTGCTGCAATATGAGCACAAGTATTTCCATCTTTTGTATAAGCTGTCACAAGATTAGGATGTTTTTGAAGGAAGAGTTGAACAACTTCAGCATAATTATTCATAGCTGCAGCATGTATAGGTTTTTGTCCTAAATCATCGGTAGCATCACAACTAGCACCAAGTTCTATAAGAAGCTTACAGACTTCTAGTTGACCAGTATCAGCGGCTAAGTGAAGTGGAGTTTGTTTTTTCAATGTCAAAACATCAATAACAGCACCATGATCTTGAATAAGTGATTTAACGAGATATGTACATCCATTTATGGCGGCCAGATGAAGTGGAGTACGGCCCACCCTGGATTTTGAGTTAATAAAAGCTTTGCTGGCTAATAAAGCATCACAGACTTCAAGATTACCAAGCTCAGCAGCCAAATGTAAAGCTGATCTTCCTTCAAGATCAAAGACATCAACTCTTGCATGATTTTCTAAAAGTGTCGTAATCAATGTCATATGTCCATAATGAGAAGCTATAAGTAGTGGTGTCCAGCCAATAATATTTTGTTGATTAAGCGCTTTTTGAATTTCTGTTGCTGACATATGACTTATCATTTCCTGAAGAACTTGATTGTTACCAGCTAATGCACAATAATGGAATACGGTCTCTTGCATTTGTTTCGTTTTCAAAGAGACATCAGCACCATTATTTAATAGAGCTCGTACTACAGTTCGATCTTCACCGAGCTCTAATACTTCCGATGGTTTTATTTGAGCAGCATAGTGTAAAGCACTTGCACCTTCATTAGTTACACTATTAACGTAAGAAGTTGCCATATCAATACCTTTTCTTGCTTTTACAAAATCTATTAAATTACAAACTATAAGTGACTTGCAATCTCTGCATGCCAAATGAAGTGGAGTCTCTCCATTCTACAAAAAATTAAAATAAATAAAAAAAAATTATTATGATAGCTCAATAAAATTATTATCATACAGTAATAAAAGAAAAAAAACCTTTGATTTATGCATTGGATCTCCACCATCTTCCAGAAGTAATTTTAAAGTTGTTAAATTTCCATGGCTTGCCGCTAAATGAACAGGAGTTTGACCATTATCTGTGGTCAAGTTAGGTCTAGCACCAGATTTAAGAAGCATCAAAGTACATCTATCACCACCAGAAATTCTAGCAGCAATATGTAGAGGAGTTTCACAAAATCTACCTCCTCTAACGTGAACTTCAGCTCCATAACCAAGAAGAGTCTCTACAACAGCAGGTTTAGCATTCTCTACAGCTATATGTAATGCTGTATAATTGTCATTAGTAGTAACATCAACTTTTTCTCCGTGTTGAAGAAGTGTTTTGATAATTTTCACATGTCCATGTTGTGCTGCAATATGAATTGGGCGTGCACCTTTTTTATTGGGCATGTGTAAAAAGACTCCCTTTTTAAATAACATATTAGCACATTCTGAATGTCCATTAAGTGCAGCAATATGCATTAGTGTAGATCCATCTTTTGTTCGTTCAAAAATACTAGCACGAAACTTTTCTGCTAAATAATCAATTATAGATGCATGCCCATTTTCTGCTGCTAAATGCATAGGTGTTCGATCTTGATGATCTGGTATAGATGCAGATGCATTCATATCATAAAAATGTTTAATCAATATTTCATCTCCTTCTGCACTTGCAATATGTAAAGGTGTTTGACCTTCATTCTAAAACAAAAAAAAAAACAATTCATATACAAAAATATTTATTATAAATTATCATTCGTGTAATTCATGATATTTGCTAATGAATGATTCTATATGTTAATTTACATTTTGAATATCAACTTGAGCTCCATAATCAATCAGAATTTTAGCGATGTCAGTATTGCGTTGACGTACAGCTAAATGTAAAGCAGTGTCTCCCATAGGTGTGGTTGCTTGAAGTTGGTTTAGAGCTTGTTGCATAAGTAATTCTCGACACATAGATTGGTTGTTGGTTTCTACTGCTAAAAAAAGTGGAATCCTTCCAAACTACATAGTAATACAGATTAATATCAATTAATATTTTATAAATACTTCATATTAAATAATATTTTGAAGATTAAAAAACTACAAATACAATTATATTTGGCTTAAAATAATACTTACTCTGTCAGTTATTAAACGAATATCACATTTAGAGGTATTTAAGAGAGATCGAAGTATAGATATTCCTGAACCATTTTGTGGTAATTTTGTGATAAGATGAACAGGAGTTTGTTTTTGTGGCTTTATAAATAACATAGTAGAATTAGTTTATAAATATTTAAATTTTATAATTTCAACATTAATTAATTATAAGTAACTTACACCACCAAGTGCAGCAGCATCAGCTCCATTAGACAATAATATTTTGACAATTTCTTCTCGAGAATTCATTACCGATATATGGAGTGCATTATAATTATCCTTTATGTAAAAAAAAAATTAAGACCATTATCAGTATTAGTAAATTATTAATAATAAAAAAATACTTTTTTAAATTATAATTTACATAATAATTATATATAAAAAAATATTATCAAGTTGTATTCGTTTCAAATTTTTAATAATATTACTCAGCAAAATTTTTTTTCTGTCACGGTCTAGTTAAACAACATTATTCATAATGAAGTAGAGTTTTATCTTAAATATGTATCAAATTACTATTTCAGATTTATATATTTTGACTAATTTACATCCGCACCTTATTGATTCTATATCTAACCTTAATATTTATTTATTCAATATTCAGTATTACATCCATCATAATTTACTTTTTGCGTGTTATTTTTCTTCTTAATTATATATTTTCTTTAACGTAATCAATAAAAATATTACTCACATTATTATAAACATTCAAATCTGCGTCAAGATCAATTAGTCGATTAACAATGGATATACGGTCATCTTTGATAGCATACATCAATGGTGTCATACCGGTGGTCTGTAAAAATTTCGAAAAATTACTGTACAAATAAGATTTATAAATAAGAATCATAAATATTGTGCTTCTTATTATTGAGTAATTAATAAAGGCTATTAAAATAATTAAGTAATTATTAAAAAATACTTTACTCACCGGATCTGATATACCTGAAAGAGGATGAGGATCATTTTTTTCTGAATTTCGAACAAATTTTTCCACATGTTTTAATAGTTGGTCTACTAAAGTCCAATCTCCATTTTTGGAACAATTGAGTAATTTTTGAACAATATTTTCTATTTTTACAGCTTTAACGAGTAATTTTAATTTTGGGCCTGTAGTTGAACAAGATTCACTTCGAGATAACGAATCATCTGCAGATAATGTACATTTATTGTTTGATGTTTCTTCCTTAGCTGAAGAAGTTTTATTTTTATCTTTCATATTTTTTGGATGATTCATTTTGAATTGTTTTGTACTTTTTTAAATTTTCACTATAAAATGGAATATTATAAAAATAATTTTAATTATCGGTTCACTTTAGTATTCTTCACTTTTATCTTCTCTTAAAAATGTCTGAAATTATCTAAGATGTTGAAGTATAAGAACAAAAGTGTATATACTTCAAGGAATATCACTTTTCTGGAATAGTTAACAACTGAAAAAGTATAACTACTGAAATCGGTCTACAGAATCGACTAATTACAACAAAACAACAAACGATAGTGAGCTTTTATAGGCTTAGTTGATTAGTTACCCTCGCAAAGACGTCAAATTTGATTTAAGAATAGAATTAGAAATCAAAATCAACACGCAATGTTTCCGGTTGAAGAATACATGAATTTTCTTTTTTACTTGGAATAGTATACTAAACAGAAACTTTTTTCATATTGTAATTTCTTATCATCAATTAAATCACTGCATTAAAGTTTTTAGATGCCCCATAAAAATAATGTAAACATTTCATCATTTAAAATATTGTATTTACATAAAATTCTTTGATCTAATATTAACTTATCAATCAAATTTATTTTAATAATTACATTTTTAAACATCAATTTGTAAATTTTTCGATAGATTTTAACCCTCGATTACCTTCGTCTTGATGCTTTTAAATGCAGAATCTGATTAAATATTTAGAAAATTAATTTTTTCAATTCTAAAATGGGGTAAAACTGGAACTCGCTTCGATATTTGAAGCTTACATAGACTATGAGTAGATTAATGGATTCGTTAGAGCAAGAGATTTCTAATGCACTACCCGGGAAAAAATAAAATTGATCTACTAAGATCTATTTTTTGGCACAATTAGATCTACTTTGTTCTGTGCACATCTGTTTCAATTACTTTAGATCTTCCGTGTTCTCTGTAGATGTATTAAATTTTTCTTATCATCGAGATCAATGGAGATCTCTATAGCCATACGGTAATTTGTGTAAATATACAGTGATTTCACTAGATATACATAGATTTACTTAGATCAAATTTTCTTTAGTTTTTTCGATATAAGTAGATCAAATTAGATCTAAAAAATGGCGAAAATGTAGATCTGTGTAGATCTATTTTATTTTTTCCCGGGTAGCCAAAATTATGATCCGTTTCGTCTTATTTTAAGAGTCAAGAAATTCATTTTCTGAATTTTTGACCTGATCCTACATTTCTCAACATTTAGACGAAGAGAATGAATAGTCGAACATCAACATCAGAGCACGTTTATTTTTCGACGAAAAAAAAATAGAAAGGGGTTGAAAATTAAAATTTCTCCAATTTTCAAGTTTGACCAATCATTATCTTCCTATCAATGTCTAGAATAGTAGGTCAAAAATTAGAATAATAGGTCAAAAATGTAGAACAATTAATTTCTTGATTCATGAAACCAAAAATTGCTGTATTTTTGGCATTAATTATGCTCGGATCATATTTTATAACTAATTTTGGTATGATAAAATTGCAATTTAAATGAAAAAAAATTTGCCATTATTGGAATTGAACACCATTTCGGCAAGGATTGAGGTTGCTCGTCAATTGCCCGAACTCGCAGTCTTCTTTCTGAACATTTAGACAGAGATGAATAGGTATATTTTTTGCTCTGTCTTGCTTGGAACTGATGATTCGAAAAATAATTTAATTAATTAATTTCTTGGTGCCCTAACGCTTCCTTTTTTTAGTGCATCTCTGAAAAGTATCATTTTTCGAACGATTTCCCTGTTACCTACTTAATTTCAGTTGACATCGAGCTTCAACCTTCCACCACACAACGTGAGGGCATAAAGTCAAATTCAGGAACGTTTTTGACTTGAGCCCAGCATTAATAATACTAATAACGACCATAAATTTCAACAGCGCTGATGCTTATTAGCGTCCCTTAGATAAAATTATTAGGGTCTCTAAAAAAATTGAGTATGTAAATATATAATTTTGAAACTAAACAATTATTAGGTTATTTTAAGTGTTTAATTATTTGATTAAAAATCATACTGATTTTAAGTGTAAAAATTAAATTATTGCATAATTAAATTACCATGATAACAGGATAAATAATCAAAAATAAAACATGGAAACCGACGGCTGCTATTTAAATTGTTCAATAACATTAGAATGGATTAGTATGCAAGGAGTAACAACAAGGAAAGTAAATTATCGTTCAGCACAACTTCGCTTAATTCGAAATAACATTCGTCAAATTTTGATACAAATTCAAGCAGACAAAACAAAAACTGTGTTCAAACTTCTCCTTCATAACATAAATATTTTAAACCGTTTTATGCATGAAGGAAAGGCAACAATTAAATTTAATGAAGAGGGATGTACGCTTTTTCTTTTTAATGCTCCAGAATCTCAACTTACTTCGTTTTTAAAAACGATTTTTATTAAAATGACAAATGGAAAATCTGATAATGTTATTAAAAATCCATTAGCAAAACATTTAAGTGCAAATGTCAATTTAGGAGGTACTCAAGATATTAGTCCAGCTACTACAGGAGAAATGAATGTTGCTAAAGAAAAAGCTTTGTTAATGGGAACTTCGCGTAAAACTATTACAACACCATCTCCAAGTAATATTAGAAAAAGAAAATTACCATCAGAATTTCACAAAGTATCTGCTGCCAAAAAATTGTATACTAGTTCAACGACTGTAAAATTAACGGAAGAACAAAATGAGGTTACATAAAAAGATTTAAAATTCATCATGATAATAATAAAAATGATGATAATAATAATAATATATTTATTTTTCAGGTCTTGGAAGCAGTCTTAAGAGGGAAAAATATTTTTTTCACCGGTAGTGCTGGAACAGGCAAGTCATATCTGTTACGTAGGATTATTGGAGAATTGCCACCTGATGTAACAACAATTACTGCAAGTACTGGTGTAGCTGCTTGTCATATCGGTGGCATAACTCTCCATCAGTTCGCAGGCATTGGTCTTGGAAATAGTAATTTAGAATGTTGTTATAAACTAGCATCTCGACCAAACATTGCTGCTTGTTGGAGAAAAACAAAGTACTTAATTATCGATGAAATTTCTATGGTTGATAGTCAGTTATTTGATAAAATAGAAGCTGTTGCTCGACACATTAGAAAATCTGATAAACCATTCGGCGGTATTCAATTAATCTTATGTGGAGATTTCTTTCAACTGCCACCAGTAAAAAAAAATGATGAAAAGAGTAAATTTTGTTTCGAAAGTGAATCTTGGGAAAAATGTGTTCATTATAATTTTGAATTACGTACTGTACATCGTCAAAAAGATCCAACTTTTGTTCAATTATTAAATAATATAAGAATAGGTAGAGTTACTGACAATATCAAAAATATTTTGAAGGCTACTGCAAAACAATCAATTGAAAAAGATGGAATATTAGCCACTAGATTATGTTCTCATGTTCGTGAAGTTGATGAAATTAATGAATCTCAATTAAATAATCTTGAAGGAATTTCTAAAATTTATATTGCTCAAGATTCTGATGATTCAATGACTAAAACTTTAAATCAACAGTTATCAGTACCTGGAAAATTAATATTAAAAGTAGGAGCTCAAGTAATGCTATTGAAAAATATAAACATCAATGATGGTTTAGTAAATGGCGCCAGAGGAGTAGTTACGAAGTTTGAAAATGACATTCCAGTTGTTCAATTTTGTTCTGGAAAAGTTTATCATGTGAAAAGTGAAAAGTGGACTGTAAGGATTGCAAATGGTAACTTAATAAGTCGTAAACAAATTCCTTTAAAATTAGCTTGGGCTTTTTCAATTCATAAAAGTCAAGGATTAACATTAGATTGTGTAGAAATGAATCTTTCTAAAGTATTTGATGCTGGTCAAGCGTATGTAGCTTTATCTCGAGCACAAAGTCTTGAAACTTTGAGAGTTATAGATTTTAATGAGGATCAAGTTTGGGTTAATACTAATGTACTTCAATTTTATAAAAAGTTACGGCGTAATTTATTTAATTCAAAATTAATTCCCTTGGGGAAAAAATCTAAAATGAAATAGCTGATAATTTTATATAGTTAATAAATTAATAAATTACTCATTAAATAGTTAATACACAATAGGTTAAATTTAAATTAGAAAAAAGTTTTTTTTTTTTATATTTTTCACCTTTATCATGTACTAAAAACAATGATATGAAAATAAATTATATTATCAATTTTATAAATTGTTTGTAAGATCATTAATTTCAATTATTTGTTAATTCAGCTTTTATTTAATCCTTTAACTATTTTTAATTATTCTTATTGATATATTTAACAATAAAATATCTAACTTTTATGTCACAATTGTTTCTATCAGATAACTGTAATTTTTACGCATGATTATTTAATTCGTTTATTATCACTAACTAGTTAAAATAATTTAGAATAACAATTCTGATAAATATTGGAAAAAAGTATTGGGGAATCAGTATAAGAGACAAATGGAAAATCAAATCTTAAAAGGGTTAAAAATTATATTATGTTTATACTCGTCGAAGAATAAAAATAATAATTCAAATAATTTATTATACATACATACAAAAAATTTATTATACAAATATCAGCAGTCATCAACCGTAATTTCAATAGCTGGTATATAACGCCATACTTCATCTTTGTTCATAACATTTGTTATAGTACTAATTGAACTTTTAGTTAACTTTTCACTAGAACATTGAATATCTAATTTGTACTGTCCAGCATTGAAAAATATAACATTCCATTCGTGATAAGCACGTTCACCTTCATTTAACTGAAAGAAAAAAAAATAGTAAATGATTTTATCAATAGAATGAACAAGTTTGTTAATTAATTAATGTTGTCTTGATAATTATCTTTCTTTTACTTACCGTTGGAAGCAATACTTTACTAGCACCAATAATGCACAATCTAGAATCTAGTCTGTAGTTAACCGTTCCATTTTGGTAATCTTGATAAAAATTTATAGATAAGCTAAGATCACTCAGAGGATTTTTCAAGGCATTTGATAAACCAACTCCAATATTAACACATTGTCCTATTTTACATGTTATTTCATCTTGCGGTTTTACGGGATGTTCATTAATTAAAATTTCTGTAATATATATAAAAATATTTATCAAAATGATAAAAACAAAAATGAAATATCGATAATTAAAAATAATATTCTAATGTTATATAATACAAACCCCATTGTAATGGACTCATTTTGACTAGATCAAGCATATCTTTTGTAAATGTAATTCCAGCTAATGTAGCTTTTCCAGATAACTCAGAACCTAACAATTGCCATCTTAAATCCACTAATGACACAATATGTTCTGCACAAATTTTTTGTAAATTATTGTCAACATCATCCCCTTCTATTGATGATAATTTACTTAATGGACATCGATCCACGGGAACCGGAATTCGACAAGTCTCTTTGCCTCCCATAAAGATACATTTATTCTGTGTATAATACAATTCCATTTCTTCATTTGTCATATTCGTTACATCTAAAACTAGATAAAGTTGTGAAGGTATTTCAGCTGGCAAGACATCCCAACTAGTGAATTTAACGCTGGGTAAAATTTCTATAGTAATAAACACTGATGATATTCTGCAGTATCCTGCAACAAGACCAGCATCTCCAGAATATTTAATATGAAGCTGACCTTCGATGATACTTGACGTAGCAACAGGTGAAGCTAATTTGGATAATTGAGCATTTGTTGAGGTATTAGAATTTGAACTTAATGCTGACGGTAATGAATATCCAGTAGATTGCTTCTTTTGTGAATTAAATGTAGAATGAAGTCTTGATGGCCACGATTTTGATCCACTATGTGTCACTAAATTACTGTTAGTTTTACTAGATACATTTTTATTGTTAATTTTATTAGGTTTATTTGTCACTATAAACTCTGTATCAGCATAAAGATATAAAGTGAGACTAGCACTGGAACCAGGTTGAAGAGGAAGTTGAGTCTTTAGATTCTCATCACTCCATTTGAAAATTTTTGACTCGGTAAAAGTATCTAGTGTTGATTTTATTGATATATCAACCATTTCAATAGTGACTTGTCCTACATTCGTTATAGTTATTGTACATTCAGTACTTTCACCACCATACAGAGATGTACTAGCACTAGTAACAATAGTTTTTCCAGAACTAAAACTTGCCGTTTGTGGTAAACTTGTTACTACATCAATTTTTGGTAAAGCTGGCACAACTTGAATTGAATACTGGGGATAAGGCATACCTGGAATATTTTTTAATCTACAATTGGATTTAACTCCAAGACAATGTGTACTAAATCCTAGAATTTCTAATGTTCCAATTTCTTTTGGCGTTCCTGCTAATGTCACCACTATCGGTCCTGCTTTTGCAGGTAGTATAATACTTTCTGGAAGTGATTCAAAAACTATCCCATTAGTCAAAAGACGCATATTAGAGACATTGAGCTCAAATGGAAGAGGATTAATTAACTGTATTGATACTTGACATATATCTCCTTCAACCCATAAATAATCAACTTTACTTTTGGATACATTTTTTCTCTCAAGAGATCCAAAATTAATAGGAGTAAATAAAAAAGGGCCATGATCTTCTTTAGCTCGTTCAATTTTTTGAGGTTCTAAATGTGGTTGGAGACGTTTTAAAGTAAAAGATTTCGTCTTTGGAATGTTTGTTAAATTAGCCGGAGGAATTACAAGTCCAGATTCTAGTACTAGAGGAACAGGGGCACCTTCACATTGTTGAGCAACACCTTGCAATTGTAAAGCAATATCTTTTCGTTCATTAGGACTCAAATAATTAAATAAAGTTTGTAATAAAAAAGTCATATGTCTTGTAGCTAATGCTGGATTACCCATTCTAGTGGCTGCTGCTATTAATTCATTTAAAACTTGAATCTGAATCGCAGGCCAACCTTTTCTATTTTCATCAGTCATATCTATTGGGTCCAATGATAGTTTAAAACCATCTATAGATTGAAGTAATAAATTATAACACTGCTTCCAATCCCGATGGGGATTACTTTGTGAACCATATCGAGTTGCTGCTAATCTGATACAAAAAGCAGCCTTCCTTTTAAATCCAAATGATGAATATAACTCAGACATCTTTGTAAATCTATCTATTTTTTCTTGTTCACTCAAATTAATATGATTAAACGCAACATTATTTAAAAAACATGCTGCTTGTAATGGACAATTTTGTTCAATTGATATTCTCGTGGCTTTAAAACTTGCTTCTGTTTCTATTATGGCAGCATTTTGATATTTACTATAATGTACAATTGCTTCTCTATATTTTTTTGGTATCTCTTCGGGTGATAATAAATGAGTCATATGTATTTTTAATTCATCAATAGATGGAAATTCACTTGAAGACGGTATCGATTGAGATTCTCGTCTTTGTTTCCCTGAATTTGTTTCTTGTAATAATGAGTTTCTATGTAGAATTAAATTTCTGCATAAATTTGGATACAATATTAATGCTGAAGTGGCACAAAGACCCTCGTAAGCTGCACCTAACCATAACCAATCATTAACTGATTGCAAGCTTATACTTGCAATATTGTAATAATTTAAAGCATCTGCTTTAAGTCCTGTTTGCAAACAGAGATCAGCTAAATGTTTTGTCAATCTCCCTGAGCATCGTTTTCTATTATTTCTTGACTCCAAATCTAAACCAATTAATTCTTTTTTTTCGAAAGGTGCTCTGAGTTCTGAAACTTTATCAATTTTTTCCTTAGCCCTCTCATACCTTTTAGATTCCAAAACCCAATAAAGCATGTACAAACATTCCATAACTTGATTCTCAAGTGTTGGACAAGATTCATCTCCATAAAATATAGCAACTGTCTTGAAATTTGACGGAACTGTATAGCCAGAAGGTGGTTCATTAATTTTCTCCGAATCAATTGGACCAAATAAAATAGCTCGTGATTCGTAGAGAGTATCATTATATTTAACTTTTAATGTTTCATGCAACCTGCACAATTCATTTAATTCAGTTTGATTTTCATATTTACCAAATGTTATCAAACCTAATAATCTTCTATGGGTTTGAAAATTACCCCAATCACAATTTTCAACTGAATAATCTCGAACAAAACGAATAAAAATTTCTCTTTTGTATCCATTGGAATCTACTAAATTAAATTTACTACCACTTTTTATAATTCGATCACATAATTTTGTTATTAATTTTGGTTTTATTTGACTTCCTAGCACTTTTAAAAGAACTAATAATGCTGCATGATCATGTGTCGTTTGTTCGTAATCAGGTTGTGACATTTTTTATTATAAAAAAATCAATAATATTAATTATTATTCTTTACACTTTATAACTTCAATCTGTTTTTTTTTTTTTTTTTTTATAATTAAAAAGATTTTTTAAATTGATTTATTTACGTCATTTTTTCACGTAGCCAATTTATTTTTATTTTATAAAAATTTTATATTAATATACGTATTAAAGTATAACCATTGTAAACGTCAATAAATTGTACTAAGACTATATAGTAAGTAATTTTTTTTTTTTTTCTTATTAAAAACTTTGTTACTGATAAATCATTATACTCGCGCACTCTGTTATTGTGACGTTGCAACAACAATTCTGAATTTTTTATTTCTTTTTTTTTCTAAAACGATGTAATAAACTATATAACGCTTACTCCATTTGCTTAGCTTAACCTACAAATCAGCTGACAGTTTGTGAATGGTGGTAGAGAACAAAATAAATAAAAATATCATATAATAGTAGATACTTATTTTAAGTTGTAATTATTTAATTAATCTGATTGTTTAAAATTTTTTTAATGTAATTAACAAATTATTAACTACTGATATAATTAAATCTTTAAAATTCACTATTAAATTATCACATTTGTTTTACAATAAATTCGTCTGTTTGATCATTGTTTATGAGAGTATTATTTGTAATTAAATATTATTATTACTTAATATAATGATCGTGAATATAACTTATATGTATATTTGAATGAATCAGTAATATTTAAATTATTTAATATTATAATATATATTTTTTAGATAATATCATCATCACAATAAAATGTCAACATCAATTGAAGATGCCAAAATTAATATATCCGAAGAAGGTCAGTCTATAAAAGACTCTCAAAATATTTTGGAAATTGATGAAAACCTACGATCTCAGTCTCCAAAGCATGGAACCACTTTATCTACCAGTACCAGTAGTTTTGAAGCAATGGATCCTCATGATCCCAATCTAAGTCGTTTAGCAAATGCTATGTTTAAAAAAACTGGAGAATATTTACAAGAAGAATTGACTGCTACACATGCAGATTATAGATTACTTGAAAGATTAAATAAAGAAGCTATTGCAAAATATACAGAACTTAAAACAATATCTATGAGTGTTTCTCAATCTTTGGAGATTCTTAATCAAAAATATAGAAAATTGCAACCTATTTTAGAAAATATTAATCAAATTGATGATAGTGTTGCAAAATTAGAACAAGCAGCTTATAAATTAGCAGCTTATTCTAAAAGATTAGAAACTAAATTTAAAGACATTGAAAGAGAAACTAAAAATAAGTGAAAAAAAGAAGTAAATTGTGGTATTAATATACAGTTTACAAAAAATTTAATACTAAATATGATGGATATAAATTATTAAATGTTAAGTAAATTATAATATTATTTTCAATTTTGGCAAAAAATTTAATATTCTTTTTATTATTTTAGAGTATTCAAAATGTAAATGAGATTTTAAATATAAATTATTTGTTCAATTCAAAAAACTTTCCAATTTTTGTAACATTAAATTATTACCATTATTATAATTATAATTACACTTAATATGATAATTATTATTATATCGAAAATAAAATTAACAAGTTTTATAGTCTTGAATTTATATTTATAATAATGATTGAATATTAACTTTAAAAAATGAAAAAGAAACCAAAAATAGAAATATTATAATTCTTTTTATCGTTAATATTTCCTTAAAACCATTTTACCAGTTGATATTGACAAATTATCATTTAAAATAGTGCCTAACAATCCAAAAAATTACCAGCCATTAGAAGTTCTATAGCAACCTCAGGAGCAATTGGAAATTCAGGAATTTCAGTGCTACTGTTTGTGTATCGAACTTTATAAGTAAAGTACATGCAAACTTTCTGTAGAACGTGTGATCTACAATTAAAGAATTATTATTTATAAATCTATAATTATGATATTTATTTACAAAACATGTCTAATACTGTACGTACGGAATTTCACGAAAGTTCACTTCATTAGCTTCATTTTCAGCGAATTGACCAGGTCCACTAAGCATAGCTTTTATAGTTCCACTAGTTAATGCATGTTCCCTTTTTATTATAAATTCGTGACCATCGCTGCTGACAAGTTTGACATACATAGCGTCAGGTCCTTCACATCCTCCATACACGGGACTTGATTCAGACTGAAGTTCATATTAGAATATTAATTGTAATACAATTAAAGCTAATCATATGTCATTTTATATATTAATCAATTAAATAATTCAATTATAATAAATAGATAGACAATATTTCTTACTTTTTCAGTGAGCATATTTATATCTCCTGACATTTCTCTTTTGTCAATCAAATTTATAACCTAAAAAAAATATCTCATTTGTAAACTTATAGACGACTGTTTACAGTGTATGATTTGAATGAAATAAACTACTGAATTGATAAATACAGAAATATAATCACTTTTTGTAATAATTAATTACAATTCGAAGTGATAAAAAAAAAACAATTATAAAATGAAAATACATACAGAAAATACAAAGATTTTGAAGATCTCTGTTAAAGTGTGGTATATCCGAACGCATAAATACCTGGTTCATACCTTAAGAGCCAGACCTATACCGTCCGAGTAATTACCGACTGAAGGGAGATTTTTTTTTATAAAGTTTTATTGTATCTACATTTTTTTCAATAATCTGATTCACCGGCTGAAGAGTAGTCTAGCCGTTACCGACATAGCTGTAGCATGAGTTAGATCTCAAATAATTGTTTTATTTATCGTGTTTTACTTGCTTAATTAGTTAATAAAGAGTTGTATAAATTAATAACAATTTGGAATCCATTAATTCCATAAATGTGGTGGTCCAGGTCTTGGTAGTTCCGGTCAGTGGCCGGCAGGTAGTGCGTCATGTTCATTCCAGAAGCCGGAAGCAAAGCAGAAAATATACCCAATTTGACAATATTCAAGTGATAGATATCGCACCACAGCTGTAGCGAACTAAAGAGAAATAAACAATTGAAGTTTTGTTAAATAAATAAATATAATTGTTAATCATTATTTATATATCCCTACTAGAGCTCTTGCGATCATTACACTGACAGAAAAAATGTGATAGCTAGAAAGTATACTAGCGGCAAACACAAAATATACTCAATTTGAGTATAATTATTTTTTGATGCAAGTACATTTTATATCAAAATGAAGTTTAAAGTGTACTGTACAATCATAATAACATTAACTTGATTTCAAATTTTTCATCACTCAATCCTAATATAATATTAATTTATACCAAAAATAGCGATTACTGCATTTTTGTAAATATTTTGTTTATCTCAAGTAGGTAGATAATAAAAGAAGATTACAAAGTTTACTTCAGTTGATAATATAGTTTTCTTACACTGAGGATCTTCCTTACTTACCACAAGTGTATTTTATACGGAGATCCCGTATAAAGCGTACTTATGCTGAGTATAATGCTGTTTTACACTTCAAAAACCATTTTCTCATATTATGAATTCTTTTTTATTAATAAGAAAATACTTGTTACTTGAATCAAGTATATCAATTCTTTACTGCAAGTATATTATATACTTAAATTAAGTATACGAAGTACTCATGCTAAAATTTTTTTCTTATTAAATTTAAAAATTTCAAAATATAAATAATCATATTAATAATAAAAAAGTTACTGTTATACCCATTGGTATTGGTCAATTTTAATTAGTGACCATTACTGATGAAGTAATTTAATGATTAAATATTCAGTAATTAATAAATAGATGAAAAGTAATCTTATAATAATTACAACAATTACTGTTGTACTTTTAAATACGTGGAGCTGCTACACTTACACTGGGCCTGTTAAAAGTCTAACTCGTAATATAGCGCTCAGAGATAAATTATTGATTATAGAATCTTTAATAATAATTAATAATAATTGCATGTCTATTAATTAATTCTAAAAATGAATCGAAATTTTACAATGATTGGAACGATTATTGTGGTACATTTCAATACCTCAAGCTGCTGCAGTAAGACTTGTTAGGAGCTTTAGGAGTTTATCTTTCAATCCAGCGTTCAGCTATAAATGGCTTAATGTTAAATCTTTAATAATCATAATAAAATTATTTAATGTTCATTGATTAATTTAGAGAAAGAATCATAATTGAATGATAATAACAACAAATTGGTGTTGTGCTTTTAAAAACTCCAAGTTGCTCCAGTTAGACTATGCCTGTAGAGTGTTTATTTTCCAACTTAGCGCTCAGAAATAAATTATTCGATATAATACCTTTGATGATGATAAATAAATGATTGATTGTATAATCATTAATTCATAGAGATAATCATAATTTTTTCATAAGTGCAACAAATATTGTTGCATATTTCAATATCTCGAGCTGCTGCAGTTAGACTCTTTTACTGTAAGGAGTTTATTTTCTAACTCAACACTCAGCAATAGATTATTCGGTCTATTATCTTTAATAATAATAATTTATTTATTAAAAGTCTAGTAATAATCCACAAAAAGAATCGTTATCCTACGATAATTAGTACAATTGTTGTTGTACATTTTAGGACAATGAGTTGCTGCAGTTAGACTTTTGCCTGTAAAAAATTCATTGTCTAACTTAGCCCTTAGCTATAAACTATCTAATATCATATCTTTGATGATGATAGATAAATTATTAATTGAACAATAAAAAATTCATAGAGGTAATTATAATTTTCTATTATTTATATTTATATTTTTATAAATAATTTCTATTATTTATATTTATAATTTTCTATTATTTATATTTTCTATTATTTATATTTTGAAATTTTTAAATTTAATAAGAAAAAATTTTACCATGAGTACTTCGTATACTTAATTTAAGTATATAATATACTTGCAGTGAAGAATTGATATACTTGAATCAAGTAACAAGTATTTTCTTATTAATAAAAAGGATTCATAATGTGAGAACATGGTTTTTGAAGTGTAAAACAGTATTATACTTAGCATAAGTACGCTTTATACGGGATCTCCGTATAAAATACACTTGTGGTAAGTAAGGAAGATCCTCAGTGTAAGAAAACTATATTATCAACTGAAGTAAACTTTGTAATCTTCTTTTATTATCTACCTACTTGAGATAAAAAAAATACATTGGCTCACATTATACTGATTCCAAGTAGAAAGACTACTTCAATACAAGTACTTTATTTTCATAAAACTTGTATACTTATTACTTCTTCAACCGCTTGTAGTCTACTCAGGAGTGGTATATTCTGTATTTAGACTCAGTATTTTTTTTATTCATTTTAAAACGAAGTTTTACTGATTCCAGGTACTTTCTTTACCTGCCTTCCGAAACTTTTTTACCTATCACTTTTATACTGGGGACAAGTAAATTCTATAATTCGCCACCGGAAAAAATTTCTGTCAGTGTATAAATATAAAAAAAGCCTTTCAGCTAAATAAAAGAAACAAGTAGCGACATTATGTTGTTAAAGCATGTACTAAAGAATGGAATGATCTCAATTACGGTCTGTCAGAATTCTCTGTAACATAGGCGATGATTTAGAAAAACGCACGTGGATTTTAAAATTTCGGATATTTGTAATTTTCTATTTATATAAATAATTGTATATGTGTGTAAAAAATTTTTATATAAAATTACAAACATGTTAATTGAACCAGTTTTGTCAAATACAAAAACAGACTTTGGTGTTCCGCCCGAGCATCCTAATCCTGTAAGTAAATTGATCTTTCAATTTTAATTAAATAAATTTTTTTCTAACCTCATTCATTTTTCAGCTGCTACAGAGACTAGGATCCCCACATATTGATTCTTTCAATTACATGCTGGATGAAGGTCTTGCAGAGGCTCTAAAAGATATAGTTCCGGTACCTCTGACCTTAGCTAATGATGATAAAATATTATTATGGATAGAAGATGCAACAATTTATCAACCAACAGTCCCAACAGGTACTATTGGAGTCAAATCTCATAAAATTTATCCAACAGAGTGCCGTCAGAGAGCTGCGACTTATAAGGGTAAACTGATAATCAAAATTGGTTGGTCAATAAATGGAAGATCACAAGAACAACTGGAAAAAGATCTTGGAGAAATTCCTATTATGATCAGATCTAGTCGATGTCATCTAAATAAAATGAATCCAAAACTTTTGGTTGCTCATGGTGAGCATGAACAGGAATGGGGAGGATACTTTATCATAAAGGGCCATGAACGACTTGTAAGAATGCTATTGATGACTAGAAGGAATTATCCTATCGCTATCCGTCGATCTGGATGGAAACAAAGAGGTGAACAATTTAGTGATCTCGGTCTTTTACTTCGGTGTGTTCGTGATGATAATACTGCTGTCAATAATACTCTTCATTATGTTACCAATGGAACTGCAAAATTGATGTTTACTCATCGAAAAGTACTTTATTATGCACCAATAATTATGATATTGAAATGTTTACTCGATGTGCCTGACAAATATATTTACAACGCTCTTTTAAGAGGATACGAGGATAATTTATATTACAAAGGATGTATTTTAAATATGTTAAGAGCAGTTCATGAAGAAAATTTACATTCTCATAGTCAATGCAAAAATTACATTGGAAAAATGTTCAGAATAAGATTTCATGAATTACCCCAAGATATTTCTGATATGGATGTATGTAATTTTATTATTCAAAAATGCATTGCAATTCATTTAGATGATCATAAAGATAAATTTAATTTATTAGTTTTCATGACTCGCAAATTGTTTAGTTTGGCAAATGAAAAATGTGCTGTAGAAGGAGCAGATGCTGTAATGATGCAAGAATGTTTACTTGGAGGACATTTATATCTTCAAGTATTGAAAGAAAAATTACAAACATGGTTAACTAGTCTTAAATATGCAATTTTAAAAAGAGCTAATAATCAAGGCAACAGGTTTGCATTAACTGTTCAAGAATTGTTAACGGCAATGAAGTATACAGGAACTTTAGAAAGTCAAATGGAAAATTTTTTAGCTACAGGAAATATTAAATCTCCTACTGGACTTGGATTAATGCAAAGTTCAGGATTAACAATTGTTGCTGAAAATATCAACAGAATGAGATATATGAGTCATTTCAGAGCAATTCACAGAGGTTCATTTTTTCAAGAAATGCGAACAACTGAAGCCAGACAGCTTCTTCCAGATGCTTGGGGCTTTGTTTGTCCAGTTCATACTCCTGATGGAGCTCCATGTGGTCTTTTAAATCATTTAACAATGAATTGTATTATTACTAAACATCCAAAGTTAGAATTAAAAGCAAAAATTCCATCAGTTTTAATAGATCTTGGTATGATGCCATTATCTGTTGCTGATGATTGGAAAGAATCTTACACTGTATTAATTGACGGCAAAGTTGTTGGTTTAATTGAGGATAATATAATAATAAAAGTTGTAAATCATCTTCGACAATTGAAAATTGAAGGGAAAAAAATCCCAAATACGACGGAAATTGTTTTAGTTCCAAAAAAAAATGTTCCTGCACAATACCCCGGACTTTACCTTTTTACTGGGCCAACAAGAATGATGAGGCCAGTTTTAAACTTGGCATCAAATCAAATAGAATTAATAGGAACATTCGAGCAAGTATTTTTGGATATTTGTATAGATCCTTCAGAAGCTCATGAATTCACAACTCATCAAGAATTGACTAAGACGTCATTTTTAAGTAATTTAGCTTGTCTTATACCTATGCCTGATTGTAATCAAAGTCCTAGGAATATGTATCAATGTCAAATGGGTAAACAAACAATGGGTACTCCTTGTCATACTTGGCAACTTCAATCTGAAACTAAATTATACCGACTTCAAACACCGACGACTCCACTATTCCGACCTGTTCACCATGATAATATAAATCTCGATGACTTTGCTATGGGAACTAATGCTATTGTAGCTGTCATTTCTTATACAGGATATGATATGGAAGATGCCATGATTATAAATAAATCTGCATACGAAAGAGGATTTGCTCATGGAATGGTTTATAAATCGGAATTCGTTGAATTAAAAAATTCTAAAAGTTATTTTATGCGTAATCCTGATAATCTTACTCTCATTGATAAATTAGATACTGATGGTTTACCTTATCCAGGTGCTATTATAATGACGGGTGATCCATACTACTGTATGTACGATGCAGATAAAGGAAGTTATCAAATAGGTCATTTTAAAGGAAAAGAGACTGTTTATGTTGATAATGTTCGTCTTTGTGGAACTCTTAATAGTAACATACCTCGCAAAGTATGTATTACCTTCCGTGTACCTCGAAATCCTAGTGTTGGTGATAAATTTGCTTCTAGAGCTGGACAAAAAGGGATATGTTCTCAAAAATGGCCAGCTGAAGATCTTCCTTTTACAGAAACTGGATTAATTCCTGATATAGTTTTTAATCCACATGGATTTCCCAGTCGTATGACTATTGCTATGATGATTGAAGTAATGGCTGGAAAATCTGCTGCGATTCATGGTCTTGTTCACGACGCAACGCCTTTTAGATTTAACGAAAAAGATACAGCAGTAGATTATTTCGGAAAGCTACTAGAAATAGGTGGGTTTAATTATTATGGAACAGAAAAAATGTATTCAGGAATTGATGGAAGAGAAATGGAAGCTGAAATATTTTTTGGAATAGTTCATTATCAAAGATTGAGACATATGGTATCTGATAAGTGGCAAGTGAGAAGTACTGGGCCTATAGACGTCCTTACAAGACAACCAATTAAAGGTCGACGAAGAGGTGGAGGTGTAAGATTTGGTGAAATGGAACGAGATTCTTTAATTTCTCATGGATGTGCTTTCTTGCTTCAAGATAGATTATTTCATTGCTCCGATAAAACTTCCTCTTTGGTTTGTAAAAAATGTGGTACTCTTTTAGGTCCAGTTACAGAATTTATTCGTCATAAAAATCTAGACGCTTTAGAAAAACGGAAACGTTGTCGTTTGTGTAATAATGATGAAAACGTTAGTGAAATAGACATTCCATACATTTTCCGATATCTTGTAACTGAACTTGCAGCATGTAATATTAATATAAAACTTGATTTTACAGAAGCTTAAGAAATATCCAAGTTATTTAAATTATTTGTATTTTTTTATGTATTTTAATTTTTATTAGAGTATATAATACATTTTTCGAATAATACTTGTCAAGGATTTTTAATTCATCCTTCTACCAATAAAACAGTAATTTTTTTCATAGCATTATACATATGTGTATATATACATAATTAATTATAATAAATAAAATTCGTTGGGTATGTTACCTAAAACACTCAAAAGTTTATATTTTATTTTTCGTATATGGATATGGGACTTTTAGATTATTTTGTAATGTGTAGAGAAAACAAAAATTAAAGTAAGTGATAAAATAGATTATTATTTTCAACAATTTCAATAATAATTTTTTTTAAATATATATATATGTATATATGTTTTTTGTTATATTATAATATCGTTGGAATTGAAAGTTAATAATATATATATACATATATTAAAGAATCGTACTAAATTTATTGTCTTATGCTTTTGCTGGCACTTGAGATCCGGGCTTTGGACCAGAAGTTCCTGTACCTCCAGTTTGCTCTTTTTCTAACTGTTTACCTAAGTATTCCCTATAAAAAAAAATAATTGATTATTCTCAGTTGCAATACTTTTATTACACACTTGAAAATTAATTTAAAGTTTACCAATTGTGAACCATAAGTTTTTGAACAGCAATTAAGGCTTCATATCGGACATTAGGATCTTCATGACTAAGTAATTGCATGACTCTTTGCTTACCTCCAAGTTGTTCAATTACACTGGGATGAAAGAAATAATTGATTAAAATTCTCTGTTATAATAACTTAATTCATTTAAATAGATTGTTTCATTGATTAAATACGTACTGTTTTCCACGAGGATAATGTCGAACATATTCTCCAATATCAAAAGAAGCAACACTTAAAACCAGGGGATCTTTACTTGTTTCAAGTAAATGAACTAAGATTCGAAGTAGTTCATAATTTTTTTCATTCAATCTACTAGCATTTTCACGCCAAAATTTCGAAGATTTGTGAACTGGTGACCATTCTAATCGCCCTGATTTTACTTGTGTAGAATATTCATCGAAAGAACTTAAATCTTGTACTGAAGCTTGTAATTGATCATTCAAAAATTCAATATCTTCTGTAATGTCTTCATCATCGAATTTACGTTGACTTAAAATTGATAATTGTTTCAATACTTTACATTGAACCATGGCAATACAATGCTCTTTGGCTACCTGTCGATCTTCTACTTTCTCGATGAGATTCTAATAGGAAAAAAATTGTTTTTTCATAAAATTGTTATAAATAAAACATGATATTATTTAAAAACAATTTTGAATTTACTCTAAAAACGGCGAGAATAATACGAGTGACTTTTTCTTTCACAGAATCACTAAGGATATCAGCGAGAATTGGGATAACATTGAACCTAAACAAACAATTAAAAAATATAGCGAATGCAATTATTATTTTATACTCATTATTTAGAAATATATTTTTTGTTTACTTACTTATTCATTTTTTCTGCAAGTAAGGGGTTAAATGTAAGTACCCAAAGGCAAAAAATGAGTTGATATTGTACTTGAAAGTTTACACGACCAGCTAAAACACTGAGGATCGTAGAAATTCCATCAACAGAAATAAATGCAAAACGATATTCATCGATACGAAGCATCATTTGTAAACATCGGGCCACTGATTGAATATATTCATTATTCTATTACATATAAAAAAAATATATTCATTAACATTTAATTTCAAAAATTCTATTTACTCAAGTTGATTCATTAGATCAATCTTTAATAAAGAAGGAAAAAACAATTAAATAAGATTTTTTTAAATTTATAGCTGCTGAAAATGTTCACACAAATCAATACTAGCATCTTAAAAATTTTAAACTGATACCAATTATGTAATTAATGATTTATGATTCATAATTTACATAAAAAATATATTAATAACTAAAAAAAAAATACTTTCAATTCTAATAAAGATAAATTAATCATGTTATAAGAGTTGTTATTATAAAACCAACCGAGCTAGGCATTTCTTGGAGATCAGTAGCCTCTCCAGATTCCATGGGAGGGAAGTCTTGTATTACATCGGCATGCATATTTGTCTCCTGTACAGCTTCAAACTAAAAACTCATTCGATTTTTTTCGGCAATTTACTCACTTACTATTTAAATAACCATTTTAGTAAAAAAAACTTAATCACTGTATTTCGACTTTGCTTTAAAGCAACACAGCAGTACTTTGAGTGAAAACAAAATAATGTTTACAAAACTGACAATAGTATTATGTACTCAAATTCAATAATGTTAGTTAGTTACTTTACACAAATTATGATAAAAAATCATATACCCAATTAATACCCAACCTATGATGCTTATGACGATTTGTGAATACATTTTAAGCTGAGATTAAGCAGAAAGGCATGTATTAGCTTTGTTGAAAAAAAAAATTAAATATAAATACAAATATATGTTAATATACTGTTAATGTTAGCTTATATGGAAGCATATAAAATTCCATTAACTGATTTAAAATTAAATTGAAAAAATATTAAGACTACTTACGCTCATTTTGAGCTGATCTTTTAACCATGTAAGATAAAATTGAAGATCTGTTTTCTCCATTAACTCATGACTCCAACAAGCAAGTTTTGCAATTATTCGTGATGTCATATTCATTATAAATCCATCTTGTCGATTTAATAAATTTAGAAAAGGTCCCCATATAGATTCTCGTTTACGAGTTGAATACTCTCGAAATATTTCAACACGACTCCGATCCTCCTAAAAATAATTAATTAATAAAATTTGTGTCATATTTGTTTATTTATTTATATCAAAAATCTACCTGTAACATGTCATCAATCATGGTTAAAATATATTGAATAGTTGAATCTTTAGAAATATGACTCAACAAATTTAAAAATGTTTTGGCGGCTTGACCGGGGTATTGTTTTAATATGGCATCCCGTGCTGCAGCATCACCAGTATCAAAAGCTGCAATAAAATCATAATCTTCTTTGGATATCATTTGAGATCTAAAAAATAAAAAGTTTTATTTAATAACCGAATGTATTGTCTTTAAAACTAAATGATATTTATTTGAAACAATTAAGATATTTTAGAAGATCATTGGATGTTCGTTATCTATTGATAAATCAATAAATTTTGCTGAAAATGGTTGCATCTTTAATTTATGAAACATTAATCAAACTTACTGTGAATAAGATTGCCATTTAATACTCTGGCTTCTGATGTCTGCAGCTTGTTGTTGTAAAACACTCGTAGCTGCTAACATATCTAAAAAATAAGTATAAAAATTCAGAGTATCTATACATAAAAATAAATATATACAATGTATATACATAATTCAACATAATAAATGAAAATTTTCAATATTATTATTATGAGAAATAATAAGAAGAAAAATTTGTTATATTTATAAACATTTTGATAGGAATAAAGTTTATTGTAATGGGAGTGGCAAAGTCAGATGAGAAAAATGAATCGAAAATAATTACCATGTTTTTCTTCAGGTAATGCTGGAATCATTTGATTTATGTTAGCACGATCAGCCATTATTGGTAGAATATTAGTGCTACAAAGTGAAATTAAATTAATCGCTTTTTGAGGTAATTTCTTCTTTTTTATTCGTAGAACGACAATACAATAATTTTTTGATATTTGACTATGTATTTAGCTGTTCGATCACGAGACACAAGGAATGGTCTGCCATCACAATAATCATTTATTCCCTAGCATTGTTTACCACACCAATTCTAGGAAATAAATGAGTTGCAAAGAATACTGTCTTATTTACAGAAGCCCAAAAGTGCTTGTTCGTATTGACAGTAGGTAAGACAGTATTCTTTGCAATCACGTTTTTTGAGGTTATGTTCCATTCAGGATTTCATGCTGGCATGCGCAGTTCACACTGTCCGCCCGTGCATGGCTAATAATTTGAATATTTTCTTCAATAAAAATTTAGATTTTTTATGTAGTATTTAATAAAAAAAAAGTCTACAACAAATTCCTTGATTATTTTCTAAGAATCAGATAAATAACTAATTTTCCTTTTAGTTATAACTGGAATTTTTGTAGAATAAATTCATAATTTTTCTTAGAATAATAATCCATAGTTATTAAATAATTCAATAGAGTAAAAACAGTTTTTATTTATCAAAGACAAAATTATTCATTATTTCATAATAATTATAATTAATGCAACAAATCTCAAATAACACCCATGTGTCTTGATAAAGCAATCTTTAAGAACACATATAATAATATTAGTTCAAATATATTAAGTGGTGTTTATGTTTTATTATATTATTATATCATTTCATATTGCAGTAAAATTTAATCCTTAATTTCTGGCATCAAATCGTACCAACCAGTGGTAGCTTTAGTAACATCTACTTCAGATAAGTTGATGTGAACTTGGCCCATAATATTATTACCTGAAGACAGCCAAGCTTTTTGTGTACATACGGAAACTTCAAGAATCCGCGTATTTAAGTCTCCTTGTGATACAACATATTCAAATTGTTCATCATACACTGGATTACAATTATCTTTTATCACGGCAGTCTTACGTTTGGTTTCCTTGTGTCTATCAGGCAGTAAATACAGTTTAACATACGGATCCGGTATGTTTGAAGGGTCATTATGAGGTAAAGGTAAATGTCTATACAAGAAAAATTAATTGATTAATGAATTTGAATATTTAAAAAATGTGTCTATTATCATTTATTTACTTACGCGACTTTATGAACAACAACTATCAATCTTTGCCTGGGAACACTGTAGCGAAGAGTTAATTGAATTCTACCAAGCTTCCACTCGCCTTGGGAAGAAGTAACACTAGGGTTTCGTTGAATGAGTCCTGGAGGAGCCATGGTAGTATTTAAGGCTTCAGAGGCAATAAATTTAGCTTCAACTTCTTTTTCTTCATCAACTATTAATGGGGTAGCAACAGATCCAGATATCGCACTGTTTGCTGTACTATGGAGGGATTCTTTTGATATTTGTTTCTTCAATGGAGTTGTTTGTACTGCAGACAAAAGAAATGTGTAAATACTTAAAAAATTTAAACTTAAGAATTTCTTTATCATTTATGTAGTTTTCTTTTACCACTACTATTCTGGGAGCTTATATTCGATTCTTGTCGATCTATTCTCTTTTTTAATTCATTAATGTCTGTTTCTTCTTCATCGTCTTCGTCAATAGGCTCTGTAGGTTCTTCATATTTTAAAATATGCAATGACAAAGACATAATAATTTTACTCTCTGGTCCAGCATCTTGAAGATTATATGGCTGTTGTAACTCTTCTAAGTTTACTTTTGTTACTAAAGTTGATAAGCTATAGACTAATGTTCCAATTACAGTCGTTGTTTTTTCATCTATAAGCTGTAAAAAAATTGAATGATAAAATTATAATTATTTTATATTATTATTTTGAGAGAAATATTTTATTATATTATTGATTATTTTATTTACTCGAATATTCAGGCTGCTTGTCTCTGGATTGCTAACTAAAAATGAAAATCCGTGCTCCCAAACGGGATCACACGAACGTGCCATAGTCACGGTTCTCTCTTTTTTGCTACCAACACTCGCTTCTAAATAAACATCAGGTTGTTTGCTACCTCTCAAACATGGCAAATGACGAGCAGAATCAATAAATACAGTTAAAAGAGCCGTGCTCATTGATGTAACTCTCAGTTGTTGAGTTTCTACAAGTGCCTAAGGTTAAAAAATTTTAAAATCAATTATTATCTAATTGCATCTTTTTTCAGTAGTAGAATATTAAATACTCACAGCTTGGAGATCATCAAAATTTTTTGAAAGTTTCAACCATGTCAGTCGTAGATGGACCATTCCATGTTTGGCCATTTCCAGAGTAAACCACTATTAAATTAGAATTGAATTATTTATTTAAATTAATAAAATTATTGAAAAATATAGAATGAAAATAAAATACATACATTGTCTATGATTCCCTTCTTCTTCACTCGGCTTACTTCAATGTGGGCTCTAATTCATAAAAAAAAATTAATTAAAGTAATTATTTTTTTTTTTTAAATATGCTAACATTGTGTACAATAAAAAAAATCATACTAAAAAAAATTAAAAATTTATGAATCATGTGTATAATGTATTGACAAGACATGCATCATTAATGCCGTTAGTATAGCAAATAAAAAATATCTATGCAAAAACCAAATTTAAATGCTTGACATATGGTATTTAGCAGCGCATTCCATGCAATTCAATTTACGGTAATGATTTACTGACAAAATAAATATCATGACTCAATGATAATAATTTTACAAAGGAAAATATCTAATATTTTTTTACAATAAAAAATTTTTCAGCAATAATTATTGTAAAATGGTCGATTCATGCATCAATTGAAATAGATGCATTCATATGCAATAATCAACTGTCTTCCAATACGCAGCTTGAATTATCTATGGCTTTAACTACCCTAGGTATCATTTACTGAAAATATATTATTACATGTCTAAGGTATCATTCAATATGAAAGGGAATAATTCGCGGCTTTTGGAGTTCAACTATCAGTACCTTCCAAGAGGATCATCTTGGCCAGTTTTGTCTTTGTCAAAAAGCTGAGTAATGACGTTGCTGTAGACTCCTGAGTTGTGTTCCACTATAAACTGCCACCACACAAGCTGCTTTAGTTAGTTATTTAAAAAGAAAACACCAATAAAAAAATATATCAAAAATATAAAGAATTAATGATTACATTGAGATTATATTCCTAAAAAAAGATCATTCCAATAAATTAATTATTTATATAAATATATAAAAAGTGAAACTTGGGTGCAATCATAAGCAGCCAATAAAGCAAAAGTATTAAAAGATATAAGAAAAATTTAACAAATATTTAGAAAGTTCTGTACAACAGTCTTCAACTATTTCGTGATGACACAATGATGAAGTATTGTCTTCAATTACGAATCAACTCACTAAACCAAATTGAAAAGGTGGGATCTACTACCTTCCAAGTAAATCATCATTCTCAACCCCAGGAATGTTGGGATCCCAATCCCAAACTGTAATAGCAGCGTCTACACCTAGGCTTCGTGTATTGATGATAGCCTGCGTGGTATAGGATGAAAATAATAGAGGGTAATTTATTTTAAATTTATTTCTATTATTATAATGATCTATATACTTAAATCTGCACAATTAGTTGCGTGAAAGAAACAAATATACCTCCAAACACCACAATTTTATTAAATAACACTGAAGGCCAGAATATGCGAGTTAATCAAGTGCCAAAGCATGATATGATGATAAAAAAAAAACAATGAGTGCAAATGAAAATTGTTTACCTTTACATATACAAATACTTGTACGATATAGTTAAAGTGATTTATAACAGATACATAGATTTATAGATTTATAGCATACCTGCCTAGGCTCTCGTCACCCTTCGTATCGTCGGAGTCCCAGAGAGAAATCGTCAGATGCTGTGCGATGGCGGATGTCACGATACACTAATCCCATACAATACACACATCACATAGCATACACACAAATGGTTGGATAAAAAAAATGCTAATTAATATTGGGCAAAATTTGAATGTGAAATTGAATTTTTTACGTGCTTGCCTTTGGAATATTCCTGGAAACTTTTTGAACAACCAAATATTTAATAAGATTAATGCACTTCTTTCTTTAAATCCATGAACTTAAATGTAAAAAAAGAACTGTAATAAAGTTGATTACTAAAACACTAGTATTTAAGTAATTGATCAATTTCATTATGTTTTAAAAGTTCAGATAAAACTTAAGCTTAACGAACAGGTCGTGAAGTGCTGTTTTTATAGCTAAGCACGTGCACGTAAACAGCTGAGTATTTGAATTTTTTCTTAAAGATAAAACTTTGCATACCTCACACCAATAATCCCATTTAGGATCTACTGTGTTATCAATAGTGTGTGTCCTAAATTCCTGTGCTCCTACGCTGATAATAGCATAAGGGTCTGACTTTCCTTTTCCAAGCATACCAATGTCTTTTTTCATCAAATGCTTAGCCTGTACTACGTGAATTCTCAATACACCCTTGGGAAGAAATTAAACAAAATTAGTTTTAAATAAAAAATAATGTCATAAAAATGAGAATAAAAATTACTTCTGGTTCTGGTGTTTTCAAAATCTCTGCAGGAATTTCTGCACTCAGTGGAATTACTATTTTATTCGGTAGTACTGCAATTGCTGCAATTTGCTCCCTGACCACCTTTCTCAAAGCTTGGCTAAAAAAAAGTATTATTTTTTTTTCAAAAATTCATGTCATAGTTCATTTTACAAGCTAAAAGCTTACTTAAATCCTGGAAAATCTAAAACATCTACAGCTCCTACGAGATTAAAGTCAATGGATGGATTATTTAGGAAAGATACTTGAACTCCACCAACTAATGGCATGACGTTAAGCATGGGTTTCATAACTACACGAAGCATTCCTCGAAGTTGAAAGTCTCTTATTCCTCCTTTAATATTACCAAGGTGAAATGAAATATCACAGTCTCCCGCATATCTGTAATGTAAAGCCAAAAACATGTAACATTTCCAAAAAACTAAAATTATTAAAGATAAATAAACCCTAAATAAACAAGATAAAAAACTAAATGCTGTAATAATTATACGTACAAAACATCACAGTCCATAATGATTTCATTTCTGGACGTATTTTTCTCATAAACTTTTATCCCATAAACTTTTGGTGGCTGTAAAAAATTATTTATGGATTTCTTTCATTGATAAAACAATATAGATTTAAATAATGGATAAAGGTTGAAATAGTTATTATTCACTTACAATTCTTCCAAGTACTAATCGTCCAAATTGAAATGTTGGCATTTTATATTCTGATAAGGCTTGAGCAATTGCTGGCTGTATTGTATCCTTAACTAGATTTCTTACAAAATGATTCATGCCAGGCCAGACTTTATATAACACCTGATAAGTATAAGAAAAACGAATTAACATTACCATCATGACCATTGTTACTATTTATAATATGAAGAATATGTTTTGAATCCATGTATTTATTTTTTCTACGATACAAACAGCTGTTAAGTTTATTAACAAATTTATTCAGTTTATTTTCATTGATTAAATTTAAAAATGTCATTTCATTAAAAATATTTTTTCAACTATCTTAATTAAATATAAGAAAATCTAATTGAACAGAATGTCAATATATGTGATAACCGAACGTACAAAAGCGTCATTAGTATCTGTTAATTTAATATTTGTAATATAATTGAAAGACCAAGAACGTTGAAGCAACTTTGTTATTACAAGATAAAAATTCTTTGATTAATTTACTTTGAGGATATAAATATTGATTTGAGAAACCGAGAAAATGTATATAATATTATTTGTAATATTGAAGAAAGAAATGAAAGAAAACTAGAATATTTCAGAAGTCAAAAGATTCTTTGTACTTGCAAGCTTTAATTATAATCGAAACAGTTAATTGCATAGCTTTTAGAGCAGAAATTTAATTAAAGAAATTATATTTACTCTGTTGAGCCATTCAGCTCGATCAAAATCTGGAAAGTATACCCATGAGGGAATTTCATCCAATCTGCTGAGAATTACATCTTTTTCCTTAGCCATAACAGTAGCTTGAGCGGTAAGTCTCTTAAGATTACAACTCTGGCTATTTTCGTTCTTCCATACTGATAATATTACAGGTGGTATTAACCATGCAACACTCCAGTTCATGTATCCCCATCCCCAAATAGCTCCAACAGCAACTGCCTTCAGAACCAGAGAAGTCGCAAATGACTTGATAGTCATAAATGGCCAGGTTGCTTTTTCCTTAGCACCGTCTTCAATCATTTTGACCTCCTCCTCTTCTTTATTCTCACTCATCTTTCACGTGTGATTCTTTACTAATCTTTTTCTGTCATCAATGAATCATTTGTTCAAACTGTAAATCATTAAATAAAAATTAAAGAAAAGAATTACTGAATAATTGAAAAGTATAAAATGAAAATAATAAAGATGATTCAAATGTCTTTAAATAGAATATGTGATATGAGCTTCATTATTTTATGTGAATACAAGCTTTCAATTGAATTAGCCTTCATTTATACCTGGACAAATAAAATAACGACAATAAATGGTAAATAAAAATATGACGTCATGTCTGTAAAATTTAAAAATGGTCTGCGTTGTAATGGGATAATTTTACTCTATGAGTTGATTTTAGAATGTGTTACTGAATTTATTACAAGTCTATAACATCTTTCAATAATCTTTGACAACATTTGCAAACAGTTATTACCCATTTAATTTAAAATATCCATTAATTAGCTGTAATCTGTTGTTTTATTCAATATTCTATGAATAATAGATGATTCTTTACATACCTATTTTATAGCCTTCGCTAAAATACGATATTATAATAACGTCAACAAGAAGCAACTACACTCTCACTCGTGTCGGCGCCAACTAAAAAAATGGAACACATGCGTCAAAAACATTAACACGAAATGCGCCGCAGTTGTGAAGTTGTCTGGAGACAAACAGCTGACTGGTGGGGAGCAGAAAAGAATGAAGTTAGCTACATGATCGCAAGGGGGGGCTTCATCGATATCTGTCAAAAGTGATTTTAGTCCGCCATTGTGTTTGGTCAGGATTTTCTTCGAAACATTAGTGCGTAGATTTCACAAAAAATAGTAATCTAATTGCACCAGTGTATTTAATAACCAGTTTTAATATTGCATTTAGTATTTAAGACGTTTAGGTTATAAAATATGGGTCTTGCGTGTTCAACAGCGCAGGTAAAATATATTTTTATCCATGTATTTTTCATCGATTTATCTCTAGCTTTGTATCTAATGGCTTTGTTTACATGACTCTTCTTCGTTTTTTCTAGCTTGCCTGCTTGTGTGGAAGTACAGCCTGCAGTTTCTGCTGCTCACAATGCCCAACATGCAGGAACAGTACGAGTGCAAGGATTATGTATGCTATAATGTTGATGCTGGGCACAATAGCTGCTTGCATCACCCTTGCTCCAAGCCTCCAGGACGTTTTGAAGAAGGTATAAGACAACTCAACTCAAGTAATAAAAAAAACATGGAAATAAACTTTGAGGAATCATAGAAATTTTTTTCTGTTCTAAATTTACTTTTGAAAAAGAAGTATGGCGCAGATAAAGAAAATTAGATCACTGTATGATTCATCAAAGCGTGGATTTTTTTATTTTTAACTTTTTGTCTCTCTTCAATTGATTTTATTTTTAATGAGGAAATATAATTAAACATGAACTTTTTATTTCCATTAAACTTTAATCCACAAATTATAAATGAATAAATTTAATACTAAAATTTAATTTATTAAACATTTTAGGTTCCATTTTGTACAAACAGTACGAATTATGTTCCGTCCTCATTCACCATTGATTGTCAATCAGCAGTTGGATACTTAGCAGTATATCGAATATGTTTCATTGTGTCTCTATTTTTCTTTTTGATGTCGCTGATTATGATAGGGGTTAAAAGCTCCAAGGATCATCGAGCTCCAATTCAAAATGGGTATTAATAATTATTCAACATTACTTTCAATTCATGAAATAGTACTCATTAATTAATTTATTCTATTTTTTCTTTAGATTTTGGGCTATCAAATTTCTTCTAGTTATTGGAGGAATTATCGGAGCATTTTTCATTCCGGAAGGATCCTTCGGAGCAGTATGGATGTATTTTGGAATGATAGGAGGATTCTTCTTCATTTTAATCCAATTGATATTAATCATTGACTTTGCCCATTCATGGGCTGAAGCTTGGGTTGGCAATTATGAAGAAACAGAATCGAAAGCTTGGTATGCAGCTCTTCTAGGATCAACATTTATCACTTACGCTCTGGCCATTACTGGAATTGTCCTTTTGTTCATCCACTTTACGCTGCCTCACGACTGCTCACTTAATAAATTCTTCATATCTTTCAATTTGATTTTATGCGTCATTGCTAGCGCAGTATCAATCTTACCACGTGTTCAGGAGTTCCAACCTCGAAGTGGACTTCTTCAGTCATCATTTGTGTCTTTGTACGTCGTTTATCTTACCTGGAGTGGTGTCTCAAACAGCCCAGGTACATTGTTAATTCAAAATTAAACTTGAAAGAAAAGGATTTATAATATAAATTCTTATAAAATATTGTTTTTATATTTAAGATCACCAATGCAATCCTGGACTTCTTGGAATAATAACCAATAATGACGTTAAAGCTCAAAATCAAGTAGCATTCGACAAAGAGAGTGTTATCGGTCTTATCATCTGGTTCACTTGTGTCTTATACAGTTCAATTCGTACTGCATCAAAGTCTTCAAAGATTACCATGTCTGATAAAGTGCTTATACAAGATAATGGTGCTGGTAAGTATCTAATTAAATAAATCATTGTTGATTCTAATCTCTAAAACAAAATTTTATGCAGTTCGCAACACAGGAGATCCTTCTCTTATTGGCAATGAAGGTACGCACATACCATAATAGTTATTCAACGATTTCATTATTTAATTAGTTATGCTAATGAACATAGTCTTTTATATAAGACAAAACTGTTATGAATTTTAAGTAGATAATATTCGCACTAGTAGCTAGTGTGTGCCTGCCTTTTTTTGACTTTCTACCAGTGTTCTATTACCTTTAATTCAGCTCTGTTTAACCTTCTTTTATAAATTTCCTTGAGTTATATTTAAGTAAGCTATTTTTCATTTTAAATTCTGCTTATTAAATTAATTTTTTAGGTAAAAAAATTTAAAATATATATAAAAATTTATTTTTTATTATTCACTCAATATTAAAGCGATAACAAGTCTTACAATATTATTTATGTTAGCTTTAACTGTATAAGTAAATTACTTATCAGCCATTGTTTATACATTTAGATGATTACAAAATTCAATTATCACTATCAATTAATAGTTATTTAATAATACTTATTTTTTGTTTTTCAATTCACACGCTATTACGCCTACACATTCTATATCGTGTACACTTTATTTATAAAACACTTTCTTTTACTTTCATTCTTTTTCCTTAGTTTCTTTTATTGTTTGTCAAATGAAAACAGACTATGTTCCAGTAGATGGCCGCAATCATGATTCTGAGTCCGGAGACTCTCCAAAAGTTTGGGATAATGAAGAAGATCAAGTCGCATATAATTGGAGTTTCTTCCATCTGATGTTTGCTTTGGCTACTTTATATGTTATGATGACTCTCACAAATTGGTACAAGTAAGTTTCCTTGAACTAATTATGACAAGAACAAATATAAATAATGAGCAATCACTGTAAATATTCAATTTATTTTTTTAGGCCAAACTCAAGTCTTAATACTCTCAATTCAAATCCTGCATCTATGTGGGTGAAGATCATATCATCATGGATGTGCTTAGGACTTTACACTTGGTCTCTTATTGCTCCTGCTGTTCTTACAAATCGTGATTTTTCTTAAGTCATTTAAAATAATGCAATTTAAATTTATCGATTATTCAAGCATATATTCGCTAGGTTAAAATCTTTATAAAGTAAATAATATTACTCATTTACTCTTAGGATTAATGTTCATGATAATTCTTCCTCACTTTTTTTATAAATTTTAATTGATTATGTTAATGTAAGCTTGTAAATATCCCCTACTATCTATCCTACTGAAATGAAAGTATTTAATTTACTTTTTATTGTGATAATTACGAATAATGTAGTTATTATAAATGTTCGTAGAAGTGAAGATTTAAATCTTGAAAATACAACAATTATTTATGATAATATAAATATATATAAAATCATGCAGCTTATGATTATTAAAATCATATTAATAAAATACCAAAATAAAAATTAACTTTGTTTGAAAATCAATGTGAAATTTACTTTTTGAGAAATATATTTTGACCCTTAGAATATCTTAGAAAAATATAATATATTACATAAATAATGTATTGTTTATTTTGTCATTTAAAAGTAAGCTAAAACTACTTTTATAAATTCTACATCTTTATACAATATTAAACTAACAACATAAATAATTGGCGTTAAATCTATTCATTTTTTATTTCTTTACAAATTGATGTAGGTTGGGGCTTTTTCTTTAATAAACAAGTTTTAATATTCTGGAATGGTGAATCAAACAAAAGAGTTAAAATAGCAGCCGTTAAGATAATCCATATGAATTCATTAATATTAAACTGCATTCTGAAGAAGTCATAATTATCTGCAGTTCGAGTTTGACCCACATTGAAGAAAAAGACTGGAAATTGCGTTAAATAAACAGCATAACTAAGCCTTGTACTGACTAGAAAGCCCCTCCACGAAAAGCATCTACAGAGCCAAGCTGAAATAAGAGATTCAATCATGCAAGTTATAACAATATTGAATAATATTTATTAATCAATATTAAATGAATTAAAAATTTTTTAATTGTTGGTGTGTACCTTTTGTACTATTTGTGTGACAGACAAATATCATCCACGCGAAAATCGCACACCATCCAATCGGAGCGAAAGCATTGTACATAGCTGCATGAATTGGATTATAGACATAATCAAGTGATCCCATCTTAGCTGGTCCCAAAAAAGCACCAAGGGCGGCAAGAGATGATAAAATCCATCCTAACTTTACTACTGTCTAAAGATTAAAAAGAAATATATGTAAACATTATGTAATGTCTTACGTAGTTTCTATAATGATATTCAGTAGTTCTAAGCTACCTTGTTTATTTGTAATCCTTTAGGATATCTTCTAAGCAAATATCCCATGAAAATGCCGATTACATAAACCGTCAATCGGTGAGAGGGAAGAATATATGACAGATCAGCAGTTTCAAACAGCTGCTTGATACTAAAAAAATTGGAAAACATTAGTAAGAACTTTTTGATTAAATTAAAAAAAGAATATAAAAACATTCAATTTCAAAACAACGTTTTTATTGAACGTTCATTTAAAAAAATTTAATTATTTTCAAGTTTTCTATAATTAAAATGTCGAAATTAATATGATAATTGTAGTGACAATAATTATAGAAAAAAATTAATTATTTCCGTTAATAAGTATAAATTAAAATCAAGAAATATTAATTTTAAGAAGTGTTTTTAATTTTTCCATCGAGGAAATTGCAAAAAATTTATAAAAAGTGAATTTTTTTTCGTCAGTTTTCAATGAAATAAATAACGAAAAAGTAATGAAATAGTTGAAAATTTAATCATATAATTATATATAATAATCTTATTTCGTAAGATGATACTTACGAAGTTCCGAAGAAAACATAATTGCTGAGTTCTTTGTAATATGTTACATAAAATCTCAATACTGTAGACAAGGTAGCTAATAGTCCGAGTACAAGTCCTCCAAACTTCGGCCACTTGCATAAAGTCAATATCATTAATGGTGAGAGTACAAAAAGCTGAGTATCAATGCCAACATGATGTGTATGCGTTAAGCACTGTAAATAAAATGTTTACAAATGAATTGATTATTTACTATTTATATTCTTATCTTCAAAGACAATACACAATTTACCATTTTTTCAAATCCAAAGTAGTTGTGAATAAACAGTAAATTTCTCCACCAAGTTTTCTTGCAGATTTCTGCATGATGCGTAACGACTAGGTTCCATTGTGGTCCAGATCCAATGAATGGCATAACAAAGGTACAAAAGAGGATTAATGCTCCCAACGTCGGAATCAACCTATCAACAATAATGGTTTATTTCAACTGTAAATCTTGAAGAATCTGATTAAGTCAATACAGATTTACTTACCGTAATGCTCTCGACAAGTATTCTGTCTTGACATCAATCCTCCCTGACTTGTCTATTTGTTTTACAAATGAGTAAGACGTAAGAAGACCAGAGAGCATAATAAAGGGATCCGTATAGAGACTGGCAGCTCGTCCTAAGACAGTCCAAGGCTGACCTAGATACTGAAGATATTATTAAGGTAAAAGCTATTGCAATTAAAATAAATTAAATTGAACTACTGCTTATCAATATGCTTAATGAGACAAAAAAAGACGAGTTGAAGAACACTCTTTTAGCCTACAAAACTTTCTAATTAATGCAAAATGTAGATTATACACGTGTTAGATTAGCTAAAACATACTTTTTGCTTACAGACAAATTATAATATTGTTTGAAATAAAAATGTAAATTTTATTAATGAACCGGTATCAATTAAATAATTGTCTGACCAATAAATTTAGTGAATTTTTAATGAAGATACTGATTGTTTAATAGCAAGAACTTTACACCTTCTTGAATTATACAATTTGATTAATATCCAAATTTTATTTAATAATCATGCTCATCAAATTACCTCACGATTCTAATTATCTTTTATTATAAACAGAAAGTTACACAACTGAATCTTCGTATACGATTGTATTTAAATGTCAGTCCGATTGATTTTCATGCTGATGAAATTTAATTGAACATCAGGAGCTAACACAAAAGGAAATACATCAACATAACTTAATAATTTCTGAAGCTGTGAAAATAATATTCAATAAGATAAAATGTAAATAAATAAAACAACTAATAATCACATCATGCGAATAATTTTAATATTGAATATTAAATTCTTACCTTTTTAGAATATTTAATACTTTAGCCTCCATTATTAAACTTCAATAAATGCAAATATTAAGAGATAAAATAAAAATTTATATATTAATAAATAGCATTAAAATGTCATTAAGTTCTTACAAAAAATACGTCTTATTATAGATCTTCATTCAAGATTTTTTACTCCACTCATTCCTTTTTATTAAATCCTATGATAGGAATATTTTTTATTCTTGTTTTACGAGAGCTCTTCAATAAAAACGTATTCAATAAAAAAAAAGCAGTACCTCAGCCATTCGTGTTCTATTGACGTAAGGGTTGAAGAAGAGAGCCATGCTCTTGTGTGCTAATATTAACATCAAAGCATTAATAGCTCTAATGCCATGGACAATTTCGATGTCATCTTCTCTGCGCTTCAACGATACAAGTTTGCGGAAGTTTCGTGTCAGAGAGAACGACAGTAGAAACTCATTAGCGTTTAAGTAATAGCGTTCGCAAACAGCAGCCACAATAGAAGTGATTACCACTCCAGCAAAAAGGAAACTAAAAGAGAAAAAATTAATTTAAGTAAAGGTCATAGCGTAAAGATAATTATACTCATTACCATAAGAAGAGAAGATGACGAAAGAAAATACCTCACGATTATAGTGCTAAGAGGAAGTGACTCGGATCTGTGAACTTGACACATTTCACGGTCGACTCTAATGGTTATGTTAAGACCGGTTTTTTTATACTTCGCAAGTGTGGTCCTCAGACCAATTTCAACGTCATGGGCCGAACAGCTCGATGGTATACAAACAGACCAGTGAATCGTATTAAATCGTGGTACCCTATGACCTGGCTGAAAAAAATAATTGATGCAAATGGTATAATTTATTGATGACTATTATCATTGTAATTATCTTTTCATAAATATATATAAGACTTTACATCATTTGAATACTACGTGAAATTATAAAAATTCATTGATTTATCTATAAAATATCAGTCGAGAGAATCTTCATATATAATCAAATACTTAATTCTATGTTTTATTCTTTTCCGCATGATGACAATTTAAAAAAAAATTTTTTAAAAAGTTATATTATTGACCTTAGATTATATTTGTTTGCTTTATGTATTTATTAAAGAAACATTTGAGTTTGTGTTGATTTTTTTTTTAAATTAATACTTTTCCTTTTTTATATAGCAGTTATTATGAAAACGTTTGAATAAATTAACATTCTAATATAAAACATTTAACCTGTTCATTTATTTGTTGAGAATTTTATTTTTAGTTGAATATTTGCCGAATGATTATTTAAATCAGTACATCATTTAATTCTTCTTTATTATTAATATATTTTTCTTATGATGTTGATACTAAATCCTGAACATGTCTTGAGTATAAATGTTCAGAATATTTACTTTTACTTTCATTTTAGATATCTTCTGTACTCCCTCATGATATAAATTCAAATGCAGCATTTAAACAAAAATTCCGTTGGCATTTTCTGTACTTACGTCTGTCAGATTGCTTCTGAATGCATAGTGAGAATGTAAGAGTCGATGTATGTACTTGAGATCGGGTCTCGTTTGATCAACATCAAGCTTCAGATAGACTAAACAATATTGTCCACGTATCTGTTGGCTTCCTTTGACACTAAGACACTCGTCAAAGTCACCAAACTGATTAACATTTCCACTTAATAGACCTGATGGGATTTTAGCTGTAGCATCATACACTAAAAAAAGAAAACGATCAAAGAATTTGTCACACATAACTTTGTAAAGACAGTCACGAGTATTAAGAATAAAGGTGAAATCGAAACGATTGAAAAAAAGTATGTACTATTGTTATACCAAACAGTAGAAACTTTTTCAAGTCTTTAGCTGTCAAGCTTTACATTTATGTACTCAATTGACATGATATTTCAATCGTCACGTAATTATTGGAGGTTATAAAATTATCTTTTTCGGTCAAACTTACTTTTTAGAGCCCAAAGACTCATCTTACGAAGCTCTCGTGAAAATATCTCTGAATGTTTCCTGCACTCATTGCTGATATTACCTTGATTAAGACTGAATTCAGGAATTATCTCTAGCAAGTGGTTTATCTCTTGAAAACGGTCATCTACAAAATCTGGCAATTAAAAAGGTTATGGCCATTAACAATCATCAAACAGTTTAACCTAACCGATTTTCTGTATCTCACATCAGTTATTACTTTTGTTTATTGCATTCAACACCAGACGATTTCAAAATGGATTATGGTATGCGAAAAAGTGTAGGTGTTTGAACGCAAATATGTAAGCGTGTGTTTAGTTCATAGGCTTTTGAATGATTCTTGCACCAACAACGGACGTGCTTTGTGTGCTAAATGCTAATAAATACACGAATCGAATTTACTATTATGTTGACGCATCGCCGACATAGGTAAATAAAAATCGCTTCAATTACGGAATTTCGTACAAAGAAAGAAAGAGCGGAAGCTTCAGAAAAAAAATCAATTCTGATTGTGATGGAATTAATTATATATTGAGTACATAACTGATCCATAATTAATACTAGATTACTCATTCTGAATTCTTACAGAGACTTGTTGATGTGAATAAACCAGAGCAGTGAAAATTGATCGACATTGACTGGTAATGTTGATGGTGAATGTCGCAATATGATTGCAACTATCGACAACGAGCTTATATGTACTTTCATTACGACAGTATATACACTTAAGCTTTAGCCTATCTGAGAAAAATTAACATTCAATAAAATTCATTTTAACACAAAGTAAATTATTAATCATTAATCGTTGACGTATTGATTGAGCAAAAGCTAATTTTATTAACAGAATGACAGGAATTAAAGTCTACGTGCATATAGTTCATTATTTAATGATACTGATGAAGCGAAAGTAATAAAAACGAATGCCGTGCTTTGCAACATAATTACAGATTATCTGACCTTCGATTATCATATATTCAATCAAGATATCCTGGAAATTTGCTTATTCTTATCTATTCATTCTTATTTATCCTGGCTCGTGACCAGGGTTTTGATTGAACAATTTTTTGTTCTTTTTACGGAAGCTGAATCATTTTTTTCATGATAAAAAAGAATGTCATTTATTTTTCCTAATGATTGATTTATGGATGCATTCATAGCATGTATGGTGAAAGTAGATTCTTCAATTTCTACTCTAGATCTGCTTTTGCAGTTAAAAAAAATCTCATATTTATTATGAACGAGTAGTAATTAAGGTTGGGTTCACGTTATGATAATAAAATAATAAAAACTTATACTTTTTAAAATGTTGTAGTGAGATACTTGGTAGAAAGCGTAAGTATAGCAATAGCTATTTATTCATAATTGATTAAATTGATCATGAAAACTAACCATCATAAATGTCAGATTCTTCAGCATCAGATAGAAATTGCAAGTCCCAAATAGAAGGTTCTGGTTTCTCACTATGATTTTTCAAAGAAAAAAATTCTTCAGACTCATTGGATTTATTGCTTGCAAAAATTCTCAAAATTTCATTATCATTGAGAGTATCTAGAGCAGATGAAGGTAAGACATCCACAGTTTTTCTTGATTCAGTAAAAAAGATTAAACACAAATTGGTCCAAACAAAGAACGTCACTTTAATCTTCATCATTTTTCACTGAATAATTGACAGTAACTTTGTTTTTTGATTTTTCGACAGGCTAGGTATTGTCACTAATTGAAAGGGATTTAACAAAATGTATTAAATATCACATTATCTCGGTTGAAACTGAAAGTAACAAGCAGCGTAGAACTATCACGTTTCCCGAATGAACGTAAAGTAAAGAATCACCTGTGTTCGATGAAGTTTATGAGGTGGATATAAAGAGGGGTATTCTAAAATCCCCACCAGCATGATCACTTCAGAATCAAAAATATCAGTATTCAGGAAACACCTTGACAATCAAAGCTAAACCATAGCTACCTGGAATCTTATGCGTGGAAAAAAAAACACGTTTCTTGTATTCGGGATATTATACAATCCCTGAATTAATCAAAGATAGAATCAATGATGCAATTTTAGTGGTTCCAATGACAATCACAAGGTTCAGAATTTTTATAGACCTGGTTATATTCATTAGAATCAAATTTTAGGTCTAACAAAAATAAAAAATCATCACTTTCTTCCGTTAACTTGAAAATATTTCAACAGACACACAACTGGATGATTTTTTAACAACTTTTCATCATCATAGAATGAAGAAATTATTTATGGTTTCTCAAAGACAAATTTTACCTGTTGACTAAGACTTTCTGTTGGCAACTTCTTTTGGAAATAATATTCCTTTACGTATTATCAATACTGTTTGTAAGTACGTCATGCTTTTCTAATAACTTTACGCTCGTTATTCAAGTATTTTCGAGCAAGAGTTAATATTATTCAAGCTTTGAACACCCTAGTGGGAAAGGCTAACGTTCATGTAACTTTTAAGTCTCTCAAGACTCTAAACATACTTGTGATATGTCATGTGACCTTGTAGATCTCGCTACTTGGCGTACACCATACCAAAGTCATGCTACTTATTTTAATTGAGATTGTGAAAGCAAATATGCTATATAAAGATTCAATGATTATGCTGTCTCAGGAAAATTTACAATCTTTTTAGAGTTTGAATAGAATTAGAAATAATTGGACGTCCTCAATTCAGGATCAACTTAGTTAATCTTTTTTGAAATGAAAAGTGATCATTACATCGACATGTTCCAGTTGCCCGAACATCAAACAAAAACTTTAACATTATAGTAATTACAGTGATTCTTCAAATAATGAATGTGCTTTTTATTTCTCTGTAAAACGGTTCGTGATAAACGTTATAATTACCAACTTACTCTTCAAATACGTCGAATGGTTTATTTTTATCTACTAGCAAAATAATAAGAATAATGTTTAAAAAAACACCAGATTGTTAAATACTTGGACAAATTATATCTAATTACATCAAGATGATAATCTAAAGTTTGATGTTTCTTATAATTATGATGTGACAAAACATTGTTATATAAATAATTTTATTTAGAGCAAAGCAATTAATTTTTGATTTACATATTATCAATAAGTTATGAATGCAAAATAGCTCATCATTGCATTAGAAAGTAAACAATATATGCACAATGTTAAAAAATGGAACTGCGCTTTCATTCACGTTTGAGTATTAAATAACATCTTGCTTCAAAACTCATTATAAATTTAAATGATAACAAATAACTTGATTGATTTTACTTCCTCTGATATTATGGTGGTTTTTATTGTGTTAATATTTATTGAATTTTAATTATAGAATATTTAATATTGATTGATCGATATTATTATTTATTAAACCAGTTTTATGATGATAAATTAAAAATCTTCTTTTGTGTGTCGGAGATCTTTTGCGATTCAAATAATTTTACTGGAGAACTCACAGTCATGCGCAATAACTTCGGATATGATCGGGTGTAGTCGGTAATTCGCAACTGTTTCGGCTAATTTCACAAGTAAAAACGTAATTAGTATTTCATCCGTACATTATTGTGTGTAAAACAGGTAGATAGTGTTATAATTATCTCTTTTTTTCTCTCTTTTTAAATGTTTCCGAGTAATTCTTGAAGTGTGAGATAAATCAAAAAAAAGGGATGAAAGAAAATACTTAGAAATCTAAACATTAAAAAAGGTTAAAATATATTTTCCCATTACATCAAATGAAAAAATGAAAATGTAATTACATAAAAGAATAGAATGACAATAGGATTAAAAATTATATACCAATGTAAAGGACAGATATCATTTTTTAATTTATTCATGGTCACGAGATCAATATTTTAAAACCTGTATTTAAGAATTAAAACCTGTTAATTTAATGTCAAAATATTAGACTATAATTATTTGTACATATATTTTGTTGCTTATTTAGGTCCAATCTATTAAGAGGGAAATTGTTTGATTATGAAAGCACATGGGTTTGCGAAAATTTGAAGAAGACGCCAAGATGCAAAAAGAGATAAGCCGTGAACGTGCTGTCATCTAGTGCGTGAAAGCCTATATGCAAGGGCAGTTTTACTCCAGACAGCTGACAAATGTTCATTGTCATTGACACGGTCGTTGATTCCACTAAAACGTGGGCCTTGTTTTCGTTCAAATCACGGAATAGGTAGTGCTTGTGATTAATCAAGGTTATGATTCTATGCACGTGAAAAAAAATAACGACATCAATCTTTTTAGTCAATCTATAATTGGCTTAAGCCTGAACAAGTGTTGTTCATCACAGATGAAACATTGATTCTCTTAGACGTTCAAGCGCGTTTGATTGAGTTGGTACATCATAGTCAAATAACAGAGAAGAAAAACACCTTATTTCTTATCATAAATCGTACTACCAGGCTGTTATCACTGAGAATAGTAATGGTGAGTAAATAGAAAGTTTACATACTTCTAATCCCATGCGTTCATTCACATTAATGATTTATGTCAACTCAAATATCTTGAGACAGTAGTATTATATGTACAAAAGATGAATCATATTTTGTTTAATCGTTATATTTATATATATATTGACTCTTTCTTGAAAGCCACTTCCAGAATAGATAAAAAATAAATAGTTTATGTTTAAATAATTTTTAACCTTTGCTGTTAACGGCCAATATTTTTTTCAAAATGTCTGCAAATAGTTAAATAAAATTTGATTAATTCAATCAACATTTTGGATGCATAATGATTATATTCAAGTAAACTTGAGATAAAGATATTCCAGTAATATTCTTTCAAAATACAACTCTTTAAATATTTGTGTATGTTAATAAAAGATATGTTTAGTCATTTAGTATTTTTATTACGAAATTTTGAGAATATTTTCAAGGAAAATCAATTAACAACGCTATATATTAAGTAATCAAATTATTTCTATCACATGTAGATAAACGAATAATAAGACTAAAATAAATAACTGGTTTTCATAATGAAAAATTTTCAACCAATAATTTACACTAGTAATTTCATATATTTTTTGAGTAATAAAGTATTTAACACTGTCAGAAGAGAAAGAATTCTTGAAATAAAACAGTGGGAAACATGACTAAATACATAATGGAGTAGTTTTGACAACTTAATAACGAAGCAGATAAATACTGAGCCTAATTATTGTGACGTATTGGCAAATGGTATTTTTAAAATTCACATTAATAACAAATGAACGATGAGTTATTTTTAAATTCAATCCAGTTTTTGCTTTGAATAATCAATAGAATTATTTTTTTGTGAATCCATATTCATGCTTGTAAAATTTACATTTATTCCTTAAACATTTGAATTCATGTTACAATTTATAATTTGATTTTTGTGTTTTTATAATTAATTGAAAAAACAAAATTCTAAATTTGATGATAAGGTATAAAATCAAAAATTTTATTGACTTAAAAGAAGAAACACATGGTAATAAGTTGGATAAGTACAATTTACGATATGACAAACTGATAAAAACCAAGAAGTACACACAATGAACCACCTGACCCACTAAAAATAACCCAAGTGTCTACTGACGACGTGCTTTAAGCAGAATTTTACATGAGTACAAAAAAATAATAAAGAAAAATCGCCTTTCTTATTCTGCTTAGCTATATGTTCTCTATACTTAACTTGGTGGTTATTTTATGACTAAAATTCACGTGATAAATTAGGGTAATAGATGTAGGCACAATGTAAAATTTAAATAAACTCAGGTGAAGCCGAGAAAACTCTTACGTGAGGGCGAAGGGCCAATGAAAATGACAAGATTCGCCATCATAACCAGGAGAGCAAGACGATGTGCTCGAGAAAAACGACTTCGTGCCAAAGGTATCCATTTATTGAAATAAAAGTGTGAAGCTTTTCTACAATATATTTGCGCTACTCACCACCATCATCTTTACATCAAAAATAAATTATAACCACTTTTAAATATTTTTGGTAGTTGCAACAATAATCAAACATATTAATAAATAAGTAATCTACTAATTATTATTTATTAGCTATATAGAATTATTAATAATCGAGAATAAAATACCTTACTCCATTAAAACTTATTGTGAATAATAATTTATATACCTAGTAAATTTTTCAGTTTTTACTGCATGAGAATGATGATTTTTATACGACATGCAGTTTCGATAATCTAACAAATTGTTTGTTGAAGCCAAGAAAAATTGGATGCAACATATAAATTTTACGTGACATAATATACATTTTGATGAAAAATTGCGTCTATGTCATGAATGATAAATTTGTTAACAGAAAAAAAAAAAATAACAAGTTTTATTAAAGTGAAAAGGGATATTTTTATGTTCACTAAATTCTGATATGAAGCTTCCAGAGATAACGAAAATTTCATTTTCATATTTCTCCGTTGACATGAAAAAGATTTGTCTTCAATCAATCCCAGAGCTCTCGTCAGTTGCGGGAAAAATTTTGTCTATAATTGATTTTACTTCACGTCCTGTCTTTTTATTCAATTATCTTCCTTATTTTCTTTTTCTTTTACAACATTATTAACTGAATCCCTCTGGAATAAAAGATTAAACGTATAAGTTTTCCAATAAATTATATTTCTAATTAAACTAACAAAGTGTGTATTTATATTTCATATAATATACAACTGAAATCCAATAATGCTTGGCTCAACTTTTTGATACGAAATGTCTATAAAATTCCATTAAATTGACAGCAAAGATCTCATGTGACTCCTTTAAGAGTACAAAAGCGTCATTCAATGTTTGACGAACGTGTTCCACTTACACCTCCTATTGTTCTTAGTAAAATAAAAATCAAAACATTGTTTCAGTGTTGAGGATGCTGTCGCAGAAACGTGCAGAGGCAGATGCTGAGGGTGGAGGTGGTGGAGGTGATGGTGCTGTGACACCAGGAAGTATTTCCAATGGTGAGACGACAAAGGAATTTCTGTTAACTGGTAGAACTGGAAGAAGGAATGCAATGCCCGATATTCTAAGTCAACACGCCGAGACTGGAACGGCAAATTTACCCTCTCGCCTTGACGCTCTTTCTATTGATTCACAGCACGGTAAAATAATAATTAAATTTCATTTATTCTACCTTGAAAATAACAAAAAAATAGAGCCAAAATAAAGTATAATTTTATTTTATTGTTAATCAAATATAAAATTGGTAAATATAATTCTGTCATATGCATGAAGTTATGAATAAATTAAACTGATGATATTATAAGTAAATAAAACAATTAGGTCAATGCAAGTCCCTTTATTTAATGACATAATCGTTATTGAAGACAAGTATGAATTAAGAAACAGCCTTCATAAAAAAAAATTAAATAAATAAAAGATTATTTCTTAACATATAAATCATTCTTTTAAAGTTTATCAATTGGAATAAATTTGATAAAAAAATCTTCTCCTTTAGCTTTTCTATCCTTATCAAATTATCTATTGAATTTTTCCTTAAGGACGTAATTCAATGAACAAATTTATTCTTCGATAATATACGTCGATATTCGAAACCACAAAATAAAATCCCATTACTTTAAAACTATTTTGCATTCTGCATTTATTTATTTAATAGTTAGAACTGTTATTTCCTGTAAAATAATTATAATTGATGCAATTATTTTTAACATTGTTAATTGTGGTTAGTAATTACATTTAATCGTTTCCGGATTCTAGATCAACCAGGCACGAGTGAAATGGACCAAGCAGGACCATCGACATCTCAAGAACAGATGGGTTGACGCAAGAAGGAATTAACTTTCATGATAATTATCTAAGATTTTCATCTGCTTGTGACTGGAAGATCAGTTTCGTTACTTAATCTATTTATAGACTCCAAGATGATAACATAATTATATTGTTATCATCTATCAAGCAGGATGAGAACTGAGACTGCAATGAGAAAGAAAAAAAAAAACAAAGAATATTATTTTTCATCGAGATATTACCAAGGTTAGAGGAAACTGAATATGTAAATAATCATGTAAGCACTACAAAAAATAAGTAACTATTGTGTGATATTGAATCAATTATTTTTAACAGAAAAGTTTTTAAATATTATTGCGGAAATTTACATAAAGAATTAATGGTTACATATTTGTTTTAAAAATCTGCTGGTGCAGATCTATTAATTGTAAAGGATTTTTTGTATTTTCGATGATAAATATTGTGTATTAACCTCGTATTGTTATAAAAATACGAATAAGTCACTAAGGTAATTAATTGTCAATATTTCTACGGTTAACAATGGAAATTTCATTGACATAACGAATTGATTAGTCAGTAGAATAATATTATTACTTGCAAAAATTGTACAAATGCTGAATCTCATTTTTATTGTATTTTTTTTTTTTATTTTTTTTAAAATCTAATTTTTTATATTCATCATATTCATTTCAATAGTATTAAAGCTGTGGTTTAAAGATATTATTGCACTGTCAAATGGAAGAGACCGCACAAAAATAATACATTAGATGAAAATTAATAATAGAACTTTATATTCAATAATGTAAAATTAACTATCATGTTAAAAATTTACGTGACTCAGAGGTTGTTACATAAATGAAGGACCCACGTTGAGTAAAACTATTTTTACGTATTGATCGCGTCAATAAAATCATCAGTAGAAGTTGTATGTATTAAATGTATACGAAAAAGTTGTAAGAAATAATTATAAATACCACAGCTAAAACGAATTCATCTTTAAAATGTTTTTTTATAAACAATAATTATTTACTTTTATTACTCTAGTCAATTGTAGTATTTTATTAAAGCGAATCGATATTATTTTATAATCTCATTAATTACTCCAATCCTAAAAATAATGTGCTCTCTTTTTTAAAAAAAAAAACAAGAACTTTTGATTGTTCTTCGTTAAAATCAATGACTCGATAGACTACTTTACAAACACACATGGATTTTTATAGCCTCTGGAGAATACATATAACAAATTGTAGTAAATGTGTCAAATAAACATGTTTTTATATAAAATGATAATGGACTTTGTTTTTTACGACAGCATGCTTGTAAAATGTCACATATATTTCTCTACTCATAAAAAATACTATTGTTTCATTGTCCTTCAAATTTATTTTTTCTCCAACAACTATCAAATAGTTTAATGGGCGTAGCCTGTACATGAAGAAACCGATTTATTGAAATTTTCTACTATGGAATAAAATAGTTGAAACGAATCAAGCAAGGGATAGAAAATAATATAGGAAGTCATAGATATTAGTTTTATATTTGATGAAAAATCAATGTTAGATATAGAGTTGAAATACTATTCAGTAACTTTATAGAATTACTCTTTTGATAGAATATTGATTAAAAATAAATTATAGAAGTTAATTTTATATCACTTCAATTTCCATTAGAGCTTTAATTTTTTATTGTATAAATAATTACATCAATACTAAGAAATCAAAAAAAATGCATGATAGACTACTCATAATTCTCAATCATTATTTTAATAAAAAAAACTACTAATAGATGGTTCAAGAGATTTAAATAACGTAAGATAACGATTAAGGATTAATTTTAATGTTAAATAAATATTGAATATCTAAAGATCAAAGAATTGTTGTGAAATTATTAATAAAACTATGGTTTATCAGTGTTTGCGATGAGATACTGGATGCGATTAGAAAGAGATACCACTCCAGCTGCTCTCATTTACAATTCACAGTTAACTATTACTTACATTAGAGAATACGTTATTACTCATATCACGTTAAGTGTGAGTTTGCAGATGTCATTTTTATGTTCAATGTACAATAACATGCTAGGCCAGGTCATCATGAGCGTCAATCGTTGCGTGAATCAATTTCTGAGAGTTCTGATATACACCAGAAATATTATCAATCCATTCTACCTTCGGCTTCTTTGGTTTTGGTGTTTAAAGTATTGCTCTAATCAATTACTCAATAACTAATATTTATTTTTTCAGCAGTTACTAATTCTGATCAAAATTTATTAACCGAATTATTGAATAAAATGGCTACAAAAACTATTGAAGAAAAAGCTATTAAACCAGCTTTCATAGCAGCTGAAATAAAAAACAAGCAAGTATATTTAGTACAAGAAGAACGATTACACCATTGAACAGAATAGAATAAACAATTCTTTTTATGTACACCTGTCTATTACTTTAACTGACAATTATTAAACTCTTTTTCTCCTGAGCTATCACAGAACTTTGATGATGATACTTTGAAATAACGAAGTACTCGATTAAACAAATAATTCGTAGATCTATCAAGATGTAAATTGTGGTCATTCGTTTTATTTTCTATTCAGAAACCTTAGACCATTATTCATACATCTGTTCTGATCTGTGGTGTATTCACTTTCGATCATCTACTAGAAAAATACTCTTTCAATAATAATATTTCAACTTTTGTTTTTATTAATTTATTATCATAATCCAAATTGTCGAGTCATTTCTAGAGCTTTTTCCTATGATTCATCGCTGGGCAAGTGGAATCCCCGGACAAGTCAAATGATACAACCTGAAAGTAAGAATTATTGATTCTATTATTAATCAAAAATTCGCCTAAATTTTCAGTATGTTTAGTTAATAAATCATTTGAATAGTCTTTGAATAAATAAATCTCCATATTTAATAATTAAATCAATTAGTGCGGAACTCAGGATGCCCTATGCAAAATGCTGATAGTCTTCATGTTGCTCTCAGACCCGTTATTTATCTTGCACAATGTTTCGCTCTCTTTCCTGTAAATGGAATCAATTCAAAAGATACTTCAGGTCTCAGGTAAGTTGGGAATTATTTAAAAAAGTTTTTAACACAAACATTGATTTCTGAAATTTCACTAACAGATTTACCTGGAGAAGCTTCAAAATATTATATGCAGCTGTAGTATTGGGAATGTCAATTTTTTTAGCAATTGCCAGTACCGTTCGTTTATTTTCATCAGAATTTCATACAACTAAAATGAGTAAAGTATTTTTTAAATGTTTATTTATTTAAATAAAAGTTTTATGACTAAATGAATAAATTTCTCTTTAGCAACACTTGTATTTTCTATAACTACTTGCTTGACAAGTATAATCTTTCTAAGACTTGCTACAAAATGGCCAGAATTTGCAAGTTCTTGGGAAAAAGTTGAACGTGAATTAGCAACTCGTCATCGTCGTCCTCCTAAATTTAACTTAACTACCAGATTTAAAACTATCACTGCTATTATCATGATTTTAGCTGTCGGTAAATCATTGAAGTTGATTAACTGAGATTGTAATTCAAATTAAATTAGAAACTATTCCTAAAATAAAATAATCAATATGCAATTTCAGTTGAGCACACCTTTTCTCTTGCTTCGGGATACATAAGTGCAACAGAATGTGCAAATTATCGAGGTGACAAAAATATCGCTGCAGTTTATTACAAAACCCAATATCCTCAAGTGTTTAATCGAACATCTTACGCATTATGGAAAGGAATTATAGTTCAATTTGGTCATGTATTTAGTACATTCTCATGGAACTTTATGGATCTATTTATAATTCTTTTAAGTACAGCTTTGACTTATCACTTTAGTCAACTCAATGATCGTTTAAATTCTGTTAAGAATAAGGTAAAATATGTACCTAAAAATTTCATTAAAATTTATCATTTTCTGTTTGTTAAAAATAAACAAAAAGTAACTAGATAATTATTTGTTTTATTTTTAGACAATGCCTGAGTGGTGGTGGTCCCACGCAAGAATCGATTACAATAATCTTGCCAATCTAACTCGACAAGTTGATTCTTATATCTCCGTCATTACCCTTTTATCTTTTGGCACGGATCTTTATTTTATCTGCCTCCAGCTGATGTATTCATTTGAGTAATTACTCTTTTCACATTACATAGAAAATTTTATTCATTTGTTGAGATCTATTTTTTCAAAAGTTAATGTTTTAGCCGAATATCTACAAGTGTTATGAGAACAATCTATTTATGTTTTTCTTTTGGATTTCTTCTTGCAAGAACTACTGCTGTTTGTTTATCAGCAGCTGCTGTTCATGATGAATCTGTGCTTCCTGCACCAGTTCTTTATAGTGTTAATGCCGCCAGTTATTCCACTGAGGTAATTTTCATCATTTAAGTATGATTGTTTTAGAATTTATTATCTATCAATCAATAATCTTTCAGGTTATACGATTTTTAACACAAGTAACAACTGACTTTATTGGTTTAACTGGCATGAAGTTTTTTTCAATTACTAGAAGTTTTGTTCTTACAGTAAGTGAAGTGTAGTTATCTTGCTATTAAATTTATTTCCCTGATCTAATTCAATATTTATTAGGTTGCAGGAACTATCGTTACATACGAAATTGTTCTTGTACAATTTAGTGCAGTTCAACAAGCATCACATATAAATATCACCAACGCTTGTGAGGTGAAGTAGCTGTCATCGAAGCGCATCATATTTTTCATCAGTTTTCAAAACTCGCCTTTTGTCATTTTTCTTCTGTTATCATGAAGCATTTTTGCTTCGTCACAATTTCTACTTTTTTGCAATTTTTCTTCGCTATTTTTTCTAATTATGAATCTGATCTAGTCTTCTTCATCATAGTTCTGTGTCACTATCCTATACTTAAGACCAACTGTTGAATTTTCTTCTTCTATTTTTCTCTCTCTCTTCTTCTTCTTCCTCTTCTTCTGCATCGACTGCCAAATTGACTATGTTTGTTATCTATTTTCTTCTATCTCCAATTCGATTCTATTCTTTTTAGTACGAGATGGAATTTGAATTGCACATCTAAGAAGGACATTGTATCAATCACAACCAACCATTGATCATAAGGAGTATTGAATCAGTCACAGCCAACCATTCATCATAAGAAATGAATGTAACCTCACATTTTTCATCAATTTTTATGGTTATTGAGGGTTTAACCTCTTTCGTATCGGCAGGGTGGAGAATAAAATTGTTATATCTATAAAAAACCGTATGAAGATGAGAAATTTTATGGAAAAAACATCAGTTTTATTTATCATATCATATGTCTGTTACTCCAGAATTTCAAGGTCGAAAAACGACGTAACATAAATTGATGAATGTATGTAAAAAATTTTATCTGACCATTATCTTATTAACTTAAGAATTTTTTAATGTTTTAGAAAGCGCAGTATTGTATCCAGGGAGACGAGCGTGTGTAAATTAATGGGGACTGCATATAAAAAACATAGTAATCATAATCACTTGCTGCATGATAAAAAATTTTATTTTTTATTATGATACAACATAAACAAATTAAAAGATTATCTCTGGCATTCACATAAAAAAGCTTACCAATACTTTTCATTTATGCATAGCGACGTCGAATTGTAAAAGTACAATTTCATAAGTAGCAATTGCACCAGCAACCTGTGTAATTAAAATGCTAAATTAATCGTTAGAGTGAAAATATCTGACATCTCCGTTGTTATGTAGAGTTATTAAAATATTTGTTATTTATTTCAAAATTTTTAAAATAAGTGTAATGATCATAGAGTAAAATGTGTAACTATTGACAAGTTAGAACTAGCTATTTACTTTTATTTGGTTTCAAATAATCTAACTCATAAATATTAGATTTTTGAATATCTAGAACAATATCCTTGTCAATAGTTGTATTCTTTACACTGATTTTTTGTGACTGTTGTTGAATTATATGAATAAAGAACTGTCCAAAAATAATTTATGAATATTTATAATTAATAAACAATGCTTACCGCAAGCATGAATTTTCGGGTGATGGAAAAAAACTTTAAACCTGTTAGACAAATGTCATCAGTGACAAGTTGAAATTGCAGTCGTTCGGTCTAAAAGATGGTATAATAGTTACTCATCCAGGATAACATTATTGATGCAAGATAATAAATAAAGAAACTAACCTCAATTGTAAAATTGGATCCAGGACAATTATAAAGTACTGGTAGAGCAATTTTACTGTAATCATTGATTCTAGAAGTAAGTAAAATCACAGCTATTGTTCTGCAGACCAAAAAAATGACAGAAAAGTAAAAATAAATTGATCGTAACACTCCAGTCTCATCGAATCTACAAAAGATATGCATGTCATGATCAGCATTCAGCTTTTTTAGGTATCAATAAATATTTAGATATTAATACATACGAGAAACCATTCAAAAGTTGAAGACATATAAAATATAAATTGTTCATAAATGACAGTAAAATGATTGGTGAAATATCACTGTCGACTCTTTTTACTAATGAACTTAGCAAGGCAAAATATTTTCTATATTCATGCCAATCTAATGTAGCAACTTTTTCTTCAGAATAATTCAATAAAACATTATTCAAATACTTATAACGTTCTGCCAAACCTGTTGATATTAGCATAATAAATGCATCTGTGAAGTTCCATGTAAATGTTGCTATGTTGCTGATGATGAATAAAAATATTCCCAGGCTAATATTATAATCAACTAAAGAAAAAGTAAATAACATAAAACAATAAGTATTAATACTAAAAAAAAATGTAATCAATATTTTTTATAACGTTAATAATAGCCAACATTTAATATTGAATCATCAAAGGTCAGAAAAAAATAGAGTTTAATATAATTCTCAAATTCACTTACGACTTGAAAGAATAAAACCATGAGATTTAATAGAATAAATTCTCACATAATCCTCCCAGGTTGTACTTTTATTAAGAGCAGCGATGTCTTTATCTGGTATGTTGACAATAATACTAATAACATGTTCCAAAAGGGCAGTACCCATAATAACAACTGTTATGATCCGAAATTTCCAACGAAGTTTAGGTTTACATGATTTACACCTGCAAGAATTAGCAAATAAACATTAATCATGAATTAAGAAATATAAAAATGCTATTCACATGGTCAAGCAATTGTATTGATAAGTTTTATGGTCAGCTCAATTTTTTAACCTTCCAAGATAAAGCTCCATTGATCGCCATTCTTTTTGGAGTGAAATCCATCGGGGTGATAACCACATGAACATTCCCAAACCGATAAGACTATTTCCATAAAAGATAGCACCTGCTGTTGCTGCTGCAATTCCATCTGTTGGATTATAATAATTAAATTCCAATAACACAGTACAATGCAATATTTTTCAATTAAACTTAAGCAATGAAAATTTTGATTCCTCTAGGAGTTTGATCCATAGTAATGCATATTTTTATATTCTATACTTAGTAGGTAAAGAAAGTAAGGGCTTTTGGTGAGCAATCTCTTCCCAACCATCATTAAATAACAAATTTTGATAAATAATTATTCAACTTACCATTAAGTCCAATTTTATCTGATTTTAAATTTTTAAACATATGCAATATTGATGTGATTGTCATGAAGATCAATAAAACTATCATAATTGCACAGTAAAGAGTTCTGAATGAATATAACTGGAATTGGAGTTTTTGTGGTGAAGATGATCTTATTCCAGAAAGTGGTAATACTCCAAATAATTGAGCTGCTCCTAAAATTGGACCTATTGCACAATGAAAATATTCTGGATCCTATAACACATAGAAATACTATTTCTCTAATTTACTACAATAATTTATTATATAATTTCAATAATCATACACTTTTTGTTGCTTTATCGTTTGTATTTTCTTCAGTTGTTTCCAAACGTGATTTTGCTGCTGATGGCTGGTTGAATGAATAAAACACTGGATTACCAGAGTCTACTTTATTCCGCATCTCCACAAAAGGCCACATTTTCATACTAGTATTTTTTAAAATTCTACTATTTTGATTTATTTCATTGTTCAAAGAATTATCGGTATACAGTACTATACTCATTGTTTTCTGTAGAAACATTTGCTACTAACTGCAGAGAAATATTTATTGTAGAAAATGAATGCTTCATAAAAGAAAAATACAGACAGAGAATGATGATGGAAACCATTACCTGGAAGATCGATCAATGTCGTATGTTTTTAATCTTGTTCATAAACATCATAGTATAATTATTTTACAGGACTTAATAGATATCAAGATTTGAAATTTTTTATATCATATTAATTCATTATACTTTATATTTAATTATAATTGAAATAATTTTTTTTTATCAACAGTTTATAATTTGATGTTTGAAGCTAATACACTGCATAAAAGTTTTTTGAAGACTAACTCTTTTAGAATTGAAATTTAACTGCCTGATTAACTTCTAGTTTCGTACTTATCTATGCACCTGCGCTCTTTAAATATACATAGGATTAAATACACTTTGTATTATTCACAAATACAAAAGTAAGTACAATGTGCTTGTATTTTGAATTTCCTATGGATAATGCACTGACGAGTATTTATTTAAGCTTCAATGAAACTATTATCTAGCATGAAATAGTTGTATACTTCATCTTTCTATTTTAAGAAATTAATGAACGATTGAATAATTCAAAGTAAAGAATAGCATCTACGCAGTAATAACAAATTCATTTTTTAATTTATAAGAACAAAAAAGAAATAAAATTCAAGTGTATTAATAAAATAAAAATGATTCAATAATAATGACTTTACTATTTTTGATGATGAAAATATTTAAATTTTTTTTATTGCTTATTGTTGAAAATGAATACTGCAAAAAATTAATGTGATATTAATAAGATAAAATGAATGTCTAATAAAAAAATTACTAAGTTTATGTATTATGCCATAAATTTTCTTAATTTGGAAGTTTTGAGTATAAAAAAATATCTCATGAATAAATAGAATCATAAATTATGCTACCCTTCTTAATAGCTCAGAGATGACTTAACATATTTAACAAATTAATTAATGACAGCCAACATAAAAATAATTGAAATAATTACTCTTTATCCGATAAATAACATTATTTTTATTGTGGCAGAGTATAAATGAATTAAAAGATTATATTTTGGATAAAATTTTTACAAGTTCATTGAGTTTTCATTGATTCATAGCCACGTTGAATTGTAGTAAAACAACTTCATATGTAGCAATAGCACCAGCGACCTAAGTAATTTATTCAAAAGATTAAAGTAAACAAACATTAAGAAAAAAATTTTTTTTTCAATGAGATCATAAAAATATAAATAATTAATGAGTACTCGTAAAAGAAAATCATTTACCGCAAGCATAAAATTTCGAGTAATGGAAAAAAACTTTAATCCTGTTAAACAAATATCATCACTTGTGAGCTGGAATTGTAATCGTTGAATCTACAAACCATAACACAAAGATAATTAATCATTCACGATCATATTAATAATTCTAAAAAAGTAAACAGGTCAAACCTCGATGGTATAATTCGATCCAGGACAATTGTAGAGTACTGGCAGCACAATCTTGCTTTGATCATTTATCCTAGCAGTAAATAAAGTCACAGCAACTGTTCTTCCGACGAGAAAAGCAAAAGAAAAAAAAAAGTATACTGAATTTAACAGTCCATTATCTTCAATCCTATTGTAAAAATATTCATCAGTCATCATCAATATCATTAACAAATATTGTAATAATATTCTGTATTTAAAACTTACGATAAGCCATTTAAAAGTTGAAGACAAATAAAATATAAGTTATTAACAAATGATAGTAAAATAATTGGAGAAATATCATTATCTGTCCGTTTTACTAATGCACTAAGAGAGGCATAATATTCTCTAAACTCACGCCAATCTAAATTCGCAATTTTTGTATTGGAGCTCTTCAGTAAAATATGATTTAGGCGTTTATATCTTTCTGCTAAACCCGTTGATACCAACATGATAAATAAATCCGTAAAATTCCATAGAAAAGTAGCAATTTTGCTTATTATAAATAAAAATAAACCCAGTCCAATATTATAATTAACTGCATTAAATAATCATTATTATAAATCTTTTCTAGTTTGATTTAACTGAAATATTAAATATACTTACAAGTAGTTAGTACAAAACCATGCGAATTGATTGTATAGATTCTTAAATAACTTTTCCAAGTGGCATTTTTCTCTAAAGCCGCTACATCTTTTTCAGGTACATTATTAATAATACTAAGAATATGTTCAATAAGTGCAATACTCATGACAATGATTGCTATCAATTTAAATTTCCAACGTAGTCTAGGTCTGGATTGTTTACACCTACATCGAAAAATAATCAACATAGATTATCAGATCGCATGGACATGTATCTCGTTAGAACTTTTATAAACCAATATATTTGCGATTATGATTAATAATGTATAATGGAATATCACGAATACGCAACTGGTGTATGTTAATCATAGAAAAAAAGAAAGTATTAAAGTAATGATTATGTTCACACGATTGTAATACTGATATTGATTGATAAGTTTTATGGTCAGCTCAATTTTTTAACCTTCCAAGATAAAGCTCCATTGATCGCCATTCTTTTTGGAGTGAAATCCACCGGGGGGATAGCCACATGAATAACACTAAACCAAAAAGACTGTTACCATAGAAGATGGCACCTGCTGTTGCAGCTCCAATCCCACCTATAAGTATCATAAAATATTTCAACAAATTGGAATGATACTTTTTAGTGATATATTCTTAATTGAATACTAAATACTTAATTATTACCATGTTTGCCAAATGTATCAGCCCTTAATGTTTTTATCATATGCATTAAAGATACCACTGCCATAAATATTAATAAAAACATAATAAAAAAACTGTAAAGAGTTCTAGAAGAACGTAAATTGAAACTGAGTTTCTTGGGTGAAGACGACCTTATTCCGGAAAGTGGTAGTACTCCAAATAGTTGAGCTATTCCTAAAATTGCTCCCATGGCACAATGAAAACATTCTAAGTCCTGTAGAAAAATACAAGTTATTTTTTCATTTAATCAAAATATTATCGTTTAAATTTAGTTGATTTAAAAATAAAGTTAAACACATTACATTCTCTAAATCACTACGTCGACTGTTTATTTCACTTCTCTCTAAGAATGGCTTCACTATTCTATTCGAATTAGTTGATGGTTGGTGAAAAGAACAAAGAACTGGTTCAGTAGTTTCTTCTTTAGATGTAATCTCCAAGAAAGGCCAAATTTTCTGGTTCACACTTCTTCCAGTAATGTTACGCCGAGTTTTGTCATCATTAGGAGTCTCTTTAGGATTTAACATCATACCCACTATCTATTTTACGTGGATATATTCAACTAACTAAAAAGAGTTTACTGTGAAAATTGATTGTAGAATAAAAAGAAATAAACTATAAAAAAAAATGATGGTGCGAAATATTACCTACAGTATGGATAGTATCGCATTCGTTAATTAATTATGAAGAGGTGTGACGGTTATGATCTCTACCACGTTGAACTTGATAGAAAAATAGTGATACCTGAGCTGATTAATGAAAAAATCAAAAGATAGTTTCATTTATTTGTACTTGTAATTATCTAAAAGATCATGAGGAAAGTTATCTTATTAAAATACATACCATTTTTGTAAGAATTAGTTTATGTTATTCTATTAAGATTGAATGTTTGTTTTGAAAAATTGTTTCAAGTTCTATTTTAAAAAAGTTAAAAGTTAATTATTCACGTACAAAAATGAAAATGAAAAAAATCTTATAAATAAAAAATAAACATTTAATTATAATAATTAAATAAATTTATTTTTTTATCATAGAAAATATTTAAAAGAAAAGATATTTGAAGGAAGTTAACTCTTCTACATTTGAAGCAAAACTGTTTGAGTTTAGATCTCATGCTCATCTGCGCACCTGCGCTCTATAAAATGCATGTAGAATCAGATAGATTCTATATCATTTACAAATACAATTATAAATTATAATTCACTCGTGTTTTAAATTTTCTACGGATAATATGTGGACAGTTGTTTATCACAATGTCTAGGAAACTTTTGTCTAATCCTGAGGAAATTGTGTATTATATCTTTCAATTTTAAATATAAATAATTTATTCACTCTGATTTCCAGATCATGCAATTAAACTATCAATAGATGAATAAACTTATGAATAATACCTATATATTTGTTTTATTTTTTATAAATTAATACATTATTGAGTGTTGTAGTCTACCACATAGCACGTTGAAGTCCCGATATTGTATTATAATCTATCATACGTCTAAATATAAAACGGGACAATCTCCATCTATATACAACTCCACGAGGTCGAGATGTCAGTGCACATCTTTTTGTTAATTGAAATTGACAAGTAGTTCTCGGAATTTTTTCATTATATAATGCATCAGCTTCAGCCTATTAAAAAAATTATCATTTGTAAACTTATATTTTTATGAATATTTAATATTTCTGATAATAAAGCAACGTACAATAATTTCTGGCGGTAAAATTTCTGGACATCTTTTCAAAGCCATTATTCGAGGACGTAGAGCAGCATACTCTGCATGAGTTTTCCTTCTTTTAACATCTCTTAACATTCTGGCATCTATATATTTATCTTTTCGGTAAACCCATAAATCATGTGGAGCATCAGTTTTTGATTTAATCGTTGGAACCGGGATACTAGTGTTGTCAGATTTATTCCTTAAAAGCTGTACCTAATAAATAAAAGTTCCATAGGTTATATTTACCGTGTGTACAATCATGGTTAAAGAAAAATAATTGTTTAATAAAAAATTCTAATGAACAAATCTAACACTTGTCACTATTAAATAACTTATTAGAATAGTTAGATTGTATAAACAGAAAGACAGTATTTGTATGTAAAACAAAATTGAGGTTAGGATAACTTTTTGATATATTTAAAACTATAGAATTGATTATTGTTTAAAAAAATTAAACAATATTTAAAAAAAACAATTTTCTAAATAATTAGTAAGACTTACAGGGAATGTCCGTGTATTAAACAATGAAAATTTAACACAATTCTTCATGAACGATGTCAACCCGGCCATGTTTAATCTACTATATAGCTGATCAACTACGAAGCTCAAGAAAATGTACTGTGTAGATCAATATAAAAAAAATGGAACTCTAATTTTATTAGGTTCTTATATATTTTTTTTAAAATTAAGTAGACATAATTTATTTCCAGCTTCGCTTTTATTGGTTTTCAGACGATTTTAATTCCACCTTATTATATATATGTACAGCATACTGCCACAATTAATTATCAATTATCAGAAGAATGTATGAAAATTTTTTCTTCAAATTGTTAGCATTATAAAATTGAGCCCGCTTTATTATTTAACATAACATTAATTAATATAATAAATGGAAATAAAGTAATATACTCAATAGTTGATGATCAAGCTGATTGAGCAAAGTTTGGATAGGTTATTTGAGTGTTGAAATAGAAAAGTTATTAATCAAATTAAGAAATGGATGAAGTGATGTAAAAAATAAAAAAATAATGAAATGTTTTTTTCGAGTATCGCAGATATAGGATTTATTTCCGTATAATAATTAGAAAATATAATTAAGCCGAGCTAAATTATGGTATTGATGTTGTTGAGAGACAGGTGTATATAATAGCTCGCGTAGTTTGAGTTCAATCTTTACGCCACTCGTGCTGACAGGGAAACGCGTTAAAATCTAAAAAAGTAAAACAAAAAATTGCAAGTTTCCACCAGCTCTCCTTTCCTTCGGAATTCCTTGCGATGAAAAGAGTGTCGGAGAAAACGTTTTGAAAGACAAGTCAATTGATTGCTGAAGAAACACGATGTCTTGGTCGGTTCTCTACTTCTTACAGGAACAATAAACCGTCGAGGTTTTTTGTTAGCTTCTTGAGTCCTGGAACCATCCAAATTTAATGATCTCGCGAAAATGATGGCTGTCAACGACTGCATCTCCTGTCTTTTGCTCGAGGGGCTCAAAGAGAGACGACAAATTACTTGTGCTACTATATGCCGGCATCCACCCGGCGGCTCAATTGCGCGAAACTGGTTATTTTTTCTTCTGAGCTTTCTCTGCGGCCTTGGTGACTTTTCCAGTAGCATCTTTAAATGTTACGGCTTTGATGACACCAACAGCAACTGTTTGACGCATGTCACGAACGGCAAAACGTCCGAGAGGTGGGAACTCTTGGAAAGCTTCAACGCAAAGAGGTTTAGTTGGTACCAAGTTAACAATAGCTGCATCTCCTGACTTGATGGCTTTGGGATTTTCTTCAGTTGTTTTTCCTGTACGACGGTCACATTTCTCTTTAATTTCTGCGAACTTGCAGGCAATATGGGCTGTGTGACAATCCAATACAGGCGTATAACCATTGCTAATTTGACCGGGGTGGTTCAAAACAATAACCTAAAAAAAAGTAGTTTTCGTTAAGTCATGTTTTTTTTTTAATCATAAAAAAATTATTATAAATGAATGATTCAGACATCTTCAACCGTCATTAGAATTATGCTCCTCCGGTGGAAACCGCGAATGAAGGATAATTATTCTCATCATGATTTATTTCAGGAAAAATGATAATTTTATATATACATATAATTAAAAAAAAATATTTACCTGGGCAGTGAAATCAGCAGCACCCTTGGGTGGATTGTTCTTGGAGTCTCCAGCAACATAACCACGACGTAATTCTTTGACAGAGACGTTCTTAACGTTGAAACCAACGTTGTCTCCGGGGACAGCTTCAGGTAAAGCTTCGTGGTGCATCTCAACGGATTTTACCTCAGTGGTAAGTCCAGCTGGTGCGAATGTTACAACCATACCTGGTTTCAAAACACCAGTTTCGACACGACCGACAGGTACTGTTCCAATACCACCAATCTTGTATACATCCTGAAATATAAATAACTCTTTTGTTGATTCTATTCTAATTTATGTCATCATTTTATTATATTTATTAAGGGAATCAGACGTCTTCTACCATCACCAAATCAAAAGATTCTCCGGTGGAAACCGCGAATGAAGTTTAAATATTCTCATCATTTGTTATAATTGTTATTATTATTAAAAATTTTATTAAATGTCAAATCTTGAATAATATAATTACCTGAAGAGGAAGACGAAGAGGCTTATCGGTTGGCCTGGATGGTGGCAAGATAGCGTCAAGAGCTTCAATAAGAGTTGTACCTTCAGCGTTTCCTTCTTTACGTTCGACCTTCCATCCCTTGAACCAGGGCATTTTGGTGGATGCTTCCAACATGTTGTCTCCGTGCCATCCGGAAATGGGTACGAAAGCAACAGCAGCTGGGTTATAACCGATCTTCTTAATGTATGAAGATACTTCCTTCTTGATTTCTTCGAAACGAGTGTCTGAGTATGGTGGCTCAGTAGAGTCCATCTTGTTAACTCCAACAATAAGTTGCTTGACTCCAAGAGTAAAAGCAAGCAAAGCATGTTCACGAGTTTGTCCATTCTTTGAGATACCAGCTTCGAATTCACCAGTACCAGCAGCAACGATTAACACAGCACAATCAGCTTGAGATGTTCCCGTAATCATGTTTTTAATGAAATCTCTGTGTCCTGGGGCGTCAATGATGGTTACATAGTATTTAGAGGTCTCGAATTTCCAGAGAGCAATGTCAATGGTGATACCACGTTCACGCTCAGCCTTCAATTTGTCAAGTACCCAAGCATATTTGAAGGAACCTTTTCCCATCTAGAAAATAATTCAAATAATTATTAGTGAAACTCTTTAATAATATAATTAGAGTTAATTATCATTGTATAAAAAGGGTATTTACTTCCTGGGCTTCCTTCTCGAACTTCTCGATCGTACGTCTGTCGATACCACCACATTTGTAGATCAAATGTCCAGTAGTAGTAGATTTTCCTGAATCGACGTGTCCAATGACGACGATGTTAATATGAATCTTTTCTTTACCCATGGTGCACTTTTGGTTTTTTCAGTCTGATAAAAACTAAAGAAAATTAAAGGATAAATAATTAATCGATGTATTTAAACCAAGCGAGTAATTGTTGAAGTATGGTAAGAGAAATATTCTAGTGACATGGCACAATTAATCTAACAATAAATTATAAGGCATTATTTCTCTAATGTATAGCTGTTATTACTCTAGGACGATGACGCCATTAATACTTTTTATAAGTTGATAACTAAAAACACATGAACAAAAATGTGATATTCGTGAGGGTCTTCTTCGAGCGTCCACGTGGCGATGCTCTGAACCTTCGAGAATTCAGCCCGGCAGCCATTTTGTATGTCCCGAGTTCACGGCGACGATATAACTGTATTATTCGTGACGCTTAGCGTTATAAGAATCTTGCGATAATGTTGAGTTAAGCTGCTTTAATTGAACATTGCGTAACAAATCACGCCTGATTATTTTGCAAAATCAGAAAATATGTATCAATATTGGAAAAAAACTTTGAGCTGAAAACCCGATTAATTTTATTGATTAAATAATTATAAATACATTGAATGATGACAATAAAATTAACCTTTCCTTTGTTAATCTACCATAGGTAAAGCAATAAAAATCAATGAACTATATCGTCTCTGAACCGTATGCACTTCGTAATTTTATGCAACATACAAAAGATGAATCATTTGTGATTGCATTATGAGAATTTTGACTCAATTTTGATGAAATGAATTTAAAAATATCTCTGCAACACAGAAAAATTTTAAAAATTAAGATTTAAAATACGGAATATTAGTAGATAACTGAATTTAATAATTGATTATGCTAAGTAAATAATAGACTACACTGGTCATCGATTAACTATCAAGAGAATTGATACTAAATTAGAAATAGATAGAAAGTCGGAGTACACATAACAAAAGATAGGTATTGAAAATAATAAAATCGTAAATGAGAATAACATTTAGTAAAATATAAATCTGTTAGAAGAATCAGATACTAAGTCTTCAAGACATTTTTTCAAAGAGAATATCATTTATGACAATCGGTAGCCATACTGCATCCGGTTGGTCGTAATTCTGCAAGCGTTAGTGTTCCCGTAATGACGAAATACGTAAAAAGTACTAAAAATTACTATTCTCAAGTCCTTAAAAAATCTTCTTGAGCGATTTTTCATGATCTAGGATAAAAACAAACTCAAGAAACTCAAAAATATCATAAATCCTCGTGCAGTAGCAAGCACAAATGTAAGCAGCCGGCAGAATGAAAAGTTAGACCATGCGCCAAACTTTGAAAGTTTATTTCACCGCGAATTATTATTTTTTTTCACAAACTTTTATCACTACACAATTCTCAAATATTTCCGATTTGATTATTTTCAATACCTAAGAGTCGATGCCAACTTCTTGGTGGGTTAATTTTTGGATTATCTTCCTGTGCAAGAGGCACACACAACCACTCACCTCCAGATGCCACGACAGAAAGAGATCGACCAAGTAAACTGACATGCGCATACGGCTTCCCGGCTATAATCTCGAACCTAGATGTCTCACCATATCGATCACTTTCATCTTATCGCATTTATTTTATTTTTTTTTCTTTTATTTTATCAAAATACTATTTTAAATCCATTTTTATCATTTTTATCAAGAAGTTAATAACTTTATTTCCTTATGATGTGAATTTCCATTGAGGAAATATTAACTAAAGATTAGAAGTTTAAAGAAGTAAGTGTGATACTTTGGGTTTGAGGCTATCTCACAGGAGTCAGGCGTGTCCCATGTAGCCTATATGTATATATATGTATTTATTTACATGTATTTGTAAATGTAACCTGCAGTAACCTAGCGATGCAATGCTTTGTATCAAACAGCTTTTATTGTGAATTCAGGCATCTCCATTGCAATAATTCATACTTGTTTAAAAAATATCATCACCATGCTCTAAAATAAGATGACATGAAAATAAGAAAATTTTCATGTCTCCAAGCAATTTCAACGTTTATGTAGATGATATTTATTTTTGAAATGATTTATTTTTTTCATTATTTTTTTAAATTGAACTGCATCAGTTACATCGAGATTCTCCATCTCGATGTTACCCATCTTCGAGATATCGATGAATGCTTTTGTTATCGACAGTGGTCAGTTTGACAGATCGATTCTGCGTAGTGTTGTTTGTGGATGGGAAATTTTTTTTATTTTATGTCACAATAATAAGTTGTAGTGTTTTTGTTTTTATTGACTGAAAATGTCGTTGTTAGACTTTGAAAATGTATGCCGATTGTGCCTGAGACAGGATAATTTAATGTCTTCAATATTTGAAGAAAATAATGAAAAAAATTCGGAGTTATTAGCTAGAAGAATAACCTGTATTGCTCGTGTTGAGGTAAGACGAGGTTATATTGTTATTTTTCAATTAATAACTAATCCTTATAATAAATTCATCATTTTCATATTTACTTTAGGTACATCCTGAAGATGGGTTACCTACTTCTATTTGTGAGGAATGTAAAAGCCAAGTGGAGCAATTTTACAAGTTTAGACTGCTGGTGGAAGTTTCAGACAAAACACTCAGGCAACATTTAAAATCAGCTCATAATTCTATGGTCTACACATTAACAATTCCTTCTCTCAATGATGACCTCGGGGTAATAAACTTATCTTGAAACTATGTTTTTTTTACAAGTACTTATAGAAAATTAATTCTTATTCAATATTAATTTTAGATGTGGGAAGATAATTTAATTGAAAATCATTGTAAGGAATCAGTGGAAGAATTGAAATGCAACGTTCCAATTGATGAAGAGAATAGTTTTAATAATAACAATAATAACTCTGAAAATATTTCTAATGAACCGGTATCAGAGAAATATTGTTGTGAACTTTGTTTAGTTCAATTTTGTACATTAGATGATTTAAAAAATCATGTAGTAGAGCATTGTTCAGTGACAAAACAGGTTACTAAGAAAGAAAGTGTCTCCAATGTTGATAGAACATTAATTGCGAATCAAGAAAATAATCCACGAAGATCAAACCAAGCTAATAAGTCAAGTGAGGTGTGTTTAGTGAAATGTGAAACTTGTTCAGAATCATTTACTAAAGCTTCTATCAAGAAACATAGTATGAGATGTGCCTGGAGGCAAACTGAGCTTGTGTGCGAAGAGTGTGGTATGACGTTTAACAAGAAATCGGAGTTACGTTATCATAAAGGAGCTCATTTGCCATCGCCTTTAATGTGTGAACTGTGCAATAAACAGTTTAGAAATGTTCAGTCATATAATATTCACATGAAAAGACATACGGTTGGAAGTCGTTTTAGTTGTGAAACGTGTGGCAAGCGATATTATACTAATTCAGAACTTGCACGGCATGTTCAAAAACACTCTGATAAAAGGAAACATCCTTGTCATTTATGTGAAACAGCCTTTTTATCACGACCTGAGCTCAACCGACATCTAAAGTATCACAATGGTGTAAAAAAGTTTAAATGTAATTTATGTTCCAAATCTTATTATGAATCCGGACATTTAAAAGTACATATGAGAGTTCATACTGGTGAAAAGCCATTTGTTTGTAAATGTGGTAAAGCTTTCATTACCAAATCAAAGCTAATAAGGCATGAAAAAATTCATAATAAAAAAATGAGATCTTGTTGAAGAGGTATGTGAGGAGAAAATTTCTAACTAAATTCCTTTATTGTATAATATTTTTTATTTATATAATAAAATACCAAAACTCATGGAATATATTCTAGTAATTTTGACAAGAGATTCTGTTAAACTCACTTATCAAAATGTATAACAGGTGTTTATTACCATGACGTTGCGCAGTAGAAACAATGTATCTATAGTCAGACCAACACCTCATACTTGAGTCCGTGTGAAGCTCTACTTTATTCACCTCAAGCTTCCCTAACGAAGCTTTCCTTCTGCGTATACTTAATTACTCGGCTGTTTTATCTCTCTAACTATTAGTATGCAAATTTTTTTTAAAACTAACGAGGTCTAGTTACGAGTGAAGAAGCGAGAAAATTAGTTTAGGCAAAACATCAGTCGAAAAATCGATAAAATATCATGCGCTAAAAGCACTTATTAAACAAAGAGCTACTTAACTAACTAAATTGATCTAATTTTTTTCCACACAATCTACTAGGTTTTATGTTGAAAGCACTTTCAACTTTTATCTGGGCATTTTTAACTTTCGGCACGATGCCAAGAAAGTACACAAAGATGTAATTAACGTTGAGGAACTATCTTAGAATATCATGAGTGGTCTGAAACTTCGCATTCGAAACAAGTCAAGACTGTTAATAAAATTGCCGCAAGCTGTTGGATGTTGTGAGTAGTCGTCGAGTAAACCTGTTAAATCGTCTCGATTATTATTTTTTGTTCAAAAATATAACGATACTATATCACAGTAATGACAACATAGACACGGATTCAATTAAAGCATCTCTTTATTTAATTCGTTGCATTTTTTAGGATATGTATCACATAATTATTCAACATACACATCAATAAAACTTACTTTATGTTTTAAACTCTGCAATACATTTCAATATTTATATTTATTCATTAATGGCTGATATTAACTTTATTGAAAACAATTGGAAAACCCGTTAAACATCGTTGCTTTATTATTTAGTTATATATGTAATGCATTTGAAATGTTAATTAATCATTCTGGCTTAATTATTCATTCTGAAAATGGTGAGAATATTCGCGATAGTCGTTATAATAATTTATAATTAATTAAAAAATGGCAGTGACAAAAGATTAATCATCCTTATTAGTCGTAAAATATTTTCTAATCCATTCTCAGTTTGACAATTTAAATCTCATTATCTTTCCAGTCTCTATTCTCGTCTTCTGCATTGAAAATTGTGACTAGTCATCAGACTGTTCATTTGTCGTATACAAGATATATATTCTTGTCTGACAAGAAACTTTGTGGCATAACAATAGAACAACGAAAGACTCTTGTCTCCTGTGTGACGAAACACTAGACATTTTTTTTATTTATTTCTTTTCTGTTCTTTCTGTTCTTTGTATTGTATCCTTTTTTTTTTTTATTATTTTATTATTATATATTTTTACCATTATTGAAGTGTAAAGACTTCTGACGCTTCACCTTCATTGTTTTCCATTGACAATTCGTACTCAGCATTTTTGTAGATCGATGAAGAAAATCCTGACTACTAAGGTGCGGGTACTAGCACTCGTCTTGATTTGTAGAAGAGTGCAAAAGTGCTGCAACTCTTTCAGCAAATTCTCCAGAAGGTCCGCACTGAAATATAACAAAACAGATGCTTTATATTTATAAAGAAGAAATACGGAATAGTTGAATTGAATTTTTTCCTGTTCTATCAATATAAGAATTTCCCAGTTTCGTGACACTCGACCCAACATTTATTCTCTCTCGACCGCTTGAATCAGATCTTCTATCAATATATACAGCATTGACGGGTGAATCAGGAGAGAAAAAAGGTACGAACGGCAGCTGGACTTCTATCGCGTGTGCATTATTCAAGCAAGAACGTTGAGTGAAGAAAGGATTCAGTTAAAAATTCAAGAGTCTAAGAAGAAAACTAAAGTATCGAAAAACTATCGGAGCGAACTGTATTTAAGACGAAGATAAAAGAAGAAATAGAGGAGTCAGGAACTGAGAGCATAAAATTAACAACAAACTTTTATTCTAAAAGGTATCTACAATCGTCAAGTCTCGAATTCAATTAAATTACTTTGTGTAAAGATATTTTTTGCTATCGAAGTATTGAGCGGATAATTGTAATTAAAATGGCAAAAAAATTGCATTTAAATAGAATTGAATTGACCAAGTTTCATCTAAATTATCACACACTAGTAAGCTTTAAATAGCCATCGCACTTTGAGCCTTCATCTTTATTCCATCCCTGAGAACCACGCATATTTACGATGTCATGTGTGCATAATTCATCTGTGTCTGGCTTTAAGCCCATATGGAAAGGACACTAAGAACCCTTCATCATCATCCAATGTTTTGAGCTTGTTTCTACAAGAAAATTTTGTATGATAACTCAAACATGATCTTAGGTAGATTTGAGACTGATTATTTCTGAAAATAAAAAATATAAGTTGAGTTTTGAATATTTAATAAGTTGAAAATGAGAACTGGCTAGATTCCCACGTTTCCTTACTCCTACAAGACCAGAAATGAGAAGAGAGGAAGATAGAAGTAAAACATGAGTCATATCTCAATGTACTTCTGGTACCAGAAATGAGATTATGAAAGTTTGTGTTGCAGATTTCTCTTTTGCATGCCAACACAAGCTAATTTTTTTGTTCAACTATGAAAATCGTAAAGCCAATGTGAAGTTAAAATAAACAAGATATATGAACTAACTGAACATAACATTAAATTTTTTGTATATCCTGATAATGCAATTCTTAGTGATTTCAGTAAGCAAATTATCAACGGATATGTCTGTCGTTACTATGATTGAATTTATTTGATATTTAAAAGGTTTCTCATTTAGTTGTGAACAAGAAGAACTTTTGATTTAGTATTTAATCTTCTTATTAAAAAAAAAAAGTTAAAGCAGTGAAAGATGTAATTCCAAAAGATGAAAACAGATTAGCTACAAAGAGGATTAAGGAAGTAAATTGTTTTTTTATTTATGTTTAATGGAAATTTAAATTTTAGGAAAGAAGGGAAAAGCAGAAAAGTGATTTCAAAAGTCATTATAGAACTATTATTAAAAGTGACCACGTGTGTAAATGAATTCACTTACTGACCGCTATTCCAAAGTGATTTCCTTCCGCGTTAGTAAATGAGAGATTAGTCTCCCTCAATTAAACTTCGAGAACACGCGAAAGTTTACTATAGGACCTATTGAACATAGCCAAGGGTGAATTGAGGCTTGATAATGGTTAGAGTTTAATAGGCTTACCTAATGTGTTAGAATGATAACAAAAACAATTTATCCTCTGTTTCTATTCTATACACAATGTATACTAACAATTTCACCAAGGAATGCCACCCATAAATTTCTCTAAAATAACATACAGAAGAAATAAAAATAATAAAGGAAATTATTGTTTGCTGAATTTATGTTTCAACTATACACTGTATAAAATTCGATACTTACTGCTCGTCTAAAGACAGTCTTGATTGTATCAACTTCTTGGGAAGCCCAATGAACATAAAAAAGTCCACTAAGAAGCAATAAAAATGTTCCAAAGAAGAGAAACCAAATGAAAGCATTTTCTGTTCGTGTCAACAGTTTTCTTGCCGGTCTTGTTGATAAAATTTCCCGCGTAGGTACTTGGAGTTGCTTTGCTCGCTGGAGAATTTCCTCCAGCCGTCGCTGAGCTTGTTCTACTTCTGGAGATCCCATGTGTAGGTTTTTTTTATTTCAAGGAAATATTTAAAAATAAAATTTAACGCCAATCTTGGCGCCAAAGATTACATTTACGTTGTTAAAAAAATTTGAAAAATTACAGTTGACATCCAGGATGTTGATGATGATAGTAACGTAGTAAATGACAACATATTAATTGAATTTCTTCACTTTTGACTGATTAAATTATTATTTAATCTTGATGTATTATCTAATATTATAAATAAAAGATAGGGTTCAGTTAATTTAGAATGAGAAAAAAAAATCCAAGATCTCACCTTGATGAAGATTGAGTGAGCACTGACCGATAAACTGACCGCCTTTCGAGCCTAGGACACATGACTCCATTACGCATGCTTTCATCAAACGCATGCGTTTTGGAGTTGAAAATTAAATTAAATCAAAACGCCATCTATTCTGTTTTACCGCTACTTTAATAAACGTAATCAAACTTTTTTGAGGTTATCGATTGAGATCAAATGTAAGTGCGAAATGATACAAGGACAGGAATAGCGGCAAATAAATAATTTGCATGGATAAATGAAATTATGATCTCAATATAAAGTCGTCGAGGCAAAGTAATCATGGCCTTGTACGATAATAAACATTGGCTTTTGTCACACATCAGGGATAGCTTCATTTCTACAGATGACACAGGTTAGTATCGAGTGTATTGTGGTCCAACCTAAGAATTTTCATTTTTCACTGTGGATATTAATTTATCAAAGGTATGTGTGAAATGGTGATGCTGGGAGAAGATATACCAAAGCAATTAAAAGCCAATGGTGCAAGGTGTTATCCTGGACTTGAAGAAAGTGATGATGAAGATCTGGATGCAATGTCAGAGTCTTATGACATGCAAATGGGTATGATGCAAGCAATTTACCTTTACTTGAAATAATTAATATTATGCAAATTCAATTTACCTCTGAAGTAATTCAAATACTTAATGCTAAATTTATTTTTACTATAACCAATTCTAAGAAGCTGCTGGTTCAATTTTGTGTTAGAATGCTGCTGTCAAACTTTCAAACTTTCCCTACATGGTGCAAATTTTATTGCAATCCATTAAGTTTAGCTTTAGTTTAAATTGGCACTTTAACATGCAAAGTAAATGTGACTTTTCACTTGGAAATTATTACATGCTTAACATTAAATGGTATATATCTTAGATATGGAATTTGGACACCGACCAAGATCGAATACAGCTCAGAGGTTGGAAAAGATGGAAATGGAAAGAAAAAAGTCCGCCAAAGTGAAACATATTAAGTGGGAATCGAATCCTATAAATATGACCGAAGAAGAAATATCTGAATTGTTTCAGAGGAAAGATTTTCGTAAAAAAGATTCAAAATCAGTAAAAAAAGTATCATTATTAGCTGAACAATTAGAAAAATCTCCTCATGTTCCTACAAATCCATTCATAGAATATGCTAAATTTGATGGCAATGTAAGTCAAATTTCCTTTAGACTTGGTATAAAATGTTTTTTATCATCGCACATAATAACGATCTACTTCTTTAGGCACAAATTGGTATTCCCATTCGTAAGTATCGAATATATATGTGTATGCTTCCGAAAGAAGAACGAGCATATCCGTTTCAAGTTGTCGTCATAGCTACTGCTAAAGTTCAAGAATTCATTGGATTGATTTGTTATAAATATGCTAATGAACATCCTAATCATACGTTAAAGTAATTTTTTAAATTATTTTACAGAGTCCAATTATTCTGTTTTTCTATCATTGACTTAAAATTATTATGTATTACAGGGAAGATATTTCGAAATATGGATTATACATTACCGAAGATGATGGAGAAGTTGATTTAGACTTTCCCTGTCTAGATCCAAGAGAGGTAATTGCTAAATTTGAATTTTCCGCATTAGGTTTAGTTGAAATGCGACCGTGTGATCGAGCACGTCATGATCCTATTGAGCCTGAAATAAACCCTAAAGCAGAAGAAATTAGAGAAATGGTTAGGCAGGAGCAAGAAATGTTTGCTGAAGATTTAGCAAGGATGAAAGGCCATACGACGGCTATGGAAGCTCCATTGTATCAATTGTACAGGTGTGTATTTTACTTTAAATTCAATAACGAATTAATTAACTCAATGGATCCATTGATTATTGTGATGATATTTCAGAGTATATATTATTAATAAAGTGAGAGCAAAGACTGAAATTCATCTTGGTATTTCCGGCGATAAGATTGAAATAGATCCTGTTATCACTGGAAAAGGTGCCAATAGATTTTGGAATCGACAAAGAGCTGTTAGTTATCAAATGGAAAATATAGCTTGGTGTGAAATGACTGAAAGCAAAGGATCAAAAACTTCATTTACATTGGTATATACTACTAATCATCCATCACTATCTGACAGTTTTACAGGTAAACTAGTTTTAAAATTAATTTTTTTTTAGTTAGTTTCACAACAAACTGAAACATTGAAATTTTTTAATTATTTCAGTTTCGTCAGTACATTCGCATTCTTTGCATCATCAATCTACGTCATTTAAGACACATGATTTTGAAGCAGAAACTGCGATAGCTGAAGAAATTGTTAGGAAAATCAATCACATTTTAGAATTACGGAGTAGTTCTGCACGTAAAGAATTTTTAGCTCATAGAGAACGAAAATCAATGAGAAGAAAAAGTTTTCATCTACATAGATGACCTAAGTATTGGCTCTATCTATTTTTAATTGTTCCAAAGACAAAATCGTTGAAAATCTAAAGAATCATCAATAATCAAGTATCTTATATCATGCCACAATGGAGTTAGCTCAACTAATTCGCTCTTATTAATCGTGAAGAAAAGAATGAAACGTTGTTAGTCATTACGTTTTGTGATTTTATTTTATTTTAATAAAGCTACATCTCGTTATCATTATTACATCTTACAAATAAAGAAATATTGAAATATAATGCTGTTTTATGATATAGAAATACATACCTCTTTGTGGTAATGAAATTTGTAATGTTAGAAATTGTTTTATTTATAATTTATTGTCATGTAATACGGATAAATTTTTATATTACTTTTATGATTAGTATCAAGGAAAGCTGGAAGAATAACGATAGTTATCGTACAACTTTTTAAACCCATCAAGTCAAGTAGTGGTGAGAGCGGTTAACAACAATATGAATAGATACTTGACTCTTCTTCGCTCGCGAAAAAACATTCGATCATTGTTTGATAAATGATAGGTATCTCATATGTCATGCCCTTTAACAAGTAGGTAATCGATAAAAAAATATTCTCGATTAAAGATATTTTTAAAATTTAGGAGTTCCATTGTAAATTTAGCTACTCTTTGATCTCATTATTAAAATATTGTAACTATACTAGTAATAATATAATTATTATTTCTAAACTATTTTAAAGTATTTTAAGTATTCTACCATTACATTTTATTAATAATTACGATTTATTATTATAAATTTAAAAAAAAAACATGAAATTATACATTGTTTATAAGTAAAAATTTATTATTTACATTAGCATAATACAAAAAATGGAAATTCAGATTTTATAAAAATTTTTCTACACATAAATTATTTCTAAATATATTTTGCATTCCATTATTTCAAATTTAATGAATTGTTGATGTAATTTATTTACCTTATTAAACAATATTTCAGATTCTGAAAAATTTGAATACATAAATATATTATATACAAATTTATAAAAGTTGCACAGCATCATTTGAATTATTAATAGTTTATGTAGTTATGTTTGCACTTCCTTTGTTTCATTTTCGTTAGCTATTCGTTCGGCAGTCAGTCGAATTTTTTCTTCCATATAATCTATTAATGTTTTACTTCGATGATTTATCTCAGTATTTAAACATGCAATCTGGGTTGCAATAGGCTGTAATTTTTTTATTTTTTGACTAAGCTGAGCATAATCTGGCCGAGCTAATAAAAAATTTCTTTCATTTTCTGGTAATAATTCTAAATTAGCTACACATTTTGTTCTTGTTTCTTGCTTTTTCAATAACTTCCTTTTAGCTCTTCTTTCTTCATATTCTCTCTTCCACATTTCCTTCTCATTCTTTAATGTTTGTATATGTTTACTCAAATCAAAAGGTTCTTCAGAGAGTTTTGGTGAATCAAGTTTCTTCTCATTCGATGAATTACAATCTTCCGTTATGTCATCAATACCTATAAAATATTTGAAACTTATAAAATAATGTTTACTACTAAAAATGAAAAATTATGAAAAGTTGTTTGTAAACATACAGTTTTCTGATGGTTTTATGCTTGATCGTCTATGAAAAAGTTCAGATCTTCGTTTGTTGTTCTGCTCTGGTAGGTTAGATTTATCACAGTCACCCATTTTTGAATATTTATTTAAAAAAAAAACAATAATATTCAAATTTTTATTTGTTGTTTACAATTTTTTTAATTTCGGAGCATCCTAATTATGGCTATATATTAATAACCTTATGGCTTATTTTCATGAGTCGATTGTTACTCATAAAAACTACTTACGAAATGGGAAGAGGAATGTTAATGAGGTTATGTTGGCAATATTGGATTAGGCGATTGCGGGATAGCTTGAATAGAACAAATGACTACCTTAATTACAAGATTATTAATAATAATTTGACGATTATAAGCTTAGTACGATACTAAAATGATAATTCGTGGTTATTCACATTTACAAATTTTACAAACACTAAATTTTTATTGGTTTTTTCTATTTAATAAAAGTACATATTAAACCTACTTAATAAACATAAAAATTAAACGATTCTACCTTGCAAAATACTTTTAATTGTAAGTTTCAATCAACTTGAAACATTATCATCATTATTCACGAATAAAAGTGCAATATTAAATTCAAACAAGTTACATTATCCATTATTGTTATAGATATAATTCTTACTTATCTGAAAAATTATTTACTGAACATAACTGCCGTCACATTACTTAATATATCTAACATATTAATAATTATTATAAGTATGTTTTCATCTATGAATGAAATAATTAATTGTCAAATACTTTATCTTGTGAATTTGTAAGCGCAGAGTGTTTATGTACACATAATGAAGTTATGAAACTACATAAATTTTATCGTTATTTAACGCATGATTTCCTTATTCTGTTGTATTAAAAATCTATCATCTCCAATTGTCGTTCATTTTGTTTAGCATTTAACTGAAAAAAATAAAAGAGTATTATGAATTCTATTTATTAACCAACTTTTCAATATACATTAAATTTTTAATAGTTATGATTTCATTAATAATACCGTCTTTCACGGGAGTCTGATCTCGAACGGCGGTCCCGACTACGGCTACGAGTCAGAGATCGTCTGCGTGGACTACGCGATCTTGACCTATAAATTCAGAAAAAACATTTATTATTATTATTACAATTATTATAACTAAATTGTATTTAATCATGATTATAGAAAAACTTTTCAACAATTTTTTTTTCAAATATATACGACTATAATTAATACCAATGAATGCATTGAATAAATGAATTGAAATTTAAACAATTTAATTTAATTTAGTAAAAATAAAATATGTTGAATAATTTTTTCAATCATATAAGTTGTACAAATATGCATATCTATGTATATAAATTATTTTGGAAAAACTATAAAATACCAGATAAATATGAACCTATGATGGTAGTTAGTGATAGTAATTGTGGTAGTGGTCGATTAGGTGGAGGATGGTATGTATGTGATTATTTTGCATTGCTCAATTGAAGAAACGTGACGGTCTCACTGTACACCTAAATAAAACACTGTGGTTGGCGGAGTAGTAGTGGTAGAAGTAGTTGGGACAGACGCGATGATATTTGGATCGACGAATTCATATCGCGTTGGCTGTCTGTGATTGATGTATATGATGCTCCTAGTTGCTTAGAAGTTGTGGTAGCAGGAAGCTGACTTTGAAGGATTACTGACTTGCTGACAGACTTGCTAACAAACTGTCAACTGAAGGACGACTTTGCTTCTATCGATGAGGCTCCTACTGATTGGAAATTTAGTATACTGATAGGCTACTTATCAAAATTTTACTTTTATTTTTTGATTTTAACTAATTGAAGTATTTTACTTTCTTTATATCTTTTTCAGTTTGTGATTTCAAAACTTTTTTGTTCACGGTGGCTGTTGTAGTAGTAGTAGTAAAAGTTGTAGTAGTAATATTAATAGTAGTACTAGTAGTGGTGGTAGTAGTAGTAGAAGTAGTAGTAGTAGTGACGGGGAGGCGAGCAGAACTAGGAGCTCACACTGGAAGAATCTGCAATGGTCATTTTACCTCTATAGCAATTATTGTAATTATATTTTTTGTCACTCTAACCACATTCACTTTCTTTTCATTCAAAATTGTATATAATAATTCTTTGAATTGTTTACTTTCCTAATCTGAAGATATTCAATTCGGCTTGACAATTCTTAGGAACGATATGACGAAATGTTGTAATAATATTAAATTATAAAAAATTTTACCTAATTGACTCAATTGCTTTATAACAATGGGATTAAAATTTATATCAATACAAATAATGGAAAAATTATCAATTACCTGGAGTATCTATTTATGGGTGATCTTTTTGGACTCTTGGACAAAGACCTAATGAGATAACCATAACATAATTATTAGAATTACACTAATTCCAATATAAATTAAATATAATATATTTATAATAATAAAAATAATGTTGATAATAAATAATATAATATGAAGATTGCCGATTATAACTATTATTATTACCTTGGATAACGACCAATAGATTTCCTGCGTGGACTACGAGATCTAGATCTGAAATTTATTTAAAAACAAACGTTAATAAAGTATATTTAGATGAAAAGTTTGTAAGTTATTAAAAATATAAAAAAAAAACCTTGAATATCGGGGACCAGGCCGACGTCCTCCACCTCCACGACGAGTTCTACCGGACGACATTTCTACTCTTATTCTTGTTCCACAACAACGTCTGTTCATAAAATAATCATAAGTAAATTAAGATGTCATAACATCATTTTTTATCACATATTGATACAGTAATTCATCAAACATGATTTATTATCTTTAAATATAAATTAATTTCCATTTACGTAACGACAAATTGATTTATGCATGGCGAACAAGTAATACTTACGTTCCGTGTAATCCACGAACGGCATCCTCTGCATCTCGAGGATCTTCAAATTCAACGAATGCAAAACCAGGTGGGTTTCGAGCAACCCAAACATTTCGCAGTGGTCCATATTTACTGAATGCATTTTCTATTTCATGTTTGCTAGCACTGCTTCCTAAATCACCTACGTAAACTTTGCAAGTAGGATCCCATTCACGATACCGTGACATTGTTAATCTGAAGAACAAATTTAGAAATTTGTAATTGTATATATCATCTGAGTGACAATTCACAATATATGCATTATGCTCGATAATGAATTCTTCGATGCAAATGAATTTTAGTCGCCATTTTCAAAATTGCTGTATGCGAAAGCTTCATAATTGATTTGATGCACAAATGGCAATGTTTTTCGAAAATTCATTATTTAATATAGAAAATGCAATGATTTGCAAAAATATAACAATAGATGGAATTACGAATAGATTAATATTTAATTTTAGAGTAAAAAATTTGCAAGTTTGACCTCTTATGGGATCAGAGCAAAGTTGTTTGTATATATTTAAAGTATTGTATAAGAGTTATATCGTTTTTTGCATACTTACATTTGAAGAAAATTTTTTGTTTTATTATCTAAAACTTAATTTAAGAAAAACTGTAATAGTTACACTTAATTTTTTATTATTTAAAAAAATATGTGCAAATTCGAGTCGGCAAAAATATAAGATGGACGCTTCTGATAAACTAATGGAAAAATACGCATACAGTATGATGAGGTTAGCTATATTCCGTGACAAGCTTCTTGTGCGCCATCTATGAAAAAAAAAAAATTCACAACTTCAGAATCATCACACAGATGGTTTTCTAGGTTAACCAATTCAATCAGCATCATTGGCACGTGGTGAAATGAAATAGTTATTTATTAGAAAAAATTATAAATATTCAAAAATCATGGGGAAAAAAGTGAAAATTGGGAAACAACGTAAAGATAAATATTATCAATTAGCTAAAGAAACAGGTAAGAATTTAATTATTCTGTTGATTTATTTACATTGTTGTTTTTGTGTCAATAATAATAAACTTAGCTATTCATACATAAACATTTATCAATTTTTACAGGCTACAGATCACGAGCAGCTTTTAAATTAATTCAATTGAATAGAAAGTTTGAATTTCTTCAAAAATCACGAGTATGCATCGATCTTTGTGCCGCTCCGGGTGGTTGGATGCAAGTAGCCAGGCAAAATATGCCTGTATCGTCAATTGTCATCGGTGTAGATTTATTTCCTATCAAACCGATTCCTGGCTGTATAAGTATAACTGAAGATATTACCACTGACAAATGTAGAGTCGCAATATCGAGAGAATTAAAAACATGGAAAGCTGATGTAGTATTAAATGATGGAGCTCCGAATATTGGAACAAATTGGCTTTATGATGCTTTTCAGCAAACATCTCTTACATTATCAGCTGTTAAATTGGCGACACATTTTTTAAAAAAAGGTGGCTGGTTCATCTCAAAACTTTTCAGATCAAGAGATTATAACGCTTTACTTTGGGTTTTACAACAATTATTTAGCAAGGTATATTTTAATTGATCATCAAATATTACATTACCAGTAATAATAACAATGAATTTCTTCATAAGTATTTTGAAATGTTAGTATAAATTATAGTAACTTATTTAAATGTTATATTTTCCAGGTCAATGCAACTAAACCTCAAGCATCAAGAAACGAATCAGCAGAAATATTTATTATTTGTCAGGGTTATAAAGCACCTGATAAAATTGATCCAAAGTTTTTTGATCCGAAATATGTGTTTTCTGAATTAGATGTTGATTCATCGAATAAATTAAATATTTATCACCCTGAAAGGAAAAAGAGAAAAGCAACAGGTTATCCTGAAAATGATTATACATGTCATCAAGAATTATCAGCTAAAAAATTCATAGCTCATACTACTGGAGTAGAATTGCTCGAAGAAGCATCTGAAATAATAATTGATGATGAACAAATCGAAAATCATCCAAAAACTACAAACGAAGTTAAAGAATGTTGTAAAGACATTAAAGTATTAAATAAAAAAGACCTTAAATTGATAATGAATTGGTGGAAAACATTACACAATGAATTTTATGCGAAACCAACGGAAGATGAAGAAAACAAAGATACTGCGCCGGCAGAGAATCAAGATAACAGTGAGGATGAAGAAGAGAAAGAAGAAAAAGAAATAGAAACAGCAATTTATGAATTGAAAGAAGAACAAAGAAGAGAGTTAAAAAAGAAAAAGAAAAAAGTCGAAAAAGACAGAAAAAAATTGGTTGAAAAAATGAATCTGAAAATGGTTCACAAAGGAGATGAAGGTCCTCGACTTGATGATGGCGACGAGATGTTTAGTCTTCGTGAAATTAAAACACATGAAATTCTGAATGAAATAGTAGATCAAACACCTGATGTCGTAGTTGATAGTGAATCAGATTCTGATGAAAGAGTTCAGAAACGTCGGAAAAAAGTAAAGTATGATAAAGAAGAAGGATATTTAGATGAATCAGGATTATATTATAAAAATGATGAGAGTGATGAATCGGAATCAGATTCAGATAATGATGATATGTCTATTCAGTCGTCTGCAAGTGACTCCGAAACTGACAAAGAGAATAAGTCAACGAAAAGCAATAAAAAAAAAGTGAAATTCGACATTGATGATATTGAAGAACCAATTAATCCTTTATTAAAAACTGAATCAGACTTATCAAATAATAAAAATATAAAAAAAATAAATAAAGCAAAATTATGGTTTGAAAGAGATTCGTTCAAGAATTTGGAAGAAGATAACAGTGAACAACATATCACTGATGATCTTGTTAAAAATAATAATAAGAAAAATAAAAAGAATCCTAAAAAAGAGTTGGTAAATCAAAATGGTTTGGATGAATCTGATTCAGATTACAATGTTGAAGAAGAATTTTTATCCGAAAAGCGAAAAAAAAATGAAATTAATCAGAAATGTAAAATCGAAGATAATAATAATAATGAAGATGAGTCCATATTAAAAGAAACAACACAAGTACAAAATAAAAGGAAACTAAATGAAGAAGATTTAGCACTAGGAACTTTATTAATAAAAAGTAAAAAATCTCGTAGAGAAATAATTGATGGTGCGTGGAATAGATACGCTTTTAATGATGATCATCTACCAGATTGGTTTGTACAAGATGAACAAAAACATATGAAGAAAGAAGCACCAGTAACTAAAGAATTAGTTGAAGACTATAAAAAAGTTATGGCTGATATCAATGCTCGTCCTATTAAGAAAGTAATGGAAGCTAAAGCAAGAAAGAAGAAACGAGCTTTGAGAAAATTGGAAAAAGCTAAGAAGAAGGTAGAAGCTTTAATGGATAATACTGATATTAGTGATCGTGAGCGAGCTGATCAAATAAAAAGGTATTTTTTAAGGATTATAAAATAATTCTATGTCCATCTCATTTATTTGTAAATGAATATTATTTTAATATATTATTATTTTGTTTTTCAGATTATATAAACAAGCAAAACGCCAACCCAAAAAGAAAGTTACTGTAGTAGTTTCGAAAAAGCATTTAGCTCAAAAGAGAGCTTCACGACCGGCTGGTGTAAAAGGACGATACAAGGTGGTAGATCCAAGAATGAAGAAAGATATGCGAGCTGCCAAAAGATTAGAAAAAAAGCGTTCAAAAGGCTCTAAAGGTCAAAGAAGTCAGAAAAAACATCAAAAGAAATAATAAATTGTAAATTTTTATGTTATTCACCACTTGAAAAATAACTAAATTTAAGATATTTTTTTGTATCTAAATATCTGTAAATGTATAATTACTATAAAAATTATAAAATGCAAACGAAATTTATTTTATTATGAGTTGAACATGAAATTTAAAAATTGGGCGTATCCCTCCATATATTTTTGACCATGGGGATTTTCTACGAATCCCTATAATCCCTCTAGGATCTTTCTTTTGACTCGAGCGCCACTCTGAGTCACATTTTTATATTCCATGGTCTGTTTACAGTAGGTAAAGCGTTCCAGTTGCTGCGTCCATAGTTATCTTTGTCGCCTATTGTTTTCCGACAAAGTGGTAGCTTGTAAAAATAAGAAATAGCTACTCGAATCCGTGAGTTTGCGGTGAAAATGTATCAAGATCGACAATCCTGGTGACAAATTGTAAAGTGAAGTGGTTCTAGCTTTTCTGTGAGGGCAAATAAATCTTTAAGATGAGGAATTCGGCATTGAGTCTGAGGTTTGCGGTCCTCTGCTGCCTCTGCATCATGGTCGGTACAACTGGGTTGGAAGTACAAGAAGAGCTAGAGCATCACGGACGATGCGAACCAATTACCATAAATTTATGCCTGCATTTGCCTTATAATCAAACAATGATGCCTAATTTATTGAAACATCAAAAGCAAGAAGATGCGGGTCAGGATATTCATCAGTATGCACCACTTGTTAAAGTTCACTGCAGTCCAGATCTCAGGTTTTTCTTATGTTTAATGTACGCACCAGTATGCACTATTTTAGAAAAACCACTGCCACCATGTCGTTCGATTTGTGAAAGAGCAAGAGCTGGTTGTGAACGAATTATGAGGAATTTTGGCTTTCAATGGCCACTGAGTTTGGACTGTTCTAAGCTTCCAGAATATGGAGATGACCCTGAAGTTTTATGTGTTGGGACCAATGAAACATCACCTTCAAGATCATCAACAACTATCCAACCACCTTTAAGAATTCCTAGACCGGAGTTTCAACCTGCTTGGACAGGACAAATACCCTACGGAGGTACTACTGGCTTCCGAACTCATGGATTCGCTTGTCCTGTTCAATTTCGCGTGCCTGAATCATTTGGATACTCATTAAAATTCAAAACAGAAACTGTAAAGGATTGTGCAGCTCCATGTAATGAAATGTTTTTCTCTGAAACACAAAAACAATTTGCTAGGGTTTGGATTGGGACTTGGGCATCTTTATGTGCTGCCTCGTGTTTTTTTACATTTTTGACATTTTTAATTGATACTGATCGATTCAGGTTAGTATAATTATAATACAATTATTTAATCATATAAATTTAAAAAATTAATTTTCATTTCTTTTCTGTTTGCTTAGATATCCAGAGAGACCAATAATATTTTTATCAGTCTGTTATCTTATGGTAGCTTTAGTTTACATTGTCGGCTGGGCTGCAAAGAATAATATCTCGTGCAGGGAACCTCTCCCTCCACCAGAGAGTATGCAAGTGCAAATGGTTTCAACGATAACACAAGGAACTAAACATGAGCTCTGTACTCTTCTCTTTATGGTTCTTTATTTTTTTGGAATGGCATCAAGTATTTGGTGGGTTATACTCACTCTTACATGGTTCCTGGCAGCTGGATTAAAGTGGGGCCATGAAGCAATCGAAGCTAATTCTCAATATTTTCATCTTGCTGCGTGGGCAGCACCCGCGATAAAAACTGTCACTATTCTAGCGATGGGCAAAGTCGACGGTAAGATCCTTTGAATATATAATTTATCACCGAAAACAGAAAGAAACATAAAAGGGATTAAAAAATGTATTTTTATTTCAGGCGATATTTTATCTGGCGTGTGCTACGTCGGACTATGGAATGTTGATGCTCTTCGAGGATTTGTTTTGGCTCCTTTGTGCGTTTACCTCGTTCTTGGAACTGCTTTTCTGCTCGCTGGATTTGTTTCTCTCTTTCGAATCCGTACGGTTATGAAACATGATGGAACGAAGACTGATAAATTGGAGAAACTTATGATTAGAATCGGAATCTTCTCGGTGTTGTACACAGTACCAGCATTGATTGTTATTGCTTGTCTTTTCTATGAGCAAGCATATTTTGATGACTGGATGCTTACATGGCATAAAGATATGTGCACAAGACCATCAACAATGTCATTATATTCGATCCCTTGTCCTGTTGAACGCATTAAAGACACTCGTCCAGAGTTCGAGGTATTTATGATTAAATATTTAATGGCAATGATCGTTGGAATCACTAGTAGTTTCTGGGTTTGGTCCAGCAAAACTTTAACGAGTTGGAGACAATTTTTCAACCACATACGAGGCCGTCGTGTTGAAGCTTATGTTTAGACTAAATTCTCTTACCATTGATATTTAATTCTATGTTTATCGTTTTTTTTATTATTATTGATAATAGTTAACTATTAATTAATCTTTGATTAATTAACTACAAAATATGAAACAAAAACTAATCATCAGTTATGGTTGATTTATAAGTTAATTGACAAAATTGTTAATTGCTCGTTCTGTGATTGGAAATTGTGTTAACATGTAGTGTTTCGATTATTTTTTATCATTTATAATCTCATTTTTTTTACATTTAAATATTACAAATTATAATCTTGAGTATTCGTGCCAATTAATTTAGGATTATTATTATGAAAAGAATCTCACGGGCAAAAAACCATTACAAGCAATGACAAATAAAACGTAAAATATTTTTTTTAGTATAGAATAATGCTCAAAAATATGAAGATTGAATGTGTTCTTAATTGATCAATACAAAATTAATAATCAAGCGTCCATCAAATTAAATAATAACTGCTATTTACTTATTATTAAAAAATTTTATTCACAATTTTTTAAAGCCGATGCACATCACTGAATTTTTATTTCTGATCTAGCAACATTATTCAATCTAATTTATGCACAAAATACTCACAAAAGACTTGAAAATAAAATCCTGTAATTTTATAATAAGCATTTAAGACTACTGAGATACTTTTCTATGAATATTTTATTCTGTAAAAGTAATCAGTTTTTTTTTATTATTAATATTATAATTAATATTATATAGTTATTATTATGATATTATTATTATAGCCGATAGTAAATTGTGCTAATTTTAAGTAACGATTGTATATAAGCTTTTTTTTGCTATGTATCATATTTTTTTAAACAAATATGTAAATAATTGTGGTCGAAGAAATTCGATCCATTTAAAGAAAAAGTCTGTCTTGGAAACATGAAGTAATTCAAAGTAATAACTATTACAAAATATATACACGTTATATTATGTAAGATGTGGATAAAAATGCATTAAGAACAAAAAGAAATCATAAAAATTCGTCCATCTGGTAACTTATCGAGCTTTTATGTGTTGTTTAAGTGAAATTAACGCTTGCTAAAATGATAAAGTTTATTTAAAGAAAGTAAAAAAATTTGGGAATTGAAAATTGTATCGTATATTAAGAATGAAAGGTCATTGGTGTGCAGATTTATGTTTTAGCACACGCAAAATATCAAAGTTATTATACGTAAAGCTGTGTAAAATTTATAAGCTTTATATATTCTTTATATATAATAAAAAAATTACTGAAATATATGTCAAATTGATGGATATTTTTATTTCATACGCAAGAATAGTATATGGCATCAATGATTAAGAGCTAAGAATCAATTATAATATTTATGATTGTATTTAAAAAATAAAGCTTTTATTGGAGCAATGTCATCAAAAGCAAAATACTTTCAATAAAAAGTGTAATTAATCTTAATTAAAATATTGATATCCTTTTGTAGTTAGATTATAATAAATGCAATATTTTCTTTGAAAATTAAGAATTAACTTAATAAGATAAATTTTAAAGATATTCCAGAATTGTATGAAAATCAATAAAAACAAATTTTAAATTTAAAAAAGTGTAATTTTTATTTATGAATTATATCATAAAAATTTATTCAATTATTGACATTGTCAATAAAAATAATACCTTTACACCGATAAAATAGTAAAATAATATCAGTAATGAAAGCATTTCAAGGGTTTATTTTAAGTCATTATTATTGAGCTTTAGGCATCTTCAAGATTCCAACTCTTCGCAAGTATCTGACGATAAATGGTGCTGATGTTAGTGTTATGGATATTCTAACTGGAGCAAGAACTTTATGAATTGCATAAGCAATTACAAATGTTGATGAGCTCGTCATTACTGCTTCCAGTTTCTCACTCGATTGAGGTATCCACTTAACAAGCATAGACACATCTAAGCCGCTAAAATAAAGAAAATTATTTAATTAGTAAATTGTTTCCATCCTGAATGGAAAGAGCATTATTGTAAAGCAAAGAAAGAAATAATATTATACATTTATGTGACCATTAATAATTAATGTTGTGATAAGCTCTTATTTTTATAACTTGCATAATAGTTCTTATCATTATTCTTATCTTAATACTAAAATTAAGTTCAAAACGTATTTAAAAGTAAGAATAAATTTTTTTCAATGCCATTGTAAATAGTTAAGTCATGAAGAATGATGAGTTTACTACTATAATACAAAAAGCATTAGATAAATTTAATTGTTAATAAATAAAACTAACCTAGACACGAGCAAGTAAAAAAAACCAAGTGATACTAGTGATATGGAAACATGAAAAACCATGACTGTTATTCCATAATCTTTGACAGCATTTTTAAGCTTTTGAGCGCTGGTTAATTTTCCTTGATTACTTTTATCTTCATTACTCCCTTTCCCTTGTGGCTTTTGCACATCCGATGATGAACTACTTGTCGAATACTCAGCCCTCAGGATAGAACCTAAGCGTAAAAATTGAGCGGGAATTCATAGACCTCCACCTTCCGCGTGAAAATTATTTCAGATGTTAACTAAAAAGTATCAGTGAAGCATTAAGATGAAAATTAAAAGTTTATGATCTATTTTTCCATGAACTAAATGAATATAGATATTTAAAAATACTTGCAGTCTTTAAAAGGGTTAGAATTATTCCTACGCTGTTTTAGAACAGCGTAATGAGATTTTTGCATTATTTCTGCCAAGTATTTGCCATCACGAGACCATTGACCTCCCGGCATATTTAAATACGAAGATTTTCCACTTGAGCAGAAAGGATTTGGAACCATCGTTTGCATAGAACTGTTAAGACTTATGGCTCCAAAACAATCATAAGAATCAACATGAGTATCGCTAGAAGAGCGATTTGATGATCCCCAATTTTCGACTGATGAACTTAAAGAATCCCAAGTTCTTCTTTGACTCTGACGATTTCCACTGCCAGATCCATAAAGTAAAACTGGTGCTGCGATATCTCGAGCTCGTTCTGGAGTGAAGCGACCGGTTTCATTGCCAAAAATATCCACAATATTCTTGGGTAACGTTAATTGCGGAGCATTGGGATAATGACGTATGTTAGAAAGGTGAAAGTTTACAGTTTTTGTTATGTTAAAATGTTTTGGAGTAATACATTTGCCAGTATATTGCCCTCCACCTAAAAAAAATATTTTTTATAGTTAATGAGTCAAAAAATCTGATGAATAATAATTTATTGCTAAAAGTTTGATATTTTACCTGAATTATGAACTTGGGAGAACAAATTTGGCAAATCTTTAGAGCAACGAACTCTTGAGAGAGCCATTTTAGTATCTTGGATGTAAACAATAATCCGTTTTAAACCATTAATCCGTTAATAAATACCGGTTTAAGTCAAACAAATTAGTAGACACTAATCAAGTCTAAGTACCAAGAGTTATTGGATACTACTTGATAATAATGAAAGTAATGTTGAGGAAATGAAGGTAAAAAACGCTGATCGAGCAACAATGCAATTGATAGTTACACACGTATGTTATTTTCAGCAAGTGAGGGAAACGTGACCTCGAATCCCCACTTTAATTCCCAATCAAAGTAACGAAACCGGTTCTGCTGGTATTACGTCAATCAAAAGCAAAAAATAAATAAATTTCCGTAAGATGAGCTTGTACTTGTCATAAAAAATGAGATGAGGTGATTGTTTCAACAATATCATTTGTGGTAACAAGATGTTGATAACAATGATAACCTACAAACCCTACGAGGAAAAAAAAAACACTTTGATGCGCAAATTGATTGCGCATCTTTGAGAAGAGCTGCCGGTAGTGGCTTCTTAATCGTGTTGAGTGGGAAGTTGTGTTAACATTGACGTTATAGACAATTCTTGTGTGTAACATCATTAAATTGTAACAGAAATTTTTTAATTTATTACATCAAAATTATTTTTATTTTATTCCACAGAATAAAAATGGCTCAAAGCACGAGACTGATGGCCCTGTCTTCGTCTACTGGAGTATTTAAAAACCGCTCATATGGTGTTTTTACTACCTCTTCTAGACTTGCCAGGTATTTATTCAACATTTACATAGATAATTGAGATTCAGAGAATGTATGACGTTTCTTCATTTTATTTTTTAAGTCTTCTTATTGAGATTATTATGATTGAATAAATTTGTTTAATGACGATCAATAATTAAAAGGATATGTTTGCTTTTCTGATAGCTCGTGGTGGTCACACGTTGAAATGGGACCTCCGGATGTTATTTTAGGTGTGACAGAAGCTTACAAAAGAGATAATCATCCCCAGAAAATCAATCTTGGAGTGGGCGCTTATAGAGATGATAATGGCAAACCTTTCTTATTACCAAGTGTTCTCAAGGTCTGTTTGATTATTCGTTTATTGTTAATTAATTTTTTTCTCATGAAAGTAATCTCAATTTAGCCAATGAATTTAGTCTACTAATAATCTAATTGGTTACAGGCAGAGGAGAAAATTAAAGCTAAACGATTAGATAAAGAGTATTTTCCAATCTCTGGTGATCCTAATTTTTGCACCAATAGCATCACCCTAGCTCTTGGTGATGGTAATGAAGTTGTAGCTAACAAATTAGTAAGTATCAATAAAATGTAATTCATAAAATTATTTTCAATTTGATTTAAAGATGAATAAATTTTGGTGTCTATTTTTAGAATGCTACAGTTCAAGGAATTTCCGGAACTGGGTCTCTGTGCATTGGAGCATTTTTCATCAATAAATTTTTCCCAGGGAACAAGGAAGTATACTTGCCCACTCCCTCCTGGGGAAATCATACACCACTCTTTAAATTAGCTGGTCTCAGTGTCAAATCTTACCGGTATTATGACCCTAAAACTTGTGGGCTTGACTTCCAGGGTGTTCTAGAAGACATCTCTGTATGTAATCTGTCAGTTTTTTTAATTATTAATGAGAATGAATATTTCGATTAATTTTTGAAAAATATTTACAGAAAATGCCAGAGAAATCTGTGATTTTATTACATGCATGTGCTCATAATCCTACTGGTGTTGATCCCAAACCCGAACAATGGGCAGAGCTTTCGTCATTGATCAAGAAGAAGAATCTATTTCCATTCTTTGACATGGCATACCAAGGATTTGCATCAGGTATAATGGAATTAAATTAATTATAACTTGCCACTCATTGAGTAGTATTTATCACAATCTTGTAATCAATAATTCAATATGCTGAAGGTCATCGGGTGTATCTCAGTTATACATTCTTTTAATATTAATAAATTGATTAAATGTTATCGGTATTCTATTAATCTTGATGAATAAATTTTGCTTTTTTTCAAGGTGATTGTGCAAAAGATGCAATGGCAGTAAGAATGTTCATCAAGGATGGTCATCAGATTGCATTAGCTCAATCTTATGCTAAGAATATGGGTCTCTATGGTGAAAGAATCGGAGCTTTTAGTTTAGTAACATCAAATCCAGATGAAGCAGCTCGTGCTATGTCACAAATAAAAATCATTATCCGCCCAATGTTTTCCAATCCACCCATTAGTGGAGCAAGAATCGTAAATGAAATTTTGAGTGATCCACAGCTCAAACAAGAATGGTTAGCAGATGTCAAAGGCATGGCAGATAGAATTATTGGCGTGAGAACTAAATTACGTGACAACTTGAAGAAAAATGGTAGCACTCGTGATTGGTCTCATATTACCGATCAGATTGGAATGTTCTGTTTTACTGGTCTTACAGCTCCAGAGGTGGAAAAATTAACATCAAATTTCCATATTTATTTAACGAAAGACGGAAGAATATCAATGGCAGGTGTAACATCTAAAAATGTAGAATACTTAGCCCATGCAATGCACGAAGTAACTAAGTAATTTTAAACTAGCCAGGCACCATGCGATGTTCAAAATAGAATATGGAATTTAGTTTACACCAACATTCTTTTAATCAACAGTGATACCAAGAAGATATTTAAATAATTTTTACATAAGCATTAGAAAGATGAACTGATAACTACAAACTTAAATTAACTCAAACTCCATATCAAATGCATTTAACTCTTGCACGTTATTTTTTTAAAAGCACTGCCGGCAGTGCCATGATATGCAGTGAATTTTTATCAAAAGATTTCCAAAATGTTATCTGAAAAATACGTAATGATTCCGCTCAAGGCAGTTATATAATGAATTCATCGAAATAATTTTTCTACTAAACATTATACGATACTTTACTGATTCCATTATAAATTACTATATTAATAAACAAGTTATGAAAAAATTAATCCGTTTTTGTTATTATTTATACATACTCTCAAAATTATTGCAAATAGTTTATAAAACACATTACGATAAAAGTAATAATAAATAATTTATAAATAGAAGTTCAAAATTCTTAAAAATTATTGTAAATAATTGTAATCAAATGTCTATAAATGGGAAGTTTTAAATTCTAATTTGAATGTATTACACATCCTCCCATAAAATCAATTAAAATTTTCTGTTTGATTATTTACTTAAATAATTACACAAACATTAATTCTATTGACAATTAATTAATTTGATGATTGAATCTTTCGGAGAATTTTATCTTTAAACTAACAATTTTGAAAGATAAACTAATAATACAAGTATCCGTTGTGTACTCTTTTTATCTTTATTACTTAAATTTAATCGAAAAATAATAAGATAACTATGGATCTAAATATTACTTACAAGTATTACCTACCGAAAAATACAATTGTATAACCATTCCTCGAATCAAATTTGTATATAAATAGTGTCCCTTGTAGATTTTTATTTCAGTTGAAGCTCATTGATCGATAAACGAGGGAAAGAAAAGTTTCTTTTAATAATTATGTTGAACATGACTCGAATAGTTTGTACTTTACTTATTAGTATAATTTTATGTGAAAAGTATTTTTGTCATTCGACTTTTATGAATGACGTAAAGGGTTTGGTTCATAAACAATCTCAAAGACATTGGAAATTGCAAATAATACACACAAATGATATGCATTCAAGGTAAATTTTAATTTTAATTTTATTATTATTTGATTAATCTTTAAGAAATATTTTCAAAGGTTTGAGGAAATAAATAAAAATTCAAATACGTGTTCATTAGAAGATAAAAAAAATAATAAATGCTACGGAGGCTTTGCAAGAGTTGCACATATGATACGAAAATGGAAACAGCAGTCTCAATACCCAACATTATTCCTCAACGCTGGAGATACATACCAAGGTACATCTTGGTATTATTTATACCGATGGGAAATTGTTGCAAGATTTTTGAATATCTTGAAACCCGATGTAATCGTAAGTAGCACTATTTATTATTGTCCTATAAGTAATCTTATATTATTACGTGAATTAATATTAATTATAGACTTTAGGAAATCACGAGTTTGATCATGGTATCGAAGGATTACTTCCTTTTCTCAAGAATGCTTCATTCCCCATAGTAGTATCCAATCTTGATCTATCTGGAGAACCAGAAATGGCAGCAATAATAAAGAAAAGTATCGTCCTGAATGTAAATGGCAGAAAAATTGGAATAATTGGATATGTAACTTCAGAACCTGGACTCATACCACCAACTGGAAAAGTCATTTTTAAGAATGAAATTGAATCAATCAAAAATGAAATAAGAGACTTAAAAAGGAAGAGGGTGTGAATATTTTCATTGGTCTTGGTCATTCTGATTATGAAGTTGATCAAAAAATAGCAGCAGAAGTTGATGATTTAGATTTGATTATTGGAGGTCACTCACATAGCTTTCTTACTAATGAGATTCAACAGGATTCACAGAAACCAGAGATACGAGCGGGTCCATATCCAACGACTGTCACACAAAAAAATGGAAAAGTCGTTTACATAGTTCAAGCTTATGAATCTACCAAATACATTGGTAGACTGTTGGTGACATTTGACAGTGATGGAAATATAAAAAATATTGTTGGTAAACCCATTCTGCTCGATTACAAAGTGCCCCAAGCTCCTGATGTTTTAGAAGAGCTCAAGAAGTATAGGCCAGGATTAGAAAAGTTCAAAAATAGGACAATTGGATATAGCAGAGTTTATTTAATGGGTTCAAGAGAAGTTTGCAGAAAACAGGAATGTAATTTGGGTAATTTAATCACCGATGCAATGATTGCATATGTAAGATTTTTAATTTATTATTTTTATTTTTCAATAAAACATCTTGACTCTTGAAAAATTCACTTTTTATTTTAAAGAATTTAGAATATTATGTAGGCCATGGTGGATGGACTGATGCAGCTATTGCTATTCTCAATAGTGGATCCATCCGAACTTCGATCAACAAGACATCTGATCAACCAGTAGGTTCCAAGTTTATTAAATATAATATAAATCATTCTAACAATTAAATCATTTCTTAATACTGATTATTTTTTACTATTCTAAGATATCGTATGACGATGTAATCAGTGTCCTGTCGCTCGGAAATGTCATAGGGAAGACCAAATTGACAGGACGACAGATTTTAGCCATGTTGGAGCACAGCATTGCGCAACATGAATTGGGTCGAAATAATATTTCATATACAGGACAATTTTTACAATTCTCTGGACTTCAAGTCACATATGATCTCACACGACCTGTTGGCTCACGAGTATTATATTTAAGAGGAGTTTTCCTTCGATGTGCTAAATGTCGAGAGCCAAAGTATTATAAATTAAATTTAAATAGAGTGTATACAGTAATCATGCATAATTACCTTTACAATGGAGGCAATAATTACACTATGTTCAAGACTGAAAATTCAAAATGGATATCTTTAGGTATTTAATCAGAATTCTATGGATGATCTTTTTTTTAACTACTGTTTTTTAACTTTTTTTTCAACTGCTTTTTTTTAGAAACTCCTTTGGATATAGTGCTAGCGAGATATATAGAAAAAACAAAGTATCCAGTTCATGTAGGAACTGAGAAGAGAATTAAATTTTATACTCCACCAACATGATGCTGTCATTAGTAAAAGTTGCTCTGATTTTACATTTCCAATTTTGAGTTTATTGTAAAATCATGATATAAAAAATCAAAAATAATTAATAGCAAAGAGATTTTTATACTATTTCAAGTCAATTATCAAATTAAAATATCCACCACCCTTCTTTTTATTCATTAATGCTCTAAAAAGCTATCTCTGACTTGTATAAGTATGATCATGTAAGTGAGTATCATACCAATCATCTGAAAACAAAAATAATTTTAATCCAAAAAGCTTGATATTTATTTGCCATTCAGAACTTACAGATGTTATTAAGCTGGAAGATAGCGAAAATAATCCGTAAACAGTAATACGAGGGTTTCTGTGTAGAAGCTCGATGGAAAATTGTCGTAACTGCAATAAAAAAAGAAGAAAAGTTATCCTCTCTATTTGATATTTTGATTAAAATTCTCTTACCTGTTCCACCACTCCCATATTTATGAAATTTATATCCAAAATTTCGTGGATGATTTCACCAGTCTTTTTCATCTGAAACAATTATTGATATTACAATAAATACTTTCATATTAAATAGATATTGCTAAGTGATCTTTACTTGAAGAACCATTTTATTAACAAAGCCATTGAGAATCATAATAGGATAGAGATATCTTATGATCCATAATAACCCAATGATCCATTTAATAAGCTCTGCTTTCGTAGATAAAAGTTTGATTTTGCTGATCAAGCCAAATGAATTGTACGTTGTTCCAAGACAACATTGCAAAATGGGTATCAATATAATTGAAGCATAATAATTTGCAATAATATCAGTGAGTTTGTATAAATCTCGATGAGTTTGTTGAACAAAGAGTATATCATCCAATATTATTTTATCTAGAAGTGTTTTGGTTACACAAATGAATTGATTCAAGCTCTTTGTTTCAGAATTAGTCAAAAGCAAAAGCAATTGATTCAAATTTCGAAATTTTTGCTCAATAAAGATTACCATAAATGTATATTGAATCATTGCACTGCTCATTATGAACCAAGGTATTGAATGAATTATTATATTCGATTTAAATTTTCCATAATCATAAAATTCCACTCCAGCTATTACAATATTGATTAATAGAAAAAATAATAGAATAAATATATGAGATAAATATTCAAATTTTAAATTTCGATTGAATTTCAATTTAATTGAATTCTCTATATGTAATAATTTACTGATAATATCCAAAATAGTTTGTTGTTGAAAACAATATCGTAGTGCAAGATTCATAACACCAATAGTGTGACACATTGTTAATGTAAGACGAATTATTTCTTCAACATAAGAAAACCCTTCATACTTTGTTTTTCTTGAGTTTAAGGAATATATTGTATGAAATAAAATTAACGATAAGAAAAATGAATAAATAGATCCTATTAATGAATAAGAAAATTTCAAAGTTGATATTTTGTCTGGTCGTTTACATCGACTTATTGTCATTCGAAATGGAGCAACTCCCGTGATATTGAATATGCACATAGATACACGAAAACAAAATATTTCAAACAAATTTAAGTTTATTTTATACGAGAACACGATTGTCTTTATTTTAGACAATCGTGGTAATTTCAGACAATCCATGGTCAACTAAAAAGGTGTAATAAGTTGAGCTTAATCTAGAGTAAAAATGCTTCATCATTAGAATTTATTTTATCGTGAATGACGTCAACATGATTTAATCTTCTCATATAACCATCAATTATTATAATTTTAATGGAATATATTGGTGTTGTCAGTTTTCGGAGTTTGGCTATTTTAATTAGCAGATTTCTTATCATCATTATTCTAGCGTGACGTGCATTAAAAGTTTACTTAAATGCTAAAATTATTTAGCATCATTTCCATTTGATAAACAATCTATTTTTGTCATTTAAATCGTTTATGCCAGACAAATAATTGTGGTAACATAATATAATATTTATCAAATAGGATGTGGTTCTGACATAAAAATAAAATATAAAAAATTATTAAACACCAAAAACTAAATAAATCATATTTTTGATATTTCTAAAGATAATAATATTAATTTTTTTTTTTTTTTTTTTTTTTTTAAATCCAGGCCATTTCAATTATTTTTAATTACACAATACCAGTTCACTTGAATGAAGTTTTTTTTTCACATACATGACTTCAAGATTTGAAAACATGAGTTCAGTATTACTAGAATACACCTTCTTCGTACGTAATATCCTGATGATAACTCCCAACGTTTTATTAAAAACATCTATTTTTTTATATTCCATGTTACATTGGTATCACCATTTACTAGCAATTTCATTTTAATGTATTCTCAAGTATTACATTTGAAAGAAAAATCATAATTTCTTGATACTATAAATTCATTCAACAGAATAAAAATCTATGTTGATGAAAAAAAATGCTTCTTATGATTTCATGTAGTTATATTCAAGCATACAGTGTTATTATGCAATTTAAAATAAATATTATTGATCAATTCAATATGTCGGTAGACAAGGTGTCCATCATTCAGAGAAAATCAACGTCTTTTCTTACTAGGATAACATGAAATCCCAGGAGCATTGGATACATGCTATATCGTATTGTATTATCAGATTACAATTGACTTCCTTGAATTTTAGTTATAGTTATGTTTTATTTTTGGATTAACTAATTGATTGTGATAAGAGAAATATTTATTATCTATATAATTACGTGGATTCTTTTGTTTTTGTTTTGTGTTAAAAATCTGTGGTATAATAATCAAGTATATTATGGGTTATTTATCTGTGTGAGTGTGGTAAAATAACGCTTGCGCATTGAATTGAGTGTACTCTGATAAATAATATAAAAGCTCGACGAATGATTAGAGAGATAGTTTTCAAGGATTTGTAACAATAATCGCTTTAAACTTTTAAAGAAGCAGAATATTAAAACTACCTCACACGTTTATCAATTTTATGTTTCATATTAAAGTTATGTCTGTCATAGAAGCAAAAATGTCACGACCAAAAATTTTAATCACAAATAATAAAGTTCCTTCGACTGGGTTAGATCTTCTTCGTGATCGGTAAACCAATCAATTTTATCAGCTATTGAGTAAAAACACATTAAAATATTTAATTACAATTTTTGATAAAACTGTCTTTTTACAAATCTCTATTTCTACTATTTTTCCCCTTTTATTTTTATTGTTATTTTTGATTTCAATTAGATATGATGTGACTATCATACAAAGTGATAAATTAACACGAGAAGAAATTCTTCAAGCAGTACCTGGTCATGATGCAATTTTCATTGCAACTCATATTATGGTAAATACTGAACTTCTTGATGCTGCTGGACCAACGTTAAAGGTCGTTTCTACAATGTCTGCTGGATACGATCATTTAGATGTACCAGAAATAAAAAGGAGAGGTATTAAAGTTGGACATACTCCGATGGTTTTAACTGCTGCGGTGGCTGAAGTTGCTGTTATGTTACTTTTAAATGCTGCACGACGTGCTTATGAAAGCCGTAGTTTACTAAAAAAGTATTTAAAAAAAATATTATTAGTTGAATTCAGGAAATTCAAAGATTTTGCACTTGATAATTTAGATTGTTTAAAATAAAACTGTTTTATATTACAGTGGAAAAACAGAAAATCATCCTTTGTGGTTACTAGGTCAAGATATTCGAGAATCTACTGTAGGTATTGTTGGATTTGGAAGTATTGGACAAGCTGTTGCAAAAAGATTGATTCCATTTGAAGTAGGACGTTTTCTGTATACTGGTCATTCTCCTAAAAAAGCTGGAGATGAAATTGGAGCAAAATTTGTATCTTTAGATCAACTTTTAGAAGAGAGTGATTTTATTATTGTTGCTACTCCATTAACTAATGAAACTCGGGGACTTTTTGATGATGCTGCTTTTGATAAAATGAAAAAAAATGCTGTGTTTGTTAACGTGGGTCGTGGAGCTGTTGTTAAAACAGATGCATTGTTAAAAGCGCTTAAAGAACACAAAATATTTGCAGCAGGATTAGATGTAGTTGACCCAGAACCTTTGCCAACTGATCACGAATTATGGAGTCTTCCTAACTTTGAAATCGTACCTCATATCGGTAGTGCAACCATTAAAACCAGAAGTGATATGTCCAAAGTAGCTGCACAAAATATTATTAATGGTCTCGAAGGAAAACCATTGGTTTATCCTTTATAATCTGGAATTCATTTTATCACTGAAGAATAAAAAAATATTATTACAGTGAAATTAACATTTATTCAAATATTTAATAAAAAAATTACTTTTGTAGAAAATATACATCGTTCAGTTCATTATTTTAATAATAAATCATTTAGTGACTATATTATTTCCGATTTGATTGAGTTTCCTTTAGTAGAACTTGATAATTAGATGCAATTGATTAAATATATTAATACAACAACCAATTTATTAAATTTGTTTTATGAACCTAATAAAAAAGTACTATAAATCGTCGTATATTTTTAGTTAATGACATATTTAATATCGGAGAACTCTTTATAGAATTAATTGAATAAATTTGTAATTGAATTCATTCTATTCTCAAATATTTAGAATGACATTTATTTGGTCATCCTGCCAATCATTAATTATTTAAATTTTCATCACAATTGTGCTTTTGATAAAAAATTTCATCAATTATGGTTTATTAATTATCACCCATAATGAACAATAGGTAACCATCAGGCTTCCACCACTGCACTCTTTAAGCTAGTCAAAATTGGGTCAATTTTATCTTCGAGCAATAAAATATGACCTGTGTTTGAAGTTCTAGATGCTATAAAACTGACTACCAAAGGTAATTTGTTCATTTGTATGACCTATGAGAATAAAAGAATAGTTGTCATTCAAAAAAATATATATCAATTGGTTCATTTTAAAGATTATTCTGAGATTATTATTACCTGAAAACTACTATACATGCATATTATTGTTTTATTCTTTCCAAGACCCAGTTTACTACCCTGGTCCGTTGCCATTCCAAAGGTGGAAAGAAAACTAGCTTTTGTTGCTAATTCAGGTGCTTTATCACTTGATACTGATATGACTGGAACCCCATCTCTATCTGTTATTAATATGCTATGCAATCCTTCAACACTATTTAATAATTGATATAAAAATTTCTTCATTTCCTGAAAGTGACAAGTATATAACCTCACATTATGATATTGTGACGTCAATGAGAATTAATTAACTACATTGTTTACCACAGTCATTTTATTTATTGATATAAATTGTTGTTATTGTATATTCACTGTTAAAAATGTATAAAAACAAATTGTTATAATTCGTTAGCCTTAGGTGTATATAACATGAAGCTGTCAAAATTTGAAGAAAGAATACTTTCAGCTGAGTTATGTTGTGATTATAAATACGACAGCTCTTTGTTTAATGAATATAATTTTCAGATATATTTTGACTTATATATAGAGTTTTTTTTAATAATAAACAATTTTATTTGAGTAAGTAATGAAATTTATGCTTAATTAAAATAAAAAATTTAAAAAATAAGAATTCAAAAAAATTAAATTATTTTAAATACCACCATCTTTGGCGCCTTTTGATAATCGAACATTTCGATTATTCCGAGACACAAAATCGAGATATCGAGAATGCTTTCGATTTCGATGTAGTGTTTTGGAGTATTCACAGCTAGTTTCGCTACCAAAACAACATGAGTTTTGTTTAAAAAAAAATAAAATCAAATTTGTTAAATAATATTTATGACGAGGCTACAGTACATTAGACGACAAAAAAAAACTTCAAGGTAATTAATTTAATATTAATGAATATGAAATTCTTTCTCTCAATTATATTTGGATCAAACAATTTTTAGTGTCACCAATTTTTTAAGAATGGCATATTATTTCTTAGACTTTTGTAAATTTATAAGTAAATTAATCAAGAATAATATGAATGAATAAGGAAACATAGTGCATTAATTGTTGCTTATTAATTAAATATTAATTATACACCCCACATAATCATGGAGACTAACATCAGATACGAGTCATTCAATCAGTTGTCAGAATATGGACTTCCAACATCATTCAGATCATCTCGATATAAAAAAATGGAAAATAGAAACAGTAATGCGATTCATGTGGTAGTTGAAGAATTATTCAACAAACAAATTGAAATTTACAATAATAATTATGAATTGCCTTGTGTAAATACGTTATTTACTGAAGATGCTTGGCAAATTGACGAATTACAGAAAATAAAAGAAGGACTAAACAGCGTAAAAAATCAATTGAATGATATTAACATCATAAATTGGAGACTTCATACAAAGAAGAGAAATTTTGCTGAAGATATTAAGTGGCGATTACGTAAAGAAATTAACCCTGAATTTATAACTCAAGCTTGGTGTAAATTTTATGAGCTGGTTTCTTCCTTTCCATTGATACCAGAAGAGATAGGAAGTAATAAAAAAATAAAAACTATTCATTTGTGTGAAGCTCCAGGAGCTTTTATAGCTTCATTGAATCATTGGTTAAAACTTAATAAACCATCAATTGACTGGGATTGGACTGCGACAACTTTAAATCCTTATTATGAAGGAAACTCCTTATTTTGTATGTTAAATGATGATCGTTTCATTATGCATACATTGAATCATTGGTACTTTGGTATTGATAATACAGGAAATCTTATGAATGAAATGAATCTGCATGGTTTTATTGATCATGAGAAAAAAAATCTGAATGAAATTATGCTTATCACAGCAGATGGTAGCATAGATTGCATTGATGTTCCTGATAAACAAGAAATGTGTGTATTTCAATTACATTTTTGTGAAACAATTACAGCACTGAATTTGCTCAGTACAGATGGTAATTTCCTTATCAAAATATTTACAGTTTTTGAATATAAAACTATTTGTTTAATTTATTTATTATCATGTTGTTTTAATCGTATTATTTTTAAAAAACCTGCAACAAGTAAAGCTGGAAACTCTGAAGTTTATGTTATTTGTTTAAAGTTTAAAGGGTTCAAATATGTTGAACAACACTTAAAAGTGTTTCAAAGATATTTCGAAAACGACACAGACTTAGCTATGTTTAGGAAATGTGATATTCCACAATCATTTATTAACCAAATCATAAAAGTTGGAGAATATTTTAAATTTCATCAAAGTAAAGTTATATTGGAAAATATACGGACTTTTAACTGCGCTAATGATGAATTCTATCATGTTAAAAAAATACGACGAGCTGTTGCTGATTACTATTTTGCAGCTTACAAACTTGAAAAATTGCCAATTGATAGTATGAAAGTCGTCAACAGTGATAAATTAAATGAACCTTATTATCAAAGCTTATGCAATAAATCCAGCCGTAATTCTTATAACGAAAGACGGAAAAGAGATGAAATGCAACCAGTGGAACGATTGATAAATATCATTGCTGAGTTTAATTCATCTCCAATGACAGATTATGTTTATTATTTACAAGTGAGTGTCATTCATTTACGTTTATGGATTGTTATGAACAGAATATATAATTACTCCTTTATCATTACAGTATCCGAACGCCTTTGAAGATCTTCAGTTTATTGTCGGTGCTCCATACAAAGAAATACAAAGCTCTAAATTCAGTGAATTACATTTGCTTAAAACTTATAGTGCAATAACGAAACTTAAGAATGAAATTGGTTTAAAGTTGCAATATCCAGCTGAAGAAGCAATCACTAATTTTAAATTAGAAAATAAAGATGCCAAAATTTTATCTTTCTATTATGAATACGTAATCGATAACACAAATCTGACAACACAAATATACGAAATGATTAGGACATTCAATGGCAAAGAGACTTTGATTCTTATTGGATTGTCACTATTTTCTCAGCTTAATGTTGGACTTGTCTATACCTTAGCTCATGCTTTTGAATATGTCAAAGTAGAAATGACTGAAGAGTTAGGACGTACTATAACATTTTCTGGTTATATTGTCGAAAAAAATATCATCAAATATTTGAAAAATATTGCAGAAGTATCAGTTGATGCAGAGCATCAAAATAATATGGTATTATCAATTGTGCCAATTACCAAATTATACGGTAAGATTGTAAAGTTCGTCTACTTGATTAATTAGTAACATAGACTAATAACTGTTATATTATATTTTTAGAAGACACAATGTATCGCATTATTGTGGAGACGAATCACTTAACTATAAAACATTTTGCCCAATATATTGGCAAAATGATTAATAACTCATAAAAAAATTAATATTAAACAATAAAATTATATTTATGATTGGTAGTTTTAGTCGTGATAGGATTTTAGAGTGAGTATTTCAAAAGAAAGTTTGCTTTAATATTAAGTCTAAAGATCTCGATATAAGTTAAGGCTTGTTGAATAAAACATTGACCTGATTCTCCTTGAAAGTTAGAAAACATTTTCAATTTCGATACTTAGAATTCACTGCTTGTATCTTTTTACTGTTGAAATTGTTTCAATTCAATCATATTTTAATTTAATTTTATTTTTCTTTACAGATAAAATTTTATTATGAAGATTCCAAAAATATTAAAAAGTATACGATATTTTTCTGATCGAGTGATTATCCCACGTGTGTGTATTGTTGGTGCTGGACCAGCAGGCTTTTATGCTGCTCAACAATTAATCAAGGTAGAAAAATATTTTTAATTTTTCTTAAAGATAAAAAATAGTAGTTTATATTTATATTAATTATTTATTACAGCTATCCAATGATGTACAAGTTGATATAGTAGAGCGTTTACCTGTACCTTTTGGATTGGTTCGTTTTGGAGTAGCTCCAGACCATCCTGAAGTGAAAAATGTAATAAATACTTTCCATAAGACTGCAAAAAATCCTCGAGTTAAGTTTTTAGGTAACATCAATGTTGGAAAAGATGTGACAATTAATCAATTAAAAGAAAATTATCATGCTGTTCTATTGGTAATTAGTAAATAATTTCTAAATGAATGATACTGTGTTCAAAATATTTTATAAAATATATATGTTGGATTTTTCCAGACTTATGGTGCTGAGCAAGACAGAAGACTTGGAATTCCAGGGGAAACATTAAAAAATGTTATTTCTGGACGTTCTTTTGTTGGCTGGTATAATGGATTACCTGCAGATAAAGACCTTAGAATCAATTTAGATGTAGAAGAAGCTGTGATTATAGGCCAAGGAAATGTAGCCATTGACATTGCACGAATTTTGTTAACTACAGTTGATGAACTTAAGGTATTTCAACTAATTATATTCGTTGTGTATTGTTCTATAAAATGTAAACAAAGTTTAAGCATAGTATTTTTGATTGTAGAAAACGGATATAACATCGCATGCTTTGGAGCAATTATCGCAAAGTAAGATACGAAAGGTATGGTTGGTTGGAAGAAGAGGACCATTACAAGCAGCATTTACAATCGCTGAATTACGTGAGATGACTAAACTAAAAAATTGTCGAATCGCATGGCGTCCTGAAGATTTTTCAAACATTAGAGACATAATTCCCAACCTCCCACGTCCTAGAAAAAGACTGACAGAATTAATGATTAACAATATGGAGCAATCAAAACTTAACATAGAAAATGATGAAAAGATTTTTTCACCAATATTTTTCAGAGGACCTTGTGAAATTGTTGGTGATACATGCGTTGAAAAAATAAAACTTTCTATTAATGAAATGATCGGAGATAACTATCTTACTCAAGTTGCAAAACCTACTAATTCTATCGAAGAACTTTCTTGTGGAGTAGTGTTTCGTAGTATTGGATATAAATCAACACAAATCGACGAAACCATTTCTTTTGATGAAAAAGCTGGCCGCATTAAAAATAATCAAGGCAAAGTTGAGGAAAAAGTATATGCTGCTGGTTGGGTTGCCACTGGTCCAACAGGTGTTATTTTATCAACAATGACAAATGCATTTCAAGTTGCATCATTAATTTTTAAAGAACTTGATAAGTCTGTGCAAAAAGATGGAACAAATGGCCTTGTAAATATTTTAAAAAGTAAAAATATTCCAATTGTATCATATGAAGATTGGGAAAAGATAGATAAGGTTGAACAAGAACGGGGTAAATTATTAGGAAAACCAAGAGAGAAAATTGTTGATATATCTGAAATGTTAAAAATAATATCTAATTAATTTAACGGTAAAATGTAAAGAATTATTGTTATAAATTTATTTATATGTAAATTTAGATTATTGTTGCAATAAACGAGCACAAAATAATATTTAATAAACTGAATTTTTGTTGTAACATAATTACGCGCCTTTGTTGGATACCACACACATGGTTCTAATTCGTTTCAGGTGTACCAACTTATATCGAGTTTATTCTCTTTCTCTATAAATATATCACCATGGCAGAAGTAGTGAATGAAAAATTATCAAAAAAGTGAGTAAAGTTAATAAGAAGTTATTATTTTTTCTACAAAAATCAATTATTGAATTATTTATTAACAATAAAATGTTATTGATATGTAAAAAACATTAAAACTGTTGATGATGTAATTTTTTTTTAATACTACTGACCACGTTGTTTTCAAACAACTCTATTTAAATGAGTTTTTACATCATTTTTGTTAATTGATTTATGTATTTAAGATTCTTCAACATTAAAAATATTAAAAATATAAATATAGTGCAGATTAATCAATCAATAAAAGTTTTAATTGAATATAAAACATGCGTTGGTTAATAACCAAACATCTGGCACGTTTGTACCCGGCACTACTGAATTCGTATAATATTTCTACGAACTCAGACGTGCGTCATATTTCAATTAATGGAACATTATTTAAGTGCGTATAGATTAAATTTATAATATTAATAAATATATTTCATATATATGTCTTTGTTTTTAATTTATAGTGAGCTCAAAAGACGTTTAAAAGCTGAACAAAAACAAAAAGAAAAAGAAGCTAAAGCTGCTACAGTGAATTCAGCACCAGAAAAACCCAAAGAAAACAAGACTACTTTGAACCAAGAAGAGATCAGTCCAAATGTAATTTTTGCTATTATTATTTAGTACATTAAATAATGTTTAACAATAGTAATGTTCATTATTTTTTGCAGGAATATTTCAAACTTCGCAGCAAAGAAATTGCTGAGCTTAAAAGCTCCAATGACAACCCATATCCTCACAAATTTCATGTGTCGATGTCATTGGAAAGCTTTATCGAAAAATTCGCCAATCGAGTGAAAGAATCTGAAATTTTACATGATGAAGTTCATAGTATTGCTGGACGAATATATGCAATACGAAAAGCTGGTGCTAAATTAGTTTTTTATGATCTTAGAGGTGAAGGCCTAAAAGTGCAAATAATGGCAAATGCTAAACATTATGAAAACGATGAAGCATTTGAGAAAGATGTAGAGAAAATTGGCCGAGGTGACATAGTCGGAGTTGTTGGTGTTCCTACTAAAACAAAATTAGGAGAGTTTTCAATCTTACCAAAGAAAATGACTCTCCTCAGTCCATGTCTACACATGTTACCGCATTTACATTATGGATTGAAAGATAAAGTAATTATTTTTTATTCATTATCACTAGATTATTAATATTATTTAATAATTTTATAACTTTGAATTATAGGAAACAAGATTTCGTCAACGTTATCTTGATTTAATTATAAACGAGAAAGTACGCGAAAAATTTTACATAAGAGCAAAAATTATTGCGTACATACGCAAATTTTTTGATGAATTGGGCTTCCTTGAAATTGAAACTCCTATGATGAATATGATTGCTGGAGGAGCTACTGCTAAACCTTTCATGACTCATCACAATGAGCTGAACATGGATCTTTATATGCGAATTGCACCAGAGTTATATCATAAGGTAATAAAGATTATTGAAGCAATATAAATTCTTACCAAATATGTCATAAAAATAAATTGATTATATTTAGATTGTTTTACTTCATTTTTTATTTTTTTTAGATGTTGATTGTTGGAGGTATAGACAGAGTATATGAAATAGGCAGGCAATTTCGTAATGAAGGAATCGATATGACGCATAACCCAGAGTTTACCACGTGTGAATTTTATATGGCTTATGCTGATTACAATGATTTAATATCCATAACTGAATGTATGTTATCAGGAATGGTAAAAAGTATTCACGGAACGTATAAAGTGATATATCATCCTAATGGTCCGGAAGGAGAAGCAGTTGAGATTGATTTCACACCGCCATTCAAAAAAGTATCAATGATAAAAACATTGGAAGAAAAGTTGAATGTAAAATTCCCTGATGCTGATAAACTCAACACTCCGGAAGCTAATAAATTTTTAGATGAATTATGTGTTAAACATGAGATTGAATGTCCACAACCTAGAACAACTGCACGTCTTTTAGATAAATTAGTTGGAGAATTTATTGAAGAATATTGTATCAATCCAACATTTATATTAGATCATCCTCAAATTATGTCTCCACTTGCCAAATGGCATCGTTCTGAAAAAGGACTCACTGAAAGGTTTGAATTATTTGTGATGAAAAAAGAGATTTGCAATGCATATACTGAGTTAAATGATCCAGTAGTGCAACGTGAAAGATTTGAACAACAAGCAAAAGATAAAGCTGCTGGTGATGATGAAGCGCAATTGATTGATGAAAACTTCTGTACGGCTTTAGAGTATGGTTTACCACCAACGGCAGGATGGGGTATGGGAATTGATCGACTTACAATGTTTTTAACTGACTCAAATAACATAAAGGTATGGAAAAATGTTCTTAAGAAGCATGTTACTATAAATAAATTGTAAACTGATTTAAATATTTATTTATACTTGTAGGAAGTCCTATTTTTCCCAGCAATGAAACCTGATGATCCAAGAAATAAAGAAGCAGATGCAGAAAAAAAGTCAGATGTTCAATCAGAAAAATAAAAAAGGATGAATTTTTATAACATCTTTCTGAATAAATTAAATGTCAAAACGAAAATTTTGAAGTTGTATATTTATCGATTTATTTATTATACGCACATTGATAGCTATAGAATATATTCAAAAAATTTAATTCTTTCCAAAGTAGTTTAAATTTAAATACACAAATATCATTCATAAAGTTTCGTTGAATTAAAATTGATCAACAAATCTAGACTATCAAAATATTTTCGGAATCACTCGAATATTTTTGTGGCAGTTTGTATATTGTCAAAGTTAACGTAAAAATGATTATAAAGAAATGATTGTGATTTAGAAAATAAATGTGATGCTAAATTTGTTGATATGTTCAGTTGAGATCAATTTAAACTGTGATATCACTTGTAAATAAATAATCATAACGTACAGAGATTTTTCACTGTTTCGTTTGTGATTTTGGCAGTAGTGCGTTTGACAGTGAACAAAAGGTAATTCATGTTACCATCAATAATAATTAGCACAATATTACTATACAAATTATCAACTATCTTCTTCCTTGACAAATTTTGTTACAGAGTTATAGTGAGCTCCTAATTCATACATATGTCGGTGGTATGTTAAAATGACTTTTTTGTGATCAGTATATTCAGGTCCTATGATATAAGGTGTTCCTGTAGCTTGAATAACTTCAATCGGACACCGAAGAACGCGTGAAAGAACTTCAAGTTCTACAGCGCCACCCCAAGCACTTGTTGAAGCAACGTCATCACAATATTTTTCATATTGTTCAGGAGAAAAAATTTCTTCTGAATCTGAGTTAGATAAAAATGGCAGGAAATCATTCATATTTTCTCGCAAATACATAGCAGTTTTTTCTCTGAGATCTTGTAGACTAAGGGGAATTTCACCATTAGTTTTCAACTGATGAGCAATAGCATTGTAAAGACAGTGTCCATCGCTAGGAATTTCATAAATCATCAAATCACGTCCTTCAAGGATCTTTTTAATTGTTTGAGTTTCTACATTACGTTTTCCGAAAACATTCAATGCTTCCTGTTCGATTATTTGTCGATTTCTTTCTTTCTCAGCATTAGCTTTTTTATCTCGTCGTTTTTGTGCTTTAGATACTCTTTGTGCAGAAATAGTCTTGCTTGATTCATCGTTGTCATCATTCTCTGGCAGTATGACAGTCTCAGTAGGCAAACCGGTAACTGTTAGCTGTGATAATTTAAAATTCGTTAATTCTTCTTCTTGTTGTTGATCAAGTTCTGATTCTAAACGTGATATTTCTTCAGAAATTTCTTTCTTTTTCTTTTTATCTCCTTTGCATATAGACTTTTTCAGAACCTGAATGCGACCTGAAAGTGACAAAAGTTGATTAAATATAATTGAAATATTAAATAGATTTAATAAATAATTAACATTACAAAAAAGATTAGTCATTCAACAATTGCTCAACACTTTGTTAATTTTCATCATAAAATTTTTGATGCTCCAAAAACTTTTCTGTTTCAACTTTTTGTTATCATCAATATTGTTATTAATTAAAATATGATCAAAAACTCATCACATAGAATAGAATCAAATGAGAATTATTTAAATATCAATGAAAAAAATGAAATTCTAGTCATCAATAACAAAAGTAACCAATTAAATGAACATGAGGTAGACAAATTTTAATGATGACATTTACCTTGCAATTCTTTACGTTCTTTTTTGTGTTTTTGTAGTAAGAATTCTTCAGTATTCTCATCATCTTCAGCCATGTTATCAAACACTTAAATAATAATTGACAATTTCGGAGTTTATTTTCTTCTTAAAAATAAAGAAGATGTAATCGCATAGATACAGCACTGGACCATTCAATATTTTTTTATTAAAAAAAGCATGCCTCAAGAAATTGAATAGTGTAGAGAACAAACTTATTCTCATTCGACACTCAATCTGCAACAGATACTACATTATCGACGCATCATAAATAAACAAGTAGTGACATCTCGTTGTTTTTCATGAAGTTCTCTGCTCAAAATTTACTTAATTATCGACAGCCAATTTGAATTTCTGTGGTGGTGATTTGAGCACCAAATTTCAAAGTTCTTGAATCAGATAACTCAAGTTTTTTACTCTTAGATGCACAGTTAAGCTGTATTTCCGTCCTGTTTGCATATAAGACACCGAAAAAACCAATTTCCTCTAAATATATTCTTTCATATTTACACTGAAGTCATCTTGTAGTGTATCAAGTTTAATATGGATACAATTTTATTGAAGAATCTACCTAAATTCTTTTTATTGTTTTTTTTTTTAAACTTAAGACAGAAAGTTCTCTTATGCATGCTTATTTATTTACTACATTGCGACTACAATATAAATATGTAACCATTTAAAGTCAATTTCATTCTCTGAAAATGCACTGGTGAATACTCATTGTTTACAGTGGCTTTTAATGTTTGTCATTGATTGATTCTCAAAAAGTACTCTATGCTAATTGTACTTGTAATAGTTGTTGATTATCAAGAAAATCAAGTGTTCTAAAACTTAGAGACTATACAAAAGAACATATCGATTTTCTAAGCACAATAAAATTTACATATTGCGATAATTTATAATTTTAAATAGAAACAACCCAAGTGAGTTCCAATAGACTCCATTTATTGTAGCACTTAAATCCTAGTCGTTGACAAACTCCAAGACTTCATCGAGATTTAAAATAATTTTTATATCTATTTTCGAAACTTTATCTCATATTTCTTTTCATTATTCAGTATTTTCTTGGTCGATATAATGAATAAAAAGTTTTTTAAAAACACGATCTATCTAAAATGTATAGATTAAAAACATTGTCAACTCATTGGAATGAAAGCTTTATCAATAAACAATCATTTTTCAAACATGTCAGACTTAGAATTGTCCTGATCGAAACTTGATATCAACTAGCAAAAATCTCCTTGTAAATTTACGAGCGAAAAATATAAAATATCAGAAACCATCAAAAATAAAATGTTTCCAAACTTTTCTTTGCTTTAAAAGCCTCCAAAATATTCATGTCAAACGCTTTAGTGTTCATAATCTCAGGATAATCCTTAGAATATATTCTGTGTGTGTGAACATGAATAATCGATTTTTTACTCCTTTCAGTAAGAAAAAAAAAATTGCACTAAGCTATGGGAATTTATAAAAAACTTTCTTGTTATTGTGTCAAAATTTATTAAAATAAAAGATTAGGGGTAAAAAAAAAATAATATATCGAGGGTGTAATTTTTTCTCATGCGACTCAGTTTGCGTGTTGGTAACAGGAATGATGGCTAAAGCTTCGTGGAAGTCGTTCCAATATAAATATCGATTCACAAAATGAAATATATGTCAGTGATAATGTCACCGTTTATTACAGCGTTTTTATTGTCCATACTAGCATTTAAATAAATGAAAATGTTTTCTTTTTACCTAACATAATTCTTGTACATTGGCATTATCATATTCATCTATATAATGAAATATTATCAAACTCATAAACCTTTAAAATAATTTTATCAAAAGTAACAATGTGTTTTAACATTTTCTAACCATTTCATTGATAATCTCATTACTTTATTCGGCTACAAACAACTGAATTAGTTTGAAAGGAGAAATGTTTTGTTTATATCACACTGATTTTAATTATTATAAAAAACAAAAATTTTATTAAAATATCATAAACCTCAGATCTCTTTCAGTTTAATCAGTGGAAATCAATTAAGTCTACTACCAGTTGCATCAATTGATTATTGATAATTGATTTGGTGCTGGATATCAGTGAAAAGCCACTGATTTTGTATAAAAGTAAAGAGTGCTGGAATTAAATCTTTTCTCGTCGAGCTTTAATGAAGTTAATATGAGAATATATGACAGTTGAGCTGCTTTGAAGCAGAGTCAATTAAAATTTAAAATCATAATCACTCTGTAATTCCAACTTCTACTCTTTTCACTCTTCTGTTTTCATATAGAATTGGATTATGCATAATTTCATCAAAAATCGATTTATCACCACCATAGAATTACTATCATTTAATCATTTGAACAAGTAATCTCCTTCTTTACTATATAAATATTCCAGAAAAATAATTGATTGTAAATTTATATAAATTATTATTTAAATTAAATAATAAAATATTTTGAAATAATTAAAAAATAATTTCATCTTTTATGCAAAGTAAGAGATCCATGACTACGGGTCAGTACCCCATCTGTTGAAAATTCAGATTTATGATATTTATTCTAATGAATAAATAAGTAAACTATTAGATTTATTATTCAATTATTTTATTAATAAAAGAAGGCTCGAAAAACATATCTGCACAGGCTGAGAGACTCTCATAGACTAACGAGAATAGTACTTAGTCTATATAATATTTATATATAATCAGTCCTAATAATTATCTTAAAAATAATATAAACATCGATGTGTAATATAAACTTAGCCTACGACGTAGTTCCATCATCACTGGAACACACGCTTATAATATAGATATAACCGTGAGAATAAGAATGTTTATTAAGATATTATAAACTAAAGAATAATAATTGAATTTTGTTCATATTCCAACACCATCACTCGTGCATTTTGTATACCTAATAGGGAAACAGGGGTAAAATGGGATACTCCAAAAAGTAATAAAATACTCCAGAAAGCAAAAGAGTACCTCATGTAAAAAATTTTTTTTGTAAATTCTCTGTTTTTTAATGTAATTTTTTTTGGTAGTCAAGAGCTTTGTATGAACCTTTATTACAAGCATTAAAGTAATCATAATTTTTTAGTATAGTGTCTTTTTATAGCTCGATCTCTTCTGTACATATATAAAACTTCCGGTTGGTACAAAATGCATGGAGTGATCGAATAATGGATCTCTTACCTTAATGATAAAAATATTGTTTACAATAATGTTGATTATTTTATTATTTAAAAAAATACCTTGAGGAAGGGTGGGTAAAGTAGGACGTGAGAGCAAAGTGCAACGCTCGGGAAAATGTATTAATTCATTATAATACCTTTAAAAACACTTGTTACGATTTCTATTTATCAATTTTTCAATTCCTCAATGCATTGATAATTATTGACATTTGTTGATATATCCATTAATTCGGTGATTTACGTTTCATCTTCGTGTTCCACTTTACCCCTCTTCCTTCCATTCCAAAATTAAAGTTTTCATAATTCTCTAACATCTTTCACTATAAAAAAATTTCAATCAGTTATTCTCATCAGAAAATACTACCAAAAAAAAAAAAGCATCGAAGTAAATATTCCATATAATAAGTACCTATTTTTATACTTTATCATCCAATATGTCCTCATAACCATTGAGCCGATACTGTAAATATCCGTCTAATCCATTGATCTTATACTTCACAATGCACCTTATTGTTGTGCAAAAAAATCAATTCTTGTAGTAAGTAGGACGATTGATTTACCCTGTGTGTAGAGTTTGATGTCCCAGAGTATCTATATAACGAAGAAAAAAAAAAGAATTAGAAAAAAATCTATCGATAAGCATAAGTAAGGTTCAATACGATATGGTGTTACCGAAATACCACGAAAAGATACGAAATTAACCGAGGAGCAAAGGATGCCGGAAGTTGGCATGTTTTAAAGAGAGTACTACCCTACCACTATCCACAACAACACATATATTCACTTGCCAGAATATGAGAGGGTGAGACATATTCACGACTGCGCATCAACCTCTGTAATTCTGGCCAGTCCAATGCTTGGCATTATGAGCGTGGAGGTCCACGAAGCAACATCCCGCTCATATAGATCATTAGGACGATACCACTGTTCGAAGTCTATTTTTTTACTCAACCATCATCATAACAACGTGCTAAACAATCTTTTCTATCAGATAGTTGATCCCGAGATCAAATAAATCAACATCACTGTGATAAAATCTGTTGACAAAGGATTATTTTTCAAAACAATGTTTATTTGGCAGAGATGGCCAATTTAGTGTATTCCGGGTGTTGTATTTATTGAGAGAGGATTCTTATATTGAAAGTGATCATTTTTGAAAGAAATATTTCAATGACTAATGTTATTGTTAATTGCGACAAAGAAGAAGAAGATTTTTTTTTAAATGCAATTTCTTGGATAAATTGAGTTTCATCGATCCGTTCAACTGAAGAAGCAGCGCCGGTCAATCCTTACGCCCTGGTGTAGGAGGAGTCTCTGGTGGATGCTGTGCTGCATGGATGTCGTCGATTATCGCATGGGGTCAATGTGCTTCCTTTTTATCAATCTTTATTTTTGCTGTTAATATGCACCAGAAAGAGATAACGGGATCTTCATCATTTTTTCATCATTATGAAAACCTAATTTCTTCATGAGGTGTTAAATAAACAGGTTAGTTAATTGTTTTCTAATACATAAATTATTTTGTTAATTTTTATAACCTTTTTAGAAGCAACAAAAATGATATTGTCAAGTGAATTAAATATTTTACTGAATTGGAATTATTTTATTTGTTTATTTTCTTTAATGAAAAGGATGAAAGTACTTGAATTTACGATCGTGGGTGCAGAAACGAAAGACAGGTTTCGCGAAGAATAAGAAGAAACAAGGGAAAAGAGAGTAAAAGGAAATAGCGGCAAGGGGATCAAAGGGGGTTAGGGGCAACGGGTGGAAGAACGGACTACGAACAACACCTGCTCTTTGGGTATGCGCGTGCGATCCTTTCCACTATATGACGATATACTAGTATAATACCTTTTCTTCGGCCTCAACGAATCTCCGTTTCACTGAGGTTTATTCGCGTTTTTATGCATGGTCATAAAGGCCAGAATTTTATTGGCAATTGAAACAGGATTTTGTGACGTTGAGAATTGTTTTGTAAAATTCTATTAAATGGTTTTGTAACTATCAGATGATAAATTACATTTTATAGAAACTTTCACTATTGATAAAAAAAAAAATAATTGTTTTTATTACTTTAACGCTAATTTAAAATTACTTCATTTTAAAAACGAAATCTAATTGTCAATAACTGACAGTAATGTTTATTTACAGTCATAATAAAAATGGTTATGATAAAGATTACGATTATTTTAACAACTTCAAAAAAAAATAAAAATAATTAATAAATTTGAGAATTAAAAGTAAAAAAAGTTTATTAAAAAAAATATTTATAATTTTTTAATATTCATTTATAGATTTATTTTGAAAAACATCAAAAGATTATCTTAATTCTTTTAAATCTGTTTAACATTTAAAAAATAGTTGTCAATTTTATTTTTTACTTTCTCTTGACTTGTTATTTTTGTGATCAATTGCCTTGATTTTACTCAAATGATGCAACTACTCATTTTAAATAAATCTAATATTATATGATATATAAATATATCCGTAAAGTATAAAAAAAAATGTGAACCGGAAATAAAAAAATACAAAGTCGGATGTTAATTAATCATAAATAACTTTCTCGACTAGAAAAAAAATTTTTTTTTTTCAAAACAAACATTTCATTTTTGAAAAACTCCAACTACTTTTAAACCGTAAAACTTAAAAAAAGCGAAGTCTTGAAGAAGAGAATAAATAAATCCGTGAGGGTCTGAGCGCACCTGCTAAGTGGTCGAACAAGTATAATATGTTGAAACAATCCATTTACTCTAATATAACATAATAAATTTATCTGGTAATTGTTGAAGTTTCAAATTTTATATTAAAAATCAGCTTTAACAATAATCTTTATTATAACTTCAATTTCTTGTCTACGACCTCTACAAAAAGAATAAAGGTTCTCCTTGTCACAATTGTCAACTTCAGTTTCATTCTCTTTGTTCATCTCTGTTCTTCTACCAACAGTTTGTTCTAGTATATTTAATTATACTTATAAACACGAGGGCTGGCGTGCTACAGTGATGTTACGGCTCGATTTTAACGAGAACTGGCAAAACCAAGCTTTCCCTCATCATGAACGAGGGACGATTCTAAAATTAGAGGTTCCAACTTATAACCCCGGTTACTCGGTTGTTTTATCGACGCTTCTAACTTGTATTTTCTTATAGCTTCAAGTATACTATTTTTTATTTCACTGACTTACTTTTCATAACCACTGAGAAATTGAAAGCATACACATACTTGATACATGTCAATACACATTCTAAAACAATATTTATATAAAAGTAAAGAAATTATTTATTTAACAAGATTTCCATTAATACTTTAATATCAAAATAATAATAATAATAATTACTATTATTTATTAATTAATATTATTTATTTATTTATTATTAGTAGATCAAAATTAAGCACTGGATTGTCTTTGATTCAATATTTAATTAATTTATTACTTTTTTTTAATTATAAAAATGTTTTAATAAAAATTTTCTAGTTTTAAAATTAAAAAATATTTCCAGAAATATTGTTCAATAAAAAAAAGTAGTTTTTTGTATGAAAAAAAAATTACACTAAAAAAAAAAAAAGTCTTTATTTTAATAAACGAGTGTGTGACTGCAATTGAATGAATATTTGAATGAGTTCAAGCATCCATTGACATAGAATGTACTTGATGTGATAGGTATTTTTACCAGTACGTTCATCAAAGCAAAAATTCGACAGCTACTGATCAGTTTAATTGACTCGAAAAATTTATATAATTGAAATGTCTAATACTCAGCCTACTATATTATCAACTTAATAATTCATGACAGTTATTGATTCATTCTTAATGAATATTTCGATTGAATTATAAAATCAATAATTAATAACTTTATAATCATTTTATTTTATCTAATTTATATGGCCAATTCGTGGCTAATTAAATTGATCAAATACCTTTAAACAAGGTTTTGATAAAACAAGTTGTGAATTATTTTACTATACATGTATATAAATAGTTGTAATTAAAATAATTGTTGATTTTAAATGCATGTGATATTGATACAGTAGGATAAAACATATTGTGATTGGCTTCTTTAGATAATGACTTAAATTATTAAATTATTTATAATTATTAATATAATGGAGTATTAATAGTACTATTATTAATAAATTATAAATAATATAAATAAATCTAAATAATCATAAATTAAATACTATTATTTATAATTAAAGTATAAAAAATATAAAATATTATTATGATAATTATTTTGCCTGTTTGAATTACTTCTATCAATAAGTTTTTATTAAAAAATTAAAAAAAAAGTATTGAACACAATTATATTTATTTATAAAAAATGATGAGTATTAAGCTAAATTACAGTGATTTCTTACTCATAAAATTTATTACATATTACATTTTAAAAATAACAATAAAAAATAGTTTCAATAACTCAGTAAATTAATAAATATACGTTGAATTTTTATAATGAAATAAAAAAAAATATTTCCAACATTTATTGGAAAAAAAAACGTGGCTAATAACTGTATGTTTTACCTTGATAATTATCATCGATCTTTCATAAAGTTTTGTTTACGTAGCAATAAGCTGTGCACTTACAGCAAAATTCAGCAAATATATAAAGCCGTTACAGAATTAATGAGCAAAGTTGGGAATTTTATCAAAACCTTAAATTACTTAGCTGTTTCCACAATAAATATTTTCTATCTTGATATCTGATACGTTTTCATAAAGTGGCCGTGGTTACCATCTTGTTCCCTCAGTCAATGGGAATTCGATCACCCTGAAGCTATTGAATAACGATCAATCAACCATAATGTACGTTAACTTCTATTATCGATAATTAAGATTTTAAAATTATTATAAAACATTAACCATATAATAACATTGAAATTAATTTTCATTTATTTTATTTATTACTTACACAATTTATCCATTCTCTTTGTTGTGCTCATTCTTTCACTTGTCTTCATTTATTTGTACCTCAGTGTGATTCAGTTTATCCAAGTTGATGTATGAAAACAAACATACCATTTCTATCCCTTTTAACTATACTCGGTCAGTAGCTTTGTGCAATCTATATATATGAAAGAAGCATACATGTATGTTCATACAAAGTATTATTACACGTGAGTAATCGAATAGAAGTGTCGTAGCCTTCGTATGTGTACTGTCTCTCGGCTGGAACTCACATTGAGTATCGATTGACTTTCAGCATAGACACAGTATGGACCAAAAAAGATAACTCGTCTGATGCATTGTTTTCATAAAAAGTATTGAAAAACTTTTTTCCATGTCAATCAAAATTTTTAAATATTTTTTTCAACTTGATTTTATTTTTTTAGTAAATATTCAAAGTGGAAAAATATTGAAAGGATCTAAATGTTCAACATTCAAAATTAATTGCAATAAAAAGATGATATTTGTTGAGAAAAGTTCAATATCATGGATTGAGAAAAATCGAAGCAGTTGGATTTACTATAATGTTTTTATTTCTCAGTTAAGATCCTAGAGATTAGTTCGTTCATGGTAAATCAATAATTTACTGAAATACAGTCTTTACCTAAAGATAATAAATCAGCAGAAAATGATGATCATTATATTTCACCATAATTTTGTATCATAAGCTGCTAATGATTATTTTCAGACATACTAATGACAAAAAAGATAAAATGAATGAAAAAAAAGGGACAAAATGATTCGAACGTGAGGTTCAGATGAATAGAAACTAGAAGGGAAGAGAGGGAATCCAAACTGATTATGCATTCCCCTAATCTCAAGAAAATCGATCGCAAGCTCATGAAGAAGAAATGGAACATACAATCGTACACGACTTGGCAATCTCCAATTGAGAATCACTAAATTTATGTGTAAGTGCGTGTGTGAGGTGGTATCACTGGAGATATGTGCGGGGGTGCAAGAATCCCCTTGTGCATGACATGGCGTCTTAGTCATGGTGATTCATCCGCCTTAGGGCAAATGTGCGTACACACTGGAATTCCTTGCCAACATGGCTTATGATGTTGAATTAAAAACATTGTTAGAATAAAAATCAAACACGTCAAAGTTAATTAATCATTTCCTCACAGAAAGATTTTGTTGTCACCATAAAATATTGAAGGATTATTCCAATAATATTTTAGCAAAAAAACAAGAAAGAGGAACAAAAGAGGTGATAAAAAGGCATGCAGTAACAATATTGAGTGCATGTTTATGAACACAAAGCGGCGATTATGATGAAAATAAAGAAGGGGGTTTTAAAAAAAGAGTCAAGTGGAAAAATAAAAGAGAATAGACGTGTTGAAGGGAACTTGAAGCTAGAGTATAGAAAGGGAGTGTCTGCTCTCTCAAGTATGATAAGAATACTAGAATAACGTGTGACACTTATTGTCACTTTCTTGAGGCATAGTTAACGTACATAACGCTTGAGTAGGGGATTAATGCTTCTGGAAGTTTATTTATTGATGGGTAATCTTATTAGATAGAATAATTAATGATATCAAGTGGATCCCTAGATAAAATTACAGACTGTTTTGTTCATTTATTTTCTCATATAAATCTTTTTGGTACTAAAGATTTTGATAATTTATAGAAATTATAAATATTATTTTTCCAGTAGAAACAATAAAATGTCGTGAAGGGAAATAAAATGTACTAGAATCTTTTTGTTTAGACTTAAAGGAATTAATTTTTAAATTATTTTTATTAATTATGTTATAAATTTAACAAATTTTGGTGCTTTAGTGGATGTTCATTAATATTTTAAGAGTATCTCAGCACTTTATATAATTATTTTTAGGGATAGAATAAAAAAATATACTTTCGTAACTGCAAGAACTCATACAATTTATTTTCAGTCACGAGTTCCGTATTAAAAGCACACGATAATTCCCAGGACATAAACTAGGTTTAGGAAAGTCTAGGAATTAACATAAAGTTGAGATACTTCTCGAAATAATATTGATGCTTGATCGTTTTTAAATGACAATTTTTATTTAAATCATTTAAAAAATAGAAAAGTAATTAATGTTGTTGTAAATGCATACAACTATTTATTAATTAAGATAATAATATATAAATAAAATAATTATAGTAGTGAAGGTAAAATGTTGTATGACGTTAAGAAAGATTAAACTAGCTATCATAACTATTACTTGTAATTTCAGAATAGAATGCCTCTCTATCCTTGTTATTGACATCAAATTATAATAATGGCTGTCTAATGTTTAGTTGACCTAATCTATTGCAATTAATAATTATATCAAGATTATTTTCGTCTTACATAAATTACTCCAATCATATTTCAATTATAAATCATGCAGGAAATGTTCTTTTCTTGCTCATGAAACGATTAATTTTATGAAATTATTCGTTGAGATATTTATAGTTACCTCCTTTTCTATCTTCAATTAGATCAGAACAAAATATAAATAGAAATAAATGTTTCATTGATAATGTGTTTGATTGAAAATTCAATTGAAATAAACTGGTATGAATTTTGGGAATTTCAGGATATAAAATCATGTTGGAATGCCTTGGCCTCTATCTACAAACACTTTGGATTTTTGTCGATATTGATAAATCTTAATAGACAATAAATACCACCATGTCAATGACTGGAAGTTTGATGGGCTATGAAAACAACAATGAAATTAATAATCAAGTTAAGAACAAAAAAATATTAAAAACCATGCAGACCAATATGGTATCATCACCACCAGTGAGTTCAAGTAGTGCCAACAGCACTACGATGGTGAGCAATACCATTAATATATCAAAGACACAGAAAATTCCGTCTAATATTCAAAGTAACCGGAAACGAGATTCATGTAATCGGGGGCATGCTAATGGACTTTGGTCTGTTTGGTATGGTATTTTAGTAGTATCTCTACAAGCCTACATTGCTACTAGATGTGCTAAACGATTTGTTGGTATGTTTATATTTACTCAATATTATCAACGAATTTTTATAAAAGATATATTGATATTAATGTAACATTTTTTAGCGTATTTATCACTACCATGGCCAGCGGATTTTCAACCACCAAAATTTGAACTCCATGTTTGTATAGTTTTAACTGGCACTGGAGTTTTATTACTACCAATTTTACTAGCTGCTGCCTTTCTAAAGCTTGGTAACTTAGCTAATGATGGAATGAAGCTTGGTCGACATACTAGTACATGCACTAGAGATCACAGTGCTTCAATAATTGGCAGTGATTCAGATGATAATGGTATGATTATAACTAAATATTTATTTATTTATTATTTTTTAATTCAAAAATAAGTAATCTTTTGTACGAATTTTATTTTTATCAGGTTTAGCAGCAAGTTTATGGAAACATGGCGGTCCTACAGCGGCTTTTGTTCATCTTTGTACTGCAATGTGTTTTTTGTTACCTTCATTGCTCATGGAAGCGAGACTGATTTATGCGGGATTTTTACCAAAAGGTAATTAAAGACTTCCTTTATCAAGAATCCCCATACTCATTTTCATAACATTGAATTTTTATATCACATTTTAGATGCTATTTGGCGTACGGATCTTGATTGGATTGTTATCCATCAAGACAGACTGGTCTACCTTTCTTTTATGAATCCTGCAGGAGACTTGAATAATTTATCCACTTATGGATCAACAGTTGGCAATACTTTAAACTTAGATGATATCGCAAGTCACTTGGAAAATAATCAATGGAGTTCAACATTATCGAACAACAGTTCTGAAAGTGCTTTGACTTATTCTTCAGGTTCACCTATCAATAAAAATGAATTGAATCGTAGTAATTATCGCTCCTCTCATCTCTTTAAAAAGCTCGAGCTTTTAGCAACATCTACTCCACCTTCCAATATGAAAAGTAATAAAAATTCAAGCAATAATAGAGAGAATATGACTGCACACCATTCGGCCCAAGAAGTAAATACTTTGATGGATTTAAATAATCTGCAAGACTTTAATTATGAAATCACTGATGGTTCGTTCATTTGAAATTTTAAAATAAATTAATGACTTATTGTTAACTTCAACTCCATTCTCATAAAGTTAAAATCGATTATTTCAGGCAATTTACATTTCTCTGAAAAGAAGTTTATCACTTTGGAATATCTTAATTATGCGATGGCTCTGGCTGTATACTCAGTACGATACCCAGCAGTATTTTGGTCTTGTAATAAAGTCATTGGAACTATTTTTAGCATACAATTGGTTATTAATTCCGCACAAAGTTTAATAAGCTATGCAGGAATGTCGGTTCTTTATAAGGTAAAAAAGTTTATAATTTCTTAGATTGAAAATTTGGAAAAAAATTAATAATTGACGATAAAGTTCTTTTTTAATATAATAATAATATTATTAGGTACAAGTTGTTGGACCGCATAAAGTTTTATCACCGATGCGACATCGTACATTTCAACCAGCGTCTAATTCAAGCCGAATACAAAGAATGGTCTCAAGCCTATTTGGAGATACGTCTCATCTTCTTCTAAATCCACATGTAACATTGGCACTTTTTGCTCTTTCTTCCCTTCTGGTTTTATGCTCGAGCATGGTTACGTATCTTTACGCATATGGAAGGTACATTAAAAAATATTTACTTTATTATTTCTATTTTTATGGTTTATTTATGTTACTTTGAATAAATATTTAATGAAATTTCAGATTTGCTACATTTTTGGAGCAAGAACATGAACGTCGAGTAATAATATCCAAAGAAGCTCATCGAAATGGTTCAGGATGGGCATATTTTACACATTGTGCAGCACTTTGTGTATTTTTAGCTTTAACAATAGTAAATGCACCACTTCTGTATGATTACACGGTAATTTACCGGAGTAGTCTTGATGGAATAATGTTAGCTTGTATTTTTGGTACTATTATTCATCTGTTACTTTGGATAGTATTTTGGTTTTTCTTATCTATAAAAAAAAATTGGATATTTAAAGTACGAGTAACAATTGCACGTGCTACCGTTCGATCAACACGATCAGTTAAATTGGTCACTGATGTCGACCTTTTAGCATGTAGAATCAAAAATCAAGCGGAAGAAGACGATGAAGATGATCCAGAGATTATTGATGGAAGTACTAATGCTCCTTTATTAATTGTTGGGGATGGAAAAACATATAGTATTGCTGAATCATCACCAAAAAAAGCGATTATGAGTGTTATTCAAAAAGCGATGCTGGAAAGAAAAGCCAAAAAGAGCCAAAGTGAGTAAATTAAAAAAAAAAATCTGTAAATTTTAATATTTGCTAAATCATCATTGGTTATTAATGATGAATAATTTTGAAACTTTTGAATAATTTTTTTCTATGTGAGCAGCTGTTACTAATCGAGCCAATGGTGAACCTAGTATTGACACAGAAGAACAAATATATTGGTTAAGACCGAAATTACGACCATCTCCTGCTCAATCACCGAGCGGAAATGGATCAACCACACTCGATAAAAGTTGGTTGAACAAAAAATTGAAACCCAAAGTGACATTCAACGATCTGCCTAGTACGTCTGGCTCTCGGTAACTACTCTCCTTTCTCTATTGGTGTCGTTTGTTACTGTTTGTGTGTTTTATACGTCTTGTGATGAATGAAAACCTGTTTTTATTCATTGTATTTTTAATTTCGCTATTTTTTATACCTACGCATGCACTTTCAGTTTCAACTTATTTTCACCTCACATGCTTTTTAGTTTTTAAAAAATTATTATATTAAACAATTAAATTAATAATCAAGTATTTATTAAATTTTTTAGCAATAAGGGAAAAAGACGAGGTGTTACCGAAGGTGGACCAGACGACGATGGTGATTATGCCACACTACGTGAGTTACCACTAATGACGAATATTGATGCCGCTGATGACTCTGCATCGGAAGAAAATAAGGTAAAGAATTAAAATATAAAGCAAAGGAAGCTTAAACTAACTTTTCTATCTGTATTAATGAATATATCCTAATTGTATAATTGCATGATGCTGTTTATAGTTACTAGAATGCGTTAATGATGACCAAGTAACCTATTACGCCAGTGGAAATCATGATCTCCAACCTTCTGAAGACGATCCATCACCATTACTAACACCAGAACCCTTACCTGATCCAAAAATTGCATCTGAATTAACGCCAAATTTACCAACAACTACCATTGCATCTCATCAAGCCGAATTTCCACCTCCAGTCACTGAATCCGTTGTTAATCATTCAGCTTTACCACCGCAGGTGACTAATATTAATACAATGTTAAGAAGTTTTACTTTTTATAAAACTTTTATTAATTTTTTTTTTTCTTTTTAAGACTAATGGTATTACTCCAAGATGCTTGCGTCAAATAGATCCAGGAATGTCTGATCAATTAACTCCTCGATCAGATTCATCTAACTCACCAGCTATAGAAACAATAAATGTTTATACAAATCATACAGTTACGAATTACTGTGATGGAGCGACTGATCGTAGTAATACAAGTAGCAATAGTGAAAGTTCCAGTGGTATTCATTCTAATATTAGTAATAACAGTCATAATAGCACCAATTCTCATAGAAGAGCAACTAGTGTTGATAATTTAAGTGTTAATTCAGCTGATCCAGGCGATGAAGACAAGTGGAAGAGTGGTTCACTTCAACGAGGAACTCAACCTCCGAATTTTAATAACAAATTCAGTACAATAGATCGAAAGTTTACTCAAGCAGGATGTCCAGCAGTTATTCTAGAAAGTGCAAATGAGGCAACGGTCGTTATTAGAAGAAGGCTTTCACGACCGAAAATTACAGAGCCTTTAAATCCAAATGATCCAGAGCCTTTTTCTCGGTCGACTAACATGAGAATGACATCTTTCACTGAGAATACTGATCTCCGAAATGGAATCCATGCTTCCTCAGCAACTCTACCACACTATCCAACACAACCAATTGTTCCAACTTATCCGCATTGTTCAACGATGCCTTTACCTCATGGGGGACATGTTAATGGTAGTGCTAATGTATCCGGTTACACTGGTATAAACGGAACTAGTTCCAGTGGAGGAAGTTGTGGATCTGTACCTTATTCAACTGCTGAACCTCATTCTGCACGGAATAATAATCTCACGATTATCCCTCCAGTTCACACAACCCTTCCTACCAATGTTGCCCATCATAATGGAAGGTTGGGACAGATCAATCAAACGTCCACTAATCTCTACGTTAAACGCTTCCCTAATCATATTCTGCCGAGTCAAAATCCGTGGCCTCTACCAGGACATCATACATTTCCACAGCCTATTCAAAATAAATTTATGGGAAATTCAAATATCCCATCTAAACAAAGTGAAAGAGACTCTGCTAATTTTTCTATGGCAAGTAGTGGAGATTCAGACATTTGTTTACAGCCCCATTAATATTGCTTTTGATTTGATAATAATGAGTAAACTTGTATTAATAATGAATTTGAAAATTACTTACAATTTATGAAGTAATAAGGAATTATTTCTAAATGATTTATTATCTTATTATATCAATTATTAGATATGATATCTATTAGATTATTAATAATGTGTATAAAGTTTTTTTACAATTATTAATTATTTCAATAATAATGATTAAAGGTTCAAATTAATCTCATTATAATCAAGCAATATTTGATTTAAACAAATAGTATTTTTTTGATAGTCTCATCACAAAATACTATTCAACTTCCATTTACAAAAATTACATATCGAAAAAATAATATCCCAAAACAACAGCTCATTATACACACAAAAAAAAAAGATACTTAATTTCTGTGAATTTTTTGAAATGACTTTGGATGATACTCATAAGAGAAATAAAAATAAAAACTACAATTGTGTTATGTAAAAAAGGGCTTATCAAAGCTAACTTTAAATATAATAATTACGCACATTGTACAGCAAAACTAGCACAACCAACATAAGAAGTTAAGGTATATTTTTTCATGACCTTTTTGCAATAAAAACAGAAAATTTTTTAGCAATGAATAGTTTCATAAAATTTTGCTTGTTACAAATAGAACATATCCTTAAATTTATGACCACTATCAAATATAAATCAGATAATTTCATCGAATTTATATATGAATTTATCAATTTTTCTGTGTAAAAATATCCAATGGGAAGCTTATTCTAACAAATAAATTTTTTTTTACACAGTAGAATAATGAATTAATAGGAAAAAATAATAATGACAATGATAATAATAATATTAATAATAGTGACTAGTAAATAATAATTATGATAGTAATAATTAAAGTTACTTTGAGTCAGCATAGAAACAGATAAGTATTTTTTGCAAAAACCCGCTCACCTGCAGTTTAAAGAATAAAACTTTGTAAGAAGGTTGAAAAAGAAATTGTATCAGTAGTAACATTTTTTATTTTAGAATTAACTTAATTAGCATGTAAATAAAAAAGTAATTTTGAAGGTAATATCAAATTTTATTTCAATCTATGGAAGGTTGAGACTGATTAATGTATTTTTCATGAAAAAAAAAAAAATAAAAGCTGATAAGTTAATTCTAAATGACAGAAAAGAAATAAGAAACAAATTGTAGAAATCATTTTTTTAAACTAAGCATATTTTTTTACCATACTTTTGTATTAGTTAGATTGAAAGTAGACAGAGGAAAAAAAAAATGGAAAAACCTGTAAACCGTTACAAGTGCGTTTTAACTAACCCGTAAACAATAACAATATAAGCAACAATAAATAAATATAACATAAAAATACATATGTGTCTACAAAGTCTAATATAAAAAAAAATAGTACAGTATATAGAGAATGTCTTTGTATTCATCATACTTAAATACACTGCGTGTGCTTCATCTTATCTGACAGAAAAATTGAGAACCCACCATTAGCAGCTATATCTGTTTGATTACATTACAAAGAGATTAATAACGAAAAAAACCATTGTTTTAAATAAACAAAAGTAATATGAATTAAATCAATTATTTATTAAATAACAATGAAAAAAAAAATTATAATACTAAAACGCTTGGAGAACGGAGACTTGCTATATTTCAAGCAGTACTATAATGTATATATTAAGTAAATAAAATAAAGTCATGTCAACTAAAATAACCATTGAATAATAATGAATTATATTCAATTATCAATGTACGAATAATGTATAAAGACTGATTAGATTGTTATCATTTTCTACTTTGATCTTGATTTCATTCGTCTAATATTAAGTTTTTACCATTTTTTTATTATTTGTAGTAGAGAATAATTAAATAAAATTGTAAACTAATATTAAGATCTCTTATACTTAATGTATTCTTTAATTGTGGATAGTTAGTTTTAAGGTGATTATGTTTCTTTTTTGTTTTGTTTTCCGTTTTTTTCTGATGAATGAGAATTTTTTATTGATGAGACAATTAATTATAATCATTGTAAACATTCACATATTGCCATTTGAATGAGTGTAAACTTTTTGTATATTCATTTATTGATGAATAAAATTATTATGTCGAGACCATTTTTATTATACTTTTCTTCAACATTCCCCAATTTTACATTTTTTTCATTATTCATATCACCTTCTTCATAATAGATTGAGCCTTTTTTAATTCTGTAAATACAAAATTACTTTGTTAAGTTTTTTATCTATTCATGTAACATCTTAAATATTCAATCAATTAATATTTATAATTATTTTATTATTTAATCAGAGATGGAAAATATGATTTAACAAAAAGAACAGGGTTTTCCACTTCTATGTTTATTTCTTTCTTTTTATAAATTATTAAATAAAATCATCAAACCTTCCAATAAAACAGGTATATCCGATCTTGGAATATTAACTTCAAATTCACATTCTTTTCCATCAACTTTTTTTTGTTTAAATAATAACTTTGTGAAAACTGTAGAAGGAACTGGATCCTCTGTACTAGTAAGTCTTTCCACTGAAGAGAGATGGCTCACTAAAAATGATATAAGAGAGTTATTTAATTGTATTCATGCACTAAATTTACAGTAAAATTACTCGACACTCCAAAGAAAGCCTTTTTTTTTTCTTTATCATGAGATCTTATTAAATATAAATAATATATATAGACAGACCAAAAAATCTCATTCATTAACCCATTAATGATTAATTTTTTAATATTTTTTCTATTTTAAATAATAATTGCTGATAATTAGTTTTCTAGTTTTTAAAATGAAAGTTTATTTAATTGATTTGAATTGACAACTTACGTCTGAGTGATTGAGAAGTTAAATAATCATGGATTTGTTGATGATTATCAGTATGGACACGTCCAATGGCAATACTATGCTCACGTGGCAGCCCTAATTGCTGTAATTCACTACTCAAATCATCAGAATTAGCACCATAACGTGCAGAATATGTAAAAATAGTTTTCAACGCTACTATAATTCCTTTAAGCTCATCGGTATCTAGAAAATATTTCCATTTGTATTCAATTTCATTTTTAATGGTTTATTAATAAAGCTTAATAAATATACAAATTACCTATTTTTGCATCTTGTGTAAGCTTCTTTACTTTATCCTCCTAATAGTCAGAAAAAATCAAAATATACATTAAAATCATCTTTATTATTTGAGAGAATATTATTGTTTCAGCTTACGACGTTGAAGCTAAAATACCCATAAGAGTATAATGGGATCCGTCATGTAAGCGATGATAAAATAAAATAAAAAATAAAAAGAAAATAAAATTGAATGGTTTCTTTGTTTTTAGTTGAACAAATTAATTTATTTTTTAAGGTGAATTATTATAATTTATGAAATATACTGACCTCTAATTTATTATCATCAAGAATAGATTTAGCAATGAGCTGACTTAATAATTTAATCTTGATTGATGTCTGTTGAAATAGTAATAGATAATTATTTTTATTAAATTACATACACACTAAATAAAAGAATAGTCATTAATATTCATCAATATTATCTCACCATACGTGACATGATGCAAATTTGAGCCAGTAACCAATCAGGACAGTCTCCATCTCCCAGAAATCGAAATTTCTATGAACAAAAATATTTGTTAGAAATTTGAAAGCTTTAATTAGTCTATTAATAAGAAATCTTTTAAAATATTCACTCACCATTTTAATGAATTTGATTTGAAACAAATAAAGGCGATGTTGAGGAAATAGCTTTTATCCAATTATCATATATCAAGTACTTGGAAAAGAAATGTTTGCAATCGTCGAACATCAGATTGATGTGGGTCGACCTACTGGATATAAAATTTTTATATATACATTAAAACACAATAAGAAACTGAGCAAAGTTAATTCCCCAATGCAATTCGTATGATTTCTAATGTGAAACGAAAAGTAAAGGGATTTCTCATGAGATCAAAGTGACACAGGAGTTGGATCACATAAATAGGGTTGAAGAATAGAAAAATCCCGCATTTTGATTCAAGACTCGAACCATTATCATTGAATCTAATAAATAAATGTATTACTAAAAAGATTGTTTATAAATATTCGAATATTAGAGTATTAATTTAGATTTAGTATTTTACATTTTGTTTTTACACAGTGAAAAAAACCAATATGGGATTAAAATTAATAATTTTTGCTTTAGGATTATTTTTCCTTATTAAGGTTAGTATAATAATAATAATTGGAAAAAGGATAAATTTATTTTACTGTGATTTGAGTGATTATATACATATGAATAAATGGATAAATTAAAATAAACAAAACTTTAATATGTGGGTGATATGATTTCTAATGGAATATAATGAGAAAAAAATTATCAGTTCAAACAAATAGGATTAAAAATCTAGAATTTCTTTTTTCATCATAAAATCACTGCAAGTAGTTAATTAAAAATTATCATATCATCTCAATATTTTAATTTTTCTCCAATTTTATATTTTATGAACAGACATTCTAAATATTATTTCCCTTCATTTATAATTATTGTCTAAAAATATTTTTTTAAAACTGATTATAGTTACAACATCAAGTTTTAATTCATAAATATATTTCTTACTCTTCAAGATACTTTGAGTAAACAAAAAAAATTATTTAAACAAATAAATAGATTTTTCCAATTAAGTTTAAAAAGTAGAAGTAAAAAAAAATTTTGAAGAAAAACTTGATTCATAATAAAATTAAAAGAGCTGTACTTTTTAGAATATCAAAGGAATATCGATGAAGGAACAGATGGCTCCAACATACGAATCTCCAGAAACAGTTGATAAAGTTGTGCCAATAGAATCTATTTTAAAGGAACAAATTGATCCAATTATTGATCAATGTTTATTGATTCCTGACAGCCAGAATAATCAAATTTTTGTTTTGTCTACCACCAATGGTAAAGAATTGATTTCTCAAAATCGACGAATAGTACGTAGTTGGATGCCAGATGCACCTTTGTATGCTGAAGAACCCAAGTGGATTGTGATTGAAAACATGGATAAATTTTCGAAGAACCAAAAGAAGCATGGAATTTCAACAATTGAAGAGCCATTCTATATTGCAAGAGGTAAACGTCTGTTGAAGAATCGATCTCCAGTTCATTATCCAATGTTAGAAAATGTATTAATTGAAGATGATCTGAGTTTGCTCAAAGGTCCAAATAAGAAAACAAATTCTTTAATAAAACTCAATTATCTAGAACCTGGAGAAAAAAATGCCAATATTTTAAGTCTTCTTCATGAGCCTTTTTTTATTTCGAGAGGAAAAAAGAATATGAGTGAACATCTGAAAAATACGAAACATAAATTCAGTGATTATGATGACAGTTCATTACGAGACCGTCGTGGAGAAGATTTTCTTGAACAATTGTTTAAAGAAAATGACCCATTTTATATAACAAGAGGGAAGAAAAGTGAACCCTAGAAAAATAATATTTGATTATTTTCTATTTAAAAATATTAGTTCAAACATTGTATGCAACTGCTAAAATGAAATTAAGACACTTGTATTCACAATTAATAAGTGCATATATATTATGCAATATTAATTATTAATAATTATTAATTAATTTTTCAGTATTATTATTGCTATTGTAATTTAGCAATACACAAATACCTTGCTTACATATTTATTACATGAATTCTATTGTTAATAAATATTAATATTTACTTATCTAAATATTTTGAAAATATTATTCAAAGAATTTTTAATTTATAAATTATTTTATAATGACAAACAATGTCCGTTTAAATATAAAAATTTTTTGTTATAAAAAATAACAATATAAAATATTCATTGTTTTGAAAAAAAAATAAATAAAAATAACTAAAACAATTTTTTTTTATTTTTTTTTTCATACACTCAATATTGTATTTAGCATAAAAGACAGACTCAAAATAGGAAATTATCATAAAAATTGAAAAAGAAACGATGAACATGTTAAAAAAAAAGAACAGAGGGATGGGTTCTATACGAAACGTCACTAGAATGTGTGAAAACAATTGTGTGGAAGTAATGCGGATCTTTCTGCTCGATCTAACAGTTATCCTAAATAAGGGGACGCTGATAATAAACATTTGTGTAATATTATAAATGAAGGAAGTCAAATAATTATAAACATACAAACAATAAAGATTTTAAAATAAATTTTTTCGTAATTAAATTTAAAAAAAAAGAAAAAAGGAACATCCATTAATACACAATTTTTTAATATTATTAATACTATATGTAGCTTGTAATCATTTGAAAAGCTCTTTTATTTCAACAAAGTAGACTTAAATAAATGAGTTAATAATATTGCACACATGCTACCTGTTTACTATTACCCATTTTCACCTTATACCTTCAGCTTGTCGACACCTCAATATCATATCTGTCCTCTTATCCTTACAACATATTATAAGACGCTCACTTATCAAATTTTTTTTCATGTAATTTTTTTATTTAATGATAATGTAAATAACAAAAATAAAAAAGAAATCAATAAGTTAATTTTAATCATGATTTTGAATTTTTTTAAAATGATATAAATTATTAAATTCATTTAAAAAGTATTCATAGGTTTTTCTTTTTTTAATATAAATTTTAAATGATTGTTATTATTAAATAATTGAACGATTTATTCTTCACCGGGACCAAAAGAGTAAAATCATTTGAATTCCATTCATAAAATCGGCAGAATAGAGGACTATCATTCAGCCATATGTCCGTTCAAATATGTGTTTTTGGAGGCACTCATGAACAAAGAAAAACTTGACGTTTATGCTAATGAGTAAATGAATGAATGAAAAAACTATATATATATATATGTATATATATATAAGTAAATGAATGATATGTGATAAATAAAAGAGGGCGAAGCCAAAGGATGCGCGTAGGAGATAAGTTGGACCAACCCCCTTGTTCCGGGCACGACTTTGCGCCAATCAGAAAATTCTAAATTCGACAGGTGGTGAGTATAAAAATGCCTTCAAATCGTAAGACACGAGCATTACATGTTTCACATTGATAGCAATTGTTGTGTAGTAGTTGATTTTGAAATAAAATAATTTATTTCAATTTGGTATTAATAAATAATAAATAAAAATAATTTTATTTTCTTATTTTAATAAACTATTTTTTGGTCATTTTTCAATTTGTTCAGAGAAATGTGGGTAACTTTTGAACTTTATATGATATTTGTGATTACACGATTAGTAGATACAAATAGTGTGAATTTTCTTGGTGGTTTGAAAAACGATAATGAAAGTTTTAGAAGTAAAGAGAGTTTTCAAAAATATAAATTTGTTGATTCAATTTATCAACCATCTGACAATCTTTTATTAACATCTAAACCTCCAAAATTTGGTAAATAATTCTAGTAGAAATTAGTTTTGTAAATGATGATGAAAAAAAGGTTTTCTTCATCAACATCTTGCCCCATAAAGTTACACTGAAAAATTTTTTTGGATTAAAACTTCTTTTTTTTTGGGTCACCTGGAGACAAGTCAGAGCTGTAGCACGTAATTCCTAAAAAAAAAATTTATCAATTTAATTGTTATTTTTTTTAAAAAGGTTTTTACATTAAATTGGATTATTTTTACAACAGTTCTGATTTGTTATGAAGTTACTCAAAATATTAGAGTAATTTTAATCTAAAAAATGAGTCAGCATAAACGAAATTTTTAGTAATTTTTTAAAATTAAATTTTTAGAAACACCATCTTGGATAACTAAAATTACAAGAAATACTGATGTAATTGAAATATTACCAAAGAAAATAAAGAAATCTCTCGTATCAGTAGGAATTCATCATGGCCCTAGTTATCACATGGAACTTCATTCAAACCCATCAACTGGTGATTTATCTCATTGCACTAATTGTAATCAACATAAGGTCAGTAATGTTTATTTATCTTAGGGTAAATTGCTAAGTATGGAATTTTCTTAAATAAATTAAACCATTTGAAAATTTTTTTGTGTCTAAGTGATGACATTATTCCATACTAAACAACTTTACCCCACCAGATGTCATTAATTAATGATACTGGACATTATTACTAGAAAATTGCACAGATCTAGCAACGAAGATGATCTGATCCTGCAGGAACGCCGGAATCCTACATTCAATCCTTGGGGAGGTAAACGAAATTCAATTCCTTTCAAAGTTGACACCAAAATTCGACGACCAGTAAGAGTTCCATTTAATAGCTGGGGTGGAAAACGTCAAGGAACTTTTTTGAATTCAAATTGGCATGGAGAAGTTTACAAAAAACGAGCAAATGAGGCAATTGGAATTAAAAAACCGTTTAACAGTTGGGGTGGAAAACGAACACCGTACTCTCTACAAACTATTTATTCTCATGAAAAATTATTCACTAATGGCATATAATTCAGGAAAGAATAGTTTGAAATAATTTTTATGCAAAATTGTGATTATGCAAAATGCAAAATGGGTTAGTCTCAATAAAATTTATTTATCGTTTCAAAGTCAAATATTTTCTACAGTAAATAAAATTTTTATTCTTTTCACAGTTCAGATAATTAAATTTCCACTCAAATAAAAACTAAAAAGAACTGAAAATCAACATAAAAGCAAATGTACTGTTGTAAAGGAATTCATTTTTTGAGAAGTTAATTTAATTTATATATTTTTTAACTCCTATTCTCATACTCTTAATGAGTTATCTGAATGATAACATCAAATGTTACTGAATATATTATTATATCCTAAAATGTTTATAAATATGACTCAATAAATTCTTTATCAACTGATGTTTCGGAGCATAAAATGTGAAAAATTATCTTTACCCTCATGAAATTTTTGATAACATCTATTGTAAAATGTTAATAATAAAAATACAAATTAACCGGTATTTAGTCCATCTGGATAATTTAAATCTTATAAAAAATTATTGTTATACATTTCACCTATTATTTATTATTGTTATCAAAATGTGATCTATTTGTGAATAAAAATGATATATTAATACATTATAATTAACCAAACTGACTTTTGAATGTAATTAAATAATTTATTTAACTTACATTTACATTACCACCAATTGTTTTGAAAAGTTTAACCTCCAAAAAATCTCAAGTTCCAAAATACATCTGCATTTCATCCAAAAATAAAATAAATAATCTATTGAATAATTATTATATATTATTACTATATCATATCTTTAGAAATAATATTAAATACTGCTGCAATTTATTATGACAAATGTTATTTGAATATAATAACTTGGTAAAAATTTTTACAAAATTTACAATTCGTATTTCTTGCAATAGGTTAAGTTCTCCATTCTTTTAGTTTCCGACCGAATGAGGAAGCTGTTTTGTTATCTGAGTATGGTAAAGTTGCTCCAATTATCTCTATCGGTATTCAAGAAGTAGCGATTTTTTTCTAAAATTGTATAACGATTGAATGGATAAAAATCGTCCAACCAATCAAAAATTCTAACTCGAAATTCAATTTTGACCGGAAAAATTATATATAAGTATACATATTTTTACATAATTTGATTGGAAAGTATCTTTATGAGTTTGAAATTCGCACAACAAATATTCGTGCAATTTCGGTAACATTCGACTGTGTTCAGCAGCAACGTATTCGACAGTAGACAAATGGACCTGACTTCTGGTGTTCTGAACAATTTTAGGTCAAGAGCGTATCTAATTCTACTACATTTTCTCCGGTTAAAAAATAATGACGTGAAGTGAAAATTCATAACAAAATTCATCATCAAATTCTATGAGTGTATTCATTATACAAAGTTTTTTGTGGTAACTTATTTATTAATATAAGCACAAATCATGAAATGTTTATGAGTGTTGATTTTAATTCCGTTTATATATAAATTACGTATAATAGTGTTCACTGCATAAACTCTCGAATACTTCTGAGAAACACGATAAACAGAAGTTTTTTTTACTAAAAAGTATGTAAAAACTAAATAAAAATATTCATTTTGTCAATATCCTATTGTATTAATGAAGTGTAAGATTAATACAAAACTTTTCATATCATATTTCAAAGACCATTTTCATTTTTGCGTATACAAACTCTATCATCCCTGTTTAAATGAAATACATGTTTTATGAATGTTAATAAAATTATCATAATATCTATTAATCATTCAAACTATTTAATTTAATGTTTATTTTAGATGATGGTTTCGAATAATCAAAAAAGTAAACATGATGATGATGAAGACGAAGATTTGGAGGCATTGAGACTAGCTGCTTTACAATCATTGAAATCAAAATCGACGACAAATACTAAGCCTTCCTCGGTATCCATGCAATCTGCTATTTTACAAGTGAATACAACTTATCCACCTTATAACAGCAAACATAGAAGCACTCGAAAAGAATATTACACTTCAATTAAGAGCCTCAGACCAAATGTAGTAAGTAGACTACAAGTTAACCTTAAAATTTGATTCAATGGAGTGAAAATGATTCTAATAATATCTTATGTTACAGAATATCTACCATTTTAGTAGAAATAATCAGAATTTAATAGAAATAGTTCCAGTGGAAGAAAATGTTAACAATGGACAAATCGAAAGTTCTCAAGTGATAAATTCTAATTCACCTTTGAATTCTGACGAAAAAGGTAAGGAATAAAATTAAGACTGATTATTATATTAATTTATTGATTAATTTCTAATTTTAAAATATAACATATTTGTAGAAGATTCCAAGTTTCAACGTTTTAAGGATAATGAAAGTACTTCCGAAGATGAAGATCAAATAAATCAGAAACATTCAAATGATCTTATAAACAAAAAAGAAAATGCTAGTGAAGATAATGAAGCAAACAAGGAAAACCAAAGCGGTGGTGAGGAAAGTTCACGTAAAGCCGAGAAAAATAACAAAATTATTGAAGACAATAATGACGTAGAAAATGAAAAAAATAACAATGATAATGGTGATAATAATGAAGAAGATGATGAAGACGATGAGGATGGTGATGATAATGACGATGATGATGATGTACTATTAATGGCCGATCTTGAAGAAGAAGACAGTTTGGAAAGGCTAATGGATGAAATGGAAAAAGAAATGAAAGGAGACAAATCAGGTGATAAGAAAGATAAAAAGGCTCTTAGAAGAGAAAGTAGAGAAATGAAAAAACACCATGAATCAAGAGCTCGGAAACTTCGAGAAACTATAGAAAAAACTGATAATTCGTCTTCAGGATCTCATAGAAATGAAAAAAGACCAATATCACCAGCTGAAACAACTAGAGAATTGAAAAAACATCGATCTCCATCGCCACGAGTTAAATCTCGTAAAAAATCTCCAAAACGATCACCTAGAAGATCACCACCACGGCAAGTAAAAAAGTTTCAACGTGAAGACATTCGATTGAGATCTCCAAGAAGAGTATCACCTAAATATTCGCCGAAAACAAGGTTATCCAAGTCTCCTCGGCGTTCTCCTATAAGATCGCCTCTTAAACGGTCTCCCAAACGATTCTCACCTAGAGGAAGATCTTATTCTCGATCTCCTCCAAGACGGCGATCACGTTCACCCAGAAATGTATCTCGCTCTCGGTCACCTAGAAATATCCGTACTCGATCTCCTAGGCCTCCTCGATCGAAATCTCCAAATTCACCTGAATATTTATCACCAAGATCAAGGTCATCAAGATCAAGATCACCGACAACACCTATGTCAAGAACATCTCCAACCCCCATTCCAAGATCACCTACATATACATTAGCAGTACGTTCTAAATATCTCGACGCATCACCTCGACATTTTTCATCACGATCGCCACAGTTTTCACCTCGTCGATCACCTTGGTCATCACCTAGAAATTCTCCTCGATTGTCACCGAGACGAAAACGTTCTCCTATTGAAGAATCATCTCGAAAAAATCGTTCTAGGACTCCACCTGATAATTCTAGTTATAAAAAAGATATATCGCCATCTAGAAGAAAAAATTCGTCCCCAGATTTATCTAAATTAAAAAATAAATCGACTACAAAAGAATCTAGTGAAACAACAACTAACGATCCAATTCTTGAAGCTCGTAGGAGAAAATTTGAATCAACACGACCAATCGATCCAATCAATGACAATAAGAAAATTAAATTAAATACGAAGACATCGGTGAAAAAAGCGAATGTTTTGGATAATATGGAATTGGATACTCTTGAAATAAAGGCTCAAGAAATAATGGAAGAAATGTCGGAGAATGAGTTGTGTTTACAAAGTAGTTTTGATTTTGAAGACTTAGCCGTTAAAGTTGATAATAATTCAGTAAAAGATGAAGCATTACCTGAAGATGTTGCTCCAGTTCAAGTTAAAGGTCGTGTAAAGAAGAAAAAGAAAAAAGACAAAGAAATTTATCGAGTGGGAAAACTGAAAGGTGAATTGCCATTGTCAGAACGTATTGGTAAAGAAAAGAAGAGCAAGAAAAAAATACGAGCGAGTCCAGAACATTCAAATGATGAGGCAGAAACTGCGACAGATGAAATTCCGAATGAAGAAGCAGATTTAAGAACAGAACTGAGCAGGAGACGAGCAGAAAGATTGAATCGAACTGTGCCATTTCAGTCTGCTAGACTTTTGCAATCTGCATTCAAAGGGGTTGTTAATGAGTATGTATTCTATTACAAATGTATTTACTAATTATTACTTCATTAATTACATAAATTGTTATAAGGGAAAATTTTCTAATTAAATAATTTGTTCATTTTACAGAGTTGTTAAAAATAATGCAAAAATCAGTCAGCGACATTTGGCTAAAGGAGATGATAAAAGTAAGTATATTTTTCTTTTATAGCAATTTTTTTCCAATTGAACTCTAGTAATTCTAAAAACATTTTAAACTCTATGTATCGCTCACGTAGTCCGATATTCGATCTTCGAAATTTCAATCCAATTTTTTTTTATTTTTGTGATCATTGGCGGCAGATTTTTGACAATAATCGATGAATTACGGAGAAAAAGATTTTTAATTGTTACCTATTTTATAGATGCACAGAAAGAAGTTCGTCGAGTGACTGTATTGCATAGATCCATAACTGATTTACATGATTCTGAAGGTAAAATAAGTGAAGAAAATTTTAACTAATTTTGCGTATTCCAAAATAGTTAAAATTTTATTAGTTTATTTTCATCCAATGATCCTTTAATTTATTCAGAAAGTATTTTCTCCTAAATTACGGTAAAAAAGGATGGTAACAGTTGTGATACCTTTCTCTTTGCATGATCTGAACAATTTGATATAAAACCTTAATAACCATACTAGATATTCTACTTTTATATATTTCCCTAGTCTTCAATCATTATTTAAAATAAATTATATTGTTATATAATTATTTCAAAACAATTAGTCTAAATATATTTTTAATTTTTGATTTTACAGATGAAACAGTTGATTCAAAGATTCCTGTACGGCTGAGACTTGGAATTAATAAATCGACCCAAGAAATACGTGAATCATCGAAATCATCAAGAAAATTATCAAAACGACAAGGTCGTAAGGTAAAGCACAAAAATTTATTGTTAATAGATTATTAAATGAAGAGAAATAATTATTAACTTTCATCTATACATCGCGATTTTTATAACTTAACTATTCGTGTCTTTAATGCCATTTACGATTTTCACTACACGACATTACGAATAATTATTTTTATATTCATTTGAGCAACAATTTTTAATATTTTTAATCAAAATGGTATAAATGTTAACATAATCATTAATTAATATGTATATAAAAAATTAATAACAATATCATAGCTAGAATCTAATGATTCTTAATGAATGAAAGAACTAGTCTTATACTTATAATTAAAATTTTTTTTTTTTTTTTTTTTTTTTTACTTAAATAATTTTTTCTTCTATCAAAATAATACCACTTAAATATCCATTATTTTGAATATTATTTACAATAAATTCTTTTAGAATAGAAAATAATTTTTTTATTTCTTTTGTTGTCTAGGGGAAAAAAAAGTCTCATTGACAGAAATGAATACTTTTACGAAGAAAAAAAAAAATAAAATACATGAAAAATATTGAAAGAGGTAGCAGTTTACGTTATTTTGTTAAATATGAGTTTTAGAAAATAGCATAATTAATGAATTAATAATTAGTGACGATTGTAATCCCGTACAGTTTTTAGTTGAGATAATATATACATAAATATACATGTATATATAAGTAAATATCCTCTTCGATTAAATTCATAATTATTTACAAATCATAGGCATTTTTATTTAGATTTTTAATTCCTTATTATAAATAGTTTTATTACTTATTTATTATCACTTTTATTGAGGTTTTTATTAATTAAATAAATTGATAATAAGTAGTAGATTGTACTCTACCTATTATGTGATATACATGTAAATATTTTTGCTCTTAACACTTAAAAACATAAATAAATAAGAAAATGAAAATAATAAAAACGATCTTAAAAATAATTTTTGTAAACCTGAGAGTGTGCTTAAATTTGTTTAAATATCATATATTTATCATAAATGTATATATTTTTTAGCATTATTATTGAATGTACATTAAAATTTATAACAAATATTTTGTACCTGGAAACAACCTTTTATTATGTAAGTTTGGATACATTATAATAAGATTAGTTACTATTAATTAATATAATTATTAGTAATGCGTATTTAGTTAAATCACTGTTGGGATTAGTGTACTATTTTTGTCCATGTTCGTGTTATATTTCACCATTTTTATAGATGATGCAAAAAGTCTTATATATCAATTGACAAAAACTCAAACGGTCATTTTTATATTTTTCGTAGTTTTTAACATATAAATAAATATTAATAATATTAATGATTCATACATAAAGCGATTATAATAATTAACAAATATGTGCATAATGTAGATAAATATTTGAATTTTCAAACAAAAATGGTTTTATGATTTACAATGTTTTCTGTGATAAATTAATATAATGTTCATTCGTACATTTTAAATAATTACAATTCTATTTATTGTTCGAATTGTTATCAAGACGATTCACCTCGATGATTAAAACTATTCATCTTTTCGGAAAAATTGATAAATATATTTATTAGCAATTATTTTAAAAATGAAATATTATATTCAAGTACACTAAAGACTGGAATCATCGAGTGTTTATCGTAAAAAACTTTTAAGCATGTACATAAACGTATTTATATTTATATTTATACTATAGATTTTTTACATGCATCAGAAATGGATCTACGTAAAAAAAAAAAAAAAACGTAGTTATTACTCAACAAAAAAACTCATTTAATACAAATTTAGTGCATTTTAAAAGCACATTATATTAATGCATTATTCATACTTTTTATTTCAGAAAAATAAAAAATATTATTTTATAAACAATAAAAGTTTTTTCTTTAATGCCCTTAGTAATAAAAATAAAGTTAATTGAAAATTAAACAACAGTAATCTACTGAATTTAATTAATTTTTTATGAGATTTTGTATTTTTTTTTAATACATTAAGCTTATTTCTATTGTTATTCATACACTTTTAAAACTACCATTATTAATAAGGTGTAGTACATTTATAGGTACTGAAGTACTTTTGTCGATGGTGTGATAATCTTAATATTGCGTGCACCTGACAGGTTTGATTAAAAGTATTTGACATTGCCAATTATTATGTATTATATTTCGCATGAGTTAAGTTAATAATGCGCACGCGTTACGGACTAGAACTTGATCGGGGTGGTGGATTTCTGACCCTTTGAAAACTTCAGTAATCAATGGCACATTGAAGCTTTAGAAGCTCGACAGTGTGAGACCCTTCAAAGTTGATTTCTCTTACATATGTTAAAGCTTAGTGCATTTAATCATCATTCGATTAAAAACATATAATTCTGAAAAATTTGTTAACTTATCTTATGGAATAATAACAGAAATTTTGTAAAAAAAAATCTAAAAATGTTGTATGTAAATATTTACCCAGACTGATCTGAGTTCTGAAAATATGCAAACATTTAAAAATTGGGTCAGATATTCTACATAACTTATGTCCGATAAAAGAATGTTTTTAGTTACAATAAATTTCTGTGACAATAAGTGAAAATAATGAAGACTTAATGTTCAAATCAGCCAAACAGATCATGCATTTGGTAAGTATTTTTTTCAACCTAATGAAAATAAAAATTAATTCATAATAAGATTGTAATTTATATTTTTATATTAGGTAAATCATTGGATTTGTAAAAAAAGCTAAGATGACTAGTAGTGTCGCCGAAGTAGCGACCATTTTCCACCCACGTCGATCTCGTGCTCCAAGTATCATTCACAATGATGATCACACGAATCATGGTGTTTACACTAGCCCTGGTCATGTTGTCGTGGATACTTCAGGTACTAAGCATACAATGAATAGAGATTAAACGAAAATATCCAATAAATAAACATGATTGATTTTGGGTTTAGGTGGGTGTGAACAAGGCTGCAGTACTCTTGGAGGATGTGGAGACTCTGCATCAAGCTGTAGGTCACTTGAAACTGGTGGCAGTTGTGACGGCAGTAGGGCAGGATTTCGTGACTCCGGAGGGGGTGGAGGCTGTACTGGTGGTCAAGGACAAAATCAAGCTACCTGTTATTCTGGAGGTTCTACTGTTAGTTATCAAACTAGGCGACATTCTCTAACACGTTGTTATGCCTCTTGTTGTGCTGAGTCTGCAAAAAAGGTTGTTTATTATTATCCCTAATGACTTCTACAATAGATATTGTTTAATCTACATCTTAATGATCTAACACAATGAAAAGAGTACGACATGAAAGAAATATAGTATTAAAGTGAGCAATTTTCTTTATTTAGTAGTAAATCGATAATAAAAAACCTATATAGTGGTTTTTAAGTAATTTCTTATTCTCAATGATCTACAATTCGTCACCACTATAATTACGTATTTTTCTAGAATGTCATTTTATTCTTATTACAATATTATACATCTTTTATTATAGACTTATACTACTGAAAAAATTATGACAGTAGTATTAATCAATCGTAGGTAGTATTATAGCACATAAAAATTAATGGGATAATAAATTAGAGTTGAACCAATCCAATTAATTAAGCTTGCTGTGTTTTTAATATTTACAAACACTAGGCAAAGTTTTTTAATAAATTTTCGTTTATAATTATTACAGATTTACTTTGGCGTATGCGTTACTGTATGTGTGACTGCCAGCTGGGTTGGAGCTACTCATTGTATTAAATATTTATACTTCCACAAACCAGATATTGCGAGCTTAGAGAGCTTTAATGGTAATTCTACCACTGGACTTCACCACCAATCTGTAAGAGAGCCAAGTTAAAAAAGATATTTTATATAAATATAATATTCTAATTAATATGATGTTCTATTACAGATTGTTCTACCTTATAATGCTCCATTTTTTACTACGTGGTTTTGTACTAACTGGGCAATATTTTATTTTCCAATATATTTTATCTGTCGAGTTGCTAAAAGTAAATGTATAAGTCCCTCGGAGGTGATTGCTGAAAGTTTACGAGGCTTTCGAGATAAAGGTTTAACTGGTGGTCGTTTTCTAACACGATGTAGCTTCTTCTGTGGACTTTGGGTGGCAACTAATTATATGTACATTCATTCTCTTCGGATACTACTTGCCACAGATGTTATGGCACTATTTGCAACTAATGTATCTTGTGTTTACCTTCTATCTTGGGTTATATTACATGAACAATTTGTGGGCGTGAGGGTATGATGTTTTTCAAAATTATATCATGATTAATTTAGTAAATAGAAATTAATTTTTAGTATAAAAGTATGGTATGATCTTTTCAATTTAAAGATAGTTGCTGTAATTCTGTGCGACACTGGTGTTGCATTGTTGGCATATATGGATGGAATTACTGGAAGTCCTACTTTAGGCGGGGTTGTATTAGCTACTTCAGCTGCTGCAGGTTCAGCAGTATATAAGGTAAAAGAAAATTTTATAATTAAAAATTCTTTTAACTGAAAAAAGATATAAAACAATAAATAAAAAATTGTGTTTCAGGTTCTTTTTAAAAAAGTCATAGGAGAAACTACGTTTGGTCAAGTTTCAATATTTTTTTCACTCATTGGTTTATGTAACGCAGCTCTTTTGTGGCCTGTTTGTTTAGCTCTATACTTTTCTGGTGTAGAATACATTTATTGGGCTAGATTACCATGGGCTGCACTTTTATCTGCGAGCATACTTCATTTAGGTTTAACAAAATTTAATTTAATTTTATATTTAAAAATTAATTACTGTTGACAGTAATTATTAAATAATCGTATTACTTCCTTTCAGTGGCAAACATGTTGGGTAACTTTAGTATTGCATTAACTTATGATTTATTTATTACTCTGGGACTCATCACAGCTGTGCCAGTATCAGCTGGTATGAATAAAATTTTTTTAACAAATAAAAGAACTAATGCATCTCTTTGTATAAATAATTATTGCTTTCATTTTATTTCAGCTCTTGATGTCGTTCTCTATGGTGCTCACTTTGTAGGGATGAAACTGGCAGGAATGATCTTAATTGCAGTAGGATTTTTCCTCGTTATGTTTCCTGATAACTGGCCTGATTATTTTACTCGACTACTTCGGTATGTAATTATAATTTAACTCCACGTTATTATCCACGTATTTTTTAGTTTTAGCTTGAACCTTTTATTTATATTTTAGCTCCTAGATATGAGCTTTTTATATATCTATAATTCTCTGTCTTTTTAATAATTTTTATAAAATACAACTAATTGTCAATATATTTTATTTCTTTTACCATACTATAATTATTTGCATAAAGTTTCGCTTATAACTTGTCTTATTTTTTTTACTTTAATGCTTTTTATATTGAAATTTATTCAGAGATAAATATTAAATAAAAGTCAATAATATCAAAATCATTACTATCAGGAAAAAATTTGGTATTGAAAAGAAGCAAAAATGATTAAATTTCATTTCAAGTTGAAAACTGTGTCAATTTCTATCAATATTTACGTTCAATTAAATAAGTTTAAATTTAAAAATAACAGGTTGATTATTTGTTATTGAAAAAATATAAATCATTCTAGATTAGTTTTTAAAATGAACATAAACAAAGATAATCTAGAAAGTTCTTAAATCAATTTATGAGAAATTGATTAAAAAAAATAACCATATTCTTTTAAGTATACATAAACCTTTACATTAACTTTATTAACAGTATAAAGAAACGTATGACAAACTAATTTTGATGTAAATTAATTATAGTATAGTAGAGCATACATGAAAATTAATTATGAATAAGTGCATGTTTTATAGCAGCTTTGTTTGTTTGCATGCTTTGTATGTCGTATGCAGTTGTTTATATTTCTATTTTATAAAATTATATTTTGTTAATTAAAACATGAAAGTTTTTTTAAATAAAATTTTATTTTGTAATTAAAATTTTTTTTAATTTTCTAAAATAATATTTCTAAAAATTAAAAATCTCCTTATTATAAACTAACGAATGTTATTGATTATTAGATAGTAAACTTTGGAAATAAGTTTTCTCATATGATGATATAACCCCTCAGGGGAACCATCTTACCTCATTTTCCTCTATAAACATGATAACAATCGGAAAACGATTCCCTCGTGAATTTACTCATCGATTTTCGATTAAATATTGGTTCATTTTTAGTTCGGTTATGTCGCAGTTCAATAACTTCAATTGTAAAACCTACCTTTCCGATTGACAATGAACGAGAATTGAACAATAATTATTTTTTCAATAATGCCAATACAATAGAACAAAAAAAAAATAATACTTGAATGATGTCATGTTAAGGGATTTTATGGGATGGGCTTAATTATACTAAATATAATAGATAAAAATAATGAGACAATATCACGTAAATGGGGTTGATGCAGTACAAATCCACAACAACGTGGGGTTGGAAAAGTTGGAATGAATAGGAGCCGCAGACAATCATTTCAACAACGGCATTTCCGTCGCAACTATGGTGTATCTTCGTCTCAAGGTGATGGACAAACCCTTCTTCCAAACTCCGCAAACAATCAGACCACTTTGCCTCAACGGCATAACGCCGTGTCCTCATCCTCTGAAACCCCGCATCGTGTTCCTATCTCAACCTCAACCACTACCAACAACCATCGTTCGCACATCGTCCCACAAACTCAACAAGGTATGCTTGATTGCAGATTATCCATCAGAAAACGATCGAAATTAATATTACTAGTCATACATATCTTTGTTATGTTCTGCATTAAAAGGAAAAGTTCCTTATCAGTGTTTATATTTACATTCAATGACCAAGGTATTTTTTTTTTTATATTTCATCTTTCTACAGACCATCAGAGTCTTTTCTCTAATGATTTGTTATTTATTTTTGAAGTATTGAAAGGAGTTCAGTTTGTGAAAACATATCCAGGATTAAATGCTATCAATTAACCTCATGAAATTATAAGCTGCAATGGTATTTGATTATAGTAAATGAACAGCAGGTAATTTTAATTAATAATAAAATATAAATGATATTTTGTAAAGTTATCAGAGAATTTGTAGAAAGATGAAATGTTCTTTTTTTTTTTTTATTCATATTACTAATTTTAAAACTAACAGAGATTTAGTGTACAATTTAATTCTTATTTGGAAATTGTTGTTGACGATTTGCTTCGTATTTTCTACTTCTTTTATAAATATATATTTGAAAAATTGATTCTTATATGAATTATTATTGATATTATATAGTTTATATGCATTGGTAAAATTGTAGTGGTATGATTTTGTTTGTTTCTTTATCTTAATTGGAATATTAAATATTTTTTTTTACAACAATCTTATTAATTCTAATGAAACAATAAAGTATTAAAGACAAAATAAACCATTTATATTAATTGATTAATCACTTTTTTGTTTCTAATCAGAATAAATAAGATTTTTTATTCTTAGGTTTTGTGTGTGCTGCAACATTTCAATGATTGAATTACATATCTTATGAACTTGTGTAAATTTCAAAATTTATTGTTACTATTTTTATGTCTAAATATTGATGAAATTATGATTTTTATTTGATTGTAAGATTTAACATGTAAAATTATGAAGCCATTAAAAATACTAAACAATTGATTTCAGATGGAGTCGGAGACACAGGCACGGGATGCCAGGCGGTGCATCCCGCGACGTAATCGACTACCGAACTGGTTATATAAAATCTCATTTACGTTCACCCTCTGGAAGAGTTCGGTGACTATTTTTAAACCAACGGAAAAGCTCTAAACATATGATTATTATCAATGATGTAAAATCCAAGTATGAGACGATTGAATCAAAGTAAATTATATGTTCAAATTTGTTGAAAAAAGAATTCACAAATTTACAATGACATTTGTTAAAAGATATTAAATAATTTTGAAATTAATCGAAAAATCAATTGACAATTAACAACTCTAATACATTTAATTAAATTGTTCAATGATTATTGTTGATATTCATATACCTGTTAGAATCAAAAAAGAAAGTATTTTTTAGTGGTTCAATATCTTTGAAACTTGAATTAAATAATATGTCATCTTTTAATTGTCAATTATTCTGTGGAAAGACTTTTGGTGAAAAATTACTATAAAGAGCAGAATCATTAAGGAATGTCGTAAAATTGGCTCAATAAATTTAATTTTTTATCGAAATATTATTTTCAACATTAATTTACTTTTTATTAAATACTCAATAGTAATTTTCTATCGAAAGTCTTCTCATACATTTTATTTCTATAAAATAATGAAAATTGTTCACATGTACTAAATGTAAACATAAATTATTCTGCTGTTATGTCAGTCTTACTAGAGATCACTAAAATTTCATGTATACACTTCACTTTCATACTTACAATGTTTAGAGTATATTGTTATATACAACAAGAAATTAAAATTTAATTTTGGAATTAAGAAAAACTGTGATGTGGCATATAAGTAAGTTTATTGCCTTTTTTAAAAAAGAAATCTAATAATAATAATAATATTGATAATAACAATTATGAGTAAATTATTCTTCTGTAGGATAGAAAACTTAATATATATTAAATAATAAGAGTTGTATAAAAAATCGTAGTTATACTTTAAATAATGTTTATTCATCTTAATATAGGATTAATCGCTCAAAATTTATATAAAAGATTTAAACTATGACTGATTTTGTTATCAATTAATTGAAATTTCAATATATACATGTAAATTCTATCAAATACTTTCAGCAAATTTGTCTAGAATTTTTCATCTCTTTTTATGATGAATCAGTAGGTATTTTTGGAATACAATGTAATTATGTGTTATAATAACATAAAAAAAATACATAATTAGTTATATTATATTTGTGTAACTATTAGATAATGTAACTTTTTCGTTTCATAGTATTCAAGTACACAAATTTTTTTATTTTTTCATTTTTCGAATAGGATGAATTGGATGTTTCATGTGTGATAAATCAGGAGGATTCTTTTCGAAGTCACTAAGTTCTTTTAAACCACCCTCTGCTATTTCCCATAATTCAGGATGATTTTTTTTAAAACTTTGATACCATTTTTCAATTTTTGGCCAAGATGATAATGGGAAATTAATTGCTTCAAGACACATTGTTGCAGTAATCAATTGAAAGTCAGCAATAGTTAGAAAATCTAAATTATAATAAGAATAATATATTATCTTTAAAAAAAAGTTGGTAAATTATATTATTTACGAACCTGCAGCAGCATATGAATAGTTGGTACGTGTCAAATAAGTTTCAAAGACATCCAGACTCATTTTTACTTTCTTCAAGCCCAGAGCAGTTCGTTCATAAGCAAAGAACATTGGAGCTAGCTATCCATTAGAAGAAATAAAATAATTTATCGACTAAATATTCAAGAATGAGTAATTTTATATTACTTACTGAGTATTCAGAAATGTTTTTATAATACATCGCCAAATTGAAGCAAAGCCGGTGATTAACAATTGCTCGAGCATTGGCTTCTTTTGGATAGAGTTTACCATTCACATCATATTTATCACAAAGATATTGAAGAATGGCGTTGCTGTTCAACGAATAATTGAGATTTATCAACTCATAAGCTACAATCGAGTTACATAACAATACTTCTACAATAACGTATCTTACCTTTCACCCATAATTAAATCGTCATCTTCCAAAGTAGGAATTTCTTTTTGTGGATTTAACTGTAAGTAAACTCATTGATGTTCGATGTGGTTCTCATACAATAATTTTATAATCATAATGGACTTTACCTGCTCGTATTCTGCAGTCATATGTTCTCCTTTACAAAAATCAACATCAACTAATTGGTATTTTAAATTGAGAGCTTTCAAAGCCATTCTACAAGCCAGAGATGGTGGTCCATCAGATACAGCGTAAAGTTTCATGGTAAATAAAGATAACTGAGCTAATGACTGAGCTTCACAAACACTTTTAGAAGTGGTCTAGCTACTAATGGTATTAAGAATCAAGTGTATAATGATGTATACCTCTGCTCTAGTATACTGTCACACTTACATTTTTAATGTGACCATGGATATTTCACAACTTCTATCCAATCACACTCTGGAATTGTAATCCAAAATCCTTTCTCTGCTGGTGATTTTACGCTATCAATTTCTCAGTGGCCTATTTACTCTTTGATATCTCTTGATAATAAATATAATTTAGAGGTAAATATTATGTTGAAAAAAATAACTACTTAAAATAGTAAACAGAAATGCTTTTTTTTTTATTTATAACAATTCCATATATACATAAAATAATGACTTAACATTTCTTACATTTAGTATATTCATTTTCAAGTTATCTCTCTATTTTAATTTTCATTAATTTCACGTAAATTTTTTTCGTTATACTTAATTTTCTTTGAATATTGTTTCAAATATTTCTGAATAATGTACACTTTATCAAATAAAAATAAAAATTATTCTGGCACATTAATTAAAGTATATAACATAAAATAAAAAATTATTTTTCATAAACTTATAAACTAGAATATATTCTGAATAAAATAAAACAGCAATTCGCTTGACGTAAGAAGCATAAACAAAATTTATAATGGAAATAAAATAATTAATTAGCAGGTGATATAACAATATGAAGCTTGAGTACATCTCTATTAGGACCTACGAGATAAGATGATGTAGTGTTTGGTGATTTAGCACTTGGTTGAGGATTAAGCTCTTCGAAAGGCAGTAAATCATCTAAGTTAAGAACACGATCTGTTTTGCTGAATCGGTGAGTAATTTCAGTAACTCTAGCAATGTGTTCAACACCATCTTGAAGACCATATATTAAAACACCAATTTTTACTCTCATATCAGCATCAGCATTAACAGGAGGTTCTTTACAAGTTAATGAAAGTCTGACTGATCGTATTACATGTTCAGGCATTTCTACAGTGCCTTGCCAGACTATAAGGAAAAATTTTTTAAACCAAACTCCTTTTGGATAAATATCAATGACCCATTCACAGGCACGATCACCTGCATGTTCTGCAAGAAATGAATGACTAGAGAACACAAGAGTTCTAGTGTGGTATGCAGGCAGATTATGGAAATTTTCAACTGTGAGTAATGAACTACAAGTATCAACAGTGTAAAGTCTTGGTTCAAATAAAAGAGCTCCATCGTCTTCATTTCTAATAACTTCTTGAACTCTATCATGTTGTCCTGAATGAAATGACATTCCAATAGCCATTCTTTCTACAAAAAACTCCTTGTACTTTTTTGTAAGTGGAGATAATAAAAGTTCTGCAAGCTGGCGCGGTGACATCATAGGAAATCTGACGGGAGTCATGACGGCGATCACAAGTTGTTTTAATGTTGATTCATATTCTAATGGTGGCAGTTGGGCTTTCATACGGTTGGCTTGGTAATTTAACCATGATTCAAGACATTTATACAAAGTCATTTCATCTTTTATGACAAGACTACTTTGATGAAGTAATGATACAAGGACATCTAATTCAAAATTACCAAAGTCAGATGTTTTTGCTACTAATTCAATATTCCATTTGATAAAATTCTGGCATGTTTGAGTAATTTCATAATGACCACAGTTCGATGTGTACTCCAACCATGAAACTAATGTACCATGAATTGCTGCAATTGCAATGTGATTCTGCATGTACTCCAAACAAAGAGTGATTAAATCCTTTACATTATATTTATCAGCTAATGATAGTATTGGCAAAACAACTTCGTAGCTAATTCTAATTTGGCCTGTGTAAAAATATCGAAGAAATTCGCTGAATATTGGAACGCATTGTGGAGTTTCTTGAAGTGTTACACGACTTTCTTGAGATTCTGACCATTGGGGACTCATTAACATTACCTACAATTTGAAAAATAAACAAATGAATAAATTTATTATTCCTAAGATAATTATGAATATATTATACGATTCAACATAAGAGTAGCATAATCATTTTTTTACTTGAAATACATCACTAGAAGCGCATAAAATAAGACGATGAGCAGGATATTCAATTCCATCTACCACTAAACAAATGTCATTCATAAGCCGTTCAGCATATAATGTTGCTATTTTTAAAAGAATTGTATGCGAATTATCCACCTGAAAAAATAATTTATATTAAAAATTGAACTTGTATTTAGGTTTGATTGAAATGATTCAAAAATGTCATTGTAAGATATTGAAGTAATACCTCAATCGCATCAGGAGTTGTAGGAACATCACTGGTGGTTGGTTCATTCTGAAGAGTTGTCATTTTACTTTGATCCATACTAGTAAAACTCGTTACCCATCTTAAAGTACTACGCAACATTTGCACATGTTTTCTCGACGTTATTAAGCTTTTGGTGCCCTTTATGCATAAAATGCAATTAGGGCATCATGGATTTTTTATAACAAGTTCCATTATTTTCTTCATTTAAAAAATATCTCTAGGTATGTTGAATGTGTATATTTACACTTTTCACGTCTCCATCCTTGATCTTCTCACTTGAACATAAACTAAAGAAAAAACTAAGAGAGAATTCTAGTAAAAGACAAAATCACTGTCATTTTTACTTGTAACTATTTTATCGATTAATTTACCAGTTAATTAACCGACCATCGGATTTTTCCAAAGTAATGGCTACCGCGAACATTTGAATATGATATATTTATTGAAAATACACCAAAACAATTTTAATAAAATTCTCAATATTTTTGATTCAATATACATAATAATTTTGTTCATTTATTTTATTGTTATTAAATATTGGTCTTTTGATGAAGAGAAATATATTTTCATACTGGAAAAAAACCGAAAATAAAACAAAATTATCCGCGGATTCAAATTTTTTTATTAATTTAATTGATGCGCAGATAACTTTTACGCAGTTAAATAGAATTAATGACCGTAGTTATTCCCACGGGACATTTAGACGGATTATTGACGAGCTACAATCAAAACACTAGAAGAGTAAAATTTGAGGTTACACGGGAAATTATTTATTTAAAGTTATTTTAAGCTATTATTAATTAGAAATTATTATACAGGTAATTATTTTATACGGGAAATTAATTATTTCAAGTTTGTGAACCAGCTTAGAAACAATTTGTGCGCATGCGCCAAAAATTTCCCGGTATAACCTCCAACCGTAGTTGACAAAACATATAGACTTATTTAAAAGAAAACTAAATTACAGAATTTATTCAAATGCTCACTATTATCGAAGTAAAATAATATGTTTTTTGTCAATACATATATAAATTATTATTTACAATGCAATAATATCTATAGAGAGAATTCTAAATAACGAGGTATGCATGTTTGTGAGGTTAAATTATCTATGCATCTAAATAATCCAAAAGTGTGATTTAAATATTAATTAATTTCTTACAGGTAAAAAGCTCTGTTTTATGAATAACTATGGATTTCATATTTTTTATAATTGTTATTATAACTTTATTAATAAGTCGTATTCTTTATATAAAATATTTTGATAATCAAACTGTGGCCAGGAATGATAAAAATCGAGTAAAAACTTTAATAATCTTAGGCTCTGGTGGGCATACAACCGAAATGTTGAGAATTATTCAAAATTTAGATTTAAGGAGATATACGCCTCGTGTGTATATTCATGGAGCCACAGATAAAATGAGCTTTCTTAAACTGCAACAACTTGAGCAAAACAACAATGATTATGTTGTTCGTAGCATACTTCGCAGTCGAGAAGTAGGGCAATCATATTTAACCAGTGTGATAACTACTCTAATAGCTATTCTCAAAGCTTTAATAATTGTTTACCAAGAAAATCCAGATCTAATACTTTGTAATGGACCGGGAACTGGTCTACCTTTATGTTTAGGTGCATTTCTGTTAAGAATAATATTTTGTAGCAAAGCAAAAATCATTTTTATAGAGAGCTTTTGTAGAGTAAAAACCCTTTCATTGACTGGAAAGCTATTATATTTTTTTTCTGATCATTTAATTGTACAATGGGCTAACTTGTACAATAAAAATAAAAGAAATATGCATTTAGCTTCGTCATAATTTTTGTAAGATAAAATAAAACTGATATAATACAGAAATGTTTTGATTTTCTTATTTTTATTACAGATAAAAATGTCTCTAGCACCATTAATTACAAAAGGATTTCCTTGGGATGATATATTGAACATTTGTAACGACCAACTGCATCCAGAAATAAAAGCTCACATTGTACCTTTGTACAAACAATTGCATAAATATCTTGATAAAAATGAGTAATTACTATTTATATATAAATTGCTTAGTACTATCTATGAGCAATATTAAAGAAATATTTCTTATATATTTTTAGAAAACCATCAAAAAGCTGGATCGAATGTAGGCTCATAAGAATTGATGCTTGCCTGTATAGAATCTGGGAAGATTTAAATACCGGACATTGGAAAAATGTTCCGATCCAGCATCGATATTCGTATACAATTTGTAGTATCGTGAAGGTATTTTTTTCTTTTAGCATATCATATCAATTAAAATTATTAGTTTTTTACAATACACTTGTAGTCTATTGTGCTAGAAATTTATTCTGATTATGATGGGATAGAAAAAAATGAAAAAATCAAAGAAGTTGCCCAACAAGTTGATAAAGGTCTTCTTCTGGGAGCTCCTTTGGAAAACTTTCCAAATTTATTAACCGACATAGCATCTCGAATAAATGAATATCTTTCTCGTAAGTTTCTGGCATTATTATAGTTTCTATTTCTGTAATATCGATAGTAATACCACACTAAAAACTTCTAGATGATGTTTCTAAAGCTACTGAAACTTTGTTCGAAGACACTGGAGACCGTCTACCAAAAGAACTTCTCCAAAATTGTATCTGGGTAAAGCGTTATAAAACACCTTCTTTGGAAACATTTCATAGAGAAGTGTTTGCATTAACTCCTGCTATTCTAGAAGGTATATAACTTATTATCATCATTATTTACAAACTTATATTGTAATTTATTTACTTAGGATGCATGGATCATTGGAGAGCTTTAACATTATGGAAAGATCCAAATTATTTAATAAAAGTAGCTGGAACAAGAACAGTGCCGATAGAAATAGGATCATCGTACACAGAAGAAGACTGGTCGCAACAACTTCTTACTTTGAAAGACTTTATTCAATTACATGTAAAAGGAACTCCGGAAAAAGTTGGATATTTAGCTCAACATCAGTTGTTCGAACAAGTAATTTAAAACATATTTTTTCAGTTATTTATTTTATCTTTTTCTATTAAGAAAATTATTTAATCTTATATAAACAGATTCCAGATTTAAAAGAAGATTTTTCAATACCTGATTATTGTTGTTTTGGAGACAATGCTGATAATGCACCTGTTGATATCAACGCTTGGTTCGGTCCTAAAGGAACAATATCTCCATTACATTGTGATCCAAGGGATAATTTATTGTGTCAGGTAATGTACCAAAGAAGATAAGCTATAATTAAATTTAATTAGGTTTGGTCAAATCTGACGTTCGTTTCATGTAGATTAACTCGATCTAATTAGGTGTGATTAGATCTAATTCTATATTCAACAAGATCTGATCTAGATTAATGTAGGTTTGTCTAATTTAGGTATTTGGGTGCAAAAAAATTATTCTATATCATCCGAATGATCGAGAGTACTTGTATCCTTATGCCACTAGATTATTATGTAACACAGCTGGGGTTGATCCACTTAATCCAGATTATGAGAAATTCCCTAAGTTTAAAAATGCTAAAGGATTTATGTGTTATCTTGAACCAGGAGAAATGTTATATATTCCTCCTGGCTGGTGGCATCATGTTGTCAGTCTTTCACCAAGTTTTTCAATAAGTTTCTGGTGGAATTAATATTTTTAGAATAAATGATTACATGGACCAAAGAAGTATCTTTATTAAAAGTTTAAGAGGTATCGTCCTTAAATTTATCGTATAATTATATGTTGACTAAAATTGGCAATTTTAATTGTTATATAGAATATTTTCCATGTGACTTGAGATCGAAAATGAAAGAAATGTATACTTCAACGTGTGCTAAAAATACTTAAACGACTTATGTCTTCAGTATAGGACGTATATACAAGAACATATATACATGAAAGTCGTCAATTTCAATGTAAAATTTATAATTTTATAACAATGGCAGAGACTATATATCCACCAATTATAAAACTTGAGGTAAGAACATCTAGAACACATAGTAATCCATAATTGATTTTAAATGATTGTACACTTTTTTCACTGATTCTCTCATGAGCTTTTAACCTTGCTAATGATTTTAAATTTATCTTACAATCATTTTTTCATTCATAAAATCGTTGATTTTTTAGTGAAAATATTATTCTTAAGCCTAAAAATAATGGTATTTTTAATTATTTAAAATTCTAGTTTTTAATTATTGAATTAAATATTTTTTAACAAGTTATTCATACTTTCATTATACTGAAATTATACTTTATAAACTTGGTCAGATTTATTATTAGCATCTTACCCTAGCTAAGTGTCGGCGATTGAAGCTATTTTTAAGATTCACTGTTTATTGAGATTGATCACTGTATCGATTATTTTATTTTTACACAATAAACCGATTTGTTGACAAGTTCAATAGTTAATTCATTCATCCTCTTTGCGTTCTGGAACATTTTATTTATGTTATACATTTTTTAGAAGTACTAAAATAAAGTGTAATTTATGGAAACTAGATCAACAGGTAGACTGTTGAGCCTAAAGATGAATAATCATTCAAAAATTATTTCACGCTAAAAATTTATTCTAGTAGAGAAAACCTTGATCTTGAACTTAGCATGCTTTTTTAGAAAGTTAAAGAATAACTAGTTTAATTAACTAAATTTAATATTTTTTAAAAATTTCAATAACTAATTTATTTCCTAGGCTACGTCTGCTAATTATTTCACCATAAATATAATTATTATAATAAATTATTTTATTGCAATATTATATTATTCAGTTATCTAAAAAAATTCAAGTTGTAAGATTTTTCAATATATTCCAGTTAAATCGTTTAAATTTTTTAATTAGTTTACTACTTAAGACGAAGTTCAATTAATGAATAATTTAAAATATTGAATAAGTAATAAAATAATTAAAAAATTATTAATTTTAGGCGTGACTGAAATAAAGTTACATTTTTATTAAAAAATGATTGATGTTATTTTAATCTACTGATATTTTCTTCAGAAATGAATCGGAAATTAGGTATTTAAAAGAATTATAAGGTAGAGATAATTTCATTGATCACGCAGTGTTACCATTGAAATGGAACCCTAAAGATTTTTTAAAATTACAACCGAACCCACATGAATTTTTGGAAGGACAATTTTTTGTATGAGTCCGAGTGACAATATCACTGTAAAACTTAGAGGTTCTTTTATTGATCTGGAGAATAATGAATAAAGCTTTTGCGTCGATGGTCTGAGCATTCTACAACTGCGCACATGGGGTGAAGTTTTAATCAGCTAGTGAAGCTTATAGTGAATTTATTTTCAATGTCCTGATAAAGTTTTCTTTTTATAATAGTTCAAATCTATACCTATTGTGATAAGATGAAAAATCTATCGACTTGGAAGATGTAAATTTTGAAAAATCAAGGCTTATCAGATCATCATTAAAATATCATGGTATTTTCAACCTTGAGTTTGCGCACTAATCATTCAAGGTGTCGCGTAGGAATCAAAGACATCCCCTTCTTTACCAGTTATAATGAGTAAAAGAGTCACGGGGTGGCTCCTTGCTTATTAGATCCTTGTTAATTATTTTTTGGTGCATGCCTATTAGTTTTAATGATAGTTTGTTAAGTCATATTATTTGATAGAAAGTGAATAAAAGTTCAGATAAAAAATAGTCAAACCAGGATAGAGTAAATATCAGAAAAGCTGGAAATAATACTTTCTGAAACACGGAGTTGTCTCAACGTCAATCACGAGACACCGACTCCACGATGGTAACAGACAGTACAAGCCAGGTATGATTATTTTTAGAATTAAATCTCCAAGGATATCAACCTAGGAAATTTTTGTCTATTTTTTTTTAACTTAAACTTTGAAATATTTAATTATTAGCAAACCTTCGTTATCGAATATTCTGACAGTTCTCGACTCTCCAATGCAGACGTGAAGAGTGTGATTGCGGCAAAGTACAAATAAATTTTAAAAATTGATGATCTAGCTTTCAGACACTAGTGTTGGTAGATATATTAAAGTATTTTATGGTTACATAATATTTCCAAAAAACCGCTCATGAATTATTCAAACCAAGTAGAGTATTTGAAGAGGTTTTAACTTGCCGGGTCCTCTAAAAAAAGCTTCGTCAAAGATAGTTTTAGATCTCCCTAAACCGGTTTTTTGGAATTTAAATTATAAGTTAAATGTCGTTGAACACTACATCTAATCTGACCAAAAATTTTTTAATCAAATTAATTGCATTTAAATGTGAACTCTTAGATTTTAATTAATTTAATTTGATGTGATGATAATTAAGCATGATTTTAGGTCATTTATTATATATGTATTATCATTGTTTTGATCTTGATAAATTTTATTATTCAAATTTATTATATTTAATAATTGAAATAATACCGATTGATTGAGTTATTCAATATGAAAGAACAATTAATTGGGTATTTCTACTACAATTCATAAATACCAATACATAGTCTGATGTTATCGATTGTTTCAATTGTTGAATATTTTCATCAATTTTATTTCACTCTATGGAACTGTACAATACCTTTTTTGCATTCTTTTATTAACGATTGATTATTTTATTTTTTATTTCAGACTGACGATACGACAGTGTTTCTTCGAGCTGCTCGGTCTGGTAATCTGGAAAAAGTTATTAAATATCTAGATGCTGATCTTGATATCAATATAGCCAATTCTGTTAGTTGATGCTGTTTCTTTTATTTTAAAATGATTAGATAATTTTTTTAATAAATAATAAAATTTAAGTCTAATTATTGTTTATGTTTTTTTTTGTTTTTTTAGAATGGACTAAATGCTTTGCATTTAGCATCTAAAGATGGGCATGTTGAAATAGTGACGGAATTATTGAAAAGAGGAGCAAAAGTTGATGCTGCAACAAAAAAAGGAAATACTGCACTGCATATTGCATCATTAGGTAAATCTTTTTTATGCTCAGTGTAAAACGTATGCTTTTAATGGAGAGGTTTCTGTCAACAATCTCTTTAAAAGATGAAACTGACTCTTTTCTAGATATTGTCAGACTTTTTGTTCTTTTTTATTTGATAGAATGGGGTGTGTTAATGTTTCTGAACTTTCCATTTACTGTCAAGTACATAAAAATATTCTTTTATCATCGACCAGACTATGTACTTGTTCCATGTATTACTTTAAAACAGAAAAAGTAATTGGATCAACCTTGTTTTTAATTTATTGATTTCTCTGTCTTAAGATATTTACAAAAATTAATTAGTTTTATAATTAAATTTATTTTAATTTATTAGAGTGAATTTTTTGAAATTAATATTAATTTTTAAAATATTCTTCTTATAAATTATGTCTTCATTATTATTGACCATTTATTCATATCATAAAATATGTCATGATATTTTTTATCATTAACGAGTTAAGTATCGATTATTAATTATTTTTTATTCAAATATTCTTTGCTTCACATAGTTCATTTGTTAAGTTCTTTTTATAAATTATTTTAATGTTTTTATCGATAAATTGTATTTATAATAACTTCATCTTAATTCATCTTGAGTCTCAAAAAAAAAAATTGATCACTGGTTACAGTTAATAAGTTAGAGAAAGAATTTTGTAAAAAATTTTATGATTCTGACATTTAGGAGTAAAAGTTAAAACTAATGTTCAAATAAAATAATGGTTTTGAAAACTTGTTTTTAGTTCAAACTAAAATTGACTTCTCGGGCAGAATTAGGTGAAATTTTTTGTCCATTAATTAAAAAAAACCACAAGACACTTTCAAGTTTAGATATTTTCATTCTTCATCATGAATGATACTCCAATCTTGAGTGGATCAATAATTTCTTCAATTTTTCTTTCATGTTTGAGTTTATTGTAGAGGATTGTTTTCAGCAAAATATATTATTTTTTCAGCTGGTCAAATTGATGTTGTCAATATTTTAATTCAATACGGAGCAGCAGTGAATACTCAATCTCAAAATGGCTTTACTCCTTTATATATGGCTGCCCAAGAGAACCATGATCAAGTAGTTAAATTATTGCTATCGAATGGTGCCAATCAAAGTTTAGCAACAGAAGTAAATTTCCAAGCGTTTACTCATACTACTTATAAACTATCAAAAGTAGAAAAAACTGAGCCCCAAGGGTGTTTTAAACATCCTTGAGTTTCAACATTTTTTACTCTTGTCAAGTTTTTTGTGAACATTGATAGCTTAATAAATAGTAAGTTAAACTTTTTATGATAAATATTTTATTTTAGGACGGATTTACACCACTTGCTGTAGCTATGCAACAAGGTCACGATAAAGTAGTTAGTGTATTACTTGAAAATGACTTGAAAGGAAAAGTCAGGCTTCCAGCATTACACATTGCTGCGAAAAAAGATGATTGTAAAGCAGCTGATCTACTCCTACAAGTACCGAATTTATCTTAAAGAAATACTAATAAATATTTATTTAATTATTCTATATTCTATAAAATAATTTCAGAATGATCACAAGCCTGATGTAACTTCTAAAAGCGGCTTTACGCCGCTACACATTGCAGCACACTATGGGAATGAAGAAATAGGTCGATTATTAATAAAAAAAGGTGCAGACGTAAATTATGTAGCAAAGGTACTCTTACTAACAAGTATACTTAAATTTCATTTTTTATTCTCTAATTTGCTTTTTGAATCTCAATAGCACAACATCAGTCCATTACACGTGGCAGCAAAATGGGGGAAAAACAATATGGTCAAACTTCTTTTAGAAAATTCAGCAATGATTGATGCTAAAACGAGAGATGGATTAACACCACTTCATTGTGCTGCTCGATCAGGACATGAGGAAGTTGTTTCAACCTTGCTTGAACATTCAGCACCTATTAGTGCTAGAACAAAGGTATGTATCTTACTAGGATCTTATTTACTTAGTTGATTGGATTAATTAATTATTTGTTCATGATGATAGAATGGTCTAGCACCTCTTCACATGGCATCTCAAGGTGATCATGTAGATGCTGCGAGGGTATTATTATACCATCGAGCTCCCGTTGATGAAGTGACAATCGATTACCTAACATCACTTCATGTAGCAGCCCACTGTGGTCATGTACGAGTCGCTAAATTACTTCTCGATCGAAAAGCTGATCCCAATGCTCGTGCTCTCAATGGATTTACTCCTCTTCATATTGCATGCAAGAAAAATCGAATTAAAATTGTTGAACTTTTGTTAAAACATGGTGCATCAATCGAATCAACTACGGAGGTAAGCGAAAAGAGCTCATAAATGAATAAATGAATAAAATAATCTGATAAGAAGACCCTTTTATGGATCGTCTAAGTTAGTAAAAAAATTACAGATCAATAATAATTAGCATTTGCTTACTTACTACGTGATTTTAAACTGAAATAAAGAATTTTTATAAGGGGTTGACATAAATGAATAAAGTAAGTTAGAATTTATTCATAGTTATATTGATCTATTTGCAGTCTGGATTAACACCTCTACATGTAGCCAGTTTTATGGGATGCATGAATATCGTTATATTCTTACTTCAACATGAAGCAAATCCCGATGTGCCAACTGTTAGAGGTGAAACTCCTTTACATTTAGCAGCTCGAGCAAACCAAACCGATATTATCCGAATTTTATTACGAAATGGCGCCAAAGTAGATGCTCGTGCAAGGGTAAATCCATTCACCTAAATCATTCATATAAGATTTGTCTGTTATGCAAATAATTATATTATGGATTTTATTTTTCGATGTAGGAAGATCAAACTCCCTTACATATTGCTGCAAGACTAGGAAATGTAGATATTGTAATGTTGTTATTGCAACATGGTGCAGCAGTTGACATAACAACCAAAGATATGTATACAGCTCTTCACATAGCAGCTAAAGAAGGGCAAGAAGAGGTAATGTACAAGGAACTTTCCCAAATTGCAGATTATATTAATACACAAAATACAACACATTTATTTTGGCGTCGTTACAGAGAATATTTGATATAATTGATTATTATCAGTATCACATCATATCACTATTATAATTTCTTTTAATTTAATATATTTTAAAATTCATTTATACTTGTATTTTGTTTATGTATATATTTTCATTTTGTTGCTTTATTAATAAAACGAGGATCGTTATAAATACTGTTCATATTTATGTTATGTGTGTTTGAGTTTCGTTATCTGTTATGTTAATTTAAGTATTATTTAAATTAAGTTTAGTGTTAGAAGTATTATACATCATTTTAGTGGAACATAGTATGTACTGAATTGGTGTTGTTAAAAGGTAAGCACTTAATTACCTTCACTTCATTTACATCAACATATTTTTTCAAGTTCTTTCATTAATTACTTTTCTATAATTAATTTGTTTTTTGTTGGCTAAAAATAACCAAACACTTTTTGATGCTTATAAATATTATGATGTTAAATTATACAGAAAATTAATGTGTAAAAATGTTTAAGGTTGCTGCTATCCTTGTGGAAAATCATGCATCCGTTAAAGCTACGACGAAAAATGGATTTACTCCTTTGCATATTGCAGCGAAATATGGTAATATGAACGTAGCGAAAATACTCTTGCAAAAGGATAGTGATATTGATGCTCAAGGAAAGGTAAGCATGTTTTCGCTCTGTCTGACTTAATCTTGACTTTTATCACTTCTATCCTTACTTCTTCAAAAAGCAATTTTTTTTTTTATTAAATGGAAATTGGAATGAATGAAATACAAATAATTTGAGAATTTAATTAAAATTGTTACATTAGCACAAAATCAATTAGTTTAATCAATTATTGTATTTATTTAGAATGATGTTACTCCATTACATTTGGCATGTCATTACGATCATCCAAACGTTGCCAACATGATTTTGGAGAAAGGTGCATCACCTCATTTAGCATTTCAAAATGGACATACACCACTACACATTGCAGCTCGTAAAAATCAAATGGATATAGCATCAACATTGCTAGAGCATGGGGCTGATCCAAACGCACAATCGAAAGCTGGTTTTACACCATTACAATTAAGCGCTCAAAAGGGTCATTATGATATGACGAATTTATTAATTGAACATGGAGCTGATCCAAATCACAAAGCAAAGAATGGTTTAACTGCTCTACATTTGTGTGCTCAAGAAGATTCTATTCGTGTAGCATCAGTTTTGGTAAAAAATGGTGCAAATGTTGAAAGTGCTACTGAATCTGGATATAGACCGATACATGTTGCTTCTCATTTTGGAAATATATCGATGATTCGATTTCTTCTTAAGCATAATGCACAAATTGATGTACGAACTAAACAAAATTATACTCCTTTACATCAAGCTGCACAGCAAGGACATGCTCATGTTGTATCAGCCCTGCTAGAAGAAAATGCCTCTCATACAGCAAAGACAACTGTAAGTAATGTCAATTAGGAATATCTATTATAATTATTTCTTTTAAAAATAATTTTATTTATTCCATTTTTAGGATGATTTAACTCCTTTGAATATAGCTCAAAAATTAGGATATATCTCTGTCATGGAAGTACTCAAAGGACTTAGTTATGATAGTAAAACTCCAGACAATAAAACTTGGGAGGAAAAATACAAGGTTATTGCACCAGAAAGTTTACATGAGACTTGCTTTATGTCAGATTCAGATGATGAAGGAGGTATGTAAATTAATGAAGATAGATGTTTTAAAAATTTTTACCTTAATTAGACTTGAATTTTTTCATGGCATGAAATGAAGTTCGTTATCACATGATTGATTATTTGTTTTTTTCTTTAGTTTCAGATGGATTAACCAATGAACAGCCTTACAGATATTTAACTGTAGACTTGATGAAAAGCTTACGGGATGATTCATTACCAATTGATGTTACTCGAGATGATCCTGTGCATCGACAACTGTCGAAAGAAGAAAAACAGGAATTTACTCAGAGTAGTAATTATTGTCCTCCAGAGAATTTCGACTCGACTGATGGAATAAATTTAGGGTGAGTGATGTTAAATAAATATTTATAAATAGGAAAAGACTCTTTCCTAGATCTTTTAATAAATAAATTAGTATCTATCATTATGTAATGTATTTTTTTTTTTTTCTAGAAGACTAAACTACAGGTCGTAAGTATTTTAATTAACATGTAAATGTTTAATGGATGAAAAAGAAATATTTAAATGATTTTTTTTTCTTAATGTAGATTCTTCGTAAGCTTTTTGGTAGATGCCCGGGGAGGTACAATGAAAGGTTGTCGATACAGTGGAATAAGAATAATTGTCCCACCAAGAAGAGCAACTATGCCTATTCGGGTGACTTGCAGATTGGTGAAGTTAAGTAAGGTCCCCAATCCACCAGCATTGATGGAAGGTGAATCTTTGGCTACTCGAATAATTGAAATGGGACCTGTTGGAGCATCATTTCTAGGGTAATTATTATAATTCACATTTTATTCTATCCCTTTTTTTGCATTAATTCATATAAAATTCATTTACAGCCCTGTTTTAATTGACATACCTCATTTTGCATCTGTTCATGGCAAAGAAAGAGAAATAATAATACTGAGAAGTGAAAATGGAGAAACATGGAAGGAACATGATAACTCATATGAGAATGATGAGTCTCTCTTTAATACTGCTTATGATACGCAAATGAGTGCATCACACTGTGGAAGGATTGTTCGAATAATTACAACAGAATTTCCACAATATTTTGCTATTGTAACACGAATCAAACAGGAAGTTCATGTAATTGGTGCAGATGGTGGAATACTAATTTCTAGTGTGGCTAATCATGTTCAAGCAGTATTTCCGCCTGGTGCTTTAACCAAGAAAATTAAAGTTGGATTACAGGTTAATATCTTAATTAATATTCCGGTCGATATTGGATTATTATCAGTAGAATTACATTTAATTTTCCTTTTGATTTAGGCTCATGTCATTCCAACTGAACTCACTGCAAAGTTATTAGGAAATTGTGTCGCAGTTTCACCGGTAATTACCATAGAACCTAGGAGAAGAAAATTCCATAAACCTATAACTTTAACAATACCAGTTCCTCAAGCTGCCAGTAAAGGGATGATTAATCAATATGAAGGTGAAACTCCGACCCTTCGTTTACTCTGTAGTATTGCAGGTATGACAGAATTATTACATCGTTAATTTCAACTGCCAATAGCAAGTTGGCTGAATTTAAATTATTTGTAGGTGGTACAAGTGAAGCTCAATGGGAAGATGTCACCGGTTCAACTCCTCTAACGTTTTTAAACAATCGTGTGTCCTTTACGACCACAGTTTCCGCCAGATTTTGGCTTATGGACTGCAGAAATATTAGTGAAGTACCTAAAATGGCTACGGAACTTTATAAAGAGTCCCTTTTTGTACCGTTTATAACGAAGTAAGTAAAATAATCTAAAATTTATAACACTAATCTAATCAGATCAAATAAATTTTGAAAATATTTTTGGAATTATATTCAAGATGATATTTTTAAGAATAACTCATCAGCTCAACTATTTTAATTAATTTAAATTATTGAATTCCGGCGTGTATGAAATTATAAATTAAATTATTTTTACAGCTTTGTTATTTATACCAAACGATTTGACGTGGTAGAAGCAACTTTGCGTATTTTATGTATGACTGGTGGAAAGGATGGATTACATACACTGGAACAACAAGAAGAATTTCTGGAAATTGTGAAGAGTCGTGATGTTGAAGTAATTTCTAAATATTAATTTAATAGTATGATGAATTTAATTATGAATGATCCAAGTATGATGAAAGATATTTCTTACAGGCTTTAGATGGAAAGGAAATCTTCTTAGAATTTAGTGGTAATCTTGTACCTGTAACGAAATCCGGCCAACAGCTCAAGTTCACTTTTAAGGCATTCCGTCAAAATAGATTATCCTTCCACGTTAAAGTTAAAGATCCACTTTTGGATCCTGTTGCACGAATGATGTTTATGCGTGATCCTAGAGTAGCTAAAGGCGAACCAGCTCAACAGCCAATTTGTGTTTTAAATATCGTTCTTCCAGAAGTCGCCGTTCAAAAATCTCAATCAAGATCGAAATTAAAAGGTAACTAAGCATTCCACTCTGGCTTTAAAATGTTCAAGTATGTGCTTTTATTTTTTGAATGAGCTGGCTTGCATGATAATTTGGAATTTATTATTCTTTTTTTTATTGTAGAATTAGATTCTGAATTTATGAATAAAATGGACCTTTATAAAACAACATATATGCAAGATTATGGAGAAAAACGTGATATGCCTAAATTAACATCATCCAACGAACAAGAAAAAATTGATGATATTGTAGAAAAAAAGAACAAAGGTATGTACGGTTACTAATTGATTTTTTTTGTTTTTCAAACCTCTCATTTGCAAGAAGTCATTTTTATTTAATATTAGATTAATGAGAAAATATCATAGAATTAGTGCAAAGAAATAGAAGGACATAAAGTTCTTACTTTATTATTTCTATAGAAATATTATATAAATAAATACATTGGCCTAAATATTTTCTTGTGAAATAATAAACATACATTTTGCGAGTATTTATCATTGATCTGATTATAACATAAGGTTAGCCTAGTTAGGCTTCCTAAATTTAATTAATGTCAACTTATGTGACCAAGAGATTCTAAGATACTTAACATCAACATTTTAGTAATCACTGAGCCATCGTCAAAGCAAATATATTTTGTGTGATTGAATTATCGAAAAAGTATTCCTCTAACGCTCATAATATTTGACAAGAACGTGAGTGAATAAATAAACAACTAATTATGAATAATTGTTTTTAAAACTCAGGTTTTTTATTTTTTTATTTCAGGTATTTTCTTTTTTAAATTTTTATTTAATTCTTCTTCAAACTCATAAGAAAATATTTTTTTATAAATTTCTATAAACTGTCAATCAAAGTTGAATCATGAGTGACGAAAATCAAGAGCCTGTACTGGATCAAGTACATCAAGTACATCAAATAAACTGTAATGTAGGATCATTAAATGATGCAAATGCTACTAAAAAAGAAGCTTTATTAGTGAGATCAGATAGTGGTACATCATGTGGTACAAAACCAAAAAGGAAATCAAAAGCTGCTCGTCGTCGTTTGCATGCTATGATGAGTAATGTATCACTGCATTTTTCTGATACTGATTCTGAAGGAGAATTGGCAATAATTAATACTCAGAAGAATTCTTTAAGCCCATCAAAAAGTCCTAGAAAAAATCCAGTAGCACCAATCATATCAGTAACTCTGGAAAATTCAGAATCCGAACCTGTTGAAATGAACTGGGATGGTCTAAATAATTTTCCAAGAAGTCCCAGACGAAATAGCTTTGTAGATAATTTAACAGACGTAGATGAAATTCTAGTTGGAAGTGATGTAGAAACTCCTACAGTAGAAAATAAAGGACTGGCTGTTTTTGAAAATGATATCCAAGGAGAAACAGATATGGAAGATGTATCTAATGATGAAGAAGATCATGATGAACCAATTTATGTACGACCAAGAATGGATATTCTTCGTGAACTCAGTGGTGGAACCATAACAACTAAAGAAGGTGATGGGCCTTTTTCTGTTGAAGTTAGAAATCAAATGTCTTTTGATGAAGATGATGCCCGAGACTTCCCTCATGGATGTCTTACTGATGAACTGGTTATTTACGGAGGCACAGATTCTGAAGAGATGAACGCTTCTGATGAGGACGAAGGACTTGATGAAGCTTGTGGACAAAGAAGTTTGATGGAAGAATTTGATTTTCTTGCTGCATCACAAGTAGAAATGACAAATGTTCAGAAGTCGAATGATTTATTAAGCGTTAGAGAACCAACTGACGATGGTTCCTATGATGGTCATACAGATATTGAGGATGTAGATTAAATTGAACACAATTCAAATGATAAATGATATTTTTTCTTTTGCACTAATCCTTCTAGAAGTTTAATTTTTATTTAAAAAATAGATTCACTCATATATAATCAAAATTTCATCATGAATGTTGAGCTTTTAGAAAAAATAATAGTAAATTAATAAAAGCTTATTATCAAAATATCAATCTTGTTACAAAAATTAATTGTAAGACGCTGAATTACAATGTTTAATTTTGTTTTTTATTGCATGAAGACCAGTATTTGATTTAATTTTTACTGTTCAATTCTATTAAGAATTAATTATTGATTAAAAATTACTCATCATTATAAATGATATCATTTATTTTACTAAATTTATATCATTAAAAATATATATTTAAATGTGAAAACAATAATATATAAATCTTAGTTTTGTTAATGATTTTATTTTTTGATAAATTCTTGTGATTTATGAAACTTATTAAAGTATATTTATAAACTTATTTATTTTTCAATTCAAAGCAGATAGTTTTTTTTAAAAAAATAATGATATCTATTGAGAAACTGAATCAATAAAATCTATAGAAAAAATGTTCCAAACGTGTTAGAAAATAAATAACTGAGAAAATTCTATTTGATGTTAATTGAAAGAAGATTTATGGGGCGAAGTGAAGTGAGAGTAATCTTTAATCATTAGAAAAACATGTTATATGGATTCTTAAATGATAATCAATTATTATCCATAATATTAACTTCACTTGGCTGTTTTTCAAATCAAATAAAAGATAACTTTCACTGTTAATTATTTGAGATATATAAATGTTTGTTCGTCTGTATCAATAATAAAATACTGTTAATGATGTTAACATAAATTTTATGGAGTATTGTTAACTCTTAGCAGTTGTATGATTAATTTGTTAAACATACTTATATTTTAAAATTTGATTAATCAATGTTCAACATTGTATTCAAATGTATGTGTAAAATTAAATATTAAATTACGGTCTAAATAAAAAAGATAATTACAGATATGCATTTTTGGCTGTTTTAGATGCCGCAATTGTTGAATCCTTAGCAAAAAATGTGGCTTGCTCTCTAGAATCTGTAGATGCTAGTAATATTGATAATGCAAATGATCATAAAGACATGTCACCAACCCTTGAACACCAAACATATTCTGAGAAATTAAGATTTTGGGAAGAAGTTTCCAAAAAAAGAGATAGTTATCAACGATCAGAATCTGAAATTTCTAGAGCTTCTCAATTAACTATTAATGAGACTGACAGTGAATTTGCGCAAAATGTTGTTTCAGAAGACAATGATGTTATACTCAATGATTCCGAAACCATGGAAGAGTTAGATGTTCCTGATATTTCTGAGTGTACAGTTGCAGAGAAAGCACACTATTTTGAAGAACAAATTCAAAAGGAAATAGAGACAGCAGTTAAAGTACCATTCACCAAAACCCCAGGTGGGCAAGACTCCAAAAAAGGTAAACAAAATAATATTGTTGATCAAACTTCTATCTTAGAGACTGAAGGAGCTGATTTGAAATCTATCAAGCATGATAAAAATGTTGAAAGTCAAAAATTAGAGAAGAAATCAATGGTAAGTCAGATTCCGAAGAAGATAAGTTCTCCTGAAGAAAATAAAAAGGAAAATGAAAAAATAAAAAGTGAACAAATGGAAGACAAGACTATTCGTAAAAAATCCATGGATCTTGGTGAACCAGAAGTTAAGATTATTGAACAAAAATCTGAAGTGCGAGTTGAAACGAAAATCCCAGCTTCTAAAATTCCTACGAAGGTAAAAACAGATTCGACAAGTTCTAAAATGGATAATAAAGAGATTACAAATAAATCTGATACTGTGAATCTTATTAAAAAAGAAGTAGAAAGTAAAATATCAGGAATTCCAATTCCTTCATCTAAAAATAATAAACTTGAATTGGATATGTCACCCAAAGATATTGACGATAATAAGAAAAAATCTAAAATCCCAGTGCAAGTTGTTAGTTCAACAACAAAAATTGTCGACAATAATCAAGGGAAAGAGGCTGTAATTACTGTGACAGAAACGAAAATCACTGAAACAATATCTCAACATTATGAGAAACAAACCACTGAGACTAAATCACAATCTCAGACTGTCATTAAAACAGTAACACATCCTAAAGATTCATTTGAGTCCATTGAAGAAATTAAAATAACGAGTGAACCTGAATCTACAATAACTTCTAAAGTTAATCTTGAAGAGACGAAAAAGGTTGCAGAAAAGGAAATTATTTCATCGCAAATATCTAAAGATGATACTAAAATATTAAAACACGAAGAAAGAGACCATGAATCAAGTGAGAAATTATCAGAATCCAAAGTGACAACGGAAAAGAAAGATGAAACTCTTGAAGATAAAATAACTCGTTCTGAAAAGTCAGACAAAAATGGAGTCAAAGAAATTTTAATTGAGGTTGCAGATGGAAAACAAACTATTAGTGCAGCTGCTTCTCAAGGTATGAAAATATTAAAAGATGAAATTAGGTCAGAAAGGTCTGAAGATAGTGAGAAAATTGTCGTACAAGAGACAGAAGCGAAGATGCTAAAAGAGCGTGAGGTAGATACAGCTATAACTATGGAAAAAAGTGAGTCACAAGCAGATGAAAAATCAGATATTGATACATTTAATTTAGACAAGAGCTTTGAAGATGAATTGAAGGCTGCTGTGGTTCGTGAAGAATCTAGGGAAGAGTATTCAAATAGGTCTGATATTAATGTATATTTACCTAAGGAATCTACAGAAAACATATCACGTGAAGAAAGCTTTGCTGAAGAAATTCCTGAAGAACTTGGTAATCATAACGTAAACATTGCTGATAAGAATGAAGTTCGTAATATTGCTGAGAGCTTGATACAGTCAATTGAAAATGAAATAATTAAGAGATCTGAAAGTTCTCAGGGAATAAAACTTGATTTCGATTATGAGAAAAATGATACTGAAAAAGAAATGGAATCTAATGATTTTGATGAAAGATTAGCTGACAATTTAAATCAAAAATTAACGTCTCTAATGAAAGACCAAGGAATGGAAGATTTTGAACAAGGGATTATCGGACACGATAAAAATTCTACTCACCAGAGCTCTAGTATAAGTGAAGATATAACGAAAGAAGAGGAAGAAGATTTGTCATTTGATAAAAAAGAAACTGAAGAAAGTGTTTTGCTTTCATCATCTCAAGTTAAAGTACTGGATAAAGATGTGACAATCAGTCTCAGTAGTATGTCTGATCAAATAGAGCTTGAAGAATCTCTTGAATCTGAAAAATATCAACTTGAACGTCATTTAAGTGGATTACCTGATGAAATTAAAGTTGCAGAAGAGTACATTGAACATCCACAAGAATTGGTAATGCCTATAAAATATGAAACATCTGAAGATTCTGGTGCTCGAGTGTTACAAATTCTAGAGCCTGGTGTAAATATTTTCGAAACTGCGCAGAGTTTCATGCCTGAAGCTGAAGATCAAGAGTATGTACCAGACGATGAAGAACACTCGTTAGATGAGAAATATATGAAGGATTTAGAGTTTAATAAACTCCATGAGAGTGAGGCGATGGAGCACTTGGATAAGCTGGATAAAATTTGTAATATAGAAAAACCGGTAAGATCTCGGTTACAATCATCAGTATCAGAACCTTCAGTTGTCCGCGAGAAGAAAGAGATAGATCATGAATTCTTTGAATCTAAAAGAGCTGAAAAATTGAAAGTCAAAGAACTAGAAATTCCTCAGATAACATGGTCGATTGGGGATGAGAAAATTGGAATCGTTGAAACTTTAGAACCTTCAGAAGCGTTTGATAAAGAACTTGATGAGCTGCAGTCAAGTTTAAATAAACAAAAAGACTTAATTTCTCCTCATGAAGAGATTAAACAAGAAGATTCTGCGAAAGATTTAGAAAAAGAGATAGTTTTTTCTGCTGATACAGCTATTGAAGATGTTGAAGGAGACATTGAAGTTAGATTATCACCTGATTTAAGTGATACAATGATTGAGCCAGAAGACAATAAAATTGAGGCTCAATTAGTTGAGAATAAACTTGATATAAGTTGCCAAGAATTAGTTGCCACACTTCAAAGAGAGTATGAGACAAAGACACCAACTGATGAGCCCATTCCTTTAACTCCAAGAAGAATGTCTGACAGTATAGAAACATTAGATTTTCCTAAAGTCAATGAACAGACTATTTCTGAACCTGTGCGTGAATCTACTCTCGAGTCTACTCCTAGTCAATTGGATTCCTCTAAAATTGAGGATCAATCTATTCCTGAACCTCCACCTAGTGCAGTTGATGAAAAAGTTGAAAGTGAGACAATTAAAAAAGAAGAAAAAGTTCAAGTAGACAAGAAAGAAACAAGTCCTTTACAAAAATCGCCCAAAAAAGACAAACAAAATGAAAGTTTTACAGAAAGTACATTTAAAAGTTATAAAGAATCTTTTTCACATATAACTCAGTCGTTCGATGATTCTAAAAGACATCCAGAAAAGTTAGTTGATATTAAAGAACACTTATCATACGGGGCTTCCATTGATTCTGCTAGCATGAAGTTGAAAAAAGAAGATTTATCGAATGTAGACTTGAGTTCGAAGTATGCAATAACGGTTCTGGATCAAGTAGTAAAAAGAGAAATTGCAGAAGTGAAGGAATCATTGGAAGCAGCTAAACAGGATCTTATTGAAGAATTGAATGAACAGAATCAGCCAGTTCAAATTAAAGATTCACCATCTGAGTTCCAGTTCAAACTCCAGCCAGAATCTATACCTAACGATCTTCCTTTTTTATATAAAGCTCCATCGGTAGAGCAAATGACCGAACAAGAAGAACAGTATTCTCAACTTCCTACAGATACACAGAAAAGAGATGATGAGCAAGAAGAAGATAGTTTTACTGATTCGAATGTACTCTCGAGCGATATAAAAGTTGATATTCAAGATGTAGAAGTTAGTCTAGATACTTCTTCAGCACCGGTTCCAGCTAGTCGGTCTAGTTCAGACATTGAAAATAAAGAAGATGGTTCAAGTTCTTTATCGATTCCACCTCAGCCAGTTCCAAGAAGGCGTCAAAAACCAACAAGAATCTCGAAGGCAATTTATTCTGAACGAGAAGGAGAATCTAGTTCTGGAGAAAGTAGTAATTATCAATCTTGTGATTATGAAAGTGGAAGTCGACCAAGCTCTTCAGATGTAGAAGCACTTCATTCTGCTGCAGGTATTCTTTCAGGAACCGCTTCAGAATATGAAACTGCTTTGATGTCTATAGAACACACGACATCTAAACCAACATCTCAAGATTATCAAAGTGCAGTATCGACATTAAGCTCACATGAATCGATGAAATCATTAAATTCATTGAGCTCAGGTCATTTAGGAAGTATTGATAGTACAAGTGAGTTAACAGAGACTCTAGTGGCGTCTGAATCAGATAAAGAAGATGAAATTAATGAGAATCTAGATATGGCACTAGAAGGAGTAGACCAAAGAGAAAAATCGATTTCTCCTGAAAGTGATGTAGAGCAAGATGAATTAATGGTGGATGATAATATTGCTGGTACAATACCAACTAAAATGAAACGATCATCTGAAATGCTATTCCAACATATATCAGATGATACAGAATCTTTCGTAGTGCCTGAAGGATTTGATGGTTTTACTGAGGAAGATAGTAAACAGCAATCAGGAAAAACAATTTCTAGTCTTGTAGTTAATAGAGATGATGATGATAAAACATCTATTACAGATGTTATATCTGATCAAATAGCTGTTGAAGAAAGTTCATCTTCACCGGAAGTTAAATTAAATTCCATTGAAGCACAATTAACAGGTGATGATGTGTCAGAATTAAAAATGACTACTTTGAGTGCAGAAGATGCTGAAGCTTTGTTATTATCTAAGAGATCTGTTCTTCAACAAGCCAGCATGTCAACTTCTTCAACTTCAGGAATGTCTGTTGAAACTGTTATTGAACGAGAAAGACCAGATAGACATTCTCCAGATAGCGATTCATTTGAGTTAGTGGATAAACCAGATATTATCGATGATTTCGTTGTGATTGAAGAGGTAGGAAGAGAAGCTAAAGAGTTTGATGCAGAAGGAAAAAGTATATCAATTAAAGTGACACATCATACAACTATCAAGAAATTTGATCGTGACATAGAGAATTTAATTACCGATAAAAAGCAAGAAGGTGAACCTTCAAGTAAACCTATTAGTACCACCGAAGTTTTTGATTTCGAATCAGAAGAAAGTCCTCCTCAAGCTTCTAATGAGGATCAGTATTCACAGCAGTCTTATTCCGATGATGAAACAGAAGCAAAAAAATGGATGGAGATGCAATTCCAAGCAGATGCAAGAGCTTATGAGTTAGAATGTGAGCGTGGACCTCTTGAAGATATAAAAGAAGAAGAAATAACTGATTTTGAAGCTGGTTCCAGTAGATTTGGAAGCCTCGGTAGTCATAAAGGTTCAATAGGAAGCAGTGGAAGCATGAAAGGTAGCTACGGAAGTACAGAATTTGATGTTTTGGCAGGAAAAAAAATGTTCGCAAAGTCCATCGAGCATGATAACATTTCTATGAATTCTTTACAAGAATTTGAAAACTTGGAAAGTGCTGTAATCGGTGCTGATGGCACAAGAAGATTTCAATGTGGTTCACAAGATTCTGTCAATAACGGAAGCTTACCTCGACGTTATATCTCAGGTCGCTCCGGTCATGGTGATGATATTTCTGTGTCATCATTAAAAGATTTTGAAGGTTTAGAAAAGGCTTGTAGAGAGGCGCACATGATCGAACTCCGAGCTAAAGAAGAAGAAGATTTATTAGAGCATGAGAGTCCAGAGAATAGATATAGGCTTGAAAATTTAACTAAACCAAAACCAGTTGAACCAAGTACGTCATTTAATCCTAGTACTTCAGGCTCTGATGATTACGAGAAAAGAATAATGGAGATTGATGAGATTATTAGAATTGCACAAGCAAATGTTGAAAAGTTTGATCGACAAGATGATACAACTGAGGATATTTCTCAAATAGAAATAACTGATGCTGAAAAAGTTGAAACTGCTGCCACTAATTTGATGTCAACTGCAAGTGAGATAGCTCAAATAACTCGTGAAACAAATATCATGGAAACTAGCACAGATTCTTTAGAGCTTGAAAACAATACTGAAAAACAAAATAACTTGATGTACAAAAGCTCTGACTCACTTGAACTGAAAACAACAATAGACCTCCCATCATTGAGTTATTCAGATTCGTTAAATAATGTTCGAGAATCACAAGTTGCAGATAAGTTTAATAGTGCTAGGCGTATTTCATCGGATTCATTAGAAGCACCAGTTCTTGATCATCCGGAAACTGTTCAATCGGAAACCACTGAGTCTAGTAGTAATGGTAGTCAATCTAATGATAAAATCACGAAGAATGGCAAAGCTGCTTCGATAGCTACCACTAAATCTTAAATATAAGTTGAGGTAAGCTTTTATTCAATGTTTCATTTCAAGGAATGATTTTAATTTAATTCAAACAATTTTTATTCTCTTTCAGGTGAAATAAAAATTAACCACACTATGATTTATTGAAATTGCTATAATACAGCTTGAAAAGCTTTAATTTTATAGACATGAATGCAACATGAAATTTGATATTTGCTGGGCTTGTAGAAGATAAAATTGTATTGTGAACATTATATATTCATTTATCATATCGTCTAATACACGCAATTGAATGAAAACAAAATTATTTCAATAATTTTATGATGTTACAAACATTTTAATGTTTGTTACTTAATTATTGAGATATTAAAATTTTTTTTATATAATTGAATCGAACATAAGTATTAAAGTCTGACTGTGAGTATTAGAAGCAAATGTGTACTTGAAACTTTTTTTTTATACATTTAATAGTCTACATGAAAAAGTTGATATTATCACATTTATAATTATATAATTATAAATATAGACAACTGCTTAATTTTAATAATTAATACTAATATTGTATGCATATTGCATTGCTTTAATAAGTTAAATCTTTTAAACCAAATAATTATAATATATTTCACTTTGTACTACTATGCGGTGTTATATTAAACTGGTATTTTTTGTAAAACCACCCAATCTTGATATAATGACTTTTTGAAATGATAATTAAAAAAAGAGGGAGGTAAATAAACAGTGTTACAAAATTGAATCTAAAGTATGTTAAATATAATTATTTATTTCTTTCAATGGACCTAAACACAATATTTATAAGTAAAATTCATTATATCCATTAATGCGAACAAAATTTATAAACACAAAGCTGTAATATGTATTTCAAATAATCATTAACTTACATCACACGAAATCTTCAAATTTTACACTGAGAGAAATGTATTCAATTCTAAAAGAGTTGTTTAAATTAATAATTAATAAATAATTGTTCCTTAAAATATTTGATAAATAAAATGAAATATTTAGTTAATAATAAATTTCCTCTCAGTGTATCTTATTTTGAATGAATAAATGTTAAAATTGAAGTTTTCGTTATAACTATATCAGACATTTAAAACTTTGAGCATATGAAAAATATTAAGATGAATTTACATCAAATCACTTAATACCTTAGCTGTCTCATTTCATAAATGATATGCACAATCCATATAAAACATGATAACAAATGAATATAAAACACTAAATCTAGATTGACAGTGCAAAGAATGTGAAGTATGCATCGACTGAGTTCAAGAATACTTGCATAACTGGAGCGATCAAATAATAGACCTATTGTAGTTAATGAAAGTATATTATTCATTATCAATAATTTACAATCCTAAAAGATTAATAAAATACGGTTATTCAAAAGATGATTATTTTTATTTTTTTTAATAAATCTGTACTTACTTCATTGTTATATATATTAAAGTGTTGATGAAGAATAATGCAAAAATGAAGAATTATATAAAAATATTGCCATTTAGGTATGGATGGATTATATTTAATTCTAGAAGTTACCTATTAACGAGATTCGAATGATTTTCTTGGAAAAATTCAAGTGAACATTTGTCTTACGTGTATTTTGTACTTATCAAGACCCAGTCTTGGCAATCCAGGAATCCAACTAGGTCCTTTCCAAATAGCTGCCAATTTATCTGTAATTGTTCTCATATTGCAGCATTTTTCAATCATCATTTTCGTGTAGAAAACCTGAAGTGTAGAAAAATTAAACCTTCAATCAATATCATTTCATTTTTCATTCATGTTCGTGCCACATTGTTTTACCTGAAGATATATTGGATTGAATGTCTGTGGACTTACTACTAGGCCATAAATAATTTCCTCTTTAATTTGTTCTTCAGCGAATGTTCCAAACATTCTATCCCATATAATAAATACTCCGCCATAATTTTTATCTAAACAATAAATGTTGCAACCTATTTAAAGAGAATAATACTTTAATTAATTTTTGTATCAAATAAGTACTACCTATTATTTCTTTTGATTTATTTTTTTTTGTAATAAATAAAATTGAAGAATTAAATTCTATATACCATGGTGGACTCGATGATGTCTTGGAGTATTGAAAATATACTCCAAAGGACCAAGATGATTAAAAAGTGTCGTATGGAGCCACAATTGGTAAATTAAATTCAATTGATGATGAGTAATAAAATGCGATGGTGGTATGAAGAGTGCAAGGGGTAAGTAGAACATCTAAAAAAAATTTCAATTGATGTATTTATGTATAAATAATCGAATATAAGTTAAGTCACTCACAAAACTGCACCACTGTTGCATGATAGATTGCCGCAATCCAACCACAAGATTGAATTCCTCACTGCTATGGTGTACTTGGTGTTGTGACCACAGAAGATGAATTTCTGTAAGCAATGTAATGGATATATATTTCATTTTACCATACAGAAGCATCATAAAACATAAAACATCATATCATTTTAAATATAACCATGATTTGCACGGTGGACCCAATAATAACAAAAATCTACTCCAATAACAGTGATGTACCATGTCCACAGTGAATTCCATGGGAGACTCCAAATACGATATTCATTATAAATATGAATATAAACATAATACTCTGCACCTAAAAAGAAAATTCTACTTTCTATGTTTAATTCATTTCTTTGATTCATAAAAAGAAATCATATCGTATCAGCGTTACCTATGCTTACCGTCCGGATTCTTGGAGAATCCAGTGAGATAGTGAAGTTATGTGATCATTTAATCTGAATGAACTTTTTTTTCTTATAAAAAGTATTAATTGCTCCAGAATAATGAGGATAAAAAAAGGGATCCATATCTGTAAAATAAGTAAAGTGATAAAATAAATTAAAAAATTGATTTGAATAACATGTTGATATTAGTAGTAAATAAATAATTAAATAATTCAATTCATGAATGAATAATGTAAAATAAATTGATCAAAGTGAAAAACCATTTAATTGAAAAATATTAAATTAATTAAAATCGGTTGATTGTTACTTGTTGTTGATAATCAGGTACTTCCGCCAAGAATTCGAATGTTGTTTCATAAGGATTAACAATATATAAAAACTTTCCTAAATTTTTAATTTGAGAAGAATATTCTAAAAATTGTTGATAATAAGTTACGTTCATTGTTGTAGTTTGTTCAACTGCGCTGTTTCTGTATTTACTCGATCTGAATAACTGTTTGATCTTTTTTCAAAAAAAAAAAATACTGAAGATAACAATGAATTATTGATATTATCAGCACTAGAATTTGTCACTTATTAGATAATTTAAACACATTTATAACAGTTACATTGGTATGAAAAATTTACGAGTTAAATACTCGACTCTCACAGTCACTTGTGTATGTTATCAAAATAAAACGTCGTACTGCTTCTATCAGTGTCGTACAGAATACATACATACCCTGAAGTGAAGTATCATATAAATAGATCTGCTATGGCTGACAATCATTAATACTATTAATAAATTCAATTAAACATTTGTTCATCTTTTTTAATGTTCAATATACTTACATATTCAATTTATGTTTCTCATGATCTGTATATTTGTTTAATATCAATAAACGATAATATTATTATAATTACTCATTATACTTGATATGAAGTTGGATGTTGATAAAAAATGTTACAAAAAATGTTGAAGATACAAAGATATTACAATAAATACATAAATTTCGATTTGTCAATAATAATGAGCTCATTTGCAAATGTAAATGAATAATAAGCACAAACTTTTTGCATGTTAATTTTGTTGTTTAATAAATATTTATGTTCTTTATTTTCCCTTTTTCTGTATAATTTAGAGTTGATATCAACCACATGAATCAAGGTCGAACAAAGTGCACATGCTCAACGCGCGAAACTCTGTCGGTAACTGTGCAACCATTTTGCCGATTTTTTGATAAAATATTAATAAATTAAAATTATCAAATGAAATGTAAACTTTGTTTTAAAATCGAACATTTTAACTAAATTTAAATAATTTATATTACAGTGTCTACATAAGATTTCGTGTCAAAGCCATTGTATTAATTATTATTTACGTATATTTCACTTTTCTATAGTTTTTATGTTTATTATTGTTATGATTTATTAATAAGAAACTGTAAATTCAAAGAATTACAATTTATAAGACCAAATATACTTCGGAGGTATTTTCAAAAAGATATTCAAATAAACCGCCCACAAATGTAAACATTAAAGCGCCCTCTGGTGCCGCATGTGTCCGTTAGTTTCTCCCACCATTGGAAGTGACATGATTTGCATCAGTCTGATTGTGTGTTTGTCATTGAATTTTTATTAGTTTTTTAATTTTATTGCAATGGCAGAAAGTTTTATAAAACATAGTGATCCAGTTAATAATTCGGAAAAAACTAAAGATAATACTCTAGGTCAATATTTTGATAACAATGTACATACAATCTTTGATGAAATAATATCAAAATCAGAGGTTACCCAATCGTTACAAAAAACTACTCAAGATATTTGTAAATTGAATATTATGTCTGAAATTTCAACAGATTTATTGAAAAATGAAAACACATTTAATATTGAAAGATCTGAATTACCGAGCAAAGATTCTCACAGTGACGGATGGATTCCGTGTGAGCAAACAAGGAAAATTTTAAGATCAATTGCAACTTCAACATTCAGTAACAACGTTGTTGATCGAGAAAATTTAACAATGCCAGGATTGACTATTCAAGACGACATGATTGACACTGTCAAGGCAACATCGATACATTTTTTTGGTGAAGATGAAAATATACATAGAAATATCTTGACAGCAACTGATGTTACTCAAGATGAACGAGGACTACGCAATTTAATTCAAACAGGTTGTTACAGAGCAGCAGTTGACTTATCAGGTAGGCTATTAGCAGTTTATGGCCAAGGATATGGAAAAATCAATCATTTAAGTAAACACACACCGCATTCTTTGCAACTATGGTATACAAGATTATCACTTCTATTGAAGTTAAAACAATTTGATATCTTGAAAGCTGAATCAGAGCCTTTTGGAAATCTGGATAAACCAGACATGTACTTTACGTTTTATCCAGAATTATATGGAACAAGGCACGGTTCAATGGCGTCATTTGCTTTTCGATTGCTACTAGCTGAAATACCATTGTATTATGGTAAAACAAAAGATGCCATCAACAATTTATATAAGCTTTTATCTGTAATTAATCAAATTATAAAGAACTTAGAAGCAGGGCTCACAGAAGAAGGTGGAGTTTCAAAATATAGTGAAACAGATCAAAAGAATTATATTAAATTATGGGTTAATAGAAAGTCTAGAGTTCAAATTTCTATCGTAAATTGTGCTTTAACTGTAAATAACTTTAAATTAGCTATTAACGTATTAGAGGAATTGCTCAAGTCAGCTAATTGGACTAAAGAACAGTCAGAAATACTGAAATCAGCTATTGGACGAATTTATTTATTTCTGGGTGATGTCCTAATGGCGGAAAAAATATTTGGTGATGTTAAAAAAAATTCAGAAGAACTGCCTTCGATAAGGGAATTAATTGATCGAGGATTAATGGCTGTTGCTCAAAATTCCTATCAGGAAGGTTACAATCATTTTAAAATTGCATCTAGTGCAGATCCCTCGAACATTATGTTAATAAATAATATGGCGGTTTGTTTATTATACACTGGTCAATTGAAGGCAGCTGTACAACTTCTTGAAAATGCTGTTACTAGAAATCCAGTCAAGTGTTTACAGGAACGAGTATTATTAAATCTGTCCACACTTTATGAATTACATACGACACATAGTAAACAGTGCAAATTACATTTACTCAGGTTATTGAATAGATATACAGGAGATCATATTGATATATCATGTTTAAAATTAGTATAAATATCAGTGTGCATTTTTTATAATTAATTAAGGCAGTTGTATGATAAATAGTATTTTTTCCAGTGATATGTTTGTGACTTTACATATTTATTTTAGTATTTTTAAGTCACATCCTTTCCTTTTAATATCAAAAGTGTACCATATTGTACCATATTTTCTTCAAGTTAAATATTACTAGGGCTGCCATACATCAAATATTTAGAAATTAATTATTAAATAATGGATAAGTATACTTTTTACCTCATTATAAGATAAGAAAGAAAATTGACTATTAGTTGCAAATTGTTTCATTATTTATTGCTTTGTTATTTGTTATTACTACGTCAAAAACGCTCATAAATTGCTTTATTTAAATAATTTTAGGTCCAATATTACATTGTTAAATTAAAATAATCAATGATATGATGAAATTGTGAAAATAAAAAAATATAAAGTATAATTATAGTTAATAGTATGTTGTGTCAGTAATATTTGGTAGACTTGAGTTGATTCCTGTGATAGGATTTTTTAAAATTGTCATTCAATTTTAATAAAACCCTTTAAAATCCAATTAATTCATATTTAAACAAAAGATAGATTCATTCAGATATATAAAATCTTATTATTGAGTATGAATTAAATTATATTGATTTCTTTTTAAATTCAATACGATTAAAAATAATCTACAATTTTACTCTTAATATTGTTCAAAAGTGATTAAACAGGTAAAAGCCTGAATAGTTGTTTGAATTTAAATATTTAGATTTACTAAAAATCGAAGGAATAATGTATTGCACTATATTTCAAATAATTAGCAATGATTCTAATTATAAAAATAATGTATAAAATGTTATACTGTAAATATTGTATCAGTAAAATATTAATTGCTTTTGGATATAAATACATACAGGTAAATAAATTATAACTAAAACGTATAACTATTTATAAAAATTTGAAACAAATTATTAATAAATGACCACGACTGACATAGTTTCACAATAATATATTTGACTTTCAATAGATACTTAAATAAAATAGACCATAGCATGCTGCATTCATTTTTTAGAGCTATTATTTGACCTGAATATCAATAATAAGGTGATTAGCGTTTACCTTTTTAATCATTTTTTAACTTATATTGGCACTCATAAGTTTATTTATGTCTAATTATTTCCTGACTCTAGAACCGTTTATCAATTTACGAATAATACAAGCTAAAAATGAGTAATTTTAAAACACACTTAAAAAAGAATAATAGAGAAAAATTTTAACCCAGGGTAAAGTATATTTACTTCAGAACAATTGGTTTAAAAAAATATTAAATTTATAAGGGTGTCAAAAATGTATGTATTATATTTCAGCGAAAATCAAGCATAAAAAAAAATTATAACACTTTTTCATCAGTATAAGAAGCATTTATTCATCACGACAAATCATCGACATCAATACTTTTCACACATTCAATAAATATTAATCTCTAATTTATTTATATTATCATAAAATTATTGAATTATTAATATTCAAAAAAGAAAAATGCTTTTTTACTGATTAAAAAGTATTTTTATTTTAATACTTTTCTGTTAAATTTTTAAAATAAATTATCACCGGAATATTATTATTATTACTCATAGAAAGGTACTATTATTTTGAGATTACTACAGATTGTTTGCAAAATAACCCTTTTTATAACTGCAGTCATGTTTCGCTGAATTTAAATAAAAACTTTACTTTCTTCAGTATTGAAAAATGGAATACAAATTACCCTGTATATATGTAAATTCTGTTCAGTAAGAACAGTACCAACTTACAAACATTTTCTACTGAATTTTATTTATTAATCAAATTAAAGCTTTCGTAGAATAAACTACTATCTTAACGATGTAAAATTTTTTTTTTCAAGGGATGCTGTTATTTTGCATCATCTATAAGTATAATCTATCAACATAATTACTTTGTACGTATATAACATGAATTTTTAACTAAATGCGTCAGGTCATGTTATGTTGATTTCATTAATAAATACTTAATGAAATAAATAATAAATGGTAAAATCCAAAGTTCATTTTAAAAAATGATGCATGCATTAAAGCCCAAGTTGAAGTAAGTTTTGTACTTAGTTTTGTGTTTAATTTTATCCATCGTTAGTAGTAAAAATCATTATTTCTTTATAGATTCAGTCAAATATTCTAAACGTCTATGGATGTCTCCAGAAAGAGTCAAATTTAATATTTCCTATTATTACTCAGATAAAATATAATATTAGGCTAATGACCATGTAAACGAATAGCGATTAGATCAAGAAAATAAACTATTGATCATTCACTTAATCAGTTTATAATAATTCACAGTTATGAAGGTAAATATTGAATCATTTTAAATAATAAAAATCACCAGTTACATTTTTATTACTTAATTTAAACGAAAGAACTTATTTAAATATCATTATTAATTATTATTTGCACTAAATCTCGAAAACATGCATTATTATATTATGCACCGGGAAACTCTGATCACAAAATTTAAGGCTTTAGCCAATTGCAGGTACTATGTTTTTAAGAATAAGAGTTATACATTAATTTAGCAAAATTAATTCAATAATAAGACTACACATACTGAATAATTAAATAATTCACCTACACTTTTTTATTATTGAATTATCTATCATATTTCCTGTGTTGAGCTTATATATATATTTATTTATATATATTTTTATATATATATATATATATTATTTCTATATTATTGCATAAATTAACCTCAGCCAATATACATGCATTCATTTGAATACACATATATTCAATAGTTTATTTTCTTTAACAACTGTCATATTTAGTACGTAAATCGTGATTAATTACTCCATTATAGAATACAAAAATTTAGGCTATATTATAGATCAGTACAAATGATCTCAAAAAACATCTTCATTTTAATATTTATTCATTCTATCATTAAAGACGTTATTGAGATCAACTAAATAAATGGATTTGATGCATATATATATTATAAAGACAACAACTGATATTCAAACATATTAACTATGTAACGTATAAACGTAACAAAATCAAATGTTGTTATAAATATTCATTGAAAATATTTAACTATGAAAATATCAAAATACATTTGAGATTTTAGATATGATATACATATCAGACTAACAAAGAAAATTTGTTATCTCAAATGGATTTTAAATTTTTTTAGTAATACGTGAAACACAGTATATATATATTCAATTATTTTAATTTCGATTATAAATATCATTACTAAGAACGTATGAAAACAGTAGGCTATTAGACATTTCTTTTATGTCAGGTGGGCTTCTTATACTATAAGGAACAATATCATATGTTGTATATTGATCGATTACACACATACAACATATTGAATTTTATATGTTCTATGGCATATGTAATTAATAATTATACTTGAACTGCTGGATCATTATTTATAATAATTTACAACATTTAACACAAAAAATACACTTGAAATTTTAATTGATAAAACTTATATAAAAAAAAAACAAGAAATATCCAAACGCCTAGTTAATGTTCTTTCAGACTTTGAAGTACCCGCCTCCAGCTTAAATAATGAATTTAAATCAATCCAGCAGAATGTTATTTTTAATTAACAGTACAACAAAAATTCAAAAATCTAAGATTTATAAATTTTAACAATAAGTATTATGACTAATTTTTAAAAATATTTTATTGTATGAGAGAATAGTACGGATCACTAACTTAATAGAGAGAATTTCTTGAATGAATTAGTTGATTAACATTTTTAATGTCAATAAGATAATTACTGTAAAAACAGAGTATTGATTTCGCCTGTTAATATTTATGTAATTATTCGTAAAAGACATTAAAGTTAAATAAACACTTATGTAATTTGACAGTTATTGTACGGATTAAAATATTGAAAAACTCTACTACTGATTTTCTTCAATATGCATCTTAAATGTGATTCACTTGTTATATTCATACAATCTCCTTCAGTATATTAAATATTTGGCAGTATTGGTATTTTCTATAAATAATCATACCAATTATCATTACTACATCTACAATTTTAAAATTATTATGCGACATTTATGACAAGCGTATTCAATTAGTCTGTTTTCACAGTAATTTTTTAGCTACACATACTCATAAGTTATGTAGAGTAAAACATAGCACCTAAGGTTTTTGTACTTTTGCATTAATAGTGTAATGAAATAATTACTACGAGAAGAGGTTATATACATGATGTAATGAAAAGTATAATGATAAAAATTAATGTAGTTATTTTAGAGTACAATTCTAATTGACCGATTAAATGTACAATAAATTTTTCGTGCATTCTATGCATAAATAATTTACACAAGAAAAACTTACGCATTCTATTATAATAAAATGTACAATAGTTATTGGCTTATTAGATATACTTTAAGTCTATCTTTTTATCGTTGTATTATACATTATCTACAATTCGTTCGTAAACAGTATTTGTTGATAGAATTTTTACTTAAAATAAACACTTATTTAGTTTTACGTAAAATAAAACAAAAAGTAACTGCACTACAATTTTCAAAGGCTTATTGTATATCACATTACCAAGATAGCTTTTTATCATTTAGAATTGTAGTATTGTTATTACTTTATCAATTATTTTAGTATACGTTTATCTGGCCAAATGATAAACGTATTTTATTTCTGAGCAGTTTTTGAATATTGATATATTTAGAAAAAATTTTATTTAATCAGTTTTAGTCGTAACGAGTGTAGAATCTGTATCATTATTAGATTCACTATCTGAAGTTAATGTCTGTTCTACTGTTTCTTCATTTATTTCAGTACTATCCACTGTAGTTGTAGAATTAGCAACAATATTCTTTTTCTCGTCATTATCATTTTTAGTAGACATTTGGAATTTATGTTTTTCAAGCTCTTCTCGTAATTTAGTAATTTCACGTGCATCAGCACGACGCCGAAGCTTTAAATGCGTAATTTCAGTTGCTACTTGTTTTACCAGCCCTAGTACGTCTTGTGGTACATCTAATGCTATAAGTCGTTCTTCTAATTCTACTATAGCCGTACCATCTAATTTTGAATCATTTCCAGGTGATAACGTTCCAACTTCCACTTGTGGTGAGTCGGTTACAACTGTTGATGACGTTACAGCTGCATTACTTTCTTCTTCTTCACATTTTTGTGAATTATCACCTTTCGATGGTTCATCTCGATCATTATTTTGAAGATCGGGGGAACCAGGCTGTGAGTTTGGAAGAATTTTCTCAGAATCTTCAAGTCTAGGAGTTGTTGACTTTTCAACTTTAATAATTACTGGCTCGGTCTGATCATCTGGACTTGGGGCACAATTTTGATGTCGACTATGATAATGACGATGATGCGTAGATGCTATAGATGTTGGAGCTGCTGTTACGGAAGTTGCTGGAATAGGTGCTAATGCAACATTAGGTTGGTAATGTGGTTCAAAGCGTTCGCATTCAGACAAAGGAACAACTCGTTCTGGATGTTGTAGAACTGGTGGACCACGACTAAGATATGCAGGTACAAGTGGTGTGCTAATTACAATATTGAATAATAGAAAGATATTTATATAAGTATAAACATGTATTTTATAAACTTCACTAGTATATTTACCTATCTCTATGTTTACATGAACCAGTAGCATTCCAAGGTCTGAACGCGGATGCTCCTCTAGCTGCTAATTCAAAAACAGCCCATTGCATTTGTAAATACGGATCATTTTCATTTCCTGTTGCTGAAACAGGATACATTGCCAATCCATTACTATTGGCATAAATAGCAGGACATTCATCCTTAATTTCTTTTTTAGAACGTTTATGTATCTTCTCTGACTCATGTCTTAACTGTAAAGTTAAATCAAAATTTATTATAAAATTTTAATTCCCTTACGTGTATACATTTATGAATATACCTCAGGTAATTTCCTCTTGAAATGGGGCACTGGACTTCGATCCTTTAGACTACGAAAAAAAGTAACAATTTTGTTGTAGTGCGGTTGATCACGGGAGAGTAAAAGATACGATCTCCAATTACTAGAGTCAAACCCCCAATGACAAGTACGGTTTTCTAAAGGCCGATGAGCATGGCGTACAAAACGCTGTGGAGAAAATTGACAACCACATTCTAAACACTCTATACACGCAGAATCTTCTGAATCAAATAAATTTGCATCAAAGATGCCTTTGCATTTACCAAAACACTCATGGTAAACTTTAAATCTTACAATTGACTCGTCTATATCTTTCTTTTTACTATATTCCTTTTCTGTGCAACGATCTTGATCTCTATCTTGAATTAAAGGCAGTTCGCGAGGTTCATTCCGCAGCAGGAGAGCACTTACAAGTCGTTCAGCGTCCGTTTGTGTAATGAGACCACAGGATGGAGCATTTCTTGGCAAAATCCCAGAGAGTTTTAACTCCTCTAATTGGTCATGGGTGCATCTGGAACAGTAAATCTGCAGCTCATCACAAACTTGATTTATTTGTTGCAATGAAAAATCTTGAAGTACGGTGTTTAATATTTGTGGAAGGCACAGTCGTCTTTCACCACCAACCACAAAACAAGAAATTTTTTCATTCTCCAAAAAAGTTTCACATCTTTCTGAACAACTTTGATCAGGCGCCGTTAATATTGGTATTTGAAACTCCAATTCTCTTTTAATACTTGCTGCTTTGAGATGTTCTGGTTGATGATCGTCGTCAGAATCATCATGACTTCTTACAGTAGCATCTAGCCGATGAGGCATAACAGGCACTGTTGTATTAGTTTTACTTTTACATTCTTTCTTGGAATCAGTACAAGAATCAATGCAGTTTCCAGAATAACTTAAAGATGAGAAATGAAAAGGTGGCTGATCTTGTAATAAACCTTTACAGTCCATTCCTAGCAGAGCTGAACTTGGTCCTTGCAGACTCTTTATAGCTGACAACTGATATGTCTTCAACACTGTTTTAAGTTGTGGTGTATAAGATTGACTATTTGCATTATTAGGCAATAATGTCTCCATTTTTACATCAATATTGTTTCACAAATGATATAAAAAAAAATGGTTACTGATTTTTTCTGTAAAATAAATAGATATTCAAAATCAAACGATAAATATTTTTAAAACGCTTTAAAGTTAAAAACTAAACTTTTTGGTAGCACCGTTTCATGAATTTTATTGCACGGTACACTGTTTGATTTACAGAATTAAAACCTTCATATAAATATTTCCTTGACATTCATACTGGTTTTAGGTACATAAGTCCAAGTATTTGCATCAGCAGCCTGAGTAGCAATAAACCCGAGATAAACTCGGTCCATCTTATTGGTTAAGCGCTATCCTGTTAGTGTTTTATCGGCGTATAAGCGCCCACATTCCTATTATACTTTAATCGTTTTCAATTTTCTTTCATCCCCTTTGTTGCATTCATCTTAAGATCATATAAATCCATCTTCTTAGACATTATGTTTCTATATTACCAAATAATAATTCACAAACATTCAAGGTATTAATTCTGGAACAGAACTGAATCGTGCGCTATATATATATCTATATAGTTATGCATGAATGTATATATGGATGCATATATTCGTATAAATAAATAGACATTCATCAAATTGAGATGAGATTAAAAAATTAATCATTTGGAGTACGATAATGTCATCACATATGATAATTTTGAAACAATGATAAGCACAAAAGTTTTGTCTTGAACAAGCAAAAGTCTTAGATACGGTTATGAGATCCCTCCCTCAGTACTTATTACTATGGCGACAGATATGTACCAAAAGAAGGCTTGGCTACAGGTATGGGTCGGTGGCCTATCTACTTTAAATGATGATTGTAACAGCTAAATGTTGCACGTTAATCCACTGTTTATGCTTGTTTATATAAGTTTCTTGTCTCATAGAAGCAGTACATCATTGTAATTCTGCAGATACGACATATACACGGCGTCTAATTCGATTGAACTTGACTTCCTGTGTGCGAACTTGTACAACCTTTCCTTTTACCAACAATTGTTGCTCCGTGTTTTCACTTTATTTTTTAGATCACAAATGTACATGAACAAATTTCCAAACCCACTTGACAGATATCACACCTTCATGTATAAACATTTTATTCACAATGCCAATTTATATAGCATGCCGCGCCAGAATGGCGTATCGATCGTATTCGCGTGACGACACACTAAACCACTCGTGGCTCCTCCACGCATATTTCTGCGTTTATGCGAAAAAAAACTCGAGCGAACCAACGAAGTGCTAAGCGAACCGTCCAGCCATTTTCAACACGAATAGTGTGTACATACATACGTACATATATGCATGTATTCGATATAAACATATAACATTATAACACTCTGGTAGTAACACTTGACAGTGCGCGCGCCATTACCACTCAAACTGTACTTAGTTCTCACACACACTCAAAATCTATGTCGATACATTTGACACTCAGTCCAACTTTGCGCCATCTGAGCATCGTTCTTCTTTAGCACTGTATACCAGCAGGCTTGCATGTCATATATTATAAATTTACGATATACAATGTCAAAAACACACACATGCTCGTGTATTCTCAATTACAAGATTACAACTGCTTATGCGATATGAGAAAAAAATAATATAAGTATGGTTGACCATTGAGCAATGTACTTATGTTCAATGTGTAGGTATAAATACATTTACGTCAAATGTACTACATATCTTGAGTTCATATCTAATACATAATAAATAAAGCACTTTAGTATATATTTATATAAAAAAAAAACAACAACAATCGGGTAAAAAGTTATTATCATGTGTGATAATGAGCATCTTCGTCAATTCTTGGTATAATATTTTTTTACAGATCATTTTAGCACACACATACACTGTGTTGATTCATTGTAATGTTTTTTTTTGCAGGCGTCACATACAACATTGTCCCTTGTTTTAATTTACACTCCCTACACTAACATTGTTGAAATTGATCAAAATAATACCCCCCTGTTACACTGTCTCGTCGAAACGAATGTACTTCACACACTTGATGTTTAGTTCAACATCCACTCTTTAACATCTACCATACTGTTACTCATGTGAAAGAATATTTTATTTGACATATGTATGTATACATTTTAGTTGCCCAATAGTAATGCCAAATAGATGTAAATAGTAAGGTTTAAGGAAAGAGAGAAGTAACCATAATGATGACGGCCATCATATGCGTCGTGTTGGTCGACCAAGTTCTAGTCATGTGACTTTCCCGTCAAAATAACTCTTAAACAATGGGTAAAACCATAATATTGCAGTCTTTGACACGCACTAGAAGTATGATCATCACGTACTTATTTGAATGCGTTGTAAATATAAATGCTCAAAGCTTCATCGAAGGCACTTGCGTATATCTGCTTACGTTATCAAATGTATGCAGTGTGAATTGTTTTTGCAAATTATTCGAAAACAAATCGAACTGCGAAAAAATGATTGATTACGTTATGTATATTTAGATTTGCATTTTTTATTAGAGGTTATAGATTAAACAACACGTGTTTTAATGATAAATTATGTTTTTTGGAGCGTTAGTGTTTGCGCTTATTTATAAAAAAAAAGCTGCAAGTGCTATCAATAAAAGACAATTAATTAATTATTAATAATATGAAATGGATATTATTATTAGTTTTTTACATTTTAAGATTAATGTATTTTGTCATTTTTTTACAATGGAAAAAAAAATCAACAATATTTCATATTTTTTTTATTAATTAACATTTATTTATATGCGTTGTTAGAAGAATTAATTACATAAATTGAAAACTCTTTGAGAGAGTTAAATATTATTGTAGAAATAAATTTTCTGTTCATTGATTTACATTTACAAGTTAAAAATAAAATAAAGCAAGTATCTTGATCAATAGAAACGGGAAAATGATGATGATTATTATTATCATGATTATATCGGAAGATACGATTTATTTTTGATTCTGATAATTAAATCTTTAAATAATGAAATTTTGTGAAAAATCTGCATTAAATAATTTAGACTCTCGTGTTCATTCTATTTCTAATTTCATTTGATTGATTTCGAATTTATTATACATTCACAAAAGATTAAATTTAAATAACAATTCATGATTTCGCATTCCATCTCTTATTAATCGTTATAATTCAATTAATTTATCTTCTATGAACTCCAATAATTATTTCAGTATATCGTTTATAATTATGTTCTATTTTTTTGTACCAATTCTCAGTATGTTTTCATTTTTTGTCTTTTAATTATTCCAATCGTATGACAATAGATTTTATCAACAAAAGACAACTTATGTGATTGTTGACAAAAAAAACTTGGTAATTTAGGCTATAATGTTCAACTTAGCCACCAGATGTCATGTCATGATTCGCGAAATTTTGCCAAATCCACTTCATGTTGATACCATATTTTGGTAGTAATTCAGAGTGTTATAAAAATTAATTCTTGTTTAAATAATTGTTTAATGTATTGTCATTCACTAATATTTAATGTTAATAATCTGTATAAATTAATATAAACTAACCTATATACTAAAATACTTTAAATACAAAATATAATTGAATATATTAGAAATCAGTGTTAAAAAGGATTAAAAATTATTTTCAGATATTAGAAGAATATTTATATTACCAAAATGTCAATGTTTACTGCAAAAAATGTTGTTTGCCTCAATCAGAAGTTTTTATTACGAGGTAATTGTAATTTTTCATTACTTTAGGTTATAAAGTATACGAAAAATAGTTTAGCACTTAGTCTATGTGTATGTAGATCAAAGGTCGATTAGTAAAAAATAAATTAGAAAAAACAATTAATTTATTTCAATGAAAACACTAACATTTAGATATTTTGTTTATAATTATCAAAATTAAACCAATAAAAAAATTTTCTAACAATTAAAACTGTAATTTTATTTAACTTATTGGAGAAAATATATTATTATTTTTATGACAGGTGCATCAAGTGCTTGGATAACATCGAGTAGCCCTAGTAAATCTTATGCAACAAAAATGGATAATCCAGCTTCAAAAAATATTGTATTTATTGATGGAGTTAGAACTCCTTTTTTGTTATCTGGGACAAATTATAGTAAATTGATGGCTTATAATTTAGCAACACATGCTCTTCTGTACGTATTTTTTGATCATATTACTCTACACATATATGTCATGACTTAACAAAGTAAATTACTGATAATTCTTTAGTTCATTAGTAAGAAAAACGAAAATTCCAAAAGAGATGATCGATTATGTTATCTATGGATCAGTTATTCAAGAAGTGAAAGTATCAAATATTGCTCGTGAAGCTGCACTTGCTGCGGGTTATAGTGATAAAACCCCAGCTCATACTGTTACAATGGCTTGCATCAGTAGTAATGCAGCATTGACAACTGGTATGGGTTTAATTGCATGTGGAGCATTCGATACTATTGTCGCAGGTGGTGTAGAATTTATGTCCGATATTCCAATTCGACATAGCAGACAAATGAGAAGTTTGATGTTGAAGGCTTCAAAGGCGAAAACTCTTCCTCAAACTCTAGCACTTCTTGCTTCTATACGACCAAGTTTTTTCGTGCCAGATGTAAGATATTATTTAAGTCATAGGATTATAGAAAACAATTATTGTATGATAAAAAATTTTTTAGTTACCTGGTGTTGCTGAGTTTTCAACTGGTGAAGTTATGGGACATAGTGGTGATCGATTAGCAGCTGCATTTGGAGTATCACGTCAAGAACAAGATGAATACGCTGCAAGATCTCATAGACTTGCCCAACAAGCTCAACAACAAGGCAATTTGTCTGATTTAGTGCCTTTCAAAGTCCCTGATCAAGACCAAATTATTGACAAAGACAACGGAATAAGAGTTTCATCACCTGAAAGTTTGCAAAAACTTAAACCAGCCTTTGTAAAGCCTTATGGAACTATTACTGCAGCTAATGCATCATTTTTAACTGATGGTGCTTCAGCAGCTCTTATCATGACTGAAGAAAAAGCTCGCCAATTAGGACTTAAACCAAAAGCTTACTTAAGACAGTTCACTTATGTATCACAAGACCCAGTAGATCAATTGTTACTAGGACCAACTTATGCTATTCCAAAGGTATTTTTTTATCTTTAAATTTTATTTTCATTTTTTTCGAAAGATTAAATATTTTTACTGATTCATTCTATATTTATCAGATTTTAGAAAAATCTGGACTAACTTTGAATGATATCGGGGTCTGGGAAATTCATGAAGCATTTGCTGGCCAAATTTTAGCAAATTTAAAAGCTATGGATTCTGATTGGTTTGCTCGAGAATATTTGAAACGAAGCCAAGGTAAAGTAGGAGTTCCTGATCTGAAAAAATGGAATGCTTGGGGCGGATCATTATCTATTGGACATCCATTTGCTGCAACGGGTGTTAGATTAGCTACGCACACTGCCAATCGTATGATCAAAGAAGACCAACAATTTGGATTAATTGCAGCGTGTGCTGCTGGTGGACAGGTAGACATAATAGTTTCTTATTACAATTAGAACTTGAGAATAATTTTCTTATGTATGTTAATTTTTTCAGGGTGTTGGTATGATTATGGAGAGGCATCCAGATGCAAAATTATAAGATTTGAGATTTTATATTTTTTTATATGTTGAAATTGTACGAAAATTTCCACTATATTAACACATATTTTCTTAGGCTATCTGATATTAAATTTTGTAAGCTGACTTAAAAAATATATATTTACATTTTATTATTATATATTTTTGAACTATTTAGAATTTTTATTCCACAGTATGTGTATTATATAATGACGGTAGAGCATTCGTAGCAAGATGTTGTTGTACGATTTGCTCCAAAATACTTTTAATATTTTTACATCCATTTAGCGCACGCAGTTGCATTGCTTTTAATCTTGATAAATGTAATCGTTGACCTGATCCTTGAGTTACCAATATAATACCTGGTTCTTTAGTTAATTCATCAACAGTTTCTGGTAAAACTACTACTGATAAAGTAAAACCTGGTCCAGTTTCTTCTAAATGGTTAACATCTAAAATTCCCATTTCATTCGTTTCCTCTTCATTGAAAGTTGATGATGAATCTTGCAGGGATACAGTACATCCGATAGCGAAATCTTTAATCGGGATTCCAGCATCGATTAACGCAAGTGTAGCCGCATTTATTGAAACACAATAATCACTTCCATCGGCTTGAAGAACTTCTATGAAAACGTCAATTTGTGAACGAGGAAATTTTTCAAGATTTAAAATAGCTTCTAAGGCGTGTCTTAAATGGATAGATCTTTCTTGTGTCTTTTTATCACCCCTTGGTCTTTTTTTTCTGTCTCCAGAACTCGGACAAAATACAGCCATACTATATTGACAATTAATAATTCCTTTAGTGGACTTCATTACTGTACTTCTAGCTGAAGCTCCTCGTGGCTATAAAAATTACAATACAAAAAGAAAGTGAACTATGTTGTTTAAATTAAATAATTGAAAAAAAAAATTAACTTACCTGATGTGGGCCATAAACTGTTGCAAGTACTTTTGTATTTCCTTGTTCTATGTAAGCACTTCCATCAGCTTGGCCAAAAACTCCTAATCGGACATTAATTTGTCGGAGTTCATGTGGTCGTCTTCCATCGACTCTTAAACCATTTTGATCTTGCATTTGATCAATATCCATTTTTATAAAATAATTATTAATCTATTTTATAAATAAACTATTAAATCTAATTGAAGGTTACAACTTTACACGAAGTATAATAAACACAAGGACAGAAAAACACGTGGATAAACAGATTATTCAATAAAGTGGCACTGGTTGACCTGTTTGTTGCTCATAACCTCAAAAAAGAATGTGTACATACAGCACATAACAAAACAACTATGGTGGGAGCCTGAAATTATTTTTATTGAAAAAAGGAGTTGTATTGAAGACAATTTTTTGAGTTATCTAATTATTTAATATTTAAACATTTGCTGATTTACTTAAATTTTTTTTTAATCTTCTAACAAGATTGTATCGGATAAATGAGAATGGTCTTTGTTAAATTGAGTTGTTAATTAGATTTATAATTGAGGTGAGAATTGTTTTTTTTTTTCTTAAATTAAATAAACCTATAATCAGTAACTTTAGAACTTGTTAAATTCAATTATAGTGATTTTATTTTAAGACAATGTCTAATAAAAGTATCGAAGATGAGGAAATTAACGAAGAACCGACAAAGCCGGAGATACAATCAGAGTTGATTGACGAAGAACTGAAGATGCAATCAGAGGCAACAGAAGATGAACAAAACAAGACAGTTGAACCAACAGATGAAGAGCATTATGTTGTTCATCATTGGAGTAATTCATTAAGACTTTTGTGCACCACAAATAAAGAACATGAACTTGAAGGATGTCCTAACAATCATACCAAAGGATGCTTGTGGTCTCCCGATGGAACATGTTTACTTGTTCCATTTGCTGATTTTCGAATACGTCTTTATGACTTACCTTCTGAATTATACTCTACTAAACTCTCAGATATTTTATCGCCTTTACCATTAAAAGCCGCCTTGAAAATCAAAGAAGGAGGCTTAATTTATGATATTTGTTGGTATCCATGGATGAGTTCATGGGATCCTGTGACATGTTGTTTTCTAGCTACAAGTAAAGAAACTCCTGTTCATTTATGGGATGCTTTTACTGGAAAATTAAGAGCTACATATCGTGCCTACAACCAGCAAGTATTAATGGAGAAATATTACTTTACTATTTTTTATTTAGAATAATTAAAGAAATAGTGATTTATTACAGAGTTGACGAAGTAGATGCTGCTATAAGTGTTCGATTTGGTAATGATGGTAATACAATATGGTCTGGCTTTAAAGGAATTGTAAGATCTTTTGACATTAATCGACCAGGACGCCAAGTTGATGATATAGTTATGAAAACCAACTTTCCAAAAATGCATGGAATTGTTTCTTGTATACGTGACAACCCAATTTCACCTGGTTTACTCGCTATTGGAACATACTCTAAATGTATAGGTATTTAATAAATTATTTTTAAATAATTTAATATCATTTTTTGAATTATCAAATTAATGTATCATATCTGTGAGTAGGATTATACAAGGATGGACCATTATGTTTATTTGAAACAGACAGTGGAGTAACTCAGCTTGAATTTAGTCCATGTGGAACTAAACTTTATTCTGCTGTTAGACGAAATAATGAATTCCTATGTTGGGATCTACGAAATCCAGGAAAAATCTTGTATTCTTTAGAAAATCGACAATCAGATACTAATCAAAGAATTCAATTTTGTATATCACATGATGGAAGTGAAATAATTTCTGGTGTGTATAAAATATTTTTCGATTGAAATTTCGGTATGTAACTATAATTACTTATTTACAGGTGGAACTGATGGTGTTGTAAGGGTTTGGAAAACAGAAGAATTAATAAATAATACTATTATTCCTTCGTGGAATATTCCAATAACAGATGATTGTGTCAATGGTGTTGACATTCATCGAACTTTTCCTATTCTTGCTAGTAGTTCAGGTCAACGGATGTGCGATGATGATGAGAGGGTTCAAGATAATAGTGTTCGAATATGGGATTGTAGTTCATCAGTGAAATCATAAATAGTTCTGACAGAAATGTACGTAAACCAATGATTTTTATCTTCATTTATTTTACTTAATTTATATTTCTTACATTTGATATGAATATGACTTATTAATAGGAAATTACTTTCGATATTGTAAAAATAGAGAATAGTTTATTTTTGTAAAACTTGAACAACTCAAGAACTCTAATTAAATTTTAATGTTTACAATGCAGAATAGATTTTAATAACAATGTGAAATTTAAAGAAGTGATTTCTTATTGATGATATCATATCTACAAGGTTGAAATAATGATTCTACTCTATAGTGTAATTTTTAAATGTGAATATCATTTTTTGTACATAAGTAATGATTTTTTCCACTAAATGAAACGATACATGTCTGAAATTTATATTTCACTCGTTAAAGGTTAAAAAAAGCCACAGAAAAATATACTGATACTTACTAAGAAGCACTAAGTACAATAAAAAACTTTAGATATCAATTAATATACATACATCTTGAAGAATTTATATGTTAATATAATTTTTAAGTACTTGATACAATTTTACCTTTAAATAATAAGTATCAATGATTTATTCTGTCTATTTTTGATAGACATAAAAGTATTATATTTGCATACATAAATTTGTTAATTAAGTTGCTGACATGTAAAGAAAACAAACCGAAGCTCCGAGAAAATAATTTATGTTTATTATCTACTCTTTAGAAGTCAGAATAAGGTATTGATGTTTGTGCTTTACTGAAAGTTACTGGACGATAAAATGATTGAGATTGATCCCAACCACGTGGTGCCGTATTATAATTTGTCAAATTTTGGTAGCTTGATATTTTGGGACCATTATAAACACTTTCACATACTTTATCGTTACCTAGAAAAAATAAATTATTTTTTGATCGATAATAATACAGATAAATCCATTGAAAAATAAATTAATATAAATAAAATATTTAAATATATATATATTTTTTTAAAACATTAGTTTAAGCTATATCACACAATTAGTAATTATGAATAAAAAAAAATAGATACAATATCTGAAATTGTATATCTTACTGCAATCTGGTGGGGGAGCTGAAACGAGAGTTTCTAATATCGGAGTTCTACGGAGTTTGCTAATTTGTTTCTGAAGATCTTCTTGAGAAGCAATTCCAGTAAAAATTAACGATTTAGCTTGAGGTGATAGATCATTCTCTGTATTAATAAATGGTTCTTCTAAATCATCATTCCTAAAGCCTGGTGGTGCCTCAAAAAGTTGTTCAGTTGTACAATCAAATAATTTACGACGATAATCATAATCATCCATGGATAGTATTCCATTAGATGTCGGACGCATTCCAGAACTGTCGTCTGAAGAACTTGATTCACCAAAAGAATCATCGATTTCATCATCTGTCGAGTCGTATTCGTATCTCAAGCCCATTAAATTATTTTGCTGATAATTTCTCATATAGCCATTGCCATTCTCAACATGATTTATATTTGAATTCATACGTCCATTCATTTCAACACCATTTCCAATATATTTTGGAGTCTCTTTCGTATTATTGAACATTCTAGGTGAATCAAAGAAACGTGAAATATTTTCTATCGGTGGATTTTGAATAATCGGAGTTTTAGGAATCATCTGTTTATATTGAAGTACAGGTCGACAAGTTTTTTCAAACTCTTGAATCAGTTGTTTAACTGGCACTGGCGTATAGTCTTCATCATTCTCATCAATATCTTGTTGATGTTGGTTATTATGATGATGACCATTTTTTTTAGGCTCATTCATAAAATGTTGCTTGGTGCAACGATTATTGTTGGAATAAGATTCCATGCAACGATTGTTATTAGCATGAGACTCCATGTAACAATTATTATTGACATGAGATTCCATGCAGCGATTGTTATTGGCATGAGATTCCATATAATGATTAGAATTAATAGAATTACGTTTATATTTGTCATATGAAGCATGATTTCCATTGCAATGTCCATTTCCTATGCATTCTGGTTCTGTACCAACTGCTACTTCTTTCAGATAAACTTTTATTACTTCCGGCTCACTTTTTCTTGGTGCGTTTGGATACATTTGCTTTTTACGAGATTTGTCTTCTAGAAATTTCGATGAAGGGCAAAGCAATACAAGCGAAATAGAATTTTTTGTTAATTGATTAATATTTTTGCTTTGGTTACAATAAAGCGTAAAATAAATAATATGTTAGATTATATTTTTAACTAAAATATCATTTTATATTATACTATATGGTATCCATAAGATAAAGTAATACTTACTAAATTGAGTATTTGAGTTATTGAAAGACATGTCCAAATTATAAGGACTGGGAAAAGCATTTCCATTATTTTGACCTGGAGACTTTAGTGAATGGTTTGTATAATTCAAATTTTCTGTTGGCTGATAATCCTACGAAAGTTAGTTTAATAATTAATGTTATATTTTAGCTCTTGATAATTACTTCTAACTATTTTTAATTAAAAATATTACCATTTTAGGTAGGAAAGGTTGTGGTTTTTCCATATTAGCAGGATTAGGTGAAGATTGATGGTCTTTATCTACCACCCACTTTTCTGATCTTTTTCTCCGCTTCGCAAAAATTTCTGCACCTGAAGTATATTAAATTAAATAATTAGATGAATCTCGTTGACATATTGTTGAAACTGTAAAGTTATAAAAAAATTAATATACCACGTCCTTTTTGATTGTTCAAATCACGAACAATATCGAATAGTTTTTCAGCATTCAATGGACTCGTACCAATATTTGGTTCTTCTCCAAGAGCTTGGATACCTTGAATATCCAATACTTTGCCATTTGGATTCATCATACATTTTAAAGGTACTTTATCCTATGAAAGAAATTTGTATTTTTTAAAAAATAAATTTCAGATAAGAAAAGACGAATTTAATCTCAGTTTAAAAATGATTACATACACGAGGTAGAGGTGATTGAGGTTCATCTTCAACATCAATTCCTAAAGCAAAACAATTTATCTCCATTAGTATTTATTTTTAAATGACAATAAATAATTTATTAATAATCAGAGACATTAAAAAACAATTAAATTGATACAGTTTAATACAATGTTGAAAGTTGCAACGGTCAATGAATCTGACGCCAGTATCAATCATCGTACAGGTATTGGCATGTGAAGAATAATTATCGGAATTTATTCTCTCTCTTTTTAATTGATTGATTTTTTGTTTAAGATGCCAATAATAATATCACTGCCAACTATACTATTGACCTTAACTTTTTTGTTTAAGCCCCTAATTGACTTTTATTTTTTTTATCAAAATTGATAGGAATATTTTTACTTTAGAATTTTATTTCAGTCTCAGTAATAGAATATAATTACCATTTCCATCATGAATCCACTTAACAGATCTTTTCTTTCTATTTACATACATGGACTGCCCTTTACTTTTCATATTTTTTACATCGCTAAGAGAATAAGAAATTCTCCGAGCGAGTTCCACTTGATCCTCTACTGTAGGATGGGTCGGTGCATAAAAGCACGACGACGCATACATTTTTTCTATAAATATTAAATAAAAGTTTAGATCAACAAACAACAACAAGACAATAAATCAATCTAAAAAAAGCCATTGAAAAATCATACTGTTTCGTGTTTGTAGAATATCAGTTGAATCCATAGCTGGCGTCAGCAACTTTTGTAAGTTGATCGGTTTCGTTTGCAAATTATCCTAAAAAAATGAGGCAAACATAAATAAGTAAAGAATCATCATGATACAATGAAGGTTTTATTATTACAATTACGTACTGTTAAGTAAAGCAATATGAAGCTGTTCAAATTACAAGCTTGTTTATTGAAACAGCAATGTAAATGAATAGTATATGCGGAAAGCAAAGAGCGATAATCAAGCTAATTCCGAACTCACCATATTGAAATGAAGTATTTTCGACGTCAAGTGTTCGAGAAAATTTCTCTTTGCCGGATCGTGTCTGTCTGATGGTTTAAATCCGCGAGTTTTTATAACATTATCTGCAGAAAAGCTTCGTTGCAAGTAATTATTCGTTTGTGAATTTGTCTGAAATATCTGACGCTTGCTTTCGACATTTTTTAAATTTGTTGACAATGCATAGTTGAAAAGATTGGAATTGCGTCCGGTATTGAATTTAATATCATCGATTCTGTACATATATACGCAATAAGTTTATAACCATTCAGTAGATAAATGAATAAAAGATGTTGGTATTTAAGATTATGTTAGTTGAATAATGTGTAAGTGTAAATTGTTAATAAATTGGATCATTTAAAATAGGATAAACAGTATATAAATTCATTATCAAAGAGAATAAATTTATTTTCAATGTTTTTTCCTTGATGAAGAGAATTGGTTGATCTCCAAGACGCCAATTAATTTCATGTTACCGTATTGGCATCAACTACAAAACAAAGTTCTGTGTGAAAGAAATGCTAAATTTATCTATTGTAACGTAATATGTTCGCTGCGGTACTACACTTCAATCGTATTTAACAGGGAATCGACTTTTATCTAAAGGAACGAGATCATGGCCTAAAATTAATTGAGCATCACTTTTAATACATTTATAAGACCTTCGTATCATTGATATATTTAAAAACTCGTAAATAATATTTTATATACTTGTTTTCCTAGATAAAACACTTGATTTCTATATATAGGAACGATTTGTCTATAATTTTTGTGTTCTAGTTTTTTTTTTATTGCGTAAGAAGAGTCAAAAGCACGTCTAATGAATTTTTAACAAAAAAAAAATAACATAAAAAAAAACGATTGAGTTTTTTTCGACGAGACAAAAAGCTAAGATATAAATATTTTTAAAAGGTTATTGAACAGATTTAATAATAGAAATAAAAATAGTCAAATGCTTGTATTGAAAAAAATGAAAAAGGTATTTATATTTACTTATCGAGTGTTGCTCTCCTCATGATTAAATTCACGAACTTAGATTTTGCGTTCCAATTACTTCACGATTTTTACATCAATATTTAATCAAATAATTTTTTTTTTTTACAATTTCACTTTTTTTTTCGCTATAATAAATAACTTTTAGATCTGAGAGACTAACCGAAATGCGCACTGTTCGGACCACTAAATATTTATCTTACAAAATATTCTTACTTCATACCTACGAATATATGAATAATCTGTATTGGCGTTCACAACTCACGTTTTCGTGGCCATTCGTCCGTTTTTTCAAAATTGCAAGAAATTCATAAAGATCTGTACAAATTTTATAAAAAATTTTTTTTAGCACGTACTTCAAAAAATAATTTATCTTAATTTAAAAATTTATTTAATAAATTAATCCATTTTAATACCACCAAATTAAGATAAACATCTTCTTGTACTTTTATATGATATCCATGCAATTTTTTTATAAAATTTCTATTTTTCTATTTTAAAAGCTATTATTTAATTGATTAGATAATCTACGTTTTAATAATTTCTATATAACTCCATTAACAAGGAAATAAAAAAACAACACTTCAACAATAACTACTGTTTGTTCATAAGAATAATAAGCAGTGAATTTAAATATGAAAATAAATGATATAATTGGAAGAATTATTTTGTCGATTTACTGTTTATTATTGTTGTGAAAACGATGTAAAATATTTAATTTACATACCGCTAAATACAACAAGAAGATGTACCTTAATAATGGAGCTTCAGCACACACGTTCTTTACCACTTTCTAACTGGTTGGGTATACATTTTAAAAATAGATTACGAGAAGCGACACCTCAAAATTGGTTGGGATTCTCCCCTCATTTGTATGTGAAAGATGTGGTCTTTAGTTTATATTAGTGCGCTATTTGCTTATTCCCTTTTAAATAAACTTATTAAACCATTTATTCAATTAAAAATACAAGTACTTGGTTTTTCAATTAGATTATTGTATATTTTCATTCAAAAATACATTCATTTCCAGTCATTAAGCGTCATATCTTCAACAATATCCACATTATTATCTATTGAAAAATCACCACCATTTTTGTTTTCATGTACAACTTTTCGCTTTTTCTTCTTCTGTGCTTTCTGCTTTTTATCCATTGCTTTAAGTTGTTCTTCAGTCATGTCAAGATCACTGTTATCACTATCATTATTATTACGTTTTTTATTTGATTTTTTAATAACTGGTAATTTAAGATCTGACATACTGTCATTTTGTGTTAATAATTTCAATTTTTGTGATTGATGAATTTCAAACCACGATTTGTAGAATTTTATCAATGGCGTTCCTTGATTCTTTATTGTATTTTCCCAGTTTTTAATTGATGCTAAATCTTTCAGATCAACAGTTATTTTTTTTCTTTCAGTTTCAATGAACTGAGCATTTTCTTGGATTTTACTGAGGAGTTGTTTGATCTTTTTACAGAAATTAGTGACCTTGCATTTCTTTAAGAAGTGTTTCAACTGAAATTAAAATGATAAAGTGTATCAATAAAAGCTATTTCAATACTCGAGTTTATTTAAATTAATTTCATGACTAGATAATAAAATACTTACTTGTATTATACAAGGAACATACATATCAGGAAAATGGCAAAAATGGCTATCTTTTGCAGCGGTTTCAAGCATTAATTCATAAATACTTTCAATCACTGCATCTTTAAATCCATTTTCTCTTAACTGAGATTTAGATACTCTTAATATACAAATGAACGATAATGGTTTCATACTAACTGCTGTATGTTTTTTATTAAAATCATAGTTATTTAAAACCTAAACAAAAAAATATTTTATAGAAACAATTATTATTTTTATTACTTTTATATTTATTTCTATTATTCTTACCTCTAATAAATAGGGTAAAACAGGAATAAAAGTTCCCGTTTCTTTGGAAATTTTGATTAGCATTTGAGTGCAATGGAATCGTAGTGGATAAAATTGTGATGTTGGGATCATTTGAATAGTTCCTGTGATGATTTGTACTAATGGATATTGAAGTGATTGTATCATCTGATTATTTTTTGATGAAATTATCAAATCACACCAGAAACGGAGTGCATTAATAAATTGCCAATTATAAACGGCTTGGAAGTGTTCCTAAACAATTTTAAAATAACATTATTGCCAAAATTATTCGTCTATTGTTATAAAATGTAATGTGATTATTTTTTAACTAACCTTTTTCTTCAATGTCATTGCATTTCTTAAATAGATAGCCAGTTGCCTTACATACAAGAATACATAATTGTATGCATAATTACTATCCAGCAAATAAATTTCGACTAATGAGCATCTCATGAAGTTAATTCCAGGTAAAGTACTTGGTGCAACGAATTTTGCATTTTCAACATACTTTAAATACATACTCTAAAAACATAATAGTATAAAATTAATTGTTTATATTAAAACAAAGATTAAAGAGCAAGGTTTGATGGTTCAATACTTACTTTAAGAAGTGTTTCTAAAAGAGACTCTTCTCTGGTTTTAGCTAGTTGATAGATGTTCAAGAATGCAATTACTCGTACACTTTCTTCTCCAGTTGACCATAATTTCAATAAAATTCTGATAAGTAGTTTATTTAGTGATGAAAATGATCGAGTGAATCGAATCAATGCATGTAGATGTTTCAAGAGTACTCTTAAAATTTCTGGCGATGTTAGATGTTGTAAGAGCTATAAATATAATCAATAATTCATATTTAATTGGTTCTTTAGTTTATTTAGTTTGTGCAATAAGAAGTGAAATGAAATTGCATACCTCTAATAAATCCTTCAAGTAGGTCTTTAAAACGCTTCTTATTTTAGGAAATCGTTTGGATTTATGAGCTTCGAATTCAGCTTCTGAACTAATTTTTAAGAATTTTTTCAATGCATCTGGGAGACTGAGAATACATAGTTGAACGACAGCATTAAATACTGCAAAAATTTAATTATATATTAAAAATATTGGTGAAAATTAATTAATTATAGTGCAAAAAAGAAATAAAATATTTGGTTAAACTTACATGCACCTCCTTCTATCTTATACTGAACCTGTGTAGATGCATCAGGATCAGAAACAGTAATAAGTGCAGCATGGAATGCATCAACTAACTTTTTAATTGTTTTAATTGATCTGGAAATGGATAATTTTAGTACTTCAGTATCAAAATATTTATTTTAAAACAAAAATTTAATACTGTACTTGTCTTTTTGGATTTCATCTCGCCAATGATCCAATAATTTAAATGTAATTTTTATAGGACCTTGAGATGCTTCATTTTCAACTACTTCTGTTTGTTCATAATCACTTTCATCACTAGGAACCTATTGAAAGTAATGATTATCAGATGTATAGATAGAATATTGTTGAGTTATAATTATAATGTATTTAATATTTACCTCTAAACTACTTGGAGGAACATGTTTGTCTTCATGATCTTCTTCATCATCCGATGCTTTTTCATCATCAGATAAATTAAAATCCAATAATTTTTTATCATTTTTCTGTAGAAATTGATAAAACTCCGGATCTACATCTTTCAAACTCTTCAAAGATTTCTTATGAGATTCAATATCAACATCACTTTCTTCACTTTCCGATTCATCTTTTTTACTCCTTTTCTTTGTTTTACTTTCATTATTTTCTTCAAGTTCAAAATCTTGATTGAAAAACTCATCTATAGAAGTATCAGCCAAATTTTTCTTCTTTGCTGGTAATTTTTTCTTTATTTTCGAAACACCTTTCTTTTTAACAACTTTATTTTTTACTATTCCCTTCATCTTAAACTTCTTCTAATGAATTTTATTCAAAGTTTATAATATTCACTATTAATGAATAACTTAACCTATAAAAATTTCAACACACGTGGTAGGTTATTGTTGAATAACACGACAAAATCAAATGCTACTCCGCATCAAAGCCCAAGTCAATTGTGAGTCATGTCATACAACATTTGACTGTACTGTTGATGACGCCAACTGTTTAACCAACAAAAGGCAAACTATCGACGCAACAACAATGGCGTTAGTATTTACTTACTAGTCAACGCACATGTGTCTAACAGCCAACCATTTCAATTTTAGCATTATTAATCGCTTGAGTAATTAATTTTATTATTTTTAACTGAACAAAAATATCAAATTGAATTGTAAAAAATTTTGAAAAGTTTTTAACCACTGCGCATTGTTCTGCGCGGAACAATGAAATGAGCAATAAGTGGGGATGATAAATTTTACCGGCTCATGTTGGTTTTGGTCAGTTTCATCCAAGACGTTGATGAGTGTTGGTGGTTGGATGTTTTACATATTAAATAATTCACATAATTATTCATTATCAGCAGTAATATTCAATATTGAATATTAAATTCAACTGATAAGAATAATAATCATGTGCACTAAAATGTTTTTTCATATTAGTATTGTAGTGTAAATTTCTTAGAAGTTTACAAGAATCAGTGAATTACACAAAACTAGCGATTATAGTTTATCAATCTTTTTATAACACTATTAAAGTGTTTTATTTTAAATGTGAAGAATAAACAGTAAAGAATTTTATCTCAATTGTGAATTTAAAAAGAATAAAATGTCGATATGCCGAGTTTTAGTGAATATTTAGTCGACATATTTAGTGATAATTTTCAAAGTAATCATCTATTTTTAACTAATCTTCAGTGCTTGAACAGTTCCACTACAGATTTTTTTTATCATCATTTTAGAGTGTACAGACGGTGAGTATTTATTTCAAATTGTAATAATAAATCTGCACATAAAAACACCAGTTACTTCTGACGTCATGTGCTCTAATTCATGTCAGTCAGTTTGTATACAAACAAAATATTTTCTATTCTCTTCCTCATCGCTTGCAGAGTATTTGTTTTGATTTGTAATCGAAAAAAATATTCCAAGGAATTTTCTTCATTGGCTTATTTCAATATTCAATAATATTTGAATAATTGCTACTATTTTTATCTGTAATTTGCAGCTTGAAAAAAGTTTTAAATTATAGAATCGAATAAAATGAAACGGAATTTTTAAAACTAGTTTTCAAAGTGAAAGAAGTATTTTATATTCATGGATTTCTAAAAATATACATCTATTGTTCACAACAAAATGCTTGAAAATAAATCACCGACAATCTAGACTTCAATTTCGTTGTGATTTTTCTATTGGCAATATTTATGTTTTTAAATTATTGTGAATCATAGGTTTATCATTTCGATTGAAAATTCTATTCAACTTGGTAAGGTAGAAAATTGAAACTACTCTATCATATTGATAGTATGGCTAGATTGATCAAGTAGTTTAGAAAAGTGATTGTGGATATATCAGTGCTATTTAAAATAACTCTACAGTCTATCTGATAAAAGAACCTACATCGGAATTTCTTTGGATCATTCAGCTTCTTTCTCCCTTCTATTACAAAAAATATTATAAATAAAAAATGATCTTTAACATCATAATATTCACATGAATATTTTAAATCTTCAAGTTTGTTTCATTTTTTTTTTTTGTTTTTACTCCAAAATTGTCATCCAATACTGTAGAACATTTTCTAAACTACCTGTAATCAAAATTCGCGCGAGTATTTAAATTCAATAAACTAAATCAAATTGTTAATAAAATATAAAGTCGGATAATATTAGTGTTGGCTGTTTAATAAATAATTAGCTCCAAAATTGAAGGTTATTATAACCGAATGATGGAATAATTTTTTTAAATCATATTCATAAAAACAAATAATTTTTAAATCATGGCAAAATATTTAAATTTAATTAAAAATTTATCTTTAATTTTTTAATCTTTTTGGAGCATTCAAATTTAAATGTTTTATTTTTATAAAATATTTGGAGTAAAATATGTGATATGAAGAATATATTAAATTTGAGTTGTTCTTTGAAGAGTTCATGATTTTTATCCTACATAAATTACCCTTATAAAATGAAATTGAAGCACATGTAATAATGATGAATGAAAATGTGTGTTTGAAATAAAAAGCACCTTCTTTGGCCAAGTTCATTATAGTTACCTTCGTTACCGTGTGGTTTGACGCATGTGCAACACGAGTTAAGATGAACTCTTATCTGTCATGGATTTTTTCAATCATCTTCGAACCTATATTAACAAAAATTTACAATTCTTTATCCAGAAAGACATTGAAATGTATAACAACTTATAAGTAGATTGATATAAAATAACATCAAGTGTCAGAATCACGTTTGTGATAAGTGTAATTCTATGTGTACCATGTTTTTAAAATGAAGTTACAAGCATGGATCAGAAGTCTTCTGTCGTTTGAAATAAAATTTTTAAAAGGAATCATTTTTCAATTTTAAAAATTGTGAATTTATTATATTTATTAGATCTAACATGGTTAGTTTTATATTTAAATAATTAAATAAAATTATTGAATCCTGATATAAGAAACAAAGTGTCATTTTAATAAATGTGTTAAAGTAACGACGGAATAATGTTGTTCCAATAAGTATTAAGTTAAGATGGTATGTATATCTGACTACCACTATCTAGATAATATTAATATGAAATGTAAAAAAAAAAAACAAATGACAATTGTTTTTATTGATAGATCACGTGAGTTATTGTAATATAAATATATGACAATAAGATGATATTTGACTTTGGTAATAATAATTAACATTATTGTTAGATATATTTATTTAAATGACTTTCTGACATATAAATTAAATGATAATTTTATTTAATAATTAATAAAACCAGAGTTTAGACTTTTAATGTGGATAAATATGTTAGTTACACTTGCGTGTAAGCACTTTTTATCTACACATCATAAATAAAAACCTAATGACCTATTTATTTATTATTATTTTACGTGAAAATTATTCGTGAATATGACCATTATAACCGTGTCTTTCTAGTATCATTAAAAAAATATTTATTTATTTTAATGCAAGAATTGTAATTTTAAAATGTAAATTACAATTTACTAAAACTCATTTGTTTGTTCAACATTTTTAATTAAAGTTTTACAAATTAGAGGTAAAATAAATAATGAAGACAATTTTATTCATGAATAATCTGTTATTGAAAAAATATTGTTATAATAATATTTATATTATATTATATTATCGTATAACTATTTATTTATGAAATTTTACAACATCTAATAACAATATTCATTTTCTTTATTTACATACACTTTTTTTTTGTTATTAAAAACCCCTTTTTCCTGTGGTTATATTAAAGCAATGAATAATTTTTCTGAATCTTATTTATTATTATTTTTTCTGTTCTAGATAAATACAAAATTCATTTTGAAATAAAATATACATTTAAATCAAATATGAATAAGTTGGTTAAGGAAAGGGATGGTTTTCAAGATTTACATTATTTATATTTCCATAAGAATATATTCCATATTCTATTTATCATCATGCTATATTTTTTCTATGAAGTAGATCAATGACTAACTTTTAATGCTATTTTTTCATTATTAATTACATTATTGATAAACAAAAAAATTTTTTAAACATCAACACAATTATATAAATAATTTAAAAAAAATTTATCTTTTCAACAAATTATTGAAAATATTTTTTATTCATGGAAATAAATCAGACATGATAGCAAAAGATTTTTTGATTGAAAAATATTTAGCGAATCAATCTTCATTGAAAGCTAAGATGTTGTTAAAGGATTGCTCGTTGCTATTACACCAACGAGCAAGCGCGTCCGGGCTCGAATATTCGTTGCTTGCTTGAAAATGATTAAAATTTTTTTTTGTCGATTTAAAGTTACGCTGTTGAGTCATTAAACATTTTCTGTTCTAACTATATGCAGTCTCTTCTCAACAGGAATGTTGAGGATCATTAAAGAATTTTTAGAGGAAAAAAGCCTGTTATATTTAAAGATGAAAGACCAGTGGTGTATAGATATGTGCAAGTGAATGACATAGAAAGCAATTATTATTAGATTTTTATTATTAATACTTTATCTTTTTACTCCCTTTACTTAAACTGTATGCTTATCGGACACTTTACTATTTGGCTTCTTTCTACTCGAACGTAATGAAACGCCCAGGTCAACCTTCCCCTTTTCTGTGAGACTCATTGCCTTTAAGCTCAATTGTGACCTAGTTTATCATAACTCTCTCAACTTACTTTTTATACACTTGAAACTTTTAAATATATGTACAATATAATCTACCATCTAGAAAAGTATTTAAATAAATTCATAATTAATTCATTGAGAAATTTTTTAAGATTTTTTTTTTTACATGGTTTACTACTGGTGTTACATATTATACATTGACTAACATTATATCGATTAAATCTCCATTAAATTAGGGATAATTTTTTTTTACTGCACAAGAAGGAATAAATTTTCAGTATGAATTACTCAACTTGATAATTAATTTTATGAAACTGACCGCGTCAACATAATTTAATTAATCTTTAACTACTTGGTTTTATACATAAATTTACATTTTTGAACTTTGATCTCTGCTAAAAAAAAAAAAAGTTGACAAATTCTACTTTTGTTATTCTCTTTTTTAAATTTTAATATCATGAAAATTTTACAACAAAGCTAATGAATTTACTTAAGCTCAACATTAAAATACATCCAACAGAAAGCTTTTTTTTTTTTTATTAATGTATAGATCTAGTTTTATAAAGTTTTCAATTTTTTTTTTTAACTGATAAATTGAGCATCGTTTGGACATTCCTCGATTACATCCGATTTTTATGTCCAAGAATGATTATACCCCTGGTTAAAATTTTCTCCAAATATTTATACCTATGTTGATAGCTATAATGGCTCCATGCTCGATGCACGGTGGTCACCTATGCTAGACTTTTCTGCGCACGTTCAGAACTTGAATAGGTGACCGCTCGGGTTGCTTACTTCTATAGCCCACTTCCTTCAGCAAAATGAGAGATGTACAATTGGCAAGGGGATTCGTGTAATATGAGAAGGAATGGGCTATCATTGCTGATTCAGAAGCATGCGTATTAGGATTGGAATGTCCATTTCGTCAATCTCATAAATAAATGTATCGAGATTCGAGTATAGGTCAGCTGTTTCAAACTTGGTTTTCAGGGTTTATGATCTCATAATACAAATATAAATATAGATGGAAAAAAAAAAAAATTATCTTCTTTATTGATGTATCTCTGGATCAACATAACAGCAAAGAAGCTTGCTATTGTGTTGTTGAATTCAATTACTTTCTCGTGAAATTAAAAAAAAAAAAAAATGAGTGCAAAATATTGTTGATTTATACTAACAAAGCTCAACAAACTTTGATTTCATAAGAGCTCTTTTAGTCTTGTTTGAGTATTCGCACTTTAATACTTTATACCTAGCAAACAACTGAAAGCTCAAAGGGTGCAATTTGTTTAACCCTATGCCAAAGCAACTTGATCTCATACTTAGCTTCATGAGATTTTATGCTAATTACGTTTTATTTTAATTCTAGAATCAGTGAACCCAGAAATAATGATGACTTTTTATGATCAATTGAAATAAATCCATAAATAACTGAATACTATGTGGCTTTTGGATTCTACCGAGTTTGCAACGACATAATTTATCTGCCTAGGCTCAATGCAAAATGCAAACATTGCACTTTTTGATGGCTATAAAACTAAAAGGTTTGTTTTTATTTTATTATGATACTGAGGATTATGGTAATGACTGTATTTAATCTATATATTCATCTTTTCTATCAAAAAAATGCATCCATCATAGTATATTATCTTTGTTGATACTTTCTGAAAACTTTATATCAATGATTTTATTCAAAATAACTTTAACTCAGTAGTACATAACCCTTGACACTGTTTGAAAACAGTAAATTCATCAGGATTGAAAGATTAATTCTGATGTAGTCGTGGGTAGAATCTTTTATGGAGATGAGAACTTTGATTCTGAGGTATTTCATAGGCTGAATATGAAAGACTATTTCTACTTGCTGATGCTGAAGCCTTTAAATCAACTGACTTCAAGCAAACTTGGTAAATCTGAATCTAAAAGCCTCATACTAAATTCAATTTTAAGAATACTAAACCTTTTACGAAATTTGAGGATTAGTAAATTCTAAAATTATTCTTAAAGAATAAATATTTGCATCAAGATTCGTTATTATACTCTAGGGTTGATTACAAATAAATTTTATTACTTATTTTCTTTTAAAATATAATCATTTATTGCTATACCTGAACTTTGGATTACAATGATATTGGAATATTATTCCACTTTTTATGAATAAACCTTGTTGGATTATCAATTTAAAATAAATATATTAATTGTTGCTCATTGAATTTTTCTAGCTGAACAAGATCAAGACTGTCAGCAGATTTTTTGGTGAAGAGTTATTGGAAGAGATGGATGTTGCAAATATATCAGCTACATAATTTTAATTGTCAATCAACATAGGCATTTCTATTGACATCGTCCAATTGTCAGAAAGGTAAATTATATGTTTCATATTTTAATTACACCATGTTAACATATCTTTTTGATTTTGATAATTAACTGAATAATTTTTGTTGCAGATAGATAAAATGTTATCTAATAAAGATAACTTTTGAACAAATAAGTTAAAAGTGATCCTTGTAGTTAGCGCAATAAATAATTTGCGTGGTACGAGGTGTGAATTTTGGGTAAAAGGGATATGAGGCAAGTGGTGGTGTTTGAGCCGGCTGGCAGCGTTCTAGTTATAAGGCAAACATCTTTAGGTACAAGTAATGTTACAAATGCTTCTAACACTGTGAGTAACACTTCGGTAGAAACGAACCATCACACCCAACACGAAAATCATACAATACCCAACTGTGTAGTATCCACCGATCAAAACCAGAATCGTATTGTGGTGATCCGTTCATCTTCAACATCTTGCATGAATTCTACTGTAAGTTTTATATTAACAACAATTTATTTTCTTGTCTATAATATTTGTATCATTTTTCTTACTTTTTATCATCCTTTTATGTGCTTATTAAAAACCGTCCTCAATATACCCTAATGCTATTCATACTTCGATCAGATCTGTGAGATAATAGATTCCTGAGGTAGAATGAATTTTTAAAAATCTACCTTTTTGCATAATTATGCAAAATTAACTTTAATTGAAAGAAAAACCTATCTCTACCTTGTGTTCATTTCCTCTAACATTTTTTATACCTTGATTCCTTTAACCATAGTCATTTATGTCTAGCATGTTTTTAATGGGTTAGAAAATTAGAAGACAACGAGTAAAATTTTTTATTTCATATACTTTTTATGAATACTATTCAGTATAATCGAAAAATATTCAATAGAATGAATACAAATGACCTAGCTTGAAAGAATCAGGGGGAATTGATGATTGCTTTCTAATCAATAGTCAAAAATTTAACAGGAAACACTTCTAAATTATTCAGTGAATGTTATTTGCAGGAGATTTAACTGTAGCAGCTTAATCAAAAAGCTAGACCTTACAGACAATTTTTAAAATAAATCAAATTATTGCTGCTTCTGATCAGTAAATAGATTATTATTGTACTGATGATTAATAAAAAAAAATCAACAAAATCTCCTGAAGTAACAGTTACCCTCAAACATTGTAAAACTCAAATTGCTTGACAGCTTCATACCTAATTAATTGTCTTAAAATATATACCTATAATATTATCTTGATAAAAATTGACAGCTATTATTTCTTTATTTCTTTACAGATTGATAATGGAATTCTGTTTAATAACAATAATAATTTCAATAATAATGGGAATGTTATACTCAATGATAACATAATAAATTCAAAACCAAGTGATATAGGAGTAAATATTAATTCAATCGATCAGAGTAATCATACTGAAATTCAAGATATTAAGAACAAAAATGATGATATTAATTCTGGAAATAAACAAAAATTGACAGAAGTAACTCATGAGAAACAACACCATAATTGTGGCTTCCAAAATAAATCTGATGGTGTGATTGTAGGTAAGTAATTTTTGAAATTTATTTATCAAGTTAAATTAAATTTAAAAATAGGTCTGTTTGAATATATCATATTTAAAAAATATATGAATTTGTCATTGACTTGAGTTTAATCAAATCCTCAATAAATATTGATACAGAAAATCTGTAAGCTTTATAAAAATTCTTGTCTATGTATAAATAATCAGAATGACTTTACTTATGGATATTTTCATTGTAAATTAAACTTTAATTCCGGTGATGTACAATTTGACCTCGTGAACCATACATCTTCATGAATCATGTTGAATTATTGTACCTTTTGTGATATTAATCAACTGATAAACAATTTTTGAAGAATTTTTAATGTTGATGCTATAGTACTGAAATGATAGAAAGCTTGGAGGAAATTCAGAATGATCAAGAATCAAATCCGGAACTTTTTGTGAGGATTCTGTCAGCTCTAAATAATCATCATAGCTTTTAATCATTTTCATACTTGGCAAATCCACTGACAGTCTAACATGATGATGAACGTTCCTGTTTGAATTGTGGATGTACTGTTTTTGATTTATACATTACAGTAACATCTATTTATTAACTTTCGTGAAAACTTTCTCGATAAATTTGTTTAAATAATTGCTAATTATTTTTTGATAGAAACTTTTATAATTACACCTGTCTTATTCTGTTTTTCACTCCATTTAATTTTTCGTAATAAAATAAATAATTTTATTTATCAGTAGCTATGTAAAGTAGATCTGAAGTGGTCATAATAATGGTGCATTATTTTTGAATTTATTTATTGAAAAAAATAAAGTGAGAAAAGTTAATTGATTTCAAATATTTGAATGATATTCTAGATCTTAGAAAAAAAAATAAGAGATCTGAATAGGTACAATTGAGTGAAATCAGATCTAATAATTATTTACTAAGAGTAGAATTCCTACAGTTCATAAACTATCATGGAAACATTTAATTTGTACTGCAAAAAAAGAAATAATCATTCACGTGTATATATCGTTTGATTGATTTATGCGATTTGTGTAACTGACGTGATTTATTTGACTTGCGTGGCAAAGTTGTTGCTAAGTGTTGACTGGAGGCTTGTTGGATGGAATTAGGACAACAGCGTGAGTAGGATGCTTCCGTTTCTTTGTTGTTTTCTATTTTAATGAACCAATCACGAATACCGGAATAATGTTAAATTGATCCATGCATTTCTTCAATTCGAGATTCTAAAAAATGTCTTGTTCTGCTAGAGATGACAAAATGAGGGATTTAATGTCTCCATTCAACACAGCTTAACAGCAATAACATTCAAGCTACAAGTTAGTTTTTTTTTTATGATGTGCAGGAAGTGATGTGATGAATGTATCACAAATGAAGGAAATCAAAATATATTTAATAATTAAATCGATTTAAGAATTAAACTTTATCTTTGTGTCTTAATCTTTTAAATGGTTTTCTATTTTTTAATATGATGTTTAAAATAATATTGAACCAACTTAGATTATAATGTAAAATGGATGAAACTTGAGAAAAATTTATTGATCAAGATTAGATGAATCTATAAAAATAGGTTGGCTAGATGTTGCATTGGATCTTCAACTAGTTCATATTGACTGAGAAGAAGATCTGAATGTCCATCAGTTTCTTGAAAGTTTCACAAGAAGAGAAAGGAACAAAGAAATAGTTTAGTAATTCAAGAATTCTAATAGATGTTAGGCTTTGTTGACTGGTATAATGATAAATTCCTGTCCAAGCAGACAGTTGGATAGATTCTCAACAAGATCTATTGAATAGATATACGAAATGATCTGATATCACATGACGTGATGATAGTATTACTTGCTTTGATGTTCTATTACACCTGAAAGCATCAAATTGAATTAAGAGGATCACATGTTGGACTATAGGGACATTGATCTAAGTGAAGTCTAGGGTGTCAGAGTTAGTAGGATCAATTAGCAATATCTAATTCTTCATAGCTTTTCAACTGGAAAATTTATTTATGATTTAAAATTAAACTTAAAACTTTGCTACCGTCATGTAGCTATGACTCCTGGTTCAATTACTAAACTTATATTTTTCTTATCATTTTTAATTAATTAGAAACTTGCTATTACTACATACATATCGATTAGTGAAAGCAATTATTTAATGAATGATGATTTTATCTAGATATTATCATCTTAATTTTAGGTTGAATGAATTCAAGATGATTTATTGATGAAGAAAAGCTCGTACTCGCCACTTTTGATTGACTTCATTTTTTGATATCTTATCTTCCATGATATTTCAAGTGCCATGTACGTGCTTTTACTTGCTGACAAGCGGTTTAAAGGGGTAAAATAGACCCTTCAAGTTAAAATTCCTAGCTGATCCGAATCATAAGGATTAGAATTTTTGGAATTTTTATAATTAAATAATTATTCTGCCTTTTTTTACATCCATTTAACAACAATTTTATTAGAAACAAATTGAAAACATAAATTTATTATTCTAACCTTTTGAAAAATGATTATGCTTGATAAACAGGGCACTTTTACACACTGAACTATCAATAATCATCTTTTATCTATTAATATTATCATTTTATGGCTGAATTATTTTTTCATAATTTGTGACAAAAAAATACTTTGCTTTCAATCATTAATTTAATTTCAATAATATAAAGTTTTTTTTTTATCATTATTATTCTATAATTTTTTAAATAGCAAGCGAAAAAAAAAAGATTTACTGAATTAATTTATAATATATTTGTTAATTATAGCCAATAATTTATCACTTTATATAAATCTTTCAACTTTATAGAGTGGAAAAAATGGCATAAGCTCAAATTTAAACACGTACATCGTTTTAAATAATTCATTTTACAGGATAATTAATGTAATAGAAGAAAAGACAATATATTTTAAAAATAGAAGATATTAATTCATAATCTTAATCTACTGCCTGAGAGATACTGAAGATAATAATTTATTAACAAAAAAATTTTAAAACGACCACTGAAGAAATGTTTGACTCTTGACCTAATTTTATCACGTTACGTAATTGATCATCACACATTTATCTACTGTCTCAGCAGCACGCTAAACTATCACCGGGAATTTACAGAAGGGGATGGCTACCACTACAACACTATATACATATATACGCGTGCGGAGTCGAATCGATCCTTTGGAACGCATAGCATTTGTATATCAACATATAAAGCTTGACAGAATTTAAATAAGCATGCTGTCGATATTTGGACAGAATGAGCTACTATTTAATGTTCATTTTACTCGTAATCTATTTGAAATTCTAATCAAACTTGAATTAAGAATATATTTTTACTAATATTCAGCTACTAGTTACGAATTTATTGATTCAACAAATTTAACATACTATTTGACCATTTTTAGACTTAGAAAAGTAATAAAAGCACATTTTCATGAATGCTTTGCACGAGTAAATACCTATTTTAAATACACTGTGAATAAACTGATAACGTCAATTGATGAATGTATTTTGATCAATGATTAAACACGAATTAATTTTTGGATTATATAATTCGGTAAATATTTGCACTATTTTTCGGTTGCATTTGGATCAAATATTTTAGCAGTTTGCGCATCATTGACGGGTGGATGTAAGGTAAAATAAGACAGAGTAAGGATAAGAATGAGATAGTAACGAAAAGCAATGTGGAGCAAAGAGAGAGAAGATTCGCCAGGGTTGCAGCTAAAATTCGAGCGAACCGGGTTTACTAAGAGAAAAGGTGAGATAGACTGTATAAAGGGGAGTAGTGGGGATTACACAAGCTCTAAAAAAGGGGTTGATGGCGTGCGCAGGGGTGCTTGGAATTGCCAGCTGGCTCACTTTGCGGCTCCCGCCGCTCGGGAGCAGACACGCGGGGCCAACAAAAACTTACTTCAAATATTTTAATATAATAATAATTAACATTTGTAAATATCCGAAATATTAAATTTGAATACCATTCTCCTTTGAAACGTTATATACAAGTCATATTAAAATAACAAGAGACAGAAAATAAGGTATTAAAATAAGGAATCACCATCAATTGTTACACCAAATGACAACGAATTAAATCAATTATAAGAAGAATAATGTGAATAGAAGTTTTATCTATTTTATAATATCGATGATAAACATATAAAATCTATTATCTGTTATAATAAACGCTGCTCAATTTATTATTAGGGAATTTATCTTTCAACGAAATTAGGAAATGCATATTTATTTTTATTTGTGCACGTGTGATCTTTATATTACTTTGTCTCCACCAGTAGAGACAGTTTCAGTGTCGTAACTTGAAATTTTAAAAAAAATAAATAAATAAATAAATGCATTTTTCAAACATATAAAAATGGAAAGAAAAGTGTAAAAGTCGATGAATATATTTATCTGATCAGTTGTGGATAGAATTGAAGTCTTTAAAAATAATTAATAAAGAGTGTAGTAGTGAAGAAAATAAAAAAAAAAACAAAAAAAAATTTAAGTGAAATTGAACAATATTAAATAATAATAATAAAAATAAATAACTATAATTTTTTATATTTATAAAATCATTAATAAAAAAAAATGTGATTTAATATTCAGCTTTTAGAATAATAATATAATTAGAAAATAAATCAACGAAGACGCTTTTAATTTTATGTTATACATCGGTAGCTATTAAGTTAGATAAATTTAACTATTTCTTATCTTTGAAATTTATTAGTGAAAAATAATATGAACATAAGTTGACATTCGTAACGATACGCACATGTAAAAGTGACAATTTTAAAATTCTTTTCAACTTGTGTTTTTGAACCAATAAAAACTTTTAATCCACACTATTACAACTTATTGGTTGTGTGAGATTGTTCTGGAAGTTGTTTTTTTGTATTTACTCCGAAATCGTGACATGGCCATTTTAAATTGAAGGATTCACCCTGGTCGAATTGTGTGATAGTAAAGTCTTGGTAACATAAAATAGGAAAGACGTCGAATAAAAAGGATACTGGATATTGAAGAGTGCTAGAAGCATCATCAAGAATTTTACTACTAGAACTGGACTCTCTTTTCATTATATTGTGATACTCTATATCGATTTTAAGCAATTCATCTCGAAAGGAATTATACGGAGTTGGAATAATAGAAGGAGGAAGATAAGATTTGAAGATTGAAGGAGAAAAATATCTAGGAAGGAATTGATTGGAATGATTAATGAAGTCATTGAATGTTGTAAATATCTGAATCTCTAATTATTTTTCGTTGCAACTGACAATGGAAGCTTGTATAAATATCGATTTCTGAGCTACTCGATAATTGGTAGAGAAAAACTATGGCGAACTACAATCACGCGAATTCTCAACGAGTCGTCTACCACGCGACCTATCCAACACCACTAGCTCCAAGTAAGATTCATATATATGCCATATCTCTTCCCAGGCCAGTTACTAGGTTGAATAAGTATATATTGTAAAGACGTTCAGCTTAAGAATAGTAATAATACTAAGTTAAATTGTAGGAATTATAAGCACATTGACGCGATAAGATAATTATCAAAGTTTGATACTCATTTGTGGCAGAAACATGCTTGCATTCTGTCGTGATTTAGGTACAAAATGATCGCTAGGTTGGATAAGAAATGGAATTGCTTGGCAACTTTCAGGGTTAGGTTGTAATATAATTTGCGAGTTATTCAGAGATTTCGTGATCATACCAAATCAGCTACGGAAACATTGTGAAGAATTTCTTTCCCTTTTTATTTCATTTACTGTTATTATAACTCGCAATCTCTTTCTTTTTTTTTTTTTTTACAAAAGAAAGAAATGAGTAATTAAACTTTTTATGAACTTTTTTTAGCATTACCTGGATAAAAGATGCATAATTTTGGTGATATTAAAATATTACTTGTGAATACCGAATTTGGTGACCAAGTAGTATTGAATAGTAACATTTTACTTTCATGTTAACATTTTTTAGAGGTCAATATGTTAATTGCTTAATGCTGTACTGAAAACAGTTTCTGATTTAATCATCTAATTTCCTTGAAGGGAAATCGTTAGGATAACACGACTTATGTGATGAAATAATATTTTAATCTAATTAATAAAATTATTAAAGTTAGCTTAATTAATTATGCCTTTTTATAATTAACTTCATTTTCTTTTTTTTTCTTTTAATTTTTAATTCCTAGATAAGCCAACCTATTTAAGGATTAGTTCAACATCCTCTGATATTTAGAAATGAAAAAATTTTTTTATTTTAAATATTTCCAAAGTTTTGTTTAAAATATAATGAATAAGTTAAGTTGGAAAAAAGTTAAACATATTTAATGATGATAAATAATAATGAAAATTGATCTATTTTCATTGAAATTTACTTTTTCTTATTAAAAATGTAAACTTTAAATGAAAATATTTATTTCATGAAGTAAAAAAGTTATTTCTAAAAATCAATATTTACCTCAATTTAAAAATAAATTTGTTCAATTAAAAAAAAAAAAAGAAAATGGAAAACGCTTGTTGTTGATTTAATAGTGTCAATAATTGGAGTTTTTATTTAATTATACAATCGTTTGAATAATTTTATTGAAAAATATTCACCATGTCTGTTGAAATAGGAGCAAAACAAATACAATACATTGGAGATATAGGAGTAATTTGATTCTGCTGAAGACTCCAATTAATTAATTGTACGAAACAGTATCCTTGATTTGAAACAACTAGGTGATTAGGTGAAAGATAAACCCTCATTAACTTAATAATACATAACTATATACAATGAACAATTTTCATTCTTATTTTAAATCTTATATTCAATTAAAGCAATTAAAGTAAGACAATCTTATGCAAATAATTTTATTATTAATTATTTTTCTTTATCTCTAAAATTGATAATATTTAATTCATATATTTTTTCCATTTTCTGATTATGTAAATGCTTAAATGAAAATAGGTCACACTGCGGTTCTGGTAAAATATTTACAATAAAATATTTTTCTCAATTTTTTCATTATTAAATGGAAGAATATCGTATACTTTTTATCTGATAGTTCAATGATGGTTTGATAATAATTTTATAAATATTTTTTTTTTCTTACCAAAAACAAAATATCAATATCCCTTCACATTCTTGAATTTGTAGTAATCGAAAAGTTGTTGAGAATGATAATCTGATCAATGAATTGTGAAGATTTATTATTAAAAAAATATCTAATAGATAATAAAACACAGGTCATTAAATCTTAAAGAAGTCATTCAATAACATCCAATAAAAGTTATCTGATTTTTATTGATATGTCTATATTTTATTGTTTGTTTCTAAAAATGATTATTTTTTATCCATTAGTGATTGTCATTTATTGTTATAGACGGTGATCCTATAAAATTGCCAGAGAACTTGGAGACACTACCACGTGCAGAACACTTCCCAACACAAAGACACAGATGGAACACCAATGAGGTAAAATATTATTTATATTTAAATAATTCTTGATAATTGTTTAATGAATAAATTGGATTCATCATAAAACTCAGTACTGACTTTCAATACCAAAATGATCAAAGAAGCTTTCTGCTTTTTTTTATCATTCATTTTTGATATATTTTTTTTTACTTTATTTTTTTTTTTGCAAAATGTAAAATCAATCAATCAGAAAATATTTTATTCTATCTAAATTATGATGTAATTAGTAATGAAGTTTATAAAAAATTAGTGAAATATAATTAGTAGGTATTTTGTTAATTCATTAATTATCATCGTGACAGCATTACATCTGCTTCAAGTTCTATAAAAAAAACGTGTTTAATTAGAGCTTTTGTTGAGCCTGACTAGGCATGGTAGATTAAAATATCACGTTGATGTCATTTCGAATTAAAATTGTAATTTAAACATTTTGTTAACTTTATAATAAATAAATTTATAGATGCATTCGGTTAGGTATGTACTTACGATGCTCCACGTTTCACTTTATTCCACGATCAATACCAAGAACTAATGAGCTTGAGTCAACAGTATTGAATCAATCTTGTGAATTCAATTCTCGTTAGATTTTTCTAATAATTTTTTTTATGTTTTAATGCTCCAGACATTTAGTATAATCCTTTTTATTAATTACAGTTCGTGCTATAAAAAATTAGAGTAAAAATGAAAATGGAATTTAAAGTTCAAGATCTCATAAAATCTGATGGATTTATTTTAATAAAGTATCTGTAAGACTTGTTTCAAATGTATTATGTGAAATTTATTTATTTAAAAAATTATTAGCATGTATAATTCATTTAGTTAAATTATGAATTGAGGAAAGGATCGCGTGTTTTAAGTTATAAGAGAAACATTTGGATTTGAAAAGAGTTTTCGGCCTACTTTTGTGATAAACATTGCTATTACAGACTAGTACAAATTATTATTATTCTTCTTCAAATTACTATAAAACTTCTCACTCGGTGATTAATTAGAAAAATCAATCAAACTGATGTATCCTAGATAACTCTAACATTTACTTACAGATTTTTAAAATTCCGAGATATTATTTATCATAAAAATATTTTTTTTTCAAATCAATTCTACTGCGTGACTTATATTAATGATAGTCATTGATCTTGAGATCGATTGGGTAAGGGTGATTAATACACAATTGAAATAAATAATTATTCATATTCTTGCCATAAAGGTAAAGATATCTAGACTACATTGTTGCTAATGGATTATTATCTTAAAACAGCTTTAATAACACTTCATTTCTGAAATCTGGACCTCCATCAAGTACCTACAGATGTAGAACAGTTCTAAAAACAGTATTTTTAAATTAAAACACATTTTTAATTGAAGCTATTCAACCTAAATGTTTGGAGTATTTTCGAATCAAAAGCAAATCAAGAATATTTTAGAATGTTGAAGATTTAGACTAACATTATACACAGAGATTATTTGAAAATCAAACCTGCCCAGTATTTGTAAAGCAAATACTCATCCTGAATATCCAAAATGTCTAGCCATAAATACCAACTAACCATTATAGAAGGATCTTTTGAGTTCATGTCTCGTGTAATTTTGGAAAAAATGCTAAGTTGAACTTGCAAGAAACATTAAGAAATTTTTACTTTTCTGAAGCAAATCAGCATCTGCATTAAGGTTTATATTGAGAAGTAGAAGTTGTAATAGGTTTACTTTGTTCCTCTTCAAGATAGCAAGTGTATCTCTATCATGGCGTTGTTTATTTTATAATTAAAACACTATTCAAAGTAATTTCGTCTCCAAAACGGAAACTTCAACGCTATCCTATCAGTGGTCTGACTGCTAGTCCAAACAATCCAAGAAGCATCAACTACTGAGAGGATCAAGATCCTCTTAGACCATCTCATGTCAGTGTTGTTGATAATCCTAGGAAAATGTTGAGATTGTCAGCAAATAAGAGACAATCGGAATTAAGTTATATCATGTCTAAAGTGGATCAAAAGTCTTTAGAAAGATAACAGAATAACAAGCTATGTTAACAGCTTTTATATAATATTACTTTTTCTTATCAGTGGCTATCAATCTCTGGTGGTCTCCTAAAGAAATAACTTCTACAAAAGAGGATCCGAGTATCTTATCATAAAGAAAAATATTATTATACAATTCTACTCGTCAATGAAAACTGCAGCTGCTGATGGAGCTAACATTTCTTTGAAAAAATAAGGATTCATCTCAACCATTGCGAGTCAACTCCATTTTGGGATTATTACATCTAATATCTACTATTCTATTTAAACTTAGCATATCTTACAAGAGACAGACTTAAAAGGTTCTTCTGTCGAAAACATTCCTAGTATCATCTTCAATATGCTTCAGATTAAAATTCGGAAAAGACCAATCCATTCCTTCTTCATTTATTTTACAATATCATGAGCTTACTAGGGATTTATTAAGAGATTGAATTTATTGGTTTATAGGAAATTGCTGCAATTTTAATCAGTTTTCAAAGACATGCAGAATGGCAGAGCCGAGAAGTCAAAGTTCGACCCCGAAGTGGATCTATGCTACTTTATTCCCGAAAAAAAGTTCGTTATCGACGAGATGGATACTGCTGGAAGAAAAGAAAAGACGGAAAAACTACACGTGAGGATCACATGAAGCTCAAGGTAGTCTTAAAGGATTTTATATTTATGATAGTACAAGGTCCTACCAGAATGGTTTATAATTAAATGAATTTATTAAAAGGTACAAGGTGTTGAGTGTATATATGGTTGCTATGTACATTCTGCGATATTACCCACGTTCCATCGAAGATGTTATTGGCTCCTTCAGAATCCAGATGTGGTATTGGTTCATTACTTGAATGTTCCATACCCTGATGGTGATGCTAAACTTGCTGCTTTACCACCTTGTCTTGCCTTACCTCCTGATAAAAAAGAATGGACAAGAGATGAGTTGATGTCTCAGTTGAGACCTATGTTCCTTGGTAACGATGATGACCCGAACCACCCACACCTTTCGCAACACTCAAATCATCCTGTTGATATGATCGTGTCGCAATTATTAGATCGACAAAGATCATCAACAACCTCAATAAGTAATGCTCAATTAGCACCGAGGAGGCTTACTCCAGATAATCAGGTAAAATTTAGATTATTTATTTTTAGCTTGAAGATTGATTAGCTACTTTTACATGATTAATTACATGCGATGAAATCTATAGGTAACTTCAACAACAGGAAGTCAACAATCTTCAACTACAGCTTCTTCGGTACCTCGTGTATACTCCAAACATTCCCACTCAGCTCAAAATCAACAATCAGCACCTTTAGTCTTGAGTCTTCAACAAATACAAGGTGGTGGTGGGCTTTTAATTTTAAATAGCCAGCCATATTCTCATCAACATTCACAACCACAGCAAAACCAACCAATAGAGATGCAATCAGTAAGTGAGCAGACTTTAGTACAACAGTCGAACGTTGATCATGATCAAAAAATAAAACAAGATATTGACACTAAAAACAACATCAATCAATCAACTCATCAAACACCTTCAGCATCTAGTAGTAATACTGGGATAACTGATTTTTCGGAAACACTTGATCTCAGTCAAGAAGATATTCAACGAACTTTATCCGCGAATATGGTACCATCGTCTCCATCACCATCACCAGCAGACAATCAAATTATGAATGCGATGGATTTTATTGATTCTTCTGATGATGTGCTTGTTAATCTTGATGCCTTCGATGTATTTGGTGATCTTCCAGAGTTTCATGATTTTGACACGGAACACGTTAAGACGGGAACTAGAAATAACTCGCAAGCCAATAATACTTGTTCTACAGGAGCTGCCGTCCATATTGCTGAGTACAGTCCCGAATGGAGTTATACTGAAGGCGGTGTAAAGGTGATGAATAATTTGAAGTAAAAACTAATAATTCTTTCCAAAATAATTTTTCCAATTATTCTTAAGTAGGTTTTAATAGCAGGGCCGTGGACTGGAGATAATGGTTCGCAGTCGTATACTGTTCTTTTTGATGCTGAACCCGTAGAAGCAAGTCTAGTTCAACCTGGTGTATTGCGTTGTCGTTGTCCAGCACATGCACCTGGTATTGCTTCACTCCAAGTTGCATGTGATGGATTTGTTGTATCAGATAGTGTTGCTTTTGAGTATAGACGAGCACCCTCTTCAGAACTCAATCCTGAAAAAGCACTTTTAGATCGTCTTGCAGATGTCGAGTCTCGATTACAAGGACCAGGTTCATCATCTCCAGCAATGCAACTTGAGGAACGATTAGTTACCTATTGTCAGGTACAAAGCAACTCCTAATGCAAACAATCATCTATTGACGTACAACAATAAACATGCGTTTATTTGTTTAACAGGATGCCGTAGTTCGTCCTTGGCAAGTTGGTGCTGAACCACTTCAATCAAATGGGCCAACGCTTTTGCATCTCACTGCTGGTTTAGGATATTCGAGATTAGCTTGTGCACTTCTTCACTGGAGAGCTGAAAATCCGAGTAGTGTTTTAGAGGCGGAAGTTGATGCTTTGAAGCAAGATACTGCAGGTTTAACGCCGTTAGCATGGGCCTGTGCTGCCGGTCATTTAGATACAGCACGTATACTTTATCGGTAAGGGAATTTGGCAATTAAACAATGCAAAATTTAAGTGTAAATAGAAAATAAAAATTTATTAAAATTATTTCAGATGGAATGCCATGGCTTTACATGTAAGAGATTGTCAAAATAGAAATGCTGTGGATTTAGCTTCAGAAAATGGCCACATGGATATAGTTAAAGAGCTGAATCAATTGGAAGCTAAACGACAAGACGAACGACTATTTTTACTTCCGGCAAGTCCTAATCAGAGACGTCCTTCACAAGACAGTGGCCTTGACTTGACATTGTGTTAGTTTCTATTTGTTTTATGAAAATTATTCCATTCTATAAATTTCTTCTATTAGTAAATCAATGATTTAATCTGATGAATTTTGCTATTCTCTTAAACTTCTCTTGTAATTCAGTTAATTGGCAATGTATATACAAAAGCGTTAATCAATTACGTAATGAGTAATATTATATGTAGATTTAAAAGAGTTTATTGACAATACAGGTGATTCTCCACTTCTGGACAGGATGAAATTGTTGCAAGAAGATGACTCATCTATAGATCATTGCCAGCATAGATTGAAGAATACTACAGGTTCCTCCCAATCATCTGTAGGTCCGTACACCTTCCTCGTAATCCCTTTTTATCTGACTGTGCCTGTCTTTGTCGTGTTTTACTGTTTATTCATTTGTTTAATTGTTATAAGTGTATGTGACTACTTCTGCGCATTCATTCATTTTTTGTACGTTACCTACATTAACACATCTATTTCTTGTATTAACATAACTAACTTGAAAAGGTACAGTAGTTTCTATAGTCACTGAATCAAAGCAAGTAAATACAAAGTAACTAATTTCCCTATTAGAATTTTCTATTCCTGCAGCTTTAGCGGTGTTGGTGTTGCTTGGCCTTCATAAACAAACTCGTGAAATATTCATTGAATATAATTTTTGCCTAAAATCCTTTCATTCTTTATTAGGTATTATTGGTTTAGTAACAACAACCAAAAGTAACATTGTGTATGCAAAATTTAATACACATTAAATATTTGAAAGCACATCTCTGGATGTTATAGTTCTGAGGAGACTAGATATTTTAATTAAATTATGCAATAATAAATATAAATAAAAAAATTCTTTAACAATAACTAAATTGAATTAAATATGTTTATGGTAAGGATTTTATGAACAATAATTATTGATCAGCTGTTTCGTGAAAAATGTTCTGTGTTTATGTCAAAAATACTGTTCCCATTGTTCTTCTTGATAACTTTTAAATTTAATTAGAGTAAATGGTTACGTTTTATAGGGGAAGAAGATGCACGAGTTCTAACTTTGGCTGAACAAATTATAGCTGCTCTTCCAGAAAGGATAAAAAGAGGTGATAGTGATTCGTCATCATCATCTTTATCTTCACGAGCTCCTCCATTAACACAACTAGACGATGCTTTTATGGATCAGATGGTAAATAATTTATTCAATTAGTTAAAAAATAAGAAAATATTTATTACTATTTTTAATTGATATTTAAAAATTGATTTTTTATTTACAGCCTCTCGATTCTGGTGAATTATTCGATTCATATCGTGAATGCAGTGGAGGTGCAGCATCAGTATCTGATATTGATGCTGAAGCAAGTCCATCAAGTCCATCAAGTAGTTGTCTAACACCTGATTCACCTTCACCACACAATAATCAGCTTTATGAATATGTCAATTGCGAAAAAAATATTGGAACTGATTATGGTGGATTAACTAATGGTGAAAATATTGATGGTGGCAGTGAGGCTGATTTAAGCCGATTGACACTGTCTGATCGTGAACAACGTGAATTATATCATGCTGCTAGGATGATTCAAAAAGCATATAGGAATTATAAGGGTCGTCAACGACAAGAAGAAGCTGAAAGACATGCAGCAGTTTTAATTCAACAATACTACAGACGTCACAAACAATATACTTATTACAGGTAAATTTCCCGAGTTTAATTTCTTTAATTAAATTTTAATATGCTAGGAATCAAGTTCATTTACCAAATTATTCAGATGCAAATTTTCGTTAAGATATATAAATTATTCAATCCCAAAAATACTGATCAAGTCAGATTAGTGTTTATGGCATTTGAACTATCCAACTAAAGGAAGTATAATTTAATATTTGTGACAAATACATTTACTTGTAAAATCGGATTAATGTTGTTTTCGCTAAGATAACTTTTAATAGGTAATTTAGATGCCTTATTAGACAAAGTTTCTATATTAGTATTAATCTGTTTAATTAATCAAGCGGACATTAAATTCATATAACTCAATTTTAAATGAAGACTATAATAGATATTGTATTATAAAATACCTTGGAATATATTATCATTAGATTTTTGCTTTGTCACCTATATACATATATAACTATATACATGTGACCTATGTTAATTGCAGACAAGCCACTAAAGCTGCATTGGTGATTCAAAGCAACTATCGTAGTTACCGTGCTCGTCCCAGTTCCACGAGCACAAGACAGCAATCTGTTCACCAGCAGGCTGCACATCAAGCTGCTAAGAAAATTCAACAATTTATGCGGCAATCTAAAGTCAAGTGAGTCTACCATACAATTATATTTTTTTTTTTTTTTACATCGACTAATTTTTAATTATTTTTATTGTTGACCCTTTGTTCTTTACTATTTTACAATGCATTTATTATAAAATATCTTTCATTCAATAATGCAGCTTGTCATGGAATGATTCACGATTGGTAAGTAAGTATTGAAAGTAACAAATGATGTATGAGTGAGAACGTTGACCAACAGAGGATTGATAACTTATAAAAATCAGACAAACATGTTGGTTTATTTTAATTTATGAAATACAAATAATATCATAAATTTGAACTCTAAAGATATTGGTTGGTTGTTAAAATTATTTAAAGAAATTAAAATGTGATAATTAAAAAAATTCTGAAGCCATCAATCAAGGTGATTAAAAAAAAAAAAAAAGAATAAAATTGTACTCAAGTAGAAAGTTTAGCCCTAAAAATAATTATTCACAATGTCAATATCTCATCATAAATGCAATCACCGTCTACTTAACTCAGATTATTTTTCATCAAAAAATCTATCAGCTAAAAATACTTATTCATCCCCTGTTTCTCTGAAAAAAGCTTTTATCTGTTGATTAGAAAAATTGACGAAGCTTTTATGAGGAAATTATCTATTATCATCAGCATCAAAGTTTCAATAGGTACTAATGGATGTTTTTACTCATAATAGGCTACAGAACGCCAGGGCCGCCGGAAACGTGAACGAGAAGCCGCTAGCGGCCACTTCACAGGGGGATGCTGCCCTCCAAAACTCGCTCTTATCTAGCCCAGGGGTCAACCAAGTAACAGCCAATCTAGACGTCTCGTAGTTGATTACTTACCTAAATTTAGCCATAATCATACTTCCTTTGAGTTACATAAATAAAGTGGAAATCAAGATATATGTCAACTTGAAACTAATGCAATTTTTTTATATTTAAAATGTTTATTAATGCGGCCGTCCTTTTTGTTGTAAATAAGCTAATACAAAATAATAATCCAGTGTTCTGGCCGTTCTTAATGAATACTAATGAGCCAAGATTCAATCGATCATTAGGTAGATGAAATAAAAGAAAGAAAAAAAAAAGAAAAAGAATAATTTGATGAAAGCAATTTCATTGTATAACTTTATTAAGATATCAACTTTACTAACTTACATCATTATTCTTTTAAAACTTTGACATAACTAGCATTCAGATGATTTATATTATCTTCCAGAGAAAATCTTCATAATAATAACGATAATAATAAAATTAATAACGATAATAATACGCAATTTTTCAACTAAATAAATTCCTTCTATAAAGTTTTGCTTTATTGCAATATTAACATTAATAATTGGAAATTTATTACTAATATAGTTATTACATAGACATGGCACTGCCTCGATGCATTCATAATCCCATTTAAGTAGTCTTGAGTTTAAATAACAGTTTGTTCCATAGTTAGTACCGTGATATGATGAATGCTTTTTTATGAGATGATTAGATGATATTAACTATTATTCACTTCCTAAAATTTAATATCTTAAAAATATTTATTAATCTTCATATTATAGCTATTATTTATTTAATGAACTGAGCTGATATACGAAATGCTAATTCAATAATATTTTATTGTATTACTATCAAGCTAGAATCTAAGTCTATAATATATTGACGATTTACAATCACATATCATTTATGGAGTCTTGTAGCGCAATATTTATGATTGAGCAAAGAAGAATTCAAGTCATGAGTCATTTCGTCATATTGAAAATGTTTACTGACGTAGAAACAAAAATAAAAAAAAAAAAATTTTAACTTTTGAGACTGAATTGTAATGTGAGTGTATTAAGTTTGGCACATGGCAAAAAAAAAAAAAAAAACTTGTATGGCTATAGTGTACAGGAGATGCTTTTCGAGTTTGTAAACTAGGACATCAAATAAGCTACATGTTGGATAAATTAATGTTGGATATTTTGATTGTTTAATTCACTGTTGGTGCTAAACAGTCGTATTTGTTACCAATATATGACTTTAATTTTATTAATGTAAAAACATTATCCTATTGCGATAGAATGTATAAATTATATTATTATTTCGAGTAGATGAAATATGACGTTCCTACAATAGTAAATTACATAATAAACAAGAGCATAGAGTATTTTATTTACTAATGAATTGTAATTTATACAATTGAGTAACTGCGAAAAACAAAACAACGCGAGACTGTTTGTTTGTGATGTTGAGTATTTTCTTAAAGTCTCATCTACATAATAATTACCAAACGTGAACCCCAACCATACAATTGATGAGATAGAAAATACTAAATTCTATTTGAGATGCTCGAACTTATGGTAACGTCCAACGAATTATGATGAATAATGGATAAAAGTGATAAAAAGAAAAAAACAAAATGAAAGAAAATAACAAAAAAAAAAAAAAAAATGTTCTTTATTATTGTTCTATAGTTGAGGGCAGTGCATTTTACATTGTATATTACTATAAATTTTTTGTAGACAAAGTTCATATACAGAAAAAAATTCAGTTGAAAATATTGTAATTTTTACTGAATTTCAAACAAACTGAAAATTACACTTTAAGAAGAAAATAATTGTTCTTCAACTTGTTCTTCAGTTTATTATGAATGAAGTGAAAATTTACCAAGATTTTTGACTTCTTTTTCTCTGTATATATAGGGTAAACGGCCCTTATACCGTTTGCTCATTTTTCAACTTCTCATAAAATTTCTTTTTCTAATATCTATACTTAGATTTAATAGGATAGAACAAAGTGCTTAAAAGTTGACTGAGATCGAGTTATAAAATATGCACGTGTAGATGATAGAATATCAATAATAAAATATTACATAATGTGATAAACTTATGGTGATCTAAGAAAGTATTTATGTGGCTCTGATACTTGGAAATAAAGTAAATTCGTACAGCCAAGTAATTGCAACATCAACTATTCATTTATTTATTATATTAATTTTTGTTGATTCACTTTGTACTTAAATTCTCTTTAATTATGTTTAAATTTTTCTTAATAGAATATTGTAAAATATTTTTATTGTGTAGTTGAAAAGTTGTTATTTGTTGAATGAGCAGTATTATAAAAGTATCCTATTTTATGTCAAGAGCTTCATATTTGTAAAAAAAAAAAAAACTTAACAAGTTGAAGAATTTTTGTTGCATAAATATGTTACAAATGTTGCATAGTTTTATGATATTTTCAGAAAATTTACATTAAAAGTTTTCAATTATTTATATTTATAAATTTAACGTATTGAACATGATTAGTGATTGACAACACTAGTTATTTATTTCTAGAAAATTATTTAATACATCATAGTTACAGCCACTTATCTGCTTTTTTCCGAATACGATATTGTTAAATTATAAAAAGTATTAAAAAATATTTCTATATATAGTACAAACGTGAATAATGAAACTATTGGTTTTCAATTACAATGTGATCATTAAATGCAGTAACTACTGAGCACATAAGTGTTCACTTTTATTCTATTCAAACTTAATGATATCTCATTTCTTTTCTAGTATAAAAACCTAGTGAATTTAATGGTAACACTTGGTTACTCAAGAGCTCAGCAATTTTACCGTAATGATTTTCAATCACTAATCATCTTCTTTTTGCTTTGTTAAGAGTTAACATATTGCAGCAATTGTGTTTAATGTTTAAAATAAATATACGTAATTTGTTTACATTTATTTATTCTTTAGAATTGTTTTTATTGGACATGAAAAGTAAAATATATTAAATCTTTGCCATGATTTTAGTGTTAATTACAAAAAACTGTATGAAATTCATTTTATTAAAGAATAATAAGCAGGAAGATTTTAGGGAGCAGAATTCATAAACTTTTTGTGATATTTGATACTTGTGACTTTTGAATGTCTCAAGATTGAAAATTACAAAAAGCCATTTTGGTATTCTGACTTTACGCTCAATGTAAGAAATTCCGTTAGATTGGGACGTTGAAAATACGAAGATCTCGATAATATTATTAATGATATAGATATTGATGGTTGCAAAACTTAGAGAATGTTGAATGCGTAATTTGAAAAATATATATTAATATTACACACATGGTCAATTTCAACAAGCATTTTCATGCCAATAAAGCTTGAGGGATAATTAAATAGTTATTAATATGAGTGCGTAAGTGTGTATATGTTTGTAAGAATTTGTTCTGTATGTTTCAGAAAATCAAGGTGTCTGTGAGGCAAATACACTCTTTTCATCATTGTTCCTTAATTACTTAAATTAATAAACATTATCTTCTTAATATTAAGACAAAATAAGATGGGCCGTATATTATAAACAAACTACTATATTCATATTTTTGCTTAATATATATTTCAGATTCTATTTAACAAAAGTAAAGCTATATAGAAAAATCGGTTAATAACGTAATATTATATGTATTTATCAGACGGGTATGCTTTCATACGAATTTATGTGTGGATTAGAAGTTTTCATGGAAAGTATCCATTTTCATAAATTGTTAATGGATCATGAGTATAGAAAACGATAATGAACTTCATGAATCAAAATGAAATTTAAATAATAATAAATAATAAGTAGTAAATATGTTTATAGAATAAATTCCAAGAAAATTTTTAAAAAATTTTAAAGTATTTTTTCATAGCCACACCGAGGTACACTATTTGTAGTGTGGTTCAGAATTTTTTGCTGTTTTAGTCGCATAATAATAATAATGATTGTTATTATTACATGAAAAAAAAAATCATGGTAATGATTATCATAAAAATGCTATGAATAATTACATTAATGCAGATAATGATGAATAAGAGAAAGGGAAAATATTTATAATAATAAAAGAATCTTGATTAGAGAATCGAGTTAATTAATATTATACAAAATCCTGAAAATGGCTAAAATAGGTGCTTTATAGTACTCTTTTATGAATTACATAAAACACAATTTATTCAATTGTGAATTAATGATATAACAGGATAAATTTTTTTAATTTTCGTAAATACGTCGAAGCTTATCAATTCTAGATTATAAGAGCCAAATGGCCTAATTGCTTCGACTTTTATAAAATTACAGGTCATAAACTTTATTACTATGCGATTAAACAAAAGTTAGATGGGAAAACTTATGATAAATAAATTTCCAAATTTCTTCTTAATCACAAATCTTAAAAAAAAAAATGATCGAAATATTAGTATCGATTAATCAAAGCTTATTAATTATTTTTCATTAAAATGACAATTTACACTTTATTAAAAATTCTACATCAGTCAGCGTTTAAATAATGTCAATTTTTATGTAATATTAAACTTTAAATAGAATGCATTAATAAGTTATCCAAAGGTGATGAATTTTGTGCAATTGAAATAGTAGAAAATAATGTTTCTTATATTTCAATTATTCGCATTAACAAAATTGATAAAATTAAAAGAGTGTCTTGGACTGCGAACGAGTTTACTTGTTTCAAATATTCCTCCAATTTTTATTAAAAGTTACCGTAATTTTAGGTATGTGCTATTGTAGTATAATAATAATGATAATGTTTCCATCTCTTCTAATATTTTTACTATTGTATGAGTACCATTAGAATATTTAAAGAATTAAATTATTTATAATGATATTACTTATTATCTATTAACTATGATTCAATCAAAATTGTAAATAACGAAAATATTTTATCTATATTTCTCGATAGAGGGAGATGAGTAAAAATATTCAATCGCTCTAATAACTTACCAAATTATTATAATCTTACAATTTTTATCAAACTCACTCCCTATTGTTACGACATTTCATTATTGCATGTAATAAATAATATATTTATCGATGCACTTAACTTTTGACTTTACCTTTGCTTACCCTATAATGTTTTTTTCATAGTTTTCAGAGAGTTTTTAATATTCCGTTTGTTTTATGGTCTTCCCAAACAATTTATTTAAGATTCATAAACAATTTTTTATAATTGACTTATTTTGTTACATAAATTACAGATAAATAACGTCATTTTGAATATCAATATGTAGAAATCTAAAAATAACTTATAGTCTGATGAAAGTATCACTGCAATAAAAATTCACACAAATGTTAATTATTTCTTTTTTTTTCAATGATTATATAATTTTTAATTTAATATTATTATCAATTTTCATAATTTTATAATTAAATATACACACAAATTTTGAAATTCATTTAATAGCGAAACAACAAAATATAAAATAAACCATAAGCTGAAAAAATTTGATTCTAATAGTTTACAGGATTATATTCTATTATAAAATTTGAATGTTTATAGTTTAAAAATAAAATAAAACATAGAAAAAAGATTATTAAAAAATTTGAACTCGATGATTTTCACGATCGCAAACTATAATATTACCGGTTGACGTTACAGCTACACCTTCAAGTCCCTTAAATTCTCCATCGCCACTGCCCCACGTGCCAAAAGCTCGAAGGAATATTCCATCAGGCGTAAATATTTGGATACGATTATTTCCAGAATCAGCGACAATAATGTAACCTTGATCATCAACAGCAATACCCCGCGGAAATTTAAACTGTCCTTCATCTGATCCTTCAGAACCAAATGCAGTAAGCACACGACCGCCTACATCAAAGATTTGAATTCGATGGTTATTGCTATCACTGACAATTACACGATTAGTATTGCTCACAGCAATGTAATGGGGATGTTCCAATTGTCCTCTGCCACTACCACTTGATCCAAATTTACCAACAAAAGTTCCATCAGATTGAAAGACCTGGAAAAAAAAATTGCTTAAGGCATGTTGATACAGGTGGGTGTTTTTGTATGAACATTGTAAAAAATTAATTAAGTTAACCTGCACACGATGGTTTTCTTTGTCACATACATAAATAAAGCCTAGAGCATCAGTGGTAATCCCCCAAGGATAATTAAATCGACCATCAGCAGTACCTTGAGATCCAAATGCTCTTAAAAATCTTCCTGACGGATCAAGTACTTGAATACGATGGTTGTATCGATCCGCAATGATATATTGGCCAATTCGATTGACTACAACTCCAGCAAGACAGTCAAATTCACCTTCACCACTTCCGTAAGTTCCAAACTCCTTCATGAAGTTACCATTCTGATCAAAAACTTGTACACGATGATTAGAGCTGTCAGCCACAACAATTGAATTATCCGGGCCAACAGCCAGGCCTCTTGGCCATGTAAAGCATCCGGCTCCGCTCCCCCGCGTTCCAAATTTCAACAGTTGTCGCCGCTTTAGCAGATATTGATTCCTGAGGATTAAATATTATATAATACAAAACATTAAATTATAAATCCTTTCTTTAACTTTAAAATATACTAGGATTTAATTTTTTGGAGATGAATAAATCCTTCAGGCAAAATCAAAAAATATAATTATATATTATAATTGATAATTATATTTTATTTACCTAGTGGAAGAACCTGTTACTGCGGGGATACCTGGAGCTACTGTAGGAGACGTGGGGGAGCCTGCCGGGTTTTTTTGGTCGTCGTCAGAGGATTCAAATGAAGTTTGACCGGTGTGTCGTAGTGGTAAGCCTAAAGATAATCTTCTTGACACAGTACTTGCGCTATTAACGTAATTACATTAATTCTATTATTTTTTAGTTTGAAAACAAAAAAAAAATAAAAAATAAAGTGCTATTTATTGATAAATAAACTGACCTGGAGGAGGGAATTGATGAGGTTGACGTTGGTTCCTTGTCCTTAGTACTACGATTACCATATTTATTTTTAAGATAACGAGCCCATGAACTTAATGCCGCTCCATCCTTTTCAACACCACCACGATCCCGGTCTGGACTTGGTTCTCGTGATTTAAGGGTATGAGTACTACGACTTCGTGCTAATTCTGAGCCAACACCATACTTAGCAGCTAGATAAGCATTAGGTGAATGAGTTACAGGTGTTGGAGAGTCGTCGTCCATATCAAGATCATCTTGACTGAAATTATGAGAACTTCTTGAACGTGCTACCCGCTGGCGTCGATCTTTCAATGCTGCATATCGTGATCTTGGAGAAAGTGATTCATTATCTGGTTCTGCTTCTCGTTCACGCTCACGTTCTCTATCTCGTGCTGCTGTTACTGCTGCTTGACTTTTACTCTTGTTCAAAAATCTGTAATTTTAAACAAATTTATTATTTATGTCTAGAACTTGATGCTATGAAAAAATGCATTTTTATGCCTATCAATTAGAATTATTTCAATCACTTTGAAGTGAATGTTACCTTTTTTTTTAAATAGATTTTATTATATTTGCTCGTTCTATTTTTTTAGAGCATCACAAATAATTATCAAAAATACATTCATATCAATTCAGTGAATTCGTATAAAATAAAAATTAGGGATTAAAATGTTGTATGCAGGATTTAAATGAAAGCATTTATTGTATAGAAAAAATTGAAAATTATTGGAACTAGACTAAAGATACACAAAAAAAATATCCTGAATAATAGAACTAATATTTTATTTATCGAGCTTACACATCTACTAAAAATACTGTACATATAAATATTCATAACACTCTATTTTGAAAGATATGTAACATCCAATATATTTTACATGACATTATTTATCCATTTCAATAACTTCTCATACAACAGAGAGCTTTGTTATGATTTTGAATGAATATTTCTTTTAATGGAAAAATCCAAGGATATATCTGGATATCATATTATCAATTATAAATAAATGAAAATTTGATCTGCTCTTTTTTGTCATTTTAATCGGATCAGTACATTCGATCAGAGAGTTGACCCTTATTTCCACTACTTTTATTATCCGTTTTTCACATTTTCTAAGTTTATAATTGAAAACTAGTAGATTGAACTTTAAACTTTAAATTAACAATTTTTAGTTTCATAATCCTCACGGGATAGCTGAAGACTGTCACGGTGCCGTAGAACATCAAGTTTATTTTGTTAATGCAAGCAGAATCAGAATTGTAAACAACATTCTTCTTCATCGTGTTGCGTCAGTAATATGGTGAAGTATTTTTATTAGGATCCTGGGAGTCCTTTTAAGCAATAAATTCTCTGCAATTTTTTTTTCAAGAAGATTGAATAAGTTTTGTTTCTATTTTTCATTCAAAATTTGATTGAATTTCATGCATTTTTATACTGTTTTTTTATTCATGAAATATGACCGGACTTTATGAAATTACATTACTTAATTATTTATGCTGATTCATTAAAATTTCCTGTGATATTTACAAATTAAAATGAGTTTTGGGTTTATATTTGGTCAGTTATACTGTATTAAATCTTGAATTGTTAATTTTTTATCACTAACTCGATTAAATAAATTATCTTTCCATTCAATAAAATTGTTTTGAATAAACATAAAAATGAAAAGAGACAATAGTTTATCATTTTGAAATTTTTAATTAAATCCATTCATCATAAAGTTTGAATAACTTTAAATTTTTCGGATTATTATCACATGATAAATGGATCACTACTATTGTTAATGAATGAAATAACAGATTAGTAATACAATTATCAGAATAGTATTCACTTTTTAAACATCTACAATAAACAAAGGAATTTACTCTATTCACAATATTTTATGACAGGGAAATAAATGAAACTGATTGTTACGTTACTGTTTTTTATTTATCACACCAATAAACTGTTGCAGAATTATAGATTAGGGAAAACATACAAAAATTCGTTAAAATATCAATTTTACAAATAAAAATCAAAAGATTAAAATTCAATTTTTCACTAATGTTATTATATATCACTTATTACTTACAATATACGATTAAAATAATGTTAGAAACAAAGTATCTGCCTCAAAAAATTAATGATACTTTCATTTAAAATAATAGATGATAAATAATATTTGAGCTTACAACAATTTTTCATTCATATGATTTAATTTTTAATTTTTAAAAAATAAAAACCGTAACTCCACTAGATAAATATTTAAAGAATTTTATCTCCAGATTTAAATTATTGTTGACGAGTAAAACGTTTCTATTCTCATATTTCTTCAACTCTAATTGACATTCTTAAAGCTGTATATTTTTCTGTTTACTTTTATTTAGCACTTAAGGTTAATAAAAACGAGTAGCGGTTTCACACAGCAACCTACTAATTGTCTGATGTATATATTAAAAACATAATGAGACATAAAAAAAAATTCATAACAGTTATTTTGTAATATGCAACAAAAAAATGCCTTGAGGTTTTGTCAGTACTTCAGTAAATGCACCTGTTAATTAGTGTTCATTCACTCAAAATAACTGATTATTTTATTTAAGCAATTAAATAAAACAAAAAAAAAAAAGAAATTTGAAATTTTTCATTTTTACTATCCTAGCAAAAATATTTCTACTACTTTCTAAATAAAGCTATTATTTATTATGCTCAAATATTACTACTCTCTATGTAAAACTGCCACTTTTTACACTCAAAAACTACCCTCTGCATAAATACGTTTTTATGAACACAGTAAAAATTATTAACAGGAAGTAGTAGAAATATGTTCACTGGGATAATGTTAGGGTCTGTAGACATGTGAATGTGTTTGTAAGTCTATACGTTTATGTAATCATACTCATAGTACTTGTATGTAAGTAAAGAGTGTAGTATTTTAAATATTCATAAAAGTAAATTCATTAAAATGCTGTAAAGTAGTATGAAAATGCAGAAGACAATTGATATCAATTGTGTTAAGGCACCAATCAGTGTTGTTGGAGATACTGTTGATTTATTATCAGCTTCATTTATATTTTCTGCCATTTTTAGATTCTCAATATCACATTTATTTAACAAAGTATTATGGTCAATTTGATTCTGATTTGTATTAGAAGCAAAACCATTTAACTTTAAATCTCCCTTTGTTTCGACAGATTCAGTTAGGAAGTTCTGTGTACTATCTTTTGGCTTTTCTGTAATTAACCAACTACTATCATCAGTACTTGAAGTTTCTGACGTTGTATTTTCAACATCCGTGCTTTCTAGATCTTCCTTGTTATTATTTGATAATTCAGTCGGTTCATCAATACTTGATACTGTTTTGTTCCGATTCATATTTCCAGATAAATTTCTTATTTCCGTTGAGCTTCCTTCATTCCCATTTAACATAGATATTCCTTTAGAACTGTTTGATTCCTTAAAAAAAAGTTTCTTCTTTACAGGCTGTATAATATCTTCAGTTATTATCCATCCCTGATCATCAAATAAATCATTATTGGACGTAAAACTTTTAGAAGTGTTTCCATTTAAGGAATCAACATTGAAGGGTAGTCCATCTGATTCAACAAAAACATTATTAACATTTTTTTCCAAAAATGTGTCATGTAAATAATCAGATTGATTTAGATTTGTAGTTGGTTGATATTTTTTTTTAATTGAATTTTTTAATTCGTTATCTTCTAATAAAAAATCACTATCTTCTGGAAGAATTTCATTATTTGGTTTCAGTTTTTTATCTTCATTTCCTTGAGTGCCCTTCTTCATTATATCAATTAATATCTGACAACGTTGAACGTTCTTTCTTTGATGAATCTTATCACTTTCTTTTTTCACTTCATCATTAAACTTATCACTTTTTACCATAATCATATGATTATTTTCTTCAACACTTAAAATTTCAAATTCATCATTTGGATGATCAAAAATTTTTTCCTGTTCATTATTAAATTCCAATCGGTCCTTTTCAATGTTTTGTCTATATTGAGTACTGTCATGTTCTGTATTAACTATTTGGTTATTCACAATTGGTGCATACAATCCATTCATTTTAACTAAATTGAATTCTTTAGATAATTCGTCTTTATCCGTCGTTATATTAGTATTAGGATTATCGTCATTGTCAACACAAGGGACTATTAGAATTGGTGGAATATTTGTAGGGATAGGAGTATTATAATTTTCATTATTTAATAGTTTAGATTTATGGTCAGTATATGATAATGATCCCTCTAAATCATCAACGTTATTTTGATTCTCAACATAAAATGTCGGTGATATGGGATTTTTTTCATTCATAGTATTTTTAAAACACTTATGATCCTGATGAACAGAATTAGAAGACAAGTAGTGATGGTCGTGACCATTCATTACGAACCTGCTGGTATAACCGGTAGATGCTGTTGATGAGGAGGTACCTGAAAGCGACGGCGATGTGTGGGCAGGGCTTCCTCTTGGTGAAGAGTATCTAAATTAATAATTTAATATTAGTGTGGAAACGTTATTTTTATTATTAATAGATTTAGTCAGATCTAGCCAAAAACTGAATTTAGATCTGAATTAATATAAATTAGTTTGAAAGATAAAATTAAATCTAATCGTTTTCACGTGTCAAGAAAATTGATGTCGTCATTAAAGAGGTGATATTTTTTGCTGTTACAGTAAAAGATTAGAAGCTTGATTAAATTAGTTTATTGATGGTAATTAGTTGATTAAAGTACCTGGTAGAAGGAGAATCCTCTTTACTTCCGCGTCTTGCTTCAGCACTTCGTGCTAGCAATGGACCAATATCTGTCCGTGCCATGGTAGTATCATTTCTAACACGTTCATGAGCAGTTGGGAGACTAGTTGTTGGTGTTGAGTTAGTATCAGCTTCTGAGTCATCTTCAGTTTCTGTTTCCGTTTCTTCAGAGCTAGTAGTTTCTTCATCGTCATCATCTTCCTCTGTAGCTTCTTTTTTTGTAGATACATCTTCTTTAGCTGGACTTGTGATGGATGAAGACGTACTATTACCTAAAGAAATTTCAATAATGTATTAAAAAAAATTCAATTAGAATAAAAATGTCCTAGAAATATATTACAACTGTGAGCATTTACCTGTTCCTAAAAAACGACTCTGAAAAGGCCGAGGAGTATTAGTCAAAGAATTTTCCTGGCCATTTGTTGAAGCTGTAGTATTGGTAGATAAAACGTTGGAAGGAGTGTTAAGCTGCGATGTACGTGCGAGATATTTTTGTTTTATTTGTTCAGTAGTGAAAGGTGCTCCAGTATTCCGATTGCTTGTTGTTGTGGAGCTTTCTGATCCAGTGCTTGAATCTGATGACGCGCTTCTTGTTCCAGATGAGTGAGTTCCAGGAGAAGATTTTTTGCTATACATTATTCACAGTTATTTTTATTCAAATAAATTTAAAAAAATATAAATCTGACATTTGTATTATTGAATACCTTGCTATTGCAGATTTTTTAGATGAATCTTCAGAGTCTCTTTCTGTTTCACCTGCTGCTGGAGTATGTCCAGATGAAACTGAAGTAACTGGTTGCTCTTCTTCAACAGCTTCTGTTGTTGCTGGGATACTTCGGTTTTGTTTCTTAATTTTCATTATTTCATCATCTTCGCTTGTTTGTTTTAGCAATGATGTTGTTTTCTTTGCTTGAATCTACAATAATTCAATAAATATAACTGACTGACAATGAATGCTGTATGTATTATTAATAAATAACAAGAGTTAAAAATACCTGAGGTTTTGGTGTAAAATGCGTAGGTGATGAAGGTTCTTCCTTCTTCCGTTTGCTGGCTCTCTCATATTCTTGCAATATCTTCATTACACGAGGTGAATCTGTGAGTCGAAATATTCCCGATAAGGGTCCTCTTGCCGCATCTTCGGTGTCTAGAATGCGCTCTCGGGGTGGCTGATCAGTTGTTGGTGTGAATCGGACAATTGATCGTGTGTCTCCATCAGATTCCTCCCCATCACGGTGACGCATAAACCGACTTCTATAACGAGATCTGTTCTTTGGTGTCTCGTATTCTCCTGCGTCATATCTTAAACAGAATATTATTTATTCATTAAACAAAAATGTCTTTATAAATAATAAATTTTATTAAAAATAAAATAAATAATTACTCATAATCTTGGGCGTAACGATTTCTAGATAAACGTTCTTCATCTTGTTGACGGTATTGAGATGCTAAACGATGATCACTTTTACTCCTCATTAAACCTGGTGAATTTCCAGGTGGAGCTAAATTTCCTGAAAGGTGTAAATATCCGCTACTTCCAGTTTCTGGTTTAATATTAAGTTCTCCATAACCAGCCATGTGAAGAACTAATTGATTTGGATCGTGAGTCATGATAAATCGGACGCGACGTCCATAATCACCAGCTTCATATTCAAACTTCCTGAAACGAGAAATTACATTGTTTTTTTTATAATAAAAATAATAGATGTAAATTAATCAAACATTCATAGTCACCTGATAAATTCCATTGTTTTAAGGAATAAATCTTTAGTGTCACACAATTCAGCATCATTCCATGGAACATTTTCATTTATATGAGCTTCAGCTAGATCACAGTTGCTTTGAATGTTTGCAATTTCCAATTCTAAATTTTCTTTTAATTGAATTAAACTCCGGAGTTCAGTTCCTGAGTAACGATCAATCTCATTTCGTAGATATTCTGTACGATCCTTTAGAGCTTTACTGAGACGTCTGTAAATTTCATCAATTTCTTCTGTTACAGATGCACAATTTGTTTGAAGTCCTACTGTATTTTTTTCCACTGAAGCTAAAGCTTCCTGTAATCGATGTAAACCTCTCCGAATCTAAAATAATAGAAATTCATGTAATATAATATACATCAATAGTTGTAGATGCAAGGTAATCTTTTTAAAAATTCAATACATTTGTATTTATACGTCCTATCTCACGCCTAAGAATGTCCATATGTGCATCTTTACATTCAGGACAGCATTTTTTATCACAATGAACACAGAGAGAACAGTAACTCTTTTCTGAACAAACTCCACAACGTTCCATAATTTGCCCACTTGTTGGATCCGGCAGTTCTCCAGTGATTTCGATATGTAGCTCTAAAAAACGTTGAAGTGTTACGTTTGTTGGAAATGCCTGAACTCCCTACAAAGAATACATTAAACTTTATTAGTTTCTCTTAGAAAGTTGAAAACAAATTATCTTACCTGATAGGGTATGCGATGTTCAGCTCTACATTCTGGACATTTAACTTGTCGACGAACGTAGTCAACCAAACCATCCATACATGGCTCCATGCAGAAACTGTGCTGACATGGTAAGAGTTTGGGATTCCTGTAACGATCTAGACAGATCGCACAGGTCAGCAGCTGTTCAAATTGCTCCATTTGCCTGCAAGATAAACAATACATATTCATTATAAACGATAGTCTATTAATTTAATTTTATGATCAAATAATGGTAATCTTTTTTTTCAAGAAAAACTGAGAAATATCGTAAATAATTTATAATATAGATGAATACTATGCATGTAGTTTGAAATTTATGGAGTATATGATTTCTTTTCAGTGAACACAGTCCATCAATGTCATGAGTGTTAGCTGAAAGAGTTCGTTACATTGAATCTGAATTGTGGAAAATTTTTGCACTCCTTCAGAAAGTTTATTGAGAGATATTAAAGAAAAATATCGTTTAAATATTGATAGAGATTAATATATTGAAGTAAGAAAGTATTTCAAAGTATTTTGATGCAAGAATTTATGATTTATATAAAGTTTTGAATTGAAAAAAAAAAAAAATAATAATAAATTTACAAAAATGAATAGATTGAATGTAAATATTATTCATAAAAATAAAGTTGCTAAGTTTGATAGCAATATTCTATTGTGTACTTTAATGCAATGAATTGTAAGTAACAATTCCTTTCGTTTGCAAAGATTCATTGATGAATAAAACCTGCATTTAATGATACAGACCAAATTGCTGACCTGACAGTGCTAAATAACAAAGATTCTCACCCGGTAGCATCTTCATTGCAACATTCTTTAGCTCATGACTTTTTTACTTGGTATAGTTTGATTATTCGTTGAGACATTTTGAAAGATATTTTTGCAAAGATAAACGTCACTAAACTATTTATGTTTCAGAAACTTTCCAGCCTGCGTCATCAAGGTTACAAGTTTCAAGATTGAGTTTTCTCAGGTATCTTCTTCACATAATTATTTCAGAAATATTTGGAAAAGTACATTAACTAATCAGAAACGTCTTCCTAGTTGAGTGTTCATTTTAATCAGAATTGTTAATCCTTTTAATTAAAAATTATAAGGATTATTGCGTCAACGTGTTGTTTTCATTTGCACTTCTGATTAAACAAGACATTTCATGAATTTCTAAGTACTTCAAAGGAACTTAATAATGATAGTTATTATTTATGGTGCTTTATTATACATAAATATAAATATATTATGATAAAATATTTCTAAAATAGCATTTTTATGATAATAGTGATGACTTAATTTCTAAATAAAATGGGGTTGAATTAAAAATGCATGTAATGTGTTTTTAAAAATGGAGTTTCTTTATTTATAGAGCACCGAAAGTCCTACTTTAGAATTGATAGTTAGTACGTGAGAAGTATTCAAAGATAAGATTTAAAATGTTGTTTTTTAAAATTTGTAAGTATTCTTCAATACTTCAAGTGGTACATTCAATTCTATTCAGTTTTGAATATTTCTAAAAAAATTTTTAACAACTAATATTGATATAAAAATGATGAAATTTAAAAGTGTAATATTGAATCAATCAACATTTAGTATATCAAATTGATACTAATTCTAAAAATATATCTTCTCGTCATAAGTTATTCCAATTTAGTTACATTATTTGAATGGGCTATTATTAAGAAATATATTTTCAAGATTTATAATGTTGTTTATGAATCATGAATTATTTATTTTTATTTATAAGTCTTTATTGTTTTTCATTATGAAAAGTCTTTATATACTTTTAGGCTCTAGGATGAAAGTCTTGGAAACTTTAGGGCTTCAGTATTTTATTAAAGTTCTACAATTTCACCAACTTTGTCAACTAAGTAGAACATAATTAGAACAATGTGTGTATGAATAAGGCATTCTCAAAAAGTTAAAATAAAAAAATAAGGTAGATTTTTGATCCAATTTGAGAACCAATGCGTTTTTGACGGTGTATTTATAAAGACAGACTTACGAGTGAGCCAACTGATGTCTGAATATTTCTACAGTTACCGTGATGAGTTATATTTAGACAGACTTGTGCCACCTTCCAGTAACTGATTTTACAGATTGTTACATTTTTAGAGTATTGCAGTTCTCAGTGTATGCCTGCTATCATCAAATATCCTTAAAATGTTCATTTTTATCCTAACTACACATCAAACTACCTCTTTAATACAAAACTGTTGGAGGTCTTGGAAATTTCATGAAATTTGTTCATACTTCATGCCAGCTAGTTAGGAATTAAAGAGACGGTCATGTGAAGACAACTAATAATACTTTCTAAGAAAATTCAATGATTCAGGAAATGATATAGTTTTGTTGTTGTTGAAGTTTAGGGGGAAAAGAAAACTGATTTTGTTGAAACAGAGAAATAAAGACTTTGGTATGAATAATGGAGAATAAAAGCTTTGTTCTTTTGATACCAATATGTGGTAAATGTACTTGTGAGTTATGATGAGTATGCTTATGACTATGTACATATATTAGCTACTTGAAACTTTGTGTTCTTGCTATGATTATTATAAGATTCTCATGACAGTATATTCCACTTTCTTTGTTCAATTATTTATTGAACTTCATTAAGAATATTTTTGTTCTTGGCCTTGGAGATAAGTATTGTAGAAAAGAATAGTCATTTTTTAATTATTTATTAAAATATTTAAAGAATCATAATTAGTTTTTTTCGACAAAGAAGATCTTTATGATTTATTTGAACAAAATCTTAAGAAGTTCAGATGATGAGGAATGTTAATAATTAATTATGTATTCTAATGTTTACTTTGGTGTAGTACAATAGATGATATAATAATACATAAATCTTGGCAAAACTTTTGATAAATCTACAATATCAATAATTTGTTTGGAGATACTACATTAAAGAAATTTTTCATTGACTTTTGAATGCGTGCTTTAAGTTATTTTTGTCATGGATCTAAGGATCTATTAATATTTTCCATTGTAAAAAATACTTTATGTTACAGAGTGAAAAAAAAAAAGTTCAAAGCTGAACGTCAAACTTTTTTATTTGTGTTCATGAATGTTGAGATTTAAAAATACTCTAAATTACTAGAGGATTTTCGAAAAATGGAATATATCATCAAAATATTAACTACAAAACATTCATATCAATCTTTTAACGTCATTTAACTGTACATTATTAAAAATCCATGAAATTATTTTTTAAAAATTTTTTCAATTCTGTTGACAAAATTTGTCTGTCTTCAATTTTATCACAAACTCTAAATTCTAAAAAATATTCATGATTTATTTAATTTAAAAAGAAAACATTTCCAATATTTTTTCTTGTTACTTCCTATTATATATATATTTAAAAAGAAACAAAGAAAAACAGAAAGAGTGTGAGAAAGAATGGTAAAGTTAAAAAGTATAATTTAAAAACTTTTTGGCAAAAAAATAAACAATAACTTTTATGCAAATGATTTTTCTTTCAACAGTTATCACAATTAGAATAAAGAATCTGGCTTTAGTCCCATTTTTTGATGCATATTGTTTTCGTCAAGTCCATTAGTTGAATAAATGAATCTATTCCTTAATTATTCCAACAAACTTTACCAACTGTAAAGACGTTGTAGATTATAATGAAATTTTAAAATATATTTCCTTTGTAATTATATATTAATTATAATTCACATCAGAAGATAAAGATGAACTTTGTTCACTGCTTTTGAAATTAAGGGTTTATCTTGTTATTAAACTTTTATTTAACTGCAGAAATTCAAGATAAGCCATAGAATTATGAATATAGTTTATCTAAAATATGTGAAAGGTGTAAAATGGTAAAGCCACTATGGGAACGATATGCAATTCTCATTTTATAGTTGAGGAACTTTTGATATGACATTTCTATGTTATGCATAAAAATAGCATACTAAACAAATTTAAACTTTATCTATCAATTTTTTGTTCGAACTTCAATTGAAAATATAGTAGTTTTCTTACCTTTTATGACCGCCTAGGGGCGGCCTTTTTAATCCGAACCCCTTCTATAGAGTTTTTGAATGTTGTTTTGCACTTATTGATATATTGGCGCTGATATCATCTATAATAAAGCACTTATATCACTCTGTTCTAAACTATTAATAAAAACATCGTATAAATTTAACATTGCCATGTCTTATAAAAGACTTTAAAAACATTACACACTTTTTTAAAATAAATTTTCATTGCTATTAAAAAACAGATTAACTCACAATTTAATCCATATTTATCTTGGTTAAATGATTTTTGGTGTAAGGTAAATATGAAATGTTTAATGAATTATTTCTATTTGAAGAATATTATGATTAATAAAAGTAGAATATTAGTTGATGGATGAATAGTGATGTGAATATTTTCGAAAAAAAATCAACAAAGAAAAAATTCGGTAATGACGAAACTGTGTGTAACCGGACACCGAAGTAGTGATATTAGAATAGATTTACATGGTTAACAAATTTGCACCGTCACTATAAATGCAGAATCCAACTGTACCGTCTTTACCAGATTTATAGTATTTAATAAAAATTCTACAAAATGATGAAGATATTAGATTTCTATATTAATTTTAAGATGATAATGAAAAGAAAAAAAAAAAAAAATATGAAAGATAAATTTAGAAAAGTTATTATCTTTTTTTGTTTTTAAAAAAGAAAAGATAAAGAAAAGACTTATCTAGATAATTTTTATTCTACAATTGAAAAAAAAAAAAATATAAATTATTGTTACCAATTAATTTTGATTACCAATGATTTTGTAACACTTTTTGGATTTAATTAGAGTTCTAAATGACCCACACTATCACTGTTGGGATATTTAATATTAATAAGCACCAATAATTATTTGATAGATATGTAACACTTTGACTGTAGATTTTTTTATACTATTAAATCTGGTGATTGATTAAGCTATATATATTTAAATATACCGATTGAGAAGCATCGCGTTCTGCCTGGGCCGGATGGCCGTCCGACTCGAAGTGAATGTTTAAGAAGCTATTTCTGAAGCTCCTCATCTTAGTTCGTATCGTTACCTTCCTTGTCTATTAATATTGCTTTTTCACCGCTGTTTTACAGCATCATCTTTCTTTGTATCAACGCGTTCTTCCATCTATTACATACGTTGTTTCTCCTTTTTTATTTAAATGCCGATTTGGCTATGATGGCCACTAAATTTATCAGAAATTTATTTATTTATTTTTCTTTAAAATATTTATTAAATGATAATTATTTAAATTTCTATCGTTTATAATAAAAAATAAATATTTTTAATTCTCTGGTGGAATTAAAATTGTTTGAAATAAAAAGAAAAGAATAGTAAAACAGAATTAATTCCTTCAAAGTATTTAATTGAATAATAACTTAGTTTTTTTTTTTGTTCCTGAATAACTGCATAATATTAAACTTGTAATGTTTCTTGAAAGAATCTTTAAGACGGAATTGCTAATTTTATGTGTACTTTTAGAATATTTTAAGTACATTCACGATATGTTTTTTTATTCTAAATATAAAAATATGCTGTGTCAGAGCGATTAAATAGAAATATCCGAAATATAACTTGGAATATATTCAACATGTATAAGTTTTTTTAATGATGTATTAAAGTTTTCTGAAGAATTATTATCCCAATAAATTTTTCAAAACGAAAGCTTTTCTCAATGGAAGTGTGTATCGATTGTTCTTAATATTTTATTTATGATAATTTTCACTCATGCGTATACAACAGAACATAATATATTTACCGTAAAAGCTTATAAAATATTACAGAAATTTGTTTTCTCTTGTATTAAATTATACTCGAGATTTTAATTAAAAATCTCGAGGATGAAATTTATTAAGTACTTTTATAAATTTTATCGTGAAATATGAAACTTTACTATGCAAAGTTCAGTGCATATGATAAAATTTATTTGCTCGTAGTGTATTCTTGTCCCAAACTAAGGGAGGTAATGCTTGTGATGGAATTAGTATGAACATTTCAGGAGTCTTAAAAACGAATCTACACCATTAAAATTGTCGGTACAAACCGCTGTGATGTGACGACTTTCATGACCAATTCTAAAATATACAGATGTCTGCACATACATAAAGCTACACTCCTATACTTGTAAATAGTAGACTTGCGCGCAGATAAAAGTCTGGTATCGTGTGGACTGGGCTTTAGGACGTCATGCTTACAACTTTCTCAGTAGGAATATACTATGATTTAATTATTCAGTTGTAAGATTCACAGCTTTGTTAACAATAAATCAGGACAATTCCATCGGATTATAGAACCGCTCGTTAAAATAACTACTTTAATCAGATGATTAATCATCAAATTAACAGCTATAGAAATTGGTTTAGTAAATCTGCTGAATCACTTGGTCCTTACTAAACCCTAGGTCAATTTTCGACTTTATAAAAAATTATTCCTTTTGTATAGTAGAAAATATTTTGAGTGAAAAATTACCCTTGAATTGTAAATAAACTGAGAACCAAGTCCAAGGGGGAATAAAAATTGCTTCCTTTTAGAATATACTCGGATTTCTCACACTCATAAGTGCAAACTATGAATAATAAAATTTTTACCGTTTATAAGTAATAAATATATTTTATTAACAAATAAAGTTGAGCTTAAAAAAATTTTCGAATAAAAAAATAATAATTATTAATCGAATAATTATCTTAAGGTAATAATTACTCTAAAATATATAAATTATCTTGAACCAAATCTTAGACTTTTAAGAGTCAAAAAAAATGATTTTTAATAAGTTTTACTTATTTGTATAGTACTTGAAAGTACATTAATTGAAATGACTCAACATAAAAATATTTTATTCAAGATAAATAATGAGAATGTAATACGTAATGTAATAACCCCTTTCCTAGATCGTAGATTACATTTTAAAAATTAATTTGTTTACTTTAAATACACATTGAAGAATAAAACATAAAACATGTTTTTTTTTTGAATAATTTATAACCTGAATTGGGCAATTTTTCCTCTGTCTCTAGCTCGTCTTCAGTTAGCTCACAATATGGGGGTTATTTTTACATGAAAATTCTTTCACTGTATGAAAGCTTTCTCGAGTATGAAATTTTAATTGTATTTGTTTAAATTTAGATAAATAATTGAATGAATAAAAAATGTAATACAATGTTAAGTTTTGGCCTCTCCTTGACCTACAATGCAAGAAGAAGAAGAAGGCAATGAACAAAAGCAAATCGTGCTTCAGTCAGCAAAGTACGCGGCTCGAAAAATTAACAAGGTGACTGACCTACTATTCATTTAGATAATATAAAAATAGAGGAAATTTTGAGAAGTTGGAAAGCAGAAGACAGCTCTCTAAATGACCGCAATTCAATACCTTCACCTCCTAGAGCAGAACTATGAACGTTTCTGCATATTCACGAAGTATTAGTATGCATATCTTGCTCCAAGTCCTTTGAACTAAAGTAAGAATATGAGAAAAGCTCAAGAAAAAAATAGCCGAAACTAAGCATGAAGATCTGGAAATGGATAGGATTTAGTTGGTGAGGGTTTGGTGATCTCTTTAGAAAAATGTTGCTTTGATGGTCTTTAGTGACACACTGGAATTATGATGGGGTCTAGTTTATGAGAAACTGTACTCTAACTTTTCGTTACCAAAGCTCTTCTTTTGTTAGATTATCATAGATCTTGAAAAAGTAAAATATGACAAACCTCTAGCTGGTATGATCACTTGGAGAAGTTGTTGAGCCATGGCAAGAAGCCTTGTTCTATTCGACCAACTCCCAAAGTCTTCAGCTCTTCTCATTTAAATATATTAAGTTAAGTGAGTTTGCTTGAGACGCCTCTAATATTGAGCATCACCAACGTTTGATCTATACCCAAGTCTCTCTTATCCTTTCACCCAAGAAATACCAACGTTGATTGAAACTGGTCGATGAGTAAAATTCAGTATGGTGGGGTTTACTTTTGTGGTGTGATATCACTCCCTCTTGGAAAGAAGTAACTCCTTCAGGAGAAGCTATCATTGATTGCTGCTATTCTTTTCAAACTTTCTGTATCCCAGGCACGGGCTCGAAGGATCTGGCCGCAGTGTCCGCTTTTTGTGTCGACGTCTCTTGGGTGTGCAGGGTGTTGCTTCGTACCCCCTTCTTTATAGAAGGGGTAGTTTTGCCCCACCATCAAGCCACCGGTCAATGATAAGACGACCCTATGATATTTACATTTTTTCATCTCTTCTTCTTTCTATTTGTTTAATTTTGTTTATTACGACCTGTAGGGGGATTACTTGATAAATAAAAAATTTCATCTTTGACATTATATATATTTTTTTCTCTTTCTCTCTGTAGGACATATTAAAAGTTTTTAATTAAACTTCATCACGAATTATCATTAAAATTAACAATCATATCGTTACTATTATCATTGTTATGATGAATGGAAAGTTCACATACTTTGAAACGTAGATACAAAATTTTTATATGTAGATGATGTTTAAGCTTTTTATTATATTGATAATAAAATAATAATTACAAGTAAAAATGAGTTGATTATTTCAAAATGAAACATGATTTTTTCTATTTAAACTACGTTAATCTTTAGATCAATTTTCTTTAGCCACATTAAAAGGAAATTGCTCATTGTGGATTAATAACAGCAGTAACGAGTGATTGATAAAAAAATTGATTCCATTATTCATTCAATAAACGATTAATTCATACAGCATTGGAATAATTTGAAAAAAATTATTCCAACATTTATTTATTCCCTGAATAAACAGAGATTCAATGAATATACATGAATTTGAGTTTAAAATAATTTTTAAAACGACTACGACCATAAAATATGAATAAACAACTGATTTTTTGGCAAAAAAAAAAAAGAAATATGCATATTGATTTTTTATTTTTCATTATTTCGATGTATTGTCAATAAAATTTGACAATAAACAAATAGATATTTGAATCTATTACACCGACGAGCTATAAAGGAACATGATATTGCTTGTTATCTCAATTTATTACATTAATATAAACTGAAGAAGTATGAAAAATTTTATAGTACTACAATAAAAAAGAAACCTGTAGAAGAATTGCTTGACTTTTTTTCAATATAATAAATGAAAAAAACTATGACGTCAAAAAAGTGTAGACAAATACTAGAGCAAAGGATGAAAGGGAAGTATATCGTTGCGAGAAGGGTGTGTATACGCTCTTTTTTCCTTTTTCCATCCCCAGTGATATGAACCTACTATTTCAACGGGTGAAGCGCAAGCGTACCGACCAATTGCACAGTCTCAGCTTAGTTTTTCACGATATCTCGTGAAGTGCGAGCGGCATCCGTGTACCTCCTGTCTTAGCAACAATTGATTATGATATTTTATAAGTAACTCACTTTTGACTTTATTATTGCTATTAAATTCATGCAATGATTTATGTCAAATTATCTGTTTTAACATTTCAAATATTCTAAATAAAATATCCGGATAGATGTAAATACATATATAGATAAGTAGTTTGTGCCATTTTTGACCGAATGGGTTTTAAAGTTAGTGTTTTTAAATCGTTGTTGAAATTAATGTATTTTAAAGTTTAATATAATTAATAGATAGACAAGGGTCATGTCGTTATGATATACATAATGATTAGGTTAGTATGAAATTTTCTACCTATACTTGTATCGTTTCTGTAATGTAAAACTTTAATTAAAATTTGAAGTAGCATGTTCTTATCTAAGTGGAATAAACGTGTAGTATAAACCATATTTATCTCGTCTTACCAACTGATTCGTCTTTCATCAAAAGCTGAAAAAAGCAACATTATTCCAGTTATGATCATTCTTTAGCTCAAGAGCTATTGTAAAATCGTTGATCCGGGTCTATTTGAATAGTTTCATTATATATTCCCGAAGAAAATAGCAAAAATTTTTTAAACATCAATCGGCGATAAAAATTTGAAAGATTTTCTGCCGATTTATGTAAATAAATAATTTATTTTTTATAAATAAAATAAAGAGTGGTAGGATTTTGATAATTTTTGGAATTTTTCAATTACTTTAAATTTCCTTAAAATACTGTATTATTATGTTAAATAGTTTCACATCCTCAACTATGAATACAAATACGTTGCAATTTTGAGTTAAATCCGTTTATGTCAGTTTGTGTTTATCCGGTACATATGTAAGAAAATATTTGAGATGAAATTTTTATAAAAATATATATCATGTTATTTGAAACATCGAGGGTCTATTAAAGGGTCATTGTCAATAAAAAAAAATACCCTTCGAGATCGTTTTCGGTTTAGTTATAGCGGACTAACCACGATTAAAAAGTCATTGTGGATAAAATAAATAATTGAAAATTATTCCGATCACGTACAAATACCCCTAGATTAAACGTAAAAGTTTTTATATGTTCATTTCAAAGCAAATAAAAAAATTTGTAGTTGGATTCACTTTTCGTTTTATTTACAATAATTTGTTTGGTTCATTTAAGTGAAGCTATAAAACTAATCGCTACCCAATATCTAGTTTAGTTATAGCGTTTATAGAGCTCGGATATTTTCTATAAATTTTATGCTTAATAATTGTAATAAACTTGTCAATATATTGTCAATGTGATAATGATAATAAGTTAATACGTACATTTCTAGTTGATTGATTTACTACTGTGATTTTCTATTTGGTGAAATAAAATATATTTTAATCTGGATGATATGTGAAAAGTGTTCTAAAGCATTGGAAAATATCAATTTATTTATAGTGATTTCACGGTAGCATCGTATTTTTATTTTTTATTTTCCTTAAATAAAAAAAAGTCATTTGAGAATTTTTTTCTTTAGGTGAATTTCTCTCACACATTACTTTGACAAGCTTAAAACCTCTTATGTGGTTGTCGAACCAAACAAATTATATTTGTAACAGTGTGACATAATGTATATAATCGTATGATGTATATTTTGGGCAACTATATGGGTTCTGTTCTAACCAAATACATGTGGTTGATAAATATCACATTTCAAGAAAGAGAGAAAAAAAATTTATTAAAAATGACTTTTTATCAAATACTTTGTTTTATTCATTCAGTATGTTTTTGCTTTTTGTTATTTTTAAAAAAAAACTACTATACTTTGAAGGATAGTCCGATTATAAAAAAATAATGCCAACACATTTGTTATATTCTTGATCACACTAGTTGAAAAATAAAACGATTCTTTGATTTTCCTTTTTTTTTTTTTAATCAAAAATTCCAATGATAGTAATCCGAGTTTGAAATAGAGTATTGAAATTTTTTATGCCATGTTTGTATTTACTTTGTATCTCTATTTCATAAGATAATTATTGATTCGTATAAATAATCTACAAGTAAGTCACATGGAAACTCAGCAGCATCAAAATGTGAAAAGTAATTAATGGGTAAATAATAACATAATTATGGATGATTTTCATTCAATTAATGTAAATATTTGAACGAGTCTAAATAAATATCATATTACACGAAAATGTTTTCCCTACAAAGTTTAATTATTATTTGTTAATTTTTTTTAATAAGTCTGATAAGAGTGTTATCATTACTTTACGAGCACTACACATACTAAGAGGGTTGTTATTTAAAAGTAAGGAGTGTTTAATTTTCATAATGTTTTCTTAGATGGAAGGAAATTTTCAAAACACTTTATACCTTTAGTGTATTTTTATGACCCTTATATTTTGTTTCTAATTAAAACAAACAAAAAAAAAAAAAATCAAAATGTCAATACGTTGATGTTAAAAAAAGGAACATTTTTTTTTTTAATAATTATGACATTATAATTAAAATCAGATTCTTTTACTGCATTTAACATTTTTCTCTTCAATAAAAAAAGTGAAGCTTTAAAATGAAGAAATAATTAATAAAGAAAAAAGTCATTTGTAAATGAAGTTTAAAAATCTGTATTATTTATGATAATAAAAAATATGTATTGGTTTTTTAAAAATATGATTAAAAAAAAAAATAATAATCAGTCATGAAAATGCAACCTTTGGGATTGGGCCAATAACTCTTAAATTCAAACAAGATTCTTATTAAATTTACCTTATGATTTCATGATTCAATATCTTGTTGATTAGCTGAAAAAACTACTCAATTTTTTCGTACCAACTGTTCACTGGTTAAATGTTTTTGCCGTTATCGTTTTTCGATAAAATATAATTAGACCACCATCGATCTAATTTTGATTTTCTTTTGGTTAAAATAGATCTCATCATTTTATTCAGGTCATTTAGAAAAAAAGACTATTTTATTAAATAGCAAAAAAAAAAATTCATCTTTCACATTACTTTATGAATATAAGTAAAAAACCACTTTATAAATTCGTTGAATATTTTAATAGTTACAGAACATATCAAGCTTCACCAATAACATTTTTGACACATAATCATTGAAGCAAGGTAGATAACATCCAATGAAACATGAATCTGGTAATTTTACAAAATCAACATAATATTCCTTGATAATATATTAAATTAAATTTCACCATCATATACACAGAATATTCCATGATGGAATAAAAAGTTTCTCTAATTTAATAAATGTATTTTATTTAAATTACAAGTTCAATTGACAATGTTTTGAAATTGAAAAAGAACTTATTCGATGAATAAAGTTCATTATCGAATTACTCAAATGAATAAATAAATTCTATTTAATCAATGTGAAAATTAATCTTATTGTTTCCTGAACATGCTTATTATTCCAATCATCTTGATAATTTAAAATAGAACCATTGAACACATGACATTTGCAATTTCATCTTAATTTAATAATTACTAATTATGAGAAAAAGTTATATCAACGAACAATTAATTGAACACCATGATGTAACAATGTCTGAATCCATGTGAGTTTCTTTTGTGATTTTATACATTGTGATATTACAGATATCACCTGCTTTTATAATTTTTAATAGGATATTTTATATAATATATTTTATTGTCATTGATCATATTTATTGTGTCGATTCATGGTTAAGCTCAATATTATCTCTATATGACTTTAACTTTTCTAGGTCCTTCTGCAATACAACTATTGGGTCCAACTATTACTGGAGTAACACTCAGAATGTTTGAAGAAAAAGCTTTTGGAGAATCCAGCTTGATGGTATAGATATATTTTATTTATACGTCAATAAATATTTATTATTGATTATTTTGCAGTGATAAATTCTACACTGACACAAAAACATGATCTATAAAACTAGAGTAGATTCAACTTTTATGTTTTTTATTGAAAAGATGATAAAAAACTCAATGATTTTTGTTTGATGTTGAATAAAACCAGTGATGTTTAAGTTGTGCGGTTTTTTTTTTTCATAAAAGTGCTTGGTGATTGCAAGTGATAAGTGTGATTCAAAGTGAATATGATGGAGAAAATAGAAAATAGATGCCTAATCATAATAAGTAGTACTGGTTTTTATCATTGAATAGTGCAGATTGCCACTGTACCTAGAAGATGTCAACACACAAAAACGTGAATGTATGAAAACTGGGCGGGACCGCGTCCGGAATATGAATAGGTACAAAAAACAAGTGTAATTGAGCGTGTTATTACATAACTTCGGTTATTACATGATCACTTGACTGTAGAACTAGCTATTGCTGTAGAAAAACCACTTGTTTTCTTATCTGCACCCACATTTATCTTTAGAGATCAAAAGATTTAGGAAACTGATCTTGATGCAGTTAGCTCACATTTGAGTTCCAGACTCTTCATTTATCACATTGATGAAATAATCCGGCTTTTACGATGTGTACCCAGTTAGCAGTGATGAACCCCTATTCGTTTCGATATCATATGTTGCATTAAAGCCAATTTTATTACTTTTTTTTTTTCTCCTTCTATTGAAAGAAATGGACCAGAATTTTAGCTACCATGAGTTCGGTTGAGTGCTAAAAATGTTTTAAATTTAAAATTACTTTCATGAATGTTCTTTTAAAAATAATTACATATTTAAAAAAAAAAAAAAAATGTTAAATATCTAAAAAACTGTATTTCTTTCAATGACTTTAATGGTTTTATCTTGGCTACTTACTGTAAAAAATAGAGATAATGGTTAAGTATATAATGGAGTTGGTATACTATTTGTTTCAGTAATGGGCAATGAGAGTAAATGGTGGACATGGGGAATGGAGGGATATGACAGGGAGTTAAATCTAAGTATTTATACTTATTCCACCTATGAAGTTTGGAATAGTACTAGTCAAAGTATTTTTACTATTGAAAACTTCACCCGTTTATTTTCGGATGATTTTTTGACCTCTACTACTATTCAAACTTCAACAACCCTGACCCACAACTTTATCATCACAGTGGTTGTGGCAACCATACTTTTTATTATTATCCTTATCACCATCATCGGTAAGTTTTTGTTTCTTATAATATAAATTTATCAAATGATATTTATGGACAATTGGTAAAAAGTATCTTCAAAGATCTAAGCTGAACATGATTTAGTAGCAGGGGAGTTCAAGGCTCTCTTTGAAATCAAGACTTATAATGATGAGATCTCTGAAGATGCTGATTACTTGAATTTCATCTCTACTCAATGAACATGAATTTAGACTATCAATCAGTTTTATTCAATTTATATATCAAGAATTTCTATATGAAATTAGAACTCTTCTGCTTATTTAACTCTTTCAACTCACTGAATACAGACGTCTTTTCGGCGTCGTTAATGCTCTACTGAAAGTTCTAGCTATTATTATGTGATTACAACAAAATCATTCTACTTTTGCTAAACATTGATGATATAAATTATCATGAAACTAATATAAACAATCAAATAATTCTTTAATCTTACCAGACAATACCTGTAATCAGGTATGAAAATCATGAACAAAGTTAGTCTTATAAATAAAAAATAGTAGAAAGTTGAAGACATATGATAGGGGCAAGGAACCTTATCCTTTTTTAGGAAGTCCCCAGGAGATCTTCCTCTTGCTCCCACGCACGACTCACTTGAGCATCTCACTTAAGACCTGCCACTCAGTAGTAATCATTGAGCGTAGGCTTATGAGGTTTTCCCACGGTACTCATTCATTGCATGAGTTGACATCATTCAGGCAGGTGAAATACGTGGGTTTTCTAATTCTCTTGCGAAACAAACCCTTGCGCCAAATCATTCATATCTAGTTCGAATTAGTTACGTAAAGGGGAATTCCCCTGATCATACTAATAAGTAGATTAGTGACAACTAGTTGACTTTTAATAGATCCGTAATATCAGTCTTTCCATAGATGATCTAGATCAATAAATGAATCATCAAATTTAAAGTTTGTACCTAAGGGAGCTATGGTACGAGAAACTTGGTAGAAGGAATACAGATCTTAGCATCTCCTTTTGCGCCTGTTTTATCCCTATATAGAATAGGAAAAGTAAATTTTATTTTAGCATTTTTATGATCTTGGTACTTGTCTCGATCACCGTTTTCTCTATAGACCAACTTTTAAGACCTCTAATATTATCTTCATACTTGAAGAAATTTATAGTGGAGAAAAGTTTAAACATTTATGTTACTATTGTAACAACATAATCATCATTTTGTATTTTTTTTTTTATTATTACAGGAAATTTTTTTGTAATGTCTGCCATTCTGCTGGAACGACATCTTCGACAAAACGTAGCAAATTATCTGATTTTCTCTTTAGCAGTGGCAGATCTGTTCGTAGCCTGTTTCGTCATGCCTCTGGGTATCCATCTCTCTTATTATTAAATAAAATTTTTGTGAATGTTTATAATGATTAATCATTCATTAACATCAATAATGTTTCTATGTTGTGAAAAACGTAATTGTGTGTTTTTATGTTAATCATTGATGAAGAATATTTAATTCAATTTTTGAGTGTACTATTGTCGACAGGAGCCTTGTACGAGGTATCACATAAATGGAAACTTGGTGCTGTGCTTTGCGATTTGTGGACAAGTATTGATGTTTTATCTTGCACGGCATCGATTCTCCATCTCGTTGCAATAGGTGTAGATAGGTAAGCATACTCTTAAGCAAATATTGTTTACTTAGTACTTTAAATGTTCAATAAAAATGATATTTTATGATACATCGAATTCAGGTTCAATGGTAACGTGATAACCCATTCTAGCTTGGTTGCAAGAGACTTACCCTCCTGGGAGATTATCAATGACATCGAATGGTTTACGATGGAGATCTTTGCTCCCCCGAGTAATACTTGATCAATCTACCTTTATGCACAAGAATCTGATATCAAATAATAATCTTTAAAAAGAACATATCTTTCACAGAAGAATTAGGATATCGTTCCGAAACAAATAATCCTACTATAAATAATCTTACACTTTAATAAATCCTTTAAATCAACTAACCTTGACATTTTACCAAAAACACGAAAGTTTTCCCTACTTTTTTATCAACAACCCCTCCGAGTATAGTTCTTTTTGAGATTTCTGCGCTCAGTTACGTTTATTCTTTTTGTTCGTTCCCCATTTCAAGTACAAACTTCAATGATTCTTTCATATTTCCACTACCAGTACACGGGTCAACACTTCTTGAGTGTGCTGAGACTAGTATTCTCTGAACATCATACTCTTCAATGAATACTTTGCTCAACGAACATTTCTATGATTCCAGGTGGTTGGCTGTTACAAGTATCGACTACATGCATCAGAGAACAGGCAAACGAATAGGCATGATGATCTTTATTGTTTGGTTAGTTTCAATCTTCATTTGCATTGCTCCACTTTTTGGTTGGGAAGATGCAGATCGGGAGACAAGAATTGTGAACAACCACACTTGTTTGATTAATCAGAATGCAGATTACCAAGTAAGTAATTTTATATCTTTTGAGTATTATTCATTTTGTGTGCCAACAAATAAAAGACCTTTTGAAGAGTAGCAGAAAAATACCTGAATTAGAAAAGATGAGTTTAATATATAAATCGGATGCAATCGGAACAGAAATTAAATCTTTAATTAACACAATTTGGAACATTTTTATTCTGGTTTCAAAAGAAAAATTAAAGTACTGAAACGTAAAGCTGAGCTATTACTACCGGTCAGTAAACACGTATCCCCAGGCTGGTGTGTTTGTTTCATTAAAGTGGAAAATGAAGTTTAATATTATTGAATTAAAATGAGTTGACTTAAGGTAGAAAAGGTTTCTGTAATTCTAATTTAAATATTCAAAAACTTTATTATTAACAACGAGAGGAAAATTTTAAATAGAAAAGGCTAACTCTAACTTGGATTATTAATCAATAATTACAATACCAATAACTCTTTATGATGAGTTATTTAAAAAAGAATTCCCTTCGAGATTTAAATTTTAAATTATCAGTATGATTTAATGTATTAACAACAGAAATAAATAATTTTTATCCCCTGAATTGAGGGTAGATCAATCTAAAGCTCCAACATAACTACTTCTTTAATGATAATTGTGATTGCATTATTCTTATAAGTATTGATAACTGAACCAGTTCAATTTAAAATAAATCAAAACATTAGAATAGATTTATCTTGCCAGCAATTTTAAATCTACAGTCCAGAAATAGACTATCAATCATTTTTTCTATTAATAATAGTTATAAAATTGAGATTGTAAATAACTTTTGATGAATATTCATAAAAACTTGAATTATAAAATTGAATAGGAAGTAATTTAAAATGATATTCTAAAAGTTTGATTTACATGAGAACTCATTTGTTTGTTACAGGTATTTGCCACCATATCATCATTTTATTTACCCTCATTCGTTATTCTTATTCTCTATTGGAAAATATATCAAGTTGCACGCAAACGTATCCGAAGAAGACCTGGTAAAACATTACATCAAGGTAGACATCCATAAAGCTGGACCTAACCAACCCCTATAACTTTTATCTATCATGATCATTGTATCTAAATGAACCAGACTACTCAATTTCTTTCTCTCCATTTATCTCGTTCTATCTTAAGTTTTTGTTATGTGTTTATAGGTCACTTGAAATCAAATGACGATTCTTCTAAAACAATAGAGACAGGTCATGCTGTTGGCGATGCTCTAGCTCAAGCACAGGTTTCTGGAGGAATAGCTGCAGCTGTTGTAGCTGTTATTGGAAGACCACTTCCAACTGTATCTGGTGATTATTTTATAAAATAATATGCTGCTTTTTATTGGCTTTTATAATTGTCCTAATAATACAATTAATATTTCTAAAACTTGATGAAATAACTAGAAAGAGTTCAGGACATGGAAAAGTTGGGTTACAAAGGTCATATTTGTCTCCTCTAATATCAAAAATTTTTGTCCCTGGTAACATTTTATTCCTCTTATCACTTGACCTTATATCCTAAAAAGTTTTAAAACATTCAGATCTATTTTAAGAATAATAGGTGTATGTAATGTAGTAAGCCCATTGAGAATTGAGTTAATAGCATTACACTAAGTAACATTTTAAATTATGATAGCATACATTTAGTAAACTTTGAGTTGTCGAATCATCAGCTTGCCATCTTGCCTTCTCAACTTAGTAGGAGGATCATTTAATTTTATTGATCAATTAATCATTGATAATGTTTTATGATAAAGCAAACTTTCGGCAAATAAATGATTGAGCTTTCTTTTTTAATCTAATTTAATAATTTTGATTTAGAAGTATTGGTAGCTTTAGTACCTATAAACAATTGTTCTTCAGAAATTGCTTACTGCACGAATCTTTTACCATTCTTTCCAGCTTATTAACTTTTTCGCTGTTAGTTCTGAATGATTTTTATGATCCTTTCTTGATTTTCTCTTCATTATCAATATTTCTTTTCTGCATCTTTATTTTCAATTTTATTCTGGCAATTGACAGACTGATGATTCCATGAGTTTTCTCATTTTTCAAAGGTTCATATTGAAAACACTCTTGATAATCAACACTTAAATGTA